ATGTTAAAAAAAAAAAAAAAAAAAAAAAAACCAGCAGCACTAAATCTATATAGAACACCTAACCCCAAGTAGTAGTTAGATTACTAAATAGGTGTGTTAAATATATCTACTTGAATAAATGTTCTTCATACGTTCATGTGTGAACTTGTTGATATTTCTTGTTCATATAAATGATAATGTTTATGTTCTTTCTTAATTATGGATATGAACAAAGGGGTTCTTATATTTATTGAATACGTCAAACCCGAAATCGGCAATCTGTCTGTATACATAAAAATTATGAAACTTAAAGGACTAAAAAGTAGCATATTGATTCAGAGGTTCAAGAGAGAGAACTATCCAAAGAACAGCTAATAAAAAGAAGATTTGCAACCAATTGGCTTCCCTCTATCGGTTCATTTAATATAAAAGAGATATAGAGCTGTTCCCATTTTAATATGGCGGGTAATTTAAGGAGAGAGATTTTATTAAAGCATTTTGACAAGATTGAACAAATTGTAGATAATATTGACTACACAACAAGTACTAATGGAAAGGATATAACTTCTGGTGAAGGGAATGACATAATTACAGACTTACCTTCCATTAAAAATGCTTCTTCTAGACGACAATCCAGTACAGCCAATACAGTTGATCCTAACTTAGAGAAATGGAGCACCTATTTTGAAGTTAATAAACAAATAACATTCGAGGAAAGAAACTTCAAATTTAACATTTATTATACATTGCCAAAGTCATTGGATACAACATCTATTCCTATATTTGTTTTCCATCACGGTGCTGGCTCATCAGGTTTATCATTTGCAAATTTATCCCAGACTTTACAAGAGAAATTAAAGGGTCAATGTGGGTGTTTTTCCTTTGATTCTAGAGGACATGGTAATACGACGGTTATAGATCCTGAACAGAATGTAAGCTATGAACGTGACAGTTTCATCGAAGATTTTAGAACTTTATTAGAATATATTTATTCTAATATTTTATCCGCTATCCCTAAAGAGAAATTGTCCATTATACTAGTGGGTCATTCGTTAGGAGGAAGTATATGTACATTTACATTTCCAGTCTTCTCGATAGAATTAAGAAAACATATAACGGGTATTACGATGTTAGATATTGTTGAAGAGGCAGCGAAGGATGCCCTTAATAAGGTGGACAATTTCTTATCGATGACCCCAAATGTATTCTTATCATACTCTGATGCAATAAATTGGTATGTGAGACACGGTCTCTCAAAAAATAGAACAAGTGCCAATATTGCGGTCCCTTCTCTCTTCAGAAAATTTTCTAGTGGAAAGGTCGTCAGAATTACAAATCTTCAGGTATTTCGACCTTATTGGAATACTTGGTTTACTGACTTATCGCACAGTTTTGTCGCTGTACCAACGTCTAAGATGTTAATCTTGGCTGGAAATGATAACTTAGATAAGGAACTAATAATTGGACAAATGCAAGGTAAATATCAACTTGTCGTATTTCAAGATTCGGGACATTTCATACAAGAAGATGAAACACTCAAGACAGCATTGACACTGATCGATTTTTGGAAACGTAATGACAATAAAAATGTAATTATCAAGACTAATTGGGGATCAGCTAAATAAATTTCCTAATGATAATTAAATAATACATATGTTTGCTTGTTTTAGTTATTTATTTCTAGTATTTTAATGTATGCTCTCTTATAAGAATTTAATCGACCGATAAAACGTCCAGATTATGTGTCTTGTTTTCACATTCTGCAACAACCGCATCAATCTTCTTACTTGCCCATGCAAATCTTGGGTTAATTAAGAAAGGACGTAAATCAAATCTGTTATCATCTGGAGAATAATTTTCTGCATGGTAGCTTGGGGTGATGACAGTTTGTTTATGTCTATTAATGGCGTAAAAGAAGAAAAATCTTTTTACCTTCTCAGCAACTTGTGAAGGTGTCAATTTTGGGCTCCACTCGTGTAGAAGTTTCAAAAACATAGAATATGGGCCACATTTTTCAACTTTTCTCAAATAACCAAATATACTTAATTCCTCGTATGTCATACCCATATCTATCTCATCTGATTGTACATAATTTTCTGTGATAGGTTCCAATTCAGCAGTAGGGGTTGCATGAAGGAATTCATCCAAAATTGGCATGTTGTATTCTTTGGTAGCATATGCAATAAACCTTTTCAAATCAGTTTTTGATATACCCCCTATTGGATTAATATCTGCAGAAGAACAATCATATTTAGTTAAATAACCTCTTAGACATTCATCAACGTTGGCACTTCCTAAAACTAATAAACCACCAGAATTCTTAATACCACGGACCCATGGTAAAAGTTGGGCAAATAGGTAAGCTAAAACCATTCTTAGACGAGCTTGGATGTTTTGTAGAGCAAGATTCTCAATTTGGGATCCACCAAATATCTTAAAGATTGGTTTCTTACCAGTAGCTACTTCAAACAACGAAACAACGCTTGTCACAACATTGTCCATATTGAAATCAACGTGATAAGAGCCTATCACTTTGGATAATTCTTTACTTCTCTTTCTAGTTTCATCTGAAGAGTTTTCAGTTCCCATAAAACAGGTATGAAATATTGTGTTAGCCATTTCTTGAGGTTCCTTTGGCACCCAGTCATCAGAGTTACGGGTAATCCTACGTGCATCCTTTAGGACTTGCTCATTACCTTCACTAATTTCCTTAACAACTAATCTGCACATGGAGTGGACGATCATAGCAGTGGCGCAAGAATCAATACCACCAGATAAAGGCAGGAAATAACCTGTACCGTTACAACGTCTGATGTAATCCCATAGCCAGCATGCAGGGCCTAAAGCAATTTCTTCTTCTGGTGTGTGATAATGTACATCTCTCTTTTTGGTTGGCGTTATATTTGGATTAAATCTGTCGCTTACCTCAGCCAATTCAACAGGAACATCAATTCTAGGATACTTAATTTCACGAAGAGATGCTTGGAGACCACGAGACATAACACTGGCCCTGTAACTTCTGACATCTTCCAAATCAACTGTTGCAGTGACAACCTCAACATCCTTTAAAGAAAATTGAGAACCTTGAGCAACAACTTTACCATTCACAGCAATTAAAGCACAACCATCATAGTATAATCTATCACCATCACAACCACGTTGATTAGAATATAGATAAACACCACCACAACGACTTGTAGCGTTCAAAATTAAATCCATTCTTTTGTTTAATTTACGTAGTTCATGATGAGAACCAGAGGAGTTAGTGATGATTTCAACACCGTCGAGTGACATCGCAATGTGAGGAGACTGAGGGGTGAAAATTTCTTCACATGTTTCAGCACCTATACAAGTATCAAATGTTTTAATAACAGCATCACCAAATTCTACATTTCTTTGTCCAGTGATTTTTTGGATAGCAATTGGTAGAGTAAACTCTTCAACGGTACCAGGTTTCATCCATGGCGTGAAAAAACGCATTTCACGATAGTTACCATCGTTTGCAAGCCAAATCTTGGGTCTGATGAAAAGGATTTTACCGTCTAAGGATAGTAATCTACAATTGTACCTGACATTATTATGCATAATTGGCATACCGATATCCAAAATAATACCGTGGGTTTCAGGACGCTTGATAATTTGACCATACATTTCCCATGAATGTAGGCAAACATCATTCTCTAAAAAGTGATCCAGGCAACCATAACCTGTTATTTCTAATTCAGGACCAACTCTTAGGCGGGCACCTTTTTCCTTTGCAATGCTAATAGACTCTAGAATACGATCCCTGTTACCTTCAAAGTCGAGGGCCCATTGATTTAAATTACAGGTAGCTAACGTAATTAATTGTGACATTTTTGAGTGCTAGACTAATTTTCTATAAAATGAAAAGAAGCAATGCGTATTCACTTCTTCTTCTTCTTCTTCTTCTTCTTCTTCTTCTTCTTTTTATATCTTGCAACAATATCAGGCTTTGTTATATATTTGAAAGTGTGTGGTTTTATCTTCTTTCATTGAGATATTGTCTCATCTAAAATATTTGCTGCCATCTAATTCTCGTGTAATAAGCAGAGCGCGAAGTAAGGCAAAATAATTTATTTAAATATACATCGTATTTGTATGATATGCCAATATTTGTTTATTCAAGTTCACTTGGTGATTCAAAGTAAGAATCAAGAATTATTTTTTAGATATATACGAGATAATATATAAATGTCTCTCTATGCTTTAAATAATAATGAAATGTTTACCACAACTTCGGAGAATTGCTCCAGTCTTGACGTCTTCTCTTTTCCCAGTAGCTGTCAGGGCCATCTATGTACGCCCACTTGTTGGCTGTGTTTTTTCTGAAATATCTTGGTGTAACATCCTTCCCATTTTGACGTCGTTCCCTCTGCTTTTGTTCAAGATTTAATTTGCAGGTTTCTGCTTCATCAACTTTTCCTTCTTCATAGAATCTAATGTCAGGACGTAAACGTGAATCTGTTTGTGGTAGTTTATCCTTTTCAATAGAAGTAATTTCATTCAAATTAGCCGTAAATTTGGTAAAACCATATTTCTGTTTAGGATTTTTGACTGTTTCGCCAACCTTCCATATAGTTTTTCCAGATTTTTTGTCCTTTAATGAATCCGTCCACTTACCAGTTATACTCTGGTTTTTACCAGATTTGCTACTGGACGTGATATCAACTATAACGTTTTCTGATCTGCCACTAAACATACCTGTCTTCTCAAAGGAAATAGTAGCTTTCCCACTTCTTGATGAAATAACCTCAATCTCATTAGTTGGTTCCACGTATCTTTCCCCAGCAATCAAGTTCTTTACTATAGTTGTTGGTTGAACCCACTCGAAATACTCCCCCGATTTTTTGGATTTAAGTTCGAATGTACCTTCATTATTTAGTTCAATAGATTTACCCCAAAACTTTTGGACTGGTGTAACGGTATAACTGCACTCCCAGTCTTCATGTTCTGCATGGAAGGCAAATATTTGAGGCTTATGGCACACTTTCTCCCCTAGCAATCTAAAGCCCATATCTTCACGAACTAGTTCATATGTTTCTCCTAATAATGGATTGAAAGGTTTACGAAGAGATCTGGTCCTATCTCTATATATGGACAGGGAAGATATCGCAAATGCGGAAACAATAGCAAGTGGCTCAAATGGAGAATTTTGGTCGGCCAATTGGGGAAGCATATGTGCATATTCGAAGGATTCAGAGATTGCTTGTAAGATAGAAATAGGTTCATTAGAAGTGACTGGCATTGTAATGGATGTTAAATCTTTTCCAACGTTTTTTCTTAGGAAAGATAATAAACTTTGAGGTGTAGAGTTGCAAGCGGTCACATCATTCCTACGAAGAACAGGAAGGAGTGGTAAAGGATATAAATTATTAATTATAACTGCTTCAGTCATGTTTTCAGGAAGCTTTCCAGAAGCAATTGGGCTTAATATGTTTTTTAACTCTGGACCTAACTGGAAATCACTTATTTGTCGTTCTGTTAGTATTACTTCTTCAGATTCTATAACATTTGAACCAAGGATCCTGGTATGGCATATTTGGGTAGCATCTTCGGCATCATCGTCATCTAAGAGGATCACACCCAACGTACTTTTATCTTCAGCATCATAAAACATATCATCATCACTCATTGAAGAGCTCATAGATAACCTTTTACCATTTATTTGTTTGGTAAGAATATTATGATCTCTATATAGAACTTTACTCTGTTTAACAAATTGGTTAAAAAGGCTCTCCAGTTCTGCAAGGTTATTGTATAAGTCATGTTCGTTTGTAATTGTTTCTGGTATAGCTGAATCAGACGGATTTAACAGAGACTCAGCAGAATCCATAGGAGAAGCAGATGTCATCCCTCTCATTCTACCATGACCTCTTAACGAAGAAGAAGCCGAATTCGAACGTCTTATCTCGCCAAAAGTTGGTTCGGGATCCAAAGGAGTATATGACAAAGAATCATTCTTGTATTGTTCTAATCTTTGTTGAATAATTAGAAGATTCGAACTGAAATCCTCGTATGCTTCGTTCGGTAGAGGAATATATGACGTAATGTCAGTTAGTCTTGAAGAAGGTCTTGGTATCAAATCTCCTTTCTGACCTTTCGAAATCCTACTCAATCGTTCACTTATTACGTCATTTGCAGTCACAATAGTTCCATCGTTTTCGCTCATACTGTTAGACAAGCCATCTGATAATAAATCATCAGAATTGTCGTCCTGCTCAAAACAGGATTGCAATGCCTGCACCCATGTTTGCCAACAATTGACATCTCTAGTCTTAAGGGCCCATATTTCCATACCCGAATCAATGATGATTAGTCTGTCTTTTTTATTGGCGCTTACAGTTGATAGTTTGATTACAATTTCACCACGACGTGTTTGATTATGATCATTTAAATAATAAGATAATGTACCGTATCTAAAATCTAATGTGAAAAATCTTCTTTTAAAGCCTTGTAGTCTCTTCCTTCTCTTTTTCAATAGATACCCTTGAATATATCTGCCTTGGCCAACTACAAATACAGAATCTCTTTGATTTGGTGAAGAATTTAACGAACTTAATAAAGGAGATGATCCAGAGTTCGTGCTATGAACAGATTGGTTATCTGTTTGAATTGCACTGGCATTGAATAAAATTTTCTTTTTAACATTTTTTGAAGCTATGTTATCCAATATAAATGCATAATAATAATCAGAGTCCATAACTTCGACGTTACCTTGATACATTTTATTTCCGGGTATATGTCCGACCCATTTTACCAGTGTAAACCCAGATGCCTGTAGACGATCTCGTAATGGTTTTTCTTGTGATTGTTGTTGTATATTAGCAATGGACAATGAGCTTCTAGAATGGGAGTCACTGTTTGAACTGATCGAGTTATTTCTATGTAAAACTGCTTTGTTAGTGAAATCTAAAGCAGCTTTGGTATCTGCGGCAATGTGTACCGCTGGTGTTTGGTCATCTATGCTAGTTTTCAGTTTTTTATATATACCTAAATCAATAGATTTTTTCAGTGGTTTCACCTGATAATTGATAGTGTCTCCATGAGAGCATTTGACCCATCGTACAACGAATGATCTATTCTGAATATCAATGGTTTCCATATTTCTTTTTCTATAATAAAAGTTTCGAACACAATTATGTTAACTTCTAGTAAAAACAAAGATAAACTTTATGCGATATCGCCTTTTCTTTAGTTTTTTTAATAACGAAATATAGATAAATGATAGCAATGTATCTATATGTTATATCACGCTTTTTATTTATAACTCAATGGGCTTGGTATAATTAGTGAGTAGCCTTAATTCAAATTGATAATGTATAAATGGAGGTATCAACAAATATATATATATATATATGCCATAAATTTAGTTCTCTAGCTACAAAATATATTTCATCATCAAAATATTTCGATCGAATGGCTTTTCAATGTCAATGTTTTAAGTTTTGACAGTTTCAAAGCCGATCTATAGTTCAACTTTCTATTTTACTCGTCGTTTACGGTTCTACCATCTATATTCCTCTCGCTTCGTTTCCTACATATTGAAAGACCAAAAAATCAGGATTTATGGTACACTCGCCACACAGCCAGCACTCTTGACATTTTCATTTTTTTTCGCTTTTCAATTCAGACACACAGAAAATTCCAGAGAAAAATCAAGAACAGCAAATATTGCGTTGATTAATTCAATTTCATAATTATTTGGTGGGCATAAAACTGTTTCTCTAATAATAACAAGAATAATAATACCAAAACAAACAGTAATACAATTGTATACTTCATTATTTACGTTTTAGACAATAATGCCTTTAACAGACAGGTACAAACAATGGCAAATTCAAATTTCGGAACGATAATTGAATTGTAGAGCGTGCAATTCTAACTGTAATTACCGTAGCTATACACATTTCATTTTGAATAAATATTATTCACCTGTATTTTCGGATAGAAAATAGAATTATATAATATTTTTGTATTTAATCTATATCGCAGAGTGTTTATACTTCTTAGTATATAGGCCCAATGCTTTGATAGGGAAAAGGAATCTGTAACTTGGGTATTCGATAGCACAGGAATGATTGAATACACCTTCCACCGATTCGAACTTCCACTCACCATGTTTTGTTTGACGTTTCTTCAACAGGGTGATACCTCTATCGATGACATCTTTATTCGGATAATCGGCTAAGATCAAAGCGATTAACGACCATGCAGTTTGTACCACAAGTGACTTATCACTATTCACATAATTGTGTAATTCACTTGATTTCATAGATTCACCCCATCCACCATCATCCATCTGCTTGCTGACTAGGAATTCACATCCCTTCCTCACGTATTCTGAATTGGTATAGCTTTCACCAATGGAATGTAATGCCTCAATGGCAAACATTCCCGCATATGTGAAACATATACCCCAGCAACCATACCAACTACCGTCAACTTGTTGACTGGCCTTCAAATAATCAATGGCGATCTTGATTCTCTTTGAAATTTGATCTTTTTTATAGTCGTAATGCTTGTGGAAATATGTTAGACCCAATACTGAAGAATCTGTACACTCAACGTAAGGGTACTCAACCATAATGTTTCCGAAAACTTCAGCTGGATTTAATTTCTCCATAAATAATGGTGCCTTAATCTTTTCATATGTAGCAAATGAACCATATTCAAAAGAACCAGTATTTTGTAAACCCAAGAGAATATCGACACCTTGATATAATCTTTCATCACTTATTTCGTTGTGGATATCTTTAAAGACAGGAGAACTTCTAACCATAATAATCGCCTTAATAGATTCTGCAGTACAGTCAGATACAGTATAACCTTGTGTCTTTGTAGAGAACCCCCATGCACCTACACGTTTGTCACGGAAACTATCTGGGACACATTCAGTATCAAATTGAGAACGACATAAAAATTTGTAAGCTGCAGCAATAGTATCATAGAATTCTGGCAACTCTGCTAGATTGGACATGAAAAAATATTGAATAGCAAAAGCACAATCCCATGTTTGAACACCATTTGTCCCCATTACTGTCATACCTTGAGGACCATGAAATAAGGCATCCTTAAATCTATATTGGAATTTCTCAAATGCCATAGAATGGGCACCTTCTTCGATATATGTCACTAACGCACAGAAAGCTTGGTTCACTGGCGCAATACATAAGGAATCTGTATTTTCAATTTCCTTCTTGATAAGATCATAAACTCTTTCTTTGCTCTTCTTGAAAATGAATGTTGGTCTTACATAGTTTTCATAAAATACGATAGCGTCATTGGCAACATCCAAGAATTTTGAATGAGGATAGTATAAATCGACACCACAAACTGTATTTCTATGTTTAGAAAAATCAATTTTCTCGAACGGTTTCGTGTAAATTTCTTGTCTAATTTCTTCTAATAAAGGATTCAATTCACATTGAAAACGTGTCAAAGACAAATAGCTTAGAGGTAAATATACAGCTCTTGTATGAACCCACCATCTTCCAGGATGTATAGGCAAGCTGTAAGGTAATAACCAAGTCTCTGGTGGTGCAGGGTTAACACCTTCCCACTTGTAAAGATTTAACAGGCTTAACCATGATTTACCCCAGTGTGGTGCACCAATGGCGCCCCCTAATCTATGCAAAGTCTTTCTGGCTCTTTCACAGACTACGTGATCATTAGGTATACCTAAGAGACGTAAAATCACATAGTTCAAAACGGTACCAAACACAGTTGATTTATCGACAGAGTGGAGACCCCAGCCGCCATCTACAGGATGAGCTGTGTTCACAATATATCTTATTATTTCTTTTCTTTCATGATCTGGAATTTGGACTCCAGCAATATAATTAACCGCTACATAACCAATGGTCATAAACATGGGACCTTTGTATTGACAAGGAAATATACCAGATTCAGGTTCTTGTAATAGTTTAAAGAAAGAGGCACCGTTATGGCAAGCATTTTCAGCTGTAAATTTGTCATCTTCAGAGGTGATTTCTGGTGTCGGAAAAGGAAAGTTTTCATCTTGTAAAAGCCATTGAGTAAAAGTAGATTGAGGATCCTTAGCAGCTTCTATATTAGGCAGATATTCCCATGTTTCTCGGCCTAGTAGGTCTGTACGCAATCTCCATAATGTTGGGTCTGTTTTTTCGAGACCTAATTCTTCAGAGTATAAAACTGTCATCACAAATTAAATGTTGGCTTTACCGCCTTATATTAAAAAAGTGTCTAGTTCCAAAAGTACAGAGTAGATAATAATGTTCAGTGTTAATCTAAATACAATCTTATATAAGTATCTTAGAGGTGGCTCGTTACCAAGTAGAAGAATTCAAGTTCTGCACTTGAAGTCGTCGGTAAATCGTCTCCTCGGATTTAACAGAACGATATAATATTAAACGAGCATCCTGAAATCTTAAATATTAGAACGAGCAAAACGCAATGTTTCATTGTTCGATTAAGATGTAAGATGTAAGATATACAAAAAACCATTGAGTTTAAACATAACAAGTTGGTATTTGTTATGTTTTTTGCAACGGTGCAAAGGAAATCACTTCCAACAACCTTCTTCTGTACTTTTAAATTCATTTTAATAGTAATGGTTTACTCTGTATACCTATATATATAAGGCATAGTTAATTTTTGAACTCATCGCGCACGTGATTGTTTTTGGAACTTTGAAAAATTTAAAATTTTTGAAAGAAGTTCAGAGAGAAATCGATGACATCCACAATAAATTCAAACTGAATAAGAACTCTTCAATGTTGTTTTCAAAGAAACATTAATACAATTGGTTCGTTAAAATAATAAATCTGTATCGCATCTAGTCTATATCTAGTTATAAAATATCAGAGGCATACCCTCAATTTGACTAATACCACAATAACTAAATAATGTCCGAAGTAATCTCAGTGGTAGCCCGTAATGGTGCTTTCCAAAAGACTATGATAACAGAAAACTTTGAAAGTGACAATAGTGAAGATGACTATAGCATGTCAGACATAAATGATGAAGATGAAGATAACATGTTAGATGATGACGGAGAAGAAGAAAATAATAAGGCAACTCACAATAAACGTTCAACAAAACAAAACACAACTGATTCAGAAATTATGACCCCCGGTGAACTGATTACGGATGACCCTATATGGATGAGAGGGCACGGTACCTATTTCTTGGAAAATAAAACATACTCCTCTGTAGCTGGTACAGTATCTAAAGTTAATAAGCTATTATCAGTGATTCCATTAAAGAGTCGTTATGCTCCCGAGACAGGTGACCATATTGTTGGTAGGATTGCAGAAGTTAGTAACAAGAGATGGAAAGTTGACATTGGTGGGAAACAACATGCAATTCTAATGTTGGGTTCTGTAAACTTACCAGGTGGTATCTTAAGAAGAAAATCTGAATCTGATGAATTACAAATGAGAAGTTTTTTGAAAGAAGGTGATTTATTAAATGCAGAAGTACAGTCTTTATTCCAGGATGGTGCTGCATCATTACATACTAGATCATTAAAGTATGGGAAACTAAGAAACGGTATGTTCTGTGAGGTGCCTAATTCTCTTATTATTAGATCTAAGAATCATACACATAATTTACCAGGTAATGTAACTGTTGTTCTAGGTGTCAATGGTTACATATGGTTGAGAATGACCACTAAGATGGATCTTGCAAGAGACGTACCTCCTGGAGGTTCGACACAAGGAAATGGGATGTCTTCTACGGGTCCAACAGGTGCAGTATCTTTGAATCCAAATTCAAATATTTCAATTACAAGATTAGAAGAGGAATCCTCGTGGAAGATATATTCTGATGAGAACGATCCAAATATTACAGGTGCCATCAAGCAAACGATATCAAGATATGCAAATATTATTAAAGCATTAGCCTTTTGTGAGATCGGTATAACACAAGAACGTATTGTTTTGGGGTATGAGGCAAGCATGGTGTACAGCGATGTTGGATCATTGATTCAAAGGGATAACATGGAATCCTTAAGTCAAGAAATTCTAAATGCAGAAAAAATGAGGGGCAATGCTGTTTAGTTAGATTTATGTATAACTCTAGTATGTACATACGGTGTAAGAAAAAATAACTGCATCAAGATAAAATGTTTCCCAAAATTTTTGGGAAACACTACAAAATCCTTCATCGACTCTTTTTGAATTTTGTGTAACTTAGACTATATAAACATATTACAAAGGAGTTATTTGTTTAGAGGTTGACATTTCATATAAATATTACATAAACATATATAGTTATATTGTTGTTATTGTTTTGGTCATTAAACGTATTCGACATTACAGAAATGAGAAAATATTTCGATAATCAAAGAATTTATTCCTTGGTGTACTCGATACCCTTACCACTGGCAAAAGTAGCAGCAACAATCAATGGGAAAACGACAGTAACATCAGCGTACACCTTAACAGACTTAGCTTCAGCCTTAATTTTACCCCAAGAAACCGCTTCATCTGGTCTGGCACCAGCATCAGAACCATCAAATTCTTGACCAGTGTTGATATAGACAGCATAATCAGCACCATTTCTCATTAGACAAGCATTAGCAATGTGATGCTTGATTAGACCACCACCTAGAATGATCATACCTGCTCTGGAAGCCTCCATGGACATGGAGTTGATCTTTCTAATATCGGCAACGATATCCAATCTCAATTGCTTTGGAGAGGCCTTGAAAGTGTGGAAGAATAACATATCACCAATGGAACCATCAGTAATGGATGGACAGAACACTGGAATCTTGTTCTTGTGAGCCCAATATAGGACAGAACGTTCGTCGTTGATTTCCTTACCTAATCTATCGATCATCTTAGATGGAGTCCAGATTGGAGTATTTAGTTCTTGGTTAGCATCTAAACAAGCATCACCATGTTTCTTAACGTATGCCTCTTGTTCTTCCAACATAGTGTCTAAGATTGGAACAATCCATTCTTCAAATTTACAGTAGTTATCATTTGGAACAACTAAGTTACCAATTCTGTTCATACCTTCCTTACGTAAATCAGCACCTTTCCAAGCAAATTCACCTAGATATGTTGGAGCCAAACACTTAATGAAATCTTCTTCGATACCACCAGCTGAAGTGACAATAGCATCAACCATTTTATGTTGAACCAAATATCTCAAGGTTTCTCTTAGACCGGAACTAATCAAGTTAGAAGTGTAACCCATGAAGATTGTAGTCTTTTGAACACCATTTTCATCGAAACAACCCTTCTTATCGTGGTCCTCTAGTTCATCGATGTGCTTACCTCTCCATGATCTCATGTTGTCGATAATGTCGCAAGCTTGACCGACAGAACTAGCTTGGAAACCCATAGTCTTCATAGCATCAATCAAGTCAGTAGCACGCATATCAGTAGCTTTTTCCTTAGAGTAGTCGATACCTTCGACCTTGACGAAATGGTCTGGGACAGGAACAGATTCCATCAGGACTGCTTCCTGAAGAATGTCTGGTAGTTTATCGTTGATGTTGGACATGGTATATAGTATTGAATCGCTGATTTGATTCTTTTAATTATTAAACAAAAAAAATGGATCAATTGATATCTATAGATGTGTGAATGAACTAAGAAGAGTTTATATATCGTATATATATGTTTGTAATAGAAAGATATATCCTTCGTGAGTGTATGCTCCTAACTATTCAACCCCCCCTTGCTGTCCTGCTCATTTGCTCGACATTTTGAAGAAACTTTCTCTCTTTCTCGATGTCATCTGTCGATCGTCATAAAAAATTTTCAGTTTTCTGAACTCGGTTAGGGGTGGAAGTGCTACGCCCTTTTCTGTGGATTAGATAAAATTAGTGACGTTCTCTTGTCAGTTTGCCTCGAGAGATTGAAGGCAATCCATCCGCACATCAATAGCATGAGAAACCTCCAGAGAGCACAAAGGACCAAGGACTAATCACTATCACCACAGAAACGGTTGCTACTATTGTTCGCATGCAATATTCCGAACCAGAGTTTGACCCTATGCCCTCTCTCACTCTCTCTATTTGTGTAGAAAGTCGACCTCCCCACTCCACTCGTATTACACTATGATCGATCATGAAAAAAGTTATAGTGGGGCAACAAAGAGGATCAATATATATATGTATACTATGGAGATCCGACTTGAAGAAATAGGTATACTTTCTCAGGTTTTTGAGAATCCCTCATGTAGAATTGATAGGTTTCATCAGTATCGTTGATCCTGAGACATATATCTACAGTAGTTCCAGGATAGATATAATTTAAATTTCGATAATTCAAACTATGAATCGGTTGACCGATATATGATTCTGCAAAGAGTGTAAGAATCTGGGTACTGAAGGGTCCCTGGACTATTATATCATCATATAGTTCGTGTTGTACCGCATGAATTTTATCCCAATGTATTCTATGTGGATTTAATGTCAATTGACTATATCTAATAATATCCATTTCATTGAATGTGAATTGACCAATTACAGTGTCAGCCTCCGTATTATTTACATGTTTAATTATATTATTGGGTCTTGGTATTGAATTCGTATATATTAAAGTTCTTATTTCAGTTAATAATTTAACTTGTCGATTTATGTCTACGATATCACGGTTAATGGATACAAAAGTATCGCCCCTATAGGACTTCACATTCTTAACATGTTCCAAACATGTATACTCATGATTGAATTTAAGTGGTTCATATTGTATGATTGAACCCTTTGCCCACATACGTCTCTTAAACGCTTGATCCTTGTATTTTGGCATCAATTGTTCAGGTGATATATCTTTGAAGTATCCATCCTTGGATAAATTTTTGTTTGTCCTATTGAAGAATAAGAAATGCTCATTGATATTTAAATGACCAATCGGTGGTTTATTGTGAAGAAAAAGCAATTGATCACTGACTAGGTTTTGAAAATTTTTCACATGGTATAATGATGTCAGATCCTTCGTCAACCAACGCAATGCTTTATAATCGGAGATAATCATAGTAAGGTAAACTTAGAGCGCTTGTATTTATAGAGATGCATTGAAATATCAGCTACTATGTACTTAAACAGAACACTTGAAAAGATGGCACGTTTCTATATAGGACTACTTCCATGAATCATCATCATCAAACTACATGAAGAGGGAAAGTCAGCCCTTACCGTTATTCACTCAGTGTGATTGTTTGTATGACAAAATTTGTTTGTTGGCTTTCTCTCTCGCGCAGACCCAAAAAGCGGCTGTTTTGTGTGGCAGATTAACGGGAAAGTACAACAAAGTTGATTAGATTGATTAATGGGAAGGAAGGAATTGAAAGGCAAAATTAAATATATATAATGTATACATATATTTGCGATGGGATGGGATGACATGAAATGATTTTTTAGACTATAAATATTTTATCTCTCCAGTTTATTATAGAAAGATAAACTCGAACGAAGGCCAGAAGAGTATAAAACCCCGTTATATCTATCGATACTCCAGTTATCATTATTATCATACCGTGTATATTCACGTCGCTATCAATATTACTTTAATTGTTACAGTTATTCAATCATGGAGGCAGGTCCCAGTTCAGTGACGGAACCAACCCCAGATATGTATCAGTATGTTAACAGTATAGCCATATGGCAACCTGATAAAGAAGCTAAAGCATGTTTACATTGTGGTACGAAGTTTGATTTTATAATACGGAGGCATCATTGTAGATGTTGCGGTGGAATATTCTGTGGAAGTTGTTCCAATCGTTTTGTTAAATATAACACCTCCAGAGTGAAAGTAGTTAGAAGAAATGGGGATGTTCACACTGATTCTAGTGATACACGTATGGATGAGACGACATCAAAGGTGGTTTCTTACAGAACTTGCATCTCCTGTTATACTTCATTAAAGAACTCCAATTTAATAATACAACCTTCAAGGCAAAAGAATGACGGTAATCCAGAAACTGTTCATTCGGTAATTCAAAGTGGCGTTGTTGGAGATAATGAAACATCGAGGAGTGATCAGATCATAACTATACCTGGTAATGTGAAAAATAATAATATTACAGAACATTCTCATCAAATAGATTCTAATACTGAAAGTTCTTCGAGGACTAATAATGATATAGAACAAGAAGAAAACTCACATTGTCCTATTTGTAATTTTGATTTAACAACGCTCGCTAATGAGGAAGAACAAGGAGATCATATTCAATCATGTATTGAACAAGCAGAAAATATTCAACAACATAAAATTAATCAACAAAACGGTATGGCATCACCAGATGGGAATGATCATAATCCATCCATTAAAAATAGAATGCTTGTATATAAGATTCCTAAGGATCCTGTTAGAGAAGAGAAAAATGAAGAGTATCCAGAATGTCCAATATGTTTCGAAGAAATGTTACCGGGACAAAAAGTTGGAAGATTAGAATGTCTATGTGTATTCCATTATAAGTGTATCAAGAGTTGGTTTACTAAGAAGACTCACAAGATGCAAGAATTGCACAACTTGAATAATGTTAGCAATAATAATGATAACTCATATCTGGGTAAGAATTTTTGTCCCTTCCATGACGCAGTATGTTAGTTTAGTTTTCAATTAAACCATGAATTACCTCTAAACACTAACTATAATATTGGTAATAATTGATCTACGCTATATGAAGCATCTAATCTAATAATTAATCTAATTACATATCCATATATATCATCATCATTAATTTGGTGGCACATTAATCTTAAAATTGTTAGTAGAATTATTTTGAATCTTATATGTGATAATTTTGCCTTTCTAATTGTATTTAGTTAGTAGTTTTCGAATTGTTAGAGGGAAGACTGAACATTCATCACTACTTAAATTAAGAACGTGTGGGTAGAGGAATAAAATAGTTAACTAACTGGAATTTTTCGAAATGTTACAACTGAGCCCCGAATCCGTTCCATCCAGTGTTTGGGATCAAATAATTCATTATTATTGACGAGTTATTTTAAGATTGCAATTAATCTTAAATATGTTCCAAGATCACAATATATTTTTATCAAGGAGTTCTTCTATAGTAAATATATGCTATTAAATAATATACATATAATTATAAAATTGGAAATTTGACTGATAAAACGCGGAAAACTATTTCTCTCATTAGACAAATCGGTTTAAAGGACAAGACTTTGATTCACTCATAAATCTTGATATCCTGTGTTTTATTCGTCCCTGCAAAATCCCCTCTTTTATTTTACTACACTTGATATCTTCATCTTATTCAATAATATTTGAATATGTTTTTATTCGGAGTTAAATTATGTGTCATTTACGACCTGACCTCCCTCCGAATTTATTTATTTTTGATGTGTTTAAACCACGAATTTATCGTCGAAGCTACAGAGAAAAAGAATGATAGGAAATATATTTGGTTATGTCTCATAGCTCATAGGTACAGTAATTTTCTCGCATTTATATATTAAGATACACATATTTCGTACTATAATTATCTCATTCACGTGAGAGAGAGGTGGATAGCAAGGTATCGTGATTCAGACAATATGTGCCAAGTTCTACAAAGACCCACAATGGGTGTAACTGTAAGCTAGATTCCATGGAAGCTGAGAAAGCGATTGAAAGCAATACATGACGTTTAGTGAGTTACCAAATCGCCAAACGGTTGTGTATATTATTGTTGTAGTTGTTGTTGTTATACATTCTGGCTGTTAACAGCGTATATTTTCTGGTCCAGTATTAGAGCAGTACCCCTAATCTCTGGTGCCGCCTTGTGGCTCGACAGGCGGCAAAAGAGAAAGCAAATAACTTCACTTTTGAGTAACATACTTCTTCTATATGTTACTTCGTCTGGGAGATAGCAACGGTTGCAAGTTAATTAACTAATTCCCTCAAAACTGTGGTTCTAAAATCACAGAACAGCAGTCTTTCTGTTACATTTCATGGTGTCCTCGATACACTTCAAACTTACTTTGAGGTGATCCAGGGTTTGCCAGAGGGCGTATTGAAACCCTGGTATGTAGAAATTACCTTGTTTGTCTTGATGAGCGTCAATGATCCTCGAGGGTTGATATTGCAGTGCTTGCAATAAATCTTTGAGTTGGATTCGAACGACACCACAGGCAGTAAGTGTCCTTTGTTCTGACGAGATTGTTATCATCTAATTATCTAATCATCAAAATGTGTATATATTTGCGCCTTCTAGATAGATATGTAAAATTTGTTGTTATATTTTTCGTATCATGTGTTGTTCAAATAGTTCCTTGAAACCTTTATGGGACTCGTATTAATAAGGAGTGACGTTTTTGCCAGTATTACAATTTAAGTCGCAATTCATTCATGTAAGATATATATTTATTTAAAGCTTTAGGATATTAAATAATAGATAATATCATTAGATAATTACAATATTTGAGATATGCACTTAAAGTCTTTGTAAAAACTGTTATTGTTTCGTCATATGATCTTCATTATTTTGGCTTATTTTATGGTTTTGTTAATTTAGATAAAGTTTAGCATTGCTCTAACAACTTTTTGTTTTTCAAGCTAGCTTTAATAAGAAATTTAGCGATGCTACTAAGTTTCATACCTCCCAACAAATATACAAAAAATGAAATACATAACGAAGTTTCATGTATTTGAAGAAACTTCTAAACACTAATTATTATAAAACTACAGAATTATATCTGTCTACCGTTGCAAAATACCGACAAACAAGAACTACCCAGGACAATGAACGACTATATAAGAGCCACTGATGAGAACAATGTTATAACAATCACCCCCGAGCCAATCTTTGTCATTAAATCGAAATTATTATCTGATCCACAATCGAAATTGTTCATTAATGTATGTCATGCCACAAATGTGCCACCTCCTCGTGAACCATTTGATCCACAAAATACATATACAGCAATCATGAACAACGAGTGGGAGATCCCAATTGTAGCGTCGCAAATGAGACAGGACACTGATAAGAAAGGCGATATATGTATGGTGTCTGACTGTATTATCAATTCTTCTCTGGTGGATATAATTAATAATGTAAATAATTTCCAGTTGAAACAAATATTGGTGGAATGGTGTATTGAGAGTATCGAGATCAGAGAGAATGTCATGATTCATAGGGATGCCATTAAGTTTCCCAAGATGAAATTTAAAGGTCAGGAATTGCCAGTACTAGAGATCAGAAATGATAGTATAACAAGTGGAGAGGAGACGGATCAATCAAATAAAAACAAACAAGAGGATAGCGCATTGGGGTTTCTACAAATGAAGAGAGATCTTATAGATAATGACGAAATAGAGGACTCTACAAATGGATTAAAAACTTTATTTCCAAACGCAACTACAACAACAAAAAACGGTCGTTCTCATTCACTAATTCAAGACATCACTGAATCAAACACCTCGGTGACTAAAAATAAACCTATCATTAATGAAATAGTAGCACCAGGGAAGATTGAAAAGAAGGATGTTCATTTCAATGTGACTATGAGACAGACAAAGGATACTACCACATATAAATTGAAGATTGAAATTGAATCGGAACTTGATTCTTCTTTGGATTTAGAGCTTTCCTATAATACTAATGAGAACTCATTATTTGTGAAAAATATTAATCTTCAAGAGTTCAATGAATCAAAATTGGAAATTCCTTTACCTAATTTCATTAAATCAGAGAATTTGAATTTTTCAAATTTCAAAACATTTTTCATCAAGAAACAACATAAACTTTATATTTTTATATAATCATATGCTTCCTGAAAAACAATAATAAATGCATTCAATAATACGAACTAAAGATAACAATATGAACTGTTTAAGAATAGATGTTGGACACACTTAAACAAAAAAAATATGTCGTAGGCTATTATTTATTCATATAGTATTCTTAAAATATGTAGGTATATATATGTAGGAAATAAAAAATAATAAAAAAAATTAAAAAAAACATTAGAAAACCATACACAATTCATTAGTGTCGCACAATTTTGTTATAATCAATCAATCAATCAAGAAAAAACTGAAAATAAAAAAAAACACTGGTTTCTTAAACTGGTGTAAATGCCAAATTTTCTCTACTAGCAATACAACATTCATGTAACCCATCGGCCAACTTATCGATAATCTGTTCATTAGCAGATTGTCTCATAACATGAGTATGTTCATTTTCGTTCACTTCATCAGAATCACTACCAGAGTAACCTAAGAAATCTGTTACACTTTCACCTCTATTAATCCCTTTAATTTTATTTAATTCAGTACTAGTATAATTACATCTTGCTCTACCGACAGTTTGTAATGGGAATTCAGGATCCAATTCACCATTTGATAATCTTCTACCGATTTTCAAATTCACACAATCTAATTCATGGAAAGTGTCTTGAATATCAATAATACCAGATGCAGGTAAACCACCTTGATAATCTATTGTAAACGCACTATCTGAATTTTCATTTTCATTATCATTTTCAGCTTCTAAATCATTAGTGTTACTATTATTATTATTTTCTTCAATAATATTTTCATATATGTCTTTATCTATAATAATCGAACCCTTTGAAACAAGACCATGTAATAACCAAAATTGTCTATTTTCTAAACGTAAATCATTATCAATAGCCAAAAATTTGGTATGTAAAGGTAAACCAAGATCATTTAATAAAGCTACTTCTTCATCACTTGAGAGACTTTTATAATCCTGAGTCTCCATATAATCTATAATTCTAACAATTTCTTGTGGTTGTTCGGATCTCATAACTAGAGTAACCACACCAGCTTTTGTTGCCAAATCAGCAGCAATCAATTTTGTTCTCATCCCACCTGTCCCAACACTACTACCTGAACCACTTGATGTATTTACATCTTTTAAGGGATTAATTTTACTATCCATATCCACAGTAATAACCGGTTTAGCTTCAGGATCTATTCTTGGATCATTTGTATATAGACAATCGACATCTGTCAATAAGAAGAGATAATCAGCTTCGATTAAAGCAGCAGTTACACCAGATAAAGTATCATTATCACCAAATTCAATTTCACTTATTGATAAAGTATCATTTTCATTAACAATAGGTGTCACACCCATTTTTAAAAGTTCTAAAATTGTGTTTTTAGCATTTTTATATTGTTTCCAATTCAGGATATCATTTCTAGTTAACAAAATTTGAGCAATTTCTTGTTCATATTCTTGAAATAACATATCCCATTTACTAATCAATCTACCTTGACCGATAGCAGCAATAGCTTGAACTTCAGCGATTTCTTTTGGTTTTTCAGCTAATCTCATAGCATTAAGACCCATAGCTACACCACCACTTGAGACAATCACAACTTTATGACCTTGTCTTTTCAAAATAGCGACAGTTTCTACCATCTTAGACATTACGGAGAGTCTAGGTTCTCTAGTGTCAGGGTTCACTAAAGAAGAAGACCCTAATTTAATAACAATAGTTGATGGTTTCATTATGGTAAAATGTAATCAAATAAAACAAAAATATCAAACTCAAACTCAAAATTTAAATATGTATATAAATTTTTTTGTGTCTCTGTGTATGTGTATATGAGAGGATGAAATATGGACCCTTATTCCCTTATGTCTTGTCACTATATACATACATATACATCTATAAACTAAGAGAAAAAAGAAGTTTTCAAACAAAAAAAAGTTTTGTCAAGGAAACTAAGTTACTTATATACATTTGGTGAGCATGTAGGAGACTATATGTAATAGTAAAGAAAGATAGATCCGCAAGAATTTTTCATTATATTCCTTTTAGTAATAGTAATTAATGTATGTACAAATTTATTTGTTTAAGTAATTATAATAATAAAATATAACACTAAAATTTAATATGCGTGTTATAATACCAGTAGTAAACTATTTATGTGTCGTTGCCTGTTTTTTGTACTAAGAATTAACCTGACAACGCACTGAGAAACATCAGCAAAAACTGACAACTACAAAATCCTTCCCTCCATCTACTTACTACTCATACAAAAGGGATTAATAGAAAACAATGAAAGTAACCCACTAAACAAGGCTAAATTGTCAAGTACTGCAACAAACACATTAATTTCTTCCTTTATTACTAGTCGTAATTATATTATATTAAAATAATGGCTTTAATAGTCCAATTAAATTGGCCTCTAGTTAAAACGCAGTAGAAATGGTGTATAATGATAGAGAGAGAGGGACACACAGTGCCGAAGAATAGAATAGAAACTCCACCACTATCACTTTTCTTTCTGTAGGGGCTAAACATAGGGTATTAGTTGCAAGACACAATAAAGGGAGTTCCCCTCTCTCTCCCTCTATACCTTGTTGTCTGCTGGTATTTAGTGGTGTTGGTTCTCTTTTTTTTAATGTGGGATTGAAGCAATAGAATTAGAAAAGGGCCACGGCAACCCAGGTAGGACGCACATGGCTATCCCACATATACCGTATTAGGAAAGAGTTACCCTATTTGAATTTAGTTTTCTCATCTTCTTCAGTATTTTCTAAAACGTGTTCTGTTTAATATATGCAAAAAATGACGTAAAATTAAAATGTTTATATGCGGGGTGTGGGTGTGACGTAATATTAAGAACACTAATGTACATATTTCCCCCTTTATGCATATGCAAAAGCTATACAAATTAAAAATATATAGTATAATTGGAGGCAGAGGATAAAACACCGAGGTAAGAGAAACGTAAGCAGAAAGACAGGTCCCATATGTTAAAGGGTGGAGCCCCGCTAATAATTTTTTTTTTAATGTACTTGGATACAACAAAGAAGGGTTACACATCACAATAGTAATACTAGTAAGAACAACCGTAACAAACTTCTAAAAGAATTCATGAACCAAGTATAACTAGAAGTTCCATGTACTGGGTTGTGTTATTGTCGCTATTACATTTAATATAAATGTTCTATAATTAAATAATTACACACAAATACAAATAAATTATATCAATTATGTAAATATTAAAGAAAGGTAGGTCAAAGAGTTGCTCAAAATAAAAATAAAAATATCTTATTTTGACTTCGATATTATAGGTATACTTCATTTTTGAAACATAGCCCCGAAAACACTACTGAAACTATCATTTGTAAGTCCGTAACTATTCTTATGAGTCTTTAAATCATCTTGTACAATATCAAGAGTTACTTTATATTCTAAATGGAACGTATTATCATTTTCCTCAGAACTAATAATATCACTGATACTACTGATCTCTTCTGAAAATTTAGTAATTTCAGATAAATTTAATAGTGTTATACCATTGTTCAACTTCATATTGCTATTATTATTATCACCATCTTCTTCACTTAATGTCTTTACGAAATTTAATAATTTTTTCTCTAATCGTTTGGACATAATATTATGCCCAGTTCTTAATTTCCTGGTTTTATTATTTTTTAAGCTAAGAATTATTTGAATTAATATTTTTCTTATCTTATCCTTGACAACAGATATAGCAACAGATATATCATTAGGATTATTATCATTTTCTGGCGAAATAGTCATTGAATCAGTAGTGGATGGTTTATAACTTAAACGTAACCCTAAAGAAAATAGCATCTCACAAACAATCTCCAAATCTATTAAATCATTCTTATTAAACATCGTTTTACTACCATCAAAATTATCTAAATTACGAAGATAATCTCTTCTTATTAATTGTCCTTTAAAACTACTACAAATGCACAAACTTAATTCACATAATACTTTGTTGAATCTATCATGCAATTTCAACTTCTCATATTCTAGTAATAAGTAATAATTAATAAATAAACGACATCTTTCATATATTGAACGCATGATTAATGAACTTTCAATCTCTAATATAGAAGGAATTCCGTTTTTAGCAGATCTATCGCCATCATCGTACGGATGGTTTATTCCTAAATTATCTTGTTCAAATTGAACATAATGTTCCATCAATTCCTTGATAGATGACATATTTGTTGAATTTTGATTCTGAATCATGCCAGTTATTTTATTTAATGTTTCCCAGAACTTGGTTTGAGCTTTCCTACGAATAACTGGATATTTACATTCTAATAACAATGCTTCTAACATGTCTATTGACACTAATGATGGATAACTACCAATAAATGCATTTCTAGTCATATAATGAGAATAAATAGAAAATTTCATATCAGCTGTCATTTGATTAGATTGGAAATTTTGACTTAAATAGACATCTTGATTATAATTGGTATTATTCGATCGAACATCATCTTCAAATATATCATAATATAAATTTTTTAAGGATAAAAATTTAATAATTGATAAATCTTCAAATAATATCGTTTTATCATTAATACTTTCAATTTCGTTAACAATATGACTCAATTTTCTATTTAATACTTCAATCTCTGGATCCTTACCAATACTATTATCCATCAAATAAATTATTAAGACAATTAATAATGTACCAAATTTTGAAACTTCGGAAAAATAATTTTTAAATGTAGTACATGCCGAATCTTGATAAGCACGCTTCATTTGACTCAATAATCGTTCCTTAAACATTTGAATATCCATATTATCAACTTCTAATATAGAGAATAAAAATTCATTAAAGCCTGATAATCTAGAATGTTTCCCTCTGTCATTTCTATCTATATCATCGAATAATTTCTCGAGTAAACGATTCAATAGATCATTTTCTATGGGTGAGTTACCCATCTGTTTATTGGTTGCATTGAACTGTTTCTGTTTATATTGGGTTAATTGTTCTTTAAAATTTAATATGATATATGTTTGCAATTTATTATAGTATTTCGCTAAAAATGTATCACGATTTGCCATATAATTTATAGTGAAAATAGTATTCGGTGTATCCTTCAACAATAAATCACCACCTAGTTTATTTTCAGTATTAGAATGGAGATTAGTTATTGTTAATTTTTCTGCTCCAGATACTGAACCTAAATAACTTTCACGAATTAGTTGTCCAGAATTATCTTCATTACTATTAATAGTATCATTTTTCGAATTAATATCCTCAGTGATAGTAGCCTGAAGTATTGGCATTACAGGAATTTTCTTCAAATATGCTACTTTAGTTACGTTCTGAGGGAATGTTTTTCTTCTTCTCTCTTGTAATTCAATAAATCTATATTTTAGGTGTTTCATCTCCTTCAATAATAAATCTTTTTGTTTATATGTAGATTGCATTACGCTATACTCTGTAGGGTCACTATTCGCAATTGGTAAGGCTTTCTGTTTTCTTTCCCAATATTTTAATTGTTTTAACATATGAGTCTTTGTATTATAAGCACCAATATCTTCCATAGATACTACATTCTTTGGTTGTGCAACACTTTTAAGGTTATTGTTACTATGAATTGCGTTATGGTGTTGACCATGATGTAAATTTTTAGTCTTTGAAGGTTTCACTACTTTTGGTGATTCCGCAACAGGTAATTGAACTAGGACAGGTGGCTCATATACAGGAGCATTTTGAACATTATGAAACTTTAATTGTTGTTCCATTTTCATTACAGATGAACTTTCATTATTATTCATTAATTGAATCGTTGGATTTAAAGGTACATTTTGCATTGGTGACATTGTCGTTGCACGAGAGGCTGATTGAGTATTTAATCCCGATGGTATCATTGCTGTATTTACAGGAAATTGTGAAGAAGATGAAGAAGGAACCATAAGAGGAGCTTGCATCGGCATCCGTTGTACGCTAAATGTAGTAGACATATCGTTGAAATTTGATGATATTGTATTATTCGAGTTTATCATATTTGTATTTCCAGGTTTCATAGAGTTGACTTCAAAAGTAGCTCTATTACCACCATAATTGTTGCCAACAGCTTTATCACTGGATTTTTCAGAATGATTATTATTATCATTATGATTTTTATTTACAGCTGGTTGATTAATATATTCATTGAAGGCTTCTAAGTCTTCTTCCGGATAAATACATCTTTCCTTATGATATTTCACACAATTAGAACAAAAGGGTCTTAATCTATCACAACCTATCTTTCTACGTCTACATTGTGCACAGGCGGGTGTTCTCTTTGTGGGTTTTTTAGTCGAAGAAGAAGTAGATGAATCCTCTTCGTGATGCAGCTGTAGTTGTTGCGGTTGCAGCAGCTGCTGTTGTTGTTGTTGCACTGGATCATTACTGATCACCGTTATATTCTTATCATTGTCAGGTATTGGGGTTAGATCTGCGCGAAATGTTTGTTCCATGATATACAAAGAAAACTAGTATCACTCTAATTATATGAAACGTTAAACCAGTTCAATATCGTTTATAACTGTCAATTGAAAAAAAAAGTGTATATATCTTTAGATAAATGAAGGTATGATCTATCTATCAATATATTTTATTCTTATTATGATTTAACTGTTAGAAGGACGCACAGCGGTTTGTTATTAACTTTCACTATGTATGGAGCTTTTCGTCTTCTCTTTACTATAGGAAAAAAGAACGAGAGAAAGAGAAAAAAAAAGATGGGAGCTTATAATTTAATAGTGGGAAAAATATACACAATACCAGATTATTATTTAGCTATATGTATATTTTTTGTAATAGTGTGTAGTGTTGCCGTTGGTATAATTATATATGCTAAAGGTAAACAGTGTCTTTATTATACTAGTGTTCGTTTGTTTGGCAAAGCATACCAACAAGACAAGTTTTTCAACTTCCTATTTGAAGTTCTATATATATATAAACTGTATCAATAGTTGTCTCTTGTTGATTAAAACAAAATTTTGGTAGAAAAGTCACGTGTGATCAGTGAGGGTAACAAATTATAAGTGCTAAAATTGAATCTAAAACTAGTATCTATATATATATCTATATAAGATGATCAGTGACTCCTATTAGAATTCATCGTGAGAAGTGGAGACAGTTGTGGAAGTCTCTTCAGCGATATCTCTCTTGACATCGTCGGTGATTTCACCAGTGGCAACGATCTTGACATCCTTTAGTGGCTTGTTTCTTCTGTCGGTGTCGACGTTTTCAATGTAATGGACAACATCCATACCTTCAACAACTTCACCAAAGACAACGTGCTTACCATCTAACCAGTTGGTAACTACAGTAGTGATAAAAAATTGAGAACCGTTGGTATCTTTACCAGCATTTGCCATGGATAACTTACCTGGTTTGTCATGCTTTAAAGTGAAGTTTTCATCGGCAAAACGTTTACCGTAAATGGACTTACCACCAGTACCGTCCTTATTGGTGAAATCACCACCTTGAATCATAAAGTTTGGAATGACACGATGGAAAATAGAACTGATGTAACCCATGTCGGCATCGTCAGAGATAGCTAACTGGTAGAAGTTCTTGACAGTCTTTGGAACTACGTCACCGTATAAACCTATAACGATACGACCAACGTTTTCGTTACCGTGTTCGATGTCGAAGTAAACCTTTTGGGTAATGGTTGGGTCGACGGCAAGGACAATTGATGTGAAGAGAGTGACGAAAGTTATAGCGTACTGGAAAATTTTCATCTTGATAAAACAAAAGTTTATAGTTGTACCTGAGTTTGGGTAATTACTTAATAATTACTAGATGCATTAAAGTAAAATGTTGACGAAAAGTTATTATAATTGTAGTATCCTTCTTTTTCATCATTGTAACGTGTTTCCTCCATCTTTATATAAAACGAAAGGTGAAAGTCTTCTTTTTCCGCCGTCCTCTCGATAAGCTTGCATACAAATTGGCCGAACCGACCAAAGAATTGAGAAACAAATACATAATAACGATATATATCATATTTTACTGAATATGGTAAAAGACAAAAATATGGAAGATTGAACTTGATTTACTACAACAATTCTATAGTGATGTATATATGTAAGTTTATAATAATATTTTGGGGATGGAAGCTATTTTAGTTCTGTTCTCACACCTGTTTTCTCTCGTATCACATCTCATTGAATATATTCCGGCTTGGACTTTATGCTTGTTATCATTAGTTTATCCATCATATCCTTTGTAATTGTATCTCTAGCTCTGGAACTATCAAATTGAGCAGAACCAGCTGTTTGGGCAACTGTATTCGTCGTGGTCACCGAAGAAAATGTTCCTGTTGTGGCCGTAGTAGCTGCCGTCGCAGGGACACTCGTTACTGTAGAACCATTAGGCATTACAGTTTGACTAGATAACGATGCAGTAGATTTAAATTGCATACCATGAGAAGGTTGAAATTGTGTTAATTTATGTAAATTCTTTATCGTCTGCGATAAATGATAATTTGTGGACATTAATCTATTCTGTATAATATAGAACATTGTAGGAGCCTGATAAACATTTGCACCAATAACATAATAATCTTGTAATATATCTGTTTCATTGTTTGAAAGACGGTTCTGTTTCTTAATGATCCAGAAATCTGGCTCTCTGACACACGCCAGAACATATTCGACACCTTTCAACTTCGAGAGTTCTCTCTCTAATGCAGCATACATCGGATATTTTGTTAAAACATCTCGCCTACTGGGTTCCACATGACTAAATTCTGTTTGTCCCTGATTGAAATCATGTTGAGGTAATAATGATGAATTAAATTGTGTATCGGATCCATTGCTTTCCTGAGAACCATTCTCATTTTCTTGTTTGCCATTGGGTGGTGGTGGAGCCTCTCCTGGCATCTGGGAGAATTGTCTTTGCATTTTAATTACATGATTATTCGAAGTTTTATCAAAGAATGGTGATTCAGAGAAGTAGTCTAAAACATTTTCAGTTCTTAGTCCAAATGCTTGGATCCATTCGGGTGATTTCCATTGTAGTTCGTCAAGCGGGGTATTCATTCTGTATGTATATAGGTATAGAACTCTAAGTAGCACTCTTGGAGAAATTTATACTTCTATTGGTAGATATATGCATAGATGTACCTTTTGTAGTTTATTCTTTTTATATTATCGATAAATATATCGAACGTTCCAATGGTTTTAATTAACTGGTTATTCCACGCCATGGAAGTGAAAAAAAAAATAGTACCAAGAGCGAGAGAGAACGGGAAATAATATTACAAATGGGAGATTGATAAAACTGCAAAGTAAAACGTATTAAATGGACGACAAGCTAGTCAACATATAGAGGAAAGAAAGATATATACCGCATATACATAAGCATTTAGCAACATGTTGAGGAATATTATAGCAAGAAACTGTACAAGCATAAGAGCTTTGCACTCTTTAAGAACACAAACGATACCTCACCCTATTCCTAAACAAACAGAACAAATACCTGATGTAGCAAGCTTCCTAAAAACCATTGGAAGAAATTGTAATGAGTTTGTGGATACATATGAAAACCAATGGGATAATTTATTTAAATGGGATTCTCGTGTCATGAAGGAGAAAGGTATCCCTACACAACAACGTAAATATATTTTATTCCAATTGGAGAAGTTTCGTGATGGAGAAGAAATCATAGCGATAAATAAAGGTAAGAAATCTTTCTTTGGTGGAGAAAGAACAAGAAAAGAAAAGAAGGCTAAATGGTTAGCTGAACAGAGACAAAATGAAAAGCTAAAAGGGTAAGATATATCCTCGATATGACGGTGATCGAACAAAACCATATTAACATATTAATTACTTGAAATAGTAGTTGTCATGTAAATAAAAGTAAATAATATATACTCCTTATAAGAGATATACATATATTCAAATAAAAATTGCTTTTCCAAGTATAGAGTTTTACGTTTTATATTTTCATAATGTCAAAAGGTTATTACGCAAATAATTTTATTGGAAAATTATACAGTCATCTGAAAAAAAAATGAATCAACAGAACTACTATAACATGTAATTTCCTAAAACACACTCAGTAAGAAGAACGCTAGTGTTAGGTGGCACATCATTTACAGAAGAAATACAATGAGCGGAAACAACGATGATCAATATATAACATTACTTGAGATGATGTCAACATATGACATGTTGCTAGAACAACTTCAAAAATCGATTTCTGAAGGTTTTATTGATTTAGGAAGAGCAAACTTTCATAATAAAGATTCTTTAAGAGGACGATATGGATCAGATTATTATGATGAATCTTATGAAGGTTTGATAGAAGCTCGTATTAAGGACGATGGATCCTTTTGCATCTTCAAGAAAGAGAATGAAACTATAACCAATAATGACGAAAATAAATCTGATGACGATGAAGGGAAGGAAGGAATTAAATTGAGAAGAAAAAAAGTGATACATCAAGAAACAAAAGAACGGTCATCTAAAATTAAAGATCCAATTAGAATGTTTGGAGCAGGGTTATCGATACCATCTAGTTTAAGGCAATCGCAAAAAAACTTTAAAAATAGTGTGAGTGTCATATTTGATTTGGTCAATTGTAGGAACAATTTACTTGAAAACATCAAAAAAATCAACGAAAATATGGAACAGTAATAATGTATATACATCTTTTATTGACGTTATCCAAAAAATGGATAAATAGTAGGTCTATTATAGAGTATGTGTTACATAGAATTGTATATATAAAACTTCATAACAGAATCAATTTAAAAAAAAACTGAACGAATGACTTAAGTGATGAACAAGGATATATAAATGATACAATGAGCGAGTGAAATGCATGAATGAGATTTTAATGAGTGTCTATAAGTTTAAATTGGACGGGTGCGGTAAGAAGAGAGAAAACTACTTCTTCTTTAATGTAAGTCTGGAGATGCAAAAGTTGATGGTGATTCAGTAGATGTACTACTTTGATTGTAATACATGATAACATCGCCAAGAGATACTCTTTTTGCACTCTTTGGTGAGTTATCTTTAAATAACATGTTTTCCAATTCGGGTGTTGATAAAGAATGAGCTAATGGTAAAGAATTTCTCCTTTTAATTTGAGTCAATGGGGTATCTATAATAGAAGAAACTTTAGAGTCAATTGATAACGAAGGGGAATGCATTGGAGGTAGTTGTTGAGGCATTAATGTCAAAATTTCTTTTGGTGTATCTAAAAATGACATTGCCATTGAATGACTATCAAAATCATTAATAAGTTTATCTTCTAACAAAGTCGGAAAACTATAATCTTTCAGGAATTGAATCGAATCTTCTTGACTCGCTTCCGAAACAGGTCTAATAGTATCGTTAGATATTTTGTTGTAACCATTGGATTTCAAACTATTATTATTGCTACGAGATGATAGTCCATTTTTAGAATTAGTTGGGAATCTATCCAGTATAGTTGTAGCCATAGTTGAAGAAGATTTGATACGATCACCTTTAGTTGAATTTGTAGTAGATGAATAAATCGATGATGAATAAGATGATCTCTTAATATTATTACTGTTACTACGACGACGATTATGTTGTTGAAATAGATGACTGTCACATTTAGCATGTGGGATGGATTCAGTAACAAAGATACTACTTAATTGTTTGGCCTTTGGATCAAACGATCTTTCGACTCCTACTGATTGCTCCTCAATTTCTTCTTTTGAATTGTCATCGTCATCCATACCACCTGCATGAGAGATATGTTGAAAATGATAAGGCGTAGAAATGTTTCTTTTCTTCATACTTGATTCTTGTTTGAAACTACTTGAATTAAATAATTTTTTGAAAAATTTCTTCGAACTAGATGATTTTTTATTAGTACTAGACTTTTCAGTAGCATGAGACTGATATTTAGTTGGACTTGACGCATTTTTCAAACCAGATAATTCAATATTTTTTTTATTATTTAGGATTGGTTTATCGCTGTTGATTAACATTAAATCTGGAATCCCATGATATTCTCCATCTTCATCATCATAATCACTACCTGAATCCATCAATTGTTGAGCCTGAATGCCGTATAGCTTTTCAGCTTCTTGGTCTTCGTCAATCCAAATGGATTTCATTTGAGGCAGAACATTTACTGACATGATGTGATAATTTCTGTTATTTTTTGATGTTTTGAACTATTATTTTTTGATATTGATATTTCTCTGTTAGCAATAATATTGTTTATTGCAGTTTTTCAAAATAACAATTTATTAAAAACTAGATTAATAAAATAACTTGGAAATTTCTATTTCAATATTGAAATCTAACAATTAAATAGTTTTAGTGAGAATGGATCTCTCTCTATATATATATATATAGATATAATATATATAGGGAGTAAGTTAAGTAAAGACAATCACGAAATCCTTTGAGATGGAATCATCAGTTTTCCATTTTAAGCAAAGAAAACAATGTCAACGTCAACAATAAGGAATAAAACATATATTGATCGAGGACTAATATTAGCTTGTTTGATTATACAAATTTTATAAATACATATATTTTTCAAATCTTTCTTAATGAACTTTTTCAAAATTTCCTAATCTGGTAAAACCACCACAATATTTTATTCGGTAGATATATTTTCAACACGAAAAAATTCAAAATGCAAAGAAGGATATTCGTCGCTCTGCAGGAAATTCACCGTGTTCAAATATCGCTTATAGAAAAAGAATTAGATGGCGTTACCCTCATAGCCCATTTCTTGTGCTTTTCGCGTTGTTCGTGGAGTTATTCTGTGCGCCTTCCCCCGGGTTCTCTTTCTCGTCTATTGAGAACAATCAATTAATTAATTATTAACCAAACAGAGTAATGAAATTAACATGAAAATATCAACTCACAAGACACATCAATGACTCCCATTATAGGTAATTAAATTAGTAATAATGCAGTATAAGATTGAACAAGACACATATATATATATACCGTAGTCAATAATTACGGATTATTTCGCGTTAGTTAGATTTATTATTGTTTGCATGTCTAGTTAGAGGTGCATATTTTGCTCTTTATCACAACAAAATTTATAATGTTACATCTTTTTATACTTGATGCGGAAATTTATTGTATCATCTATTGCGTAGTTTCATCTTTATTTTAATAATGAGAATGTTATGTAAGATACATAATGCGAAATATTTATCATATTTTAGGTTTCTTGGCGGTCGATGTCTCCGTTTCATTAGACGAATGAGAACGTTTCACAATTTTAATACCATCACCTAATGTATTTAGATCATCTACTACATCTCCATTTCCAATAGCAATGGTTTGTTTGTAACTTTTAGTACGTAATCTACCATTTAATAATACTAACCCTGCTGTATCACCCATTGCTTTTGAACATTGGTCGCTAGGCAAACCAAGTGTACGTAATAATGCACTCACACCAAGTATATTTCTTACCTCTAAAGAATTGCGGGCGCCACTACTGACAACTAAACCTCTAGATCTTGAACTACGTATCACACTACGTACATTTTGTACAAATTGACGACGTTGTGCAAGGTCTCTCAATGTGTAACTATATACTATCTCCACTTTCACACCACGTTTGACACAACCACATATATTCTTGTGCTTTAAGAAAGTAGGGAATCGATTACCATAATCAAAGGTCAATAGATCAATATCTAAACTGGTGGTTGCCAATGTAAGACCCTTTTCACTAACTGGTAATGCGGCGATGAGGTCATACACCTGAGATATTTTATTTAGGGACTGACCCTTTGATGGATCATCAATAATTAAGGTTAAACGAGAATATATTTTCAAACCTGTTCCTTTCATCAATTCCCCGAAACGGTTCTGTATGTCCATCGGGTTCATTTCCTTTGGAGTACTAGGAAATTTATCTGTATGTCTAACGGTAAAATTTAATGCAATATGTGTATACCCAACATTATGTAAGGTTAATAATGTTGCTCTTAATTCGGAGATATCTTTCTCACTAGCAGGTTTACTGAACGATTCCTGCGGCCATCTGACATTTAGATCCACTAACATTGTTCGAATGATTAAGTACACTTTTGATTGTGATTCTCTTTCAAAATATGCTATGTTCTTATGTGGTCATCTCCTGCAATTATTCCTGTTATTATACTTCAATAGAAAATTGCAAAATTTTTCAAATTTTTTCATTTTTGCTATTAAAGCGATGGCTTTAGAAGGAAACCGGAATAGGAAAAATACAGTACAATCGATTGTACTTACCGAATATCTGTCACAATAATTTTATCACAATTTAAATATATACATATATATATTGTACATACTTCATTCATACAACCTCAACACCTTGAGGTGCCTTCACTAATGCGTAAGGTACAAAAGCAGGGTTGTTAGGTGGTGGTTTCAATAATGCATCCAACGCGTTATTAATATTTGATTCGTTTATGCCATTTTGCCCAATAACGGGAAGTGTTGTTTCTACTTGATACATCCAACCCCTTACTGCACCAGACTCGCAAATCTTTCTTTGATTTATTTTATTAAGTCCATATGGTTCTGTGGTGGCCGAATCCCTAGGGTTAACATGTAACCTAAAATTTTCCATTTCCTTAACTGCGTGAAGTATAGTATACCTTCTAAATCCACGTTTTTCTCTTGCTAATTGACGCCAATTCATTAATAATAGAAACAAATTACGGTATCTTCTCCATATATCTGTAGTACATCCGGGATTTAATTTATCATCAACCAAATGGCATGCTTGTAGGAAATCACCGAGAAAGTATTCTACACTCTGAAGATATTCAGGTGTCATTAAATTCATTCCTAAGATTTCCATCGCCTTATCACCTTCATCGATTAACATATGAGGGAAACCAAATGTGTAGTTTATGCTTGTAGTTTCTCGTGTCCTACGTATCTCGCTATATTTCAAATCAACAAAATAGACTAGACTTATGGCAGAGTACGGAGAATCACCGGTGTAGAGGACGTCATCCACAACATACAACTGTATTGTTCTTTTTTGTTTACCTGCCAACGTTAATTTAAAATTCTTTACTTTAGGTTTTCTAATTTCTTCGACAGATTCAGGCTCAGGTTCAAGTTCAAGTCCTACCTCGGGCTCAGGCTCAGACTGTAACTCAGGTTGACCGGTCGATTCTTTGATTGGATTTGTCTCCACACGACTATCCTGAACATCATTATTACTTTCAGGAATGTCATATTCTGTGTCAACCATGGTGTCATTATGCATGTTGTCATAATTGTCTGGGATATCACGAACAGTGGCTGGATTAGGTAGAGACAGTGGAGTTTCTTCCTGTTTGATTTTAGACTGAGGATTCGAGGCTGGAATTGGAATAACTTGTGAGGTTGACGTTGCTCCTAATGTATGGGGTGCACCAAGAATTCTAGCGGGCCGGTTCATTTCTATTATATGATTAGTAGATTTCTTCGTAACTGAGCTTAGTTGTTTACTAAATTCAGGAGATGCACTAAGATTTACAAGACTTGAAGCTGGATTCGAATACAAATCGTTTGTACGTCTGAAATTAAGCGCAGAAGGATCATGTTGGTAGATTACAGAATTCTTATCAGGTCCAGAATTATATGTCATATTAGAAATGGCATTAGGAGCAGTTGTAGGAATATTGGTGGATCCATTATTAATTATTATTGGAGATATCGGATTGACTTTGATCTTCGTTTGTTCGGTGGATTCTACATGCTGTTTATTGGAATCTAAAGGTTCTGCTATTTCAGGGTGTGACTTTTGAAAGACTTCATCTGCAATTCTTTGCATTTTAGTAGGTTTTACAGGTTTAACTGGTTTTTCAGGTTTTACCTGTTTAGATTTGTTTTTTCGACGTTGTTCATTAGGGGAAAGTTTCCTTCTCTTATGATCATCTTCTGTCCTAGAAGATGAAGTAGGTCTCTCCCTAAGTAAATTCCTTGATATAATTTCATATTCGACATCATCTTCATAACCAATCAGTCTCTCTCGTCTAATTTTATTTGAAATATGTTTGACATTCTTGACATCGATTTTTAATTGAGATTTTTTTATGGTTGCCAATTCCATTTTTAAAATTTCTTGATTCTTAAAAAATTTCTGCATTAGCTCAGAAATACTGTTTAAACTTTCAGATATGGTTGTATTACTCTTTAATAATTCTTCTTCAATTGTTCTACATCTTCTATTCATAGTTTGAAAGTTTTCATCTATCTTGGTAATCATATCGATACTTGGGATTTTAAGAGGCATATCGGATTGTTTCATCTTCAAAGTATCAGTATCTTTGTCATTATTTGCAAATGGCTCTTGTAATATAATTCCATTTGGGGGTTGTATATCTGCTATACTCATTGGTTCACTACTTGTTGGCCTAGAATTAACTGTAAATGAAGATTCCCTTTGTTTTGATTTGGAATTTTCATTACGTTCTTCAGTTGGGTGTGTATCTGACGATTCAGGGGCACTGTTAATAGATACTACATCATTTTGATCTGTATTTATCTGTGACTTTAGTTCTGTAGGTATTGTCAATGTTAATTCGCTTGCATCTTCATTTTCTTTCGGTATGTACCCTACATCTGCGATATTTGCAATACCTGTTTTCTGTTTAGTCTTTTCTGGGTTGCTTTTATTTACAACGTTTGTAGGTTGTGGAATTATAATTGAACTCTGTGTTTCTTCAATTTCTTCCTGATCTTTTGTTATTGTAGTGTTTGCATGACTGTCTTTTGAAGGATTAGCATTGGTGGACTGTGCTGAGTTTGGTATCGTACTCGTAATATTAATTTGTGAAAAACTTTCTATACCTAAAATATTTTGACTGTTTAAGAAATTTGTTTTGCTACCCTTATTTGGTATAGCTGAATTGCTTTGATTTGTATCACTGCTCATCTTTCTACCAATTTTATTTTCTTGGAGTCAAGAAATCGCACCTAAATTGGAAGACAACGTACTTGAAGTTTTCAAAGTTTTTGTTATAAACTAGGTATTCACCCAATGTGTAGTATAGTATATATTTATATTGAACTAGTGTTGAGTGACGTGATGGTAATAATAGCTCTGAATTGATGTCTGTACGTGGGAACTGTTGTGTATATAATCTTTCCTTGCTGATTCGATACGCCTAATGAGTACAATATTTTGAAAAATTAAAGTCACTGTACTTTTCCGTTGTGAGAGAGAGCATATAATTTTTCAGCATAAAATAAGACCAAGAATTCCATGTTGCACGTGAGAATCTCACTATACTTTAGTCCTTATGGTGTGAATAAAGAGGAATGACTATAGATTTCACAGTAAGTTTTCACTAGTTTGTTGATTGTTTACTACTTATTACACAAATAAAGAAAATTCTCTATAAAAAGAAATAAAAACCAAAATTATAAAAATGGCATTTTCTATAAGTAACCATATTATTGTTTAATTAGCATTTTTCTGAATAATTCTTAAATGTACATTTAATTATTATTTATACTTCCATTCACCTTCAGCTGCCCTCTTTCTATTGAGACCCAATCTTAAATTAACTAATTCACATATGGTTTTGTTAACTTTAGCTGAACCAGTCCCTAAATGTAATTTCTCCGCTAATTGAACAGTATACCCATTGATATAATCGATCTCAGTGTCTCTCAAGTATCTTGTATCTTGTCTCATCGAACTACTATTATGTTTATTTAAGATGCAACCAATCCTGTTAATTTCAGTGACCAAATATTCGATATCCAAGGTCTTATCCACACTTAACACTGGATAATTTGGAGAATTATTAAATTTAGTTTCATATTCAAATAATGGTTTGTAAGCAATTCTCAATATTTCTAAAGCCTCAGTAACTATCGATCTGAATACGGGTTTACAATTTTCAACTATCTCACCATTATCGGCATCAACAATAGCTGTGACGGAGTTAATACAAGAATTGATCAAGAACTTAAACAATTGTCCCAATAATAATTCCTGATAAGTCATATGATGGATATCTAGAGATTCTTTCACTGCATCATCCATGAATATTTGAACCAATTCATTCTCAGAAGCGTCTTTAGTCACAACGGTCTTAGTTTGTAGGATATTTTGTTCGTCCCAAGGTAATCTTGCTATCTTCATATCAGCAAAACCTGCATGATTAAAAATAAAATCATGATCTTGGAAAGCACCATGAGCAATTACACCTTGAAACAAATTTGGTCTTTCATTAGGAGTTGTAAATATGTCATCTCTAAGGACATCTAACACCCCTAGACCATTCTGTACCATAATCAAATTGGTATCTTTGTTAATATAAGACAAGTAAGGTGTCAAAGCATCCTTTGTTTGGTATGTCTTGGTAGTAATAATCAAGTTTTTGATGATATTATCCTTTGGAAATGTCTCTGGACAATAAACAGTGTTCAATATTGCAGTGGATAAAGGTTTGTCTTCTAAATAAACTTTTCTCATTCCAATTGTCGAGTGAGCTTCCTCTTTAAATTTGTTAACTTTAGCTAAATTTCTAAATAGTGGGATAATGTTAACATTACTTGAACGAATCATATTAACTGAGAGTAAAGTTCCCATGGAACCCATCCCAAGGACATGTATAGTAGGTTTTGCAGACATTGTCATTCTTCTTATAAAACCTTATGTATTTCGTGGAGGATCTATATTCACTGTAACCGTTGTAATGGAACATACAACCTAAATACGAAACCAAAATAAAAAAAAATGTTTCAATTATTAGTACATTCCTTATATATGATCCAATTGAGATTAGTTATTCCAATATCATCGCTATCTGAATCTATCTTATCTTGGAAAAGAAACATATCAGATAGAACTGTGTATGCATGTATGTATCTCTCGAATTAGCCCATGTTTCGGTTTGTCTCTCCGCCTGTCTTAAAAGTTGTATGAAGTAACAAATCTGAAAAATGACACAGACAGGTCTCTACGGCGGGATTCGAGGGAACGGATCGGATCGGACGAACTACATTATAAATAGAGATATATTGAAGAGATAAACAGCGTAGAGAGCATATCTTTGGCAGTGGAAACTCTATTAATAAAACTAAATCAACCTTGCTTTACTTAGTCAGCAGTCAATATACATAAAACTTATTTTGAATGAATAATATAAAGGGAAAGAAAGCCTGAAACGGTATAGCTCTCTATATATAAAACAGAATGGCTCAGTCTATTCAATGAGCAAATATGACATGTCCATCTCCGGTTAATTAAATGAGTCAAAAAAGTACATTTATATTAACATTTTATGTTGATGTATAATTTATTTATTCGTTGTTATATATTTATTTATTTATATTAGTTTTATTTTTTTATTCTATTTTTCACAGTTGACCTTGAACGACAGCATTTGACTTCAAGTCTCTGGCAGTAACCTTCAATACAGCATCCTTGTTGATGTTGAAGATGATTTGTAGACCCTTTGTAACGTCCTTGATACCTAATTCCATCAATTTGGTAGCTGGCTTGTAAAGTTTTTCTCTCACAACTTCTGGTTCATCATCGGACCATTCTTCACTGTCTTCTTCATCAGCTTCTGGCTTAGCTTCTGGTTCAAGAGTCTTTTCTTCAATGTAAGATTCACCTTCGTAGACACCGACTAAGAAATCACCTTTAGCTTTCTTAATGGTGATAGTCTTTTGAGCTGGGTATGTAGTTTCTGGTAGGATAACTGGAACAAACTTACCTTCAGCATCTAATAGACCAATAGCTTTTTGTAAATGCATAATGTTTAAAACAACAGGTTGTAAAGCTTCCTTCAATTCATCGGCATCATAATCACCAATCAATCTACCTTGTAGAGCAGCACCAGAACAAGACAATTCATTTGGAGTGTTAGAAGCGTCCTTGTTTTGTGGGCCTAGGATTTCAACGGATTCTGGGAATAAAAATTCCAAGTTGTTAGCCAATTTTGGAGTAAAAGAGACACCACCACATAGTAAGACAGCATCGATATCAAGGATATCCATCTTAGCCTTTTCAATGGTTTCATTAATGAATTGAGAGAATTGAGAGAAAACTTTACCGGCAGTCAATTCATATCTCATTCTGTTAATAGAAGTATGATAATCGAAACCATCAGCTAGTGATTCAACAGAGATGGTAGCAGTGGTGGCATTGGATAAAGTCTTCTTAGTGATGATTGCATTAGTTCTTAATTTAGCTAAAGATCTAGCATTCTTACGTGGGTTACATTGATTTTTCTTTTGGAAATCAGCAGCGAAATATTCAATCAAAGCTTCATCCAAGTTATCACCACCAAGTTTAGCATCATGAGCAGTAGCCAATACAGTGAAGATACCATTACGGATGGCGATGACAGCAGCATCGGATCTAACACCACCGAAATCAGCAACAACAACATTGGCATCCTTTTTGAATGGGAAAGAATGGACATGAGCCAATAAGGAGGCAGATGGTTCACTGATGAATTGGAGAATTCTTAGACCACACTTAGAGGCAGCGGCACTCAAAGCATCTTTTTGAGCATCGGTGAAATCTGTTGGGACGGTCAATACAGTCTTGGAGATGGTTTGGCCAATGTAATCTTCAGCGGCAAGCTTTAATCTGTTCAAATGTCTAGTGACAACTTCATCGACAGTAATATTTTCAACAATATCTTCACCTCTCTTGATAGCAAAACCAACTTTACCGTCGACTTCAATAGCTGGAGCACCAGCGGCACATCTAGAGACATCTGCATCAGCGAATGCAAGACCGATGAAATCACGGAAGTTAACAATGGTGTTAGTTGGGTTTCTTACTAGTTGTTGCAAAGCTTGACCACCATGATATTCATCTTCACCGACGTAGGATAGGACGGATGGGATAGCACGTTCACCATCTGGGTTAGCAATGACATCGACATCGTTCTTTGGGTTGATGTAAGCAATAGAGGAGGAAGTGTTACCGAAGGAGATACCTAGAATTGGAGAAGACATGATTTTGTTCTGTTCTGTTCTGATCTGATCTGTACTTTCTTAGAGTCAGTTGATACGAAAGATACAAGTAGTGAATGTTGGTACAGCAACATATTGTTAATTATATATATATATATAGAATTAATGGTTGGTTGGCTGGTTTGGTTGAATGAAAATTGTTCGATGAGCGGGAAGACTGACTACAAAATATTTCGGTACTGAAAGAAAAGTGAAAGAAACTGAAATTTTTCAATTGAAAATTTTTCTCGCTTCTCTCGCTTTTCTTCTTCTGCCTCGTGGTGGGTAGACAGAGAAGGGAAGTAAATATTTGCATGGCGGTTTTGGATGTAACCCGGATAGCACAGCTCGTGCAACATGATGTTTCGCCGTTGAGTAAGTGATGCAATAGCCGCTAAGCAATTCGATAATAGATTGAGAACAGTTTTTATGAAGTTGAATGTATAGTCATGGTAATAAGAAGATATTGAAAGGGAGAGAGAGATATGCAAGGTTATGGATGGGTAGGGCAGGGAACTGGAATGCGTTATTTTGATTTAGTTCTGTTTATGTAATGTATATATATATATATATATATGTACACACCATATTTAACCGACTGTTGTGGAGAGGTGCGTTGCTATTGTTGTGAAGGGGTAGATTTGTTACGTTCAATCTACATGTATATAAGATATGTGGTATTTGTTGGTTTGACGATGAATAAATCTGCAATGACATGCTTATATGCTATGCTACTCATGGTTCACAATTATACTTCATCTGTAAATGTATATATATATATACATTGGTGGGTATGATACAGAAGTAGAACTATAATGAGCGAGGGAACTATGGCCATCGATTGCATCATTGTTCTCTCTCTTTCTCTCTATATATTTAGCTATATTTTCTTCTAACCGAGAAATTGCAAGGCTTGATACTTTTTTATTTTGTATTGCTTTCTATAGCCCGTAATAACAATATAACATTTTCAGGGAACAAAAAAAGAGAAGAATCAACTTCAAAGAATAGTCAGCTATTTTAAACTTGATATTAAATTAGTAACAAGATAATAATAATAACTATTAGGTCTTTGGTCTACGGTATCATTATCAGTCATAGGTATACCAAACTTCCAGGCTTAATCCTCCAATATGTCTCATTCTGGTGCCGCTACATATAAGAAAGTGGCAGGGATCATCACTATCGATGAAGATATGTCACCTGCTGAGATGACTTGGAGATCTACTTCTGGTGATAAGACACATACGATTATATTGGATACGATAGATAAATTACAAGCTACACCTACAACAAGTGAGAAAATGATGTTAAGATTGATTGGGAAACCTCTTGGGGAAAATAATGAAGATGATCCACAAAAGAAACAAAAAAATAATGAAGGTGAACCTGTTGAAAATACTTCAATTAAACCAATTACTCATATGTTTTCATTTAATAATAGAGAAGTCATGGATAATATTAAAATTACATTGCAACAAATTATATCAAGATATAAAGATCAAGAAATTTATGATGAAAGAAGAAAACATGATCAATCATTAGAGGCACAAACAATTGTTTCAGTTCCATTAATTAATACAGCACAATTAGACGATTCTTTATCGAGAGGAAAACTGTTAGTAAATTTGAAATTACAACAATCTCTTCTAAGACATGATAAATTATTAATGAAAGCATTCCAAGAAACTGTAATGAATGCAGGTTTATCTCCAGAGGAATTTTGGTCTACCCGTATACCTTTATTAAGAACTTTTGCTTTATCTACATCGCAACGTGTGGGTCCATATAATGTCCTGTCAACAATTAAACCTGTGGCCTCTTCAGAAAATAAAGTTAACGTGAATCTATCTAGAGAGAAAATTGTTTCAATCTTTCAAAATTATCCAATTGTGAAAAAGGCTTATGACGATAATGTACCGAAGAATTTTAAAGAACAAGAGTTTTGGGCAAGATTTTTCTCTTCAAAATTGTTTAGAAAATTAAGAGGTGAAAAATTAATGCAAAGTGATAGAGGTGATGTTATTATTGATAGATATATTAATTTAGATCAAGAATATGATCGAATGGAAGATGAAAAACTGACACATCCAGTAAAGAAATTTATTGATATTGATGGGAATGAAGAAGATGATCCCGTCAAATTTGGTCATAGACCACACTTCACAATGAGACCTGGATTAGATGTTAATGGAAATAGTGACGGGACGATAGATATCTTAAAAGGGATGAACAGATTAAGTGAAAAGATGGTTGCAGCTTTAGAAAATGAATACTCTAGAGCAAAATTACAAGGAGATTCACCTGATGATGAAGAAAAGGAATCCTTGAATATTACAGATTTACAACCTAGTTATTCATCCTCATACGCAATTGTTCATTTGAAGACTAAAGCTTTAAATTCACAACAGCACAAAGATGATGACGATAATAATTCTAAAAAAGAGGATAATATGACCCCAACTATAGTGACACAAGATATGATTGCAACCAATATTAAGGACGTAATAGATGCATTATCCTCAGATATGGATTTAAGTCGAATCCTTCCAGATAAAGAAACCAGTATTGCTGTTAATAAAGAAGTTATATATGCTGTGAAAATTAATGCAAAGCAAGCCAAGCATAACAACGTTGATCCAATCCTTGGTACATTTGTAAATAATGTATTAAGCGAAACAGACGCTAAATCAGAGTTACCACTTGAATTGATTGAAAGTTGTAGGATATTACACACAACATGTTGTGAATTCCTTAAACATTTCTACATCCATTTCCAAAGTGGAGACTACAAACAAGCAACAAAAGTGAACAAACTTTACAAGCATTTGAAATCTTGTATAGAAAAATTGCATGAATTATTATCCGATGTCAAAAAGGGTGACGGTGAAGAAATTGCCGCTACTTGTACTGCATACTTGAAACCGACATTAAACTCAATAACATACGCTGTCGAAAGATATGACAGAGCATTTAATGAAGTTAACAAAGAAGCTATGGCATCTAAGTAATTTTAAATAGTTTGAATCAGTAATTACAAAATTTAATTCACCACACCTTATGCATAACTAAAGTTATTTCTATTATATATTTTTTATTATTTATACTGTACAAGTTATAAGCATGAAAACTTAACGTTCTCCTCTATCCATGTTGTCCCTAGACATCATTCTTCCTCTTCTGCTACCTTGACCTCTGGCTTGTTTTTCCTTATTTCTTCTGTTCATCTCCATAACAACTTCACCATTTGCTTTATCCACGGAATCTCTTAATGATAAAATTATATCCTTATCCACATTTTCCTTTGGTAGTTTCTTCCCTAAGACCTCCTCAATTCTTAAGATTAATTCAAGATCATACTGAGAGACTAATGAAATAGATTTACCTGATCTACCGGCTCTCGCAGTTCTACCCACACGATGGATATAAGATTTAGAATCAACGGGAATATCGTAGTTGATAACAATATCCACAGAAGGGATATCTAAACCTCTTGCAGCAACATCTGTAGCCACAAGAATGGCTCTTTTCCCAGCTTTGAAAAGATCCAAAGCCCCAGTTCTTTGATTTTGATTTAAGTCACCATGTAATGCCGTAGCATTAAATTCTAGTAAGTTAGATAATGCTGAAATTCTTTCCGCGTTTGCTTTGGTTCTTGTGAAAATGATAATTGTTTTACCAATGAACTCATTTAATAGATATATCAAGAAAGTATTCTTCAGACCACCAGGGACAACCATCAATGTTTGAACTAAAGTATCGACAGTTTGGTATTTATTAGATACTGCACATTTAACTGGGTTAGTCAAACTTGCTCTTTGTAATTTGTCAATCTTTGAAGTCATAGTAGCAGAGAATAAGTAAGTGGTTCTACCTTGAACAGGTAAAATCTTTAAAATCTTATCTAAGACAGGGCCAAACTCCATATCTAATAATCTATCAGCTTCATCCATAACTAAAAACTTCAATTTTCTTAAAGAGAACCCACGAGTATTTTCTAAATGGTCCATCAATCTACCTGGAGTGGCAATAATAATATGTGGTTTTCTCATTAAATCTCTGGCTTGATCCATCATATTCATACCACCAACTACACAAACACTACGAACACCCATCAATGACCCAAGGGAATCAAAAGTTTCCTTAATTTGTTGGGCTAATTCTCTTGTTGGCGATAATATACATGCATAGTAGGGTTGTTGGTCCTCCCAAAGTTTGTTCAAAATTGGAATCGCAAAGGCAGCAGTCTTACCGGAACCAGTCTGGGCTAAACCAATAATATCATTACCTTCAAGTGCAGCAGGAATAGCCTTGGATTGGATAGGAGTTGGTTTAGAATAGTTTAGATTCTTACAAGCTTGAACTAATTCTGGAACCAAATTCAAATCAGTGAAAGATTCAAAAGTTTCAGTAAAATTATCCTCGGCTTCTTCATCATTGGATTCTACTTTCTTATTTTTCTTTTGAATATGTTCTTCTTCCGATAATTCTTTACCTTGGTTTGGTTCTTGTGCCTTCTTTTGGTTTTCAACAGCCTTCGCTCTGATTTTTTCTGCTAAAGAAGCAACTTCACTCTTATTTGATTTCTTTGTTATCTTACCACTCATGATTGCTATTACTTAACTCTAATGTGATAGTTTTTTAAAGTTATTTATAATCGAAATCAAAAATATAAGCATATACATACATATATATATCGGCTCAGTTTATAGTATGTATATACTGTTTTACTATCTACATGTTGGCTATCTCATCTCATCGCAATGGATTTAAATTTTTCACTAAGTTAAATTTATGTGGTCACGTGAAAATTGATTATTTCTTGGTGCATCTGCGTTCGATCGGTTACATTACAATAGGCTCTTCTAGCCTGCTCTAAGATGTACTAATTCTAGTGTGAAGAAATCAAATTTAAACCAAAAAGATATAAATGGTACAGTTTGTAAAAAAACACAGAATCTCATTGTGTAATATTTTTGTTTACTCAATTCAACGTAATATTATATTTTTTCTCTGTGATAAAATTAATGTTTTGTAATAAACTAGCAAATTTTAAAAAAAATTCGTTGTGTTAGGTTAAAAACGTTTTGAGATCGTACAAGATAAAATGAACATAGGTTACATATTGCATATATTGATATCTGAATATTGGTTATTTTAATTAAGCTTTCTTTATTTCTAAAGAAAACTCAATATTGAGTATACAAACTAAACGATTCTGTTCTGCTAGACTATCTAACCTACAGATTGTTTGAACTTCTTAGTTTGTATATCTTCCTACGCATAATATTACTTGGCGCTATACCAATATCTCTGCTAATCGTTAATGACTTAGTTCATTCTTTTCTCTATTCGTTTGTCAGATGGTATTGGTTTCTACAAAGAAAGGAATATAATTATGTATATAGAATGGTAGTTGTCTACCAGAAATTGTATCTAAACTAAAGTGTTAACCACATTACATTCTGGTGACACAAATATATATTACAAAAATAAAACTAAGAGGCATAATGATAGTTCCAATAATTATTTATGTGTTCTAAAAAGACCAAAGTTATTATTTTTGTCCTGACCAACCAATTATACTAATATATTTTTGAAAATAAGATGTTTTCAAATAACCAAGCTCTAAATTTGTTAGACCCCAGTAGGCTGACCTCATCTACCACAATACAATATGACTCAACTCTAACGGTATATGGTTCTGATTGAACTAGACTTACAGAATATAAACTAAACCATGGGACAAGTAACTTTGAATCTCCACTAAAGATGTATAATACTGTACTCGTATTATTTGCCGGATGAATAGATGATAACAATCTCGTCAGAACAAAGGACACTTACTGCCTGTGGTGTCGTTCGAATCCAACTCAAAGATTTATTGCAAGCACTGCAATATCAACCCTCGAGGATCATTGACGCTCATCAAGACAAACAAGGTAATTTCTACATACCAGGGTTTCAATACGCCCTCTGGCAAACCCTGGATCACCTCAAAGTAAGTTTGGAGTGTATCGAGGACACCATGAAATGTAACAGAAAGACTGCTGTTCTGTGATTTTAGAACCACAGTTTTGAGGGAATTAGTTAATTAACTTGCAACCGTTGCTATCTCCCAGACGAAGTAACATATAGAAGAAGTATGTTACTCAAAAGTGAAGTTATTTGCTTTCTCTTTTGCCGCCTGTCGAGCCACAAGGCGGCACCAGAGATTAGGGGTACTGCTCTAATACTGGACCAGAAAATATACGCTGTTAACAGCCAGAATGTATAACAACAACAACTACAACAATAATATACACAACCGTTTGGCGATTTGGTAACTCACTAAACGTCATGTATTGCTTTCAATCGCTTTCTCAGCTTCCATGGAATCTAGCTTACAGTTACACCCATTGTGGGTCTTTGTAGAACTTGGCACATATTGTCTGAATCACGATACCTTGCTATCCACCTCTCTCTCACGTGAATGAGATAATTATAGTACGAAATATGTGTATCTTAATATATAAATGCGAGAAAATTACTGTACCTATGAGCTATGAGACATAACCAAATATATTTCCTATCATTCTTTTTCTCTGTAGCTTCGACGATAAATTCGTGGTTTAAACACATCAAAAATAAATAAATTCGGAGGGAGGTCAGGTCGTAAATGACACATAATTTAACTCCGAATAAAAACATATTCAAATATTATTGAATAAGATGAAGATATCAAGTGTAGTAAAATAAAAGAGGGGATTTTGCAGGGACGAATAAAACACAGGATATCAAGATTTATGAGTGAATCAAAGTCTTGTCCTTTAAACCGATTTGTCTAATGAGAGAAATAGTTTTCCGCGTTTTATCAGTCAAATTTCCAATTTTATAATTATATGTATATTATTTAATAGCATATATTTACTATAGAAGAACTCCTTGATAAAAATATATTGTGATCTTGGAACATATTTAAGATTAATTGCAATCTTAAAATAACTCGTCAATAATAATGAATTATTTGATCCCAAACACTGGATGGAACGGATTCGGGGCTCAGTTGTAACATTTCGAAAAATTCCAGTTAGTTAACTATTTTATTCCTCTACCCACACGTTCTTAATTTAAGTAGTGATGAATGTTCAGTCTTCCCTCTAACAATTCGAAAACTACTAACTAAATACAATTAGAAAGGCAAAATTATCACATATAAGATTCAAAATAATTCTACTAACAATTTTAAGATTAATGTGCCACCAAATTAATGATGATGATATATATGGATATGTAATTAGATTAATTATTAGATTAGATGCTTCATATAGCGTAGATCAATTATTACCAATATTATAGTTAGTGTTTAGAGGTAATTCATGGTTTAATTGAAAACTAAACTAACATACTGCGTCATGGAAGGGACAAAAATTCTTACCCAGATATGAGTTATCATTATTATTGCTAACATTATTCAAGTTGTGCAATTCTTGCATCTTGTGAGTCTTCTTAGTAAACCAACTCTTGATACACTTATAATGGAATACACATAGACATTCTAATCTTCCAACTTTTTGTCCCGGTAACATTTCTTCGAAACATATTGGACATTCTGGATACTCTTCATTTTTCTCTTCTCTAACAGGATCCTTAGGAATCTTATATACAAGCATTCTATTTTTAATGGATGGATTATGATCATTCCCATCTGGTGATGCCATACCGTTTTGTTGATTAATTTTATGTTGTTGAATATTTTCTGCTTGTTCAATACATGATTGAATATGATCTCCTTGTTCTTCCTCATTAGCGAGCGTTGTTAAATCAAAATTACAAATAGGACAATGTGAGTTTTCTTCTTGTTCTATATCATTATTAGTCCTCGAAGAACTTTCAGTATTAGAATCTATTTGATGAGAATGTTCTGTAATATTATTATTTTTCACATTACCAGGTATAGTTATGATCTGATCACTCCTCGANTTTATATATATATATATATATATATATTAAAAGAAAGAGTTTGAATCAAATCCTCATCAAAAAGTTTTAAGCAATAATAAATGACAGAAGGTAAGAAGTAAGAAAAACCCAGATGCTTTAAGTTGTTTATAGAGATAGGAATAACTTGACAGACTAAAATTACAGACAGATGTTTCAATATACACATAACATATATTTTGTGCAGGCAGCGAGATAAATAGAGAGAGAGAAAGACGGGCGATGACCCAAAAAATCGCGAAAATTTTTAATTTTCTTTTTCTTTGAAGAAACCCGCTGAGAGAAAGAGAAAATTATCGTAATTTTACTGTAAAATCACCGTAGATCCCGGACATCGCTCGCATCATGCGTGGGGAATTAAAAGAAAATTCAAAATGAAAACCATTCCGTGGGATAGCAGCAATGGAAGAACTGGCCTGTTTTTAATTGATATCAGAAAGAAGAAGAAGAAGAAAATATTTCACACTTCTAAATATTGTGATGCCTTGCTGATTAATCAATAAATTAGAATAATTTGAACCTTTTTAGTTTAGTTTTTGCCTGCTACCAGATAATGTAGTGGTATACATGTATGTATGTATGTTGACAATCTTGTTAGAGTAAACTTTCACTTATTCGTAGTCGATCACAACTTCATGCAATGTATTATTATTAAAAGCGTTTGATGTTTTTTTAACGAAGAATTGAACAGATAGAGAATTACACTACACACTCTATGTTTTTTGAATAATTTCCGCACATCTACGGTAGAACCTGTACAAATTATATTATATATATATTTTCTTGTCTTGGATTCATAGTCTATCTGCAGGCAAGAAAAAACAAACTAACTAAAGAAAAGGCTGTTCTGCTATAGGCAAGCATTCAATAATAATATTAAGCTAAATTAAACTGTTCCCTCTGTTTACTTAATTATCGAAATGGTAAAAAGAAAGTGACGGTCATCATATTTATATTATCTAGTACTGCAATTTTAGTGGTCTTTCAAATTTGCTTCTCTTACAAGCCGTAATTGTTGTAATTATTCTGTTGTTTTTCTTTTTGTACATATAATAGAAAACATGAACAAATAAGTTATTATAATAATAAATAATAACAATAATATCATGAAAATATACAAAAATCACCGTACGTTTGATATATTTCATAGAATAAATAAAATAAACTTTTTTATTTTTCTTTATAATTAAGCCCCTATTCATCTTTTACTAAGTATACCTAACTTCGGATAATCTGCTAGTTACCGAAGGAGTTCCAAGTTGCCTTTTATTTTATTATATATGTCATTATTTCCTCTATCTCTCTCTGAATTTTTATCTTGCCTATTACAGTAATATCTCTTTTTTAAATATTTATTTTCGCAAAATATATATATATATTAATTAGATTACTTAATAAAATTTCACTTCATGCATCGAGTACACTCTTTATCTTCACTTATCCCAAATAAAGATTTACAATGCTACAAAAATTCAGGAACATATTTTCTTAAATCTTATTTATCAATAGAGTAAATTAAAAATATAAGTTCATCGCTTATACATATATTCATTCCCGATGAATTTCTATTTTACAAATTATATATTATCTAAAGAGTGCTTGATCATAATATAATGTAGATAACAAGCTACATTTTAATAATTAATATAGCATGTACAGTATTCTATCGTTATAGTTACCTTTACAATATATATATGTATATATCATTCTTAACTATTAGAACTCTCTCTCTCTCTCTCTCTTCAATATGATTTTCGATGCGATGAGCTTCTTCCATTCTTCGCGAAATAGACAAAAGCAGAAAAAAACAACAACTAAGAAAATTAAAAAGTGACGTTCTTGATATCAACGTAAAACACAGTAAATATAATATGTATATATATATATATGAAATAGAAAACAGTAGTATATTACGAAACCTCAGAAACTTCCAATAATACACACACCTCGCACTCCTTATCTATACATGTGGATATAATGCAAATGGATGCATTTACGAATCTTTCATTGGACGACTCCGATCAAATGGAGATAGATCCTCAACCATTGGCACAATTATCATTGACAGATAATGATAGATCTACAACTACTACGACAAATACAAATAGATATACAAATTCCCGACAGTATTGGTCTCAAGTGCCGTCTCCACAAAGGAATGATACTACTACTACCAACACCACTTTATATATACAACCACCTAGTTTCTCACAAGAAAACCAAATAGAGAGTGATGTCGATATTGATATTGATATAGATATGTTAAGTGTATCAGATAATAATATACAGACTCCTGTTACGAAAAAAGAAAAAGAAAAAGATGTGATAGAAGAGATAGAAGAGATACCATCATCGACCGTACATTCACCTACGGTATTACACAATATACTGTCCCCGACACAACTTGGTGCATTCGCAGCAAGACGAAGTTCCACAACAGCTATCACACCACACCTGTCATATGATGATGACAGTAATATTATTAATGGGTTACCATGGAAGGATAGACCAATTCATGTTTCAATTAACAACAACAACAACAACAATTTTTTTTATCAGAACCCTAACCAGAAACAATCATTCATATATGAAAATGAAAATGGAACTGAAAGTTTTGAAGATAATGAATTACCTGCGCCTTGGTCTGCTCAATCATCACCTGTATCCCGTATACCATACAATTTCTATTCATATTTACAAGTAACATTAAATTCATTAACAGGAACACTTATTATATGGTTTTTATTGTCGTCCTTTAAGAAAGATATACATTCATTATGGTATTCTGACCAAAGGCAACTTTTGTTAGAATCTCAATCTTGTCAAGAAAATTGGAATTTAAACAAATGTGTTGAGAATGGTAAATTACCAGCATTGACAGATCAATGTATAGAATGGCAAAGATGTATGACTCGAGATAATGAAAAATTGTTTGGAACAAGATCTTTAAGAATTGTAAGTTTATTAGGTCAATTGGTTAATGAATTCATTCAACCTATTGGATGGAAACCAATTATTATTGTATTGATCGGAATTTTATCGTGGCTATTTATAACTAATTTCTTAATGGGTTTCCTAAGAGCTAAATATTATTACAAACAACAAGATTATCACCATCAATTGAAATTAACACAGCCAAAAGAGACTGCTAAATCCAAATCCAAATCCAAATCCAAAACCATTACATCAAACGATCAAGATCATGATAAAGATAATAATATCAACTCTCGAGAACAGCAACTTGTAGTAACTAGACCAACTACTTAATTGTTTCCAATTTTTATAGAAATAATACCAAAACAAAATACATAGATAACCTATTTGCGTTCCCTTATCAACTCAATGTTTGTGTATTACGGTAAACTGATTCCATAATTTATTGATAGCACCACACCGCCAAAACAAAACAAACAGAAAATGAAATAGAGAGAGAGAGAGAGAGAGAAACATCCGCACCGAGAAATTGAAAAATATTATTTTCTTCGGGGTTCGTATTCCGTTACTTAAAGAGAGACAGAGACAACTGAACATCGGAGTTCGCTTCCCGTTAGAACAATTGCAACACCCACAGATATGGTTTCACGTGTGGTGGTACCCCTCACCGCTAAGAAAACCGAATAAATAAAGGAAGGAAGCAATAGAGAGAGAGAGAGGTGAAAGAGGTAAAAATTAGTTAGGGGAGAGGATAAACTGAAAATAGACGAGTTTAAAAGTGATAGAACCTACTAAAGAACCGTTCTTCCGGTAAATCCATTAGTTTAGAATTATAAAGATATATATATTCATTTAGTATATAAACAACAATTAAGTGAGTAAAATATTACTAGTTGAATACTACCCTTAAATATTTGTCTTTTTTTTAATCGAAAAAGTATCATATTTATTTATTAAATATTTTTTAACCTATAGGTTACTGAAGTTTTCAGATAAAGAATATACACATATTTACACTCATTTGATTACTGTTATCATAAAAATTATTCATCAAAAAACTATCATGTTATTACATCGTGCATCAAAATGCAGATCCATCTCTATGCTGTCTTTAAAAAGATCCATCCCTATAGTTTCTTTGAGAAGATCTATGGCTCAATTGTCTAATGTAAAAGTTCCACCCACAATCAATAATGAACCAACAAAGACATTCTCAAGTACACCAGAAAGTACTAAAGATTGGGATTTATTAAGAGCTTCTTTATTAAAATTTAATAATGCAGCTCTAGAGATCCCTTTAGTGATCAATGGTTGCAGAGTTTACGCAAACGATGAAGGCTCTACACGTAAAACAACTCAACACGTAAACCCTTCAAATCATAAACAAATATTAGCTAATGTTACTCAAGCTAATGGTCAGGATGTCCAAGACGCTATAGAAGCATCTAAAAATGCCAAGAAGAAATGGTATTCTTTACCATTTTATGATAGAGCAGCTGTATTTTTAAAAGCTGCTGATTTGATTTCTACCAAATACCGTTATGATATGTTGGCTGCTTGTATGTTAGGTCAAGGTAAAAATGTTTATCAAGCTGAAATTGATTGTATTGCAGAATTATGTGATTTCTTTAGATTTAACGTAAAATACGCTTCTGAATTATATTCACAACAACCTACTAATGGTACAAAGGGGATTTGGAATTCTGTAGAATATAGACCTCTTGAAGGATTTGTCTACGCGGTTTCACCTTTCAATTTTACTGCAATTGCTGCAAATTTGGTTGGAGCTCCTGCTTTAATGGGTAACACTGTCCTTTGGAAACCCTCTCAATATGCTGCATTATCAAATTATTTGTTATATACAGTCCTTGAAGAAGCTGGTTTACCAAATGGTGTCATCAATTTTATTCCTGGTGATCCTGAATTTATTACCAATGAATTGATCAAAGATCCATATTTCAATGCATTACATTATACTGGATCTACTCAAGTATTTAAATCGTTATATTCAAAGATTCAAAATAAACTTGTCGATGGAACTTATAGAGATTATCCAAGAATCGTAGGAGAAACAGGTGGTAAGAACTTCCATTTGGTTCATAATTCCGCAAATTTACCTAATGCTATCTTTAATACAATTAGAGGTGCATTCGAGTATCAAGGTCAAAAATGTTCTGCCACATCTCGTCTATATATACCAGAATCTAAGAGTACTGAATTTTTAAATGATTTGGTTGGTACTTTGAGTGAAGAAGATTCTAAGTTTGCTCCAAAAAATATTGCAGCTAGTGCCATTAGCAATGGTGATTTACATGGGTTTACAGGTCCTGTGATTCATGAAGCAAGTTTTAATAAATTAGCAAAAGTTATCGACGAAGCCAAAAAGGATCCAGAATTGGAAATTATTTACGGTGGTACTTACGATAAGACTAATGGTTACTTCATTCATCCAACCATTATAAAATGTAAAGATCCAAACCATAAATTCTTAAAGACAGAATTTTTTGGTCCTATCCTTACAGTATACGAATATCCAGATGAAAGATTTGTCGATATTTGTAGAACTATCGATGAAACAAGTACCTACGGTTTGACAGGTGCTATATTTGCTAAAGATAGAAGTGCTATTCAAGTGGCTAATGATATCTTGAGGTACAGTGCAGGTAACTTCTATATTAATGATAAATGTACTGCTGCTGTAGTGGCACAACAATGGTTCGGTGGTGCAAGAATGAGTGGTACTAATGATAAAGCAGGTAGTGGTAATATCTTAAGTAGATTTGTGAGTATGAGAAATACAAAAGAAAATTTCTACGATATTACTGGTTATAAATATCCATCTAATTACGATTAGTCGCAGTTAATTCTATATCTATATATATATTCGTTATTTTAAATATCTCTCTTGTATATCATTTTATGTTTACTCAAATATAATATTATTGAATCAAATGATGCTGATGATGATAATCATCACTTCTAAAATGAAGTGTGATTAGTTCTTTTTAACTGTAGTGGAAACTTCGGTTCTATCTCTATATATCGTGCCCGTTCACAGAACCGGATAACTTTGACGATGCGAATATCCTAAAGTGCAATATTATAATAAAAAAACATATGACAAGTAATAAACCCAAGAGAGGTTCCTAAATAATTAGGATTTAAAAAGGATTACATTCAACGATCCACTTATATAAACCCGAATTGTCATTACTAAACCCATTTAAATGTTGAGATTATTTCGTATTACACCAACACAGACACGTTATTTTTACAGATCTTCAGTTCTTTCAAAAAAGAAACCAAGCAAAGGATCTAATAAGGGTAAGAAAGATGAAAATGCAAATGGTAACGCCGATGAAGAAGAAGTAATCCTTGTAGATGTTAAACAATATGTCAACGAGGCAAATGATAGGTATTCTCAAACCTTAGAACTTCTGAAGAAAAAATTGAACGAGGCAAAACAAGGGAAGACTAATCCACAAATTTTCGACCAACTTAAATTCCCTAATGGTTCTATTTTTACGGAGATGGCAAATACCAGTTCTCGAGGGAAGAATGCTCTTTTAGTTACTGTCTTTGATCCTAAGGAGACTAAGAACGTTATCAGCTTGATTATGGGTGCTAACCTAAATCTGAACCCTGAAAGAGTACCAAACAATGAGCAACAATTGAAAATTGCATTACCTCCACCAACAAAGGAATCTCGTCTTGAGCTAGCCAAAGGTTTAAAACAAATAACAGAAGATTTTAAAAATTCTGTTAGTTTTAAATATTCACTGGGCTTTATAAGAAGAGACATTTTAAATAAAATGAAATCATTCAATAAGAAAGAAAGTGAAGTTTCTAAAGTTTTAAAGACATTAGAGACTACACATAAAGATTACGTCAATAAACTACAAGATCAACTGAAACAAGCTGAAAAAAGTGTCATGAGCTAAGTATTTCCAAACATAGAACTTTTCATGAAAACATATTCTTTTTTTGAATATGTACGTCAAATTATTATATATGTACCTGTAAATAATATTATATATTTATATATGAGATCAAAAAACAAATACTTCTCAGATCATGCTTTAGCAAGAGAAAATATAGACTTTACTCTTTGCCAAATGGATGGCGTATATGCACCGGTAATAAATGCTTTAACAAAATTCCAAGCTTTTTGATTAGCATTGTTAATTGGGTAATCCAATGCAGGTGGGATTTGGGTAGATACAAAAGGTAAAGTATCATAACACACACTCTTCGCATTGCATAAACCTAACAAACCCTCTTCACCTCCAAATTTACCATAACCTGACCCATGAATACCACCAAATGGTAATTGGCAAACGTAAAAAGTGGCGAAGTCATTTATAGCAACATTACCTGTCTTCAAATGATTTGCGACATAATTACATTCTTCAAAATTGTTCCCAAAGACAGAACCACCTAGACCAAATTCTGCTGAGTTAGCTAATTCAATACAGTGATCTGTATCTCTAGCCTTCATCATAACCAGAATTGGGCCAAATACTTCATTATTGGCAATTTTCATCTCTGAGGTTACGTCAACAAGTAAAGTAGGTTGGAAGTAATGTCCCTCAGGATAAGTATGGTGAGAGTAACGAGAACCACCAGCCAATAGTCTTGCACCTTTAGAGACGGCATCCTTAACTAGATCTTCTAATTGGTCAAATCTATTATCTGAAACCATTGCACCCATATCAATACCTTCCAATTGATCAATATCTGAACCTAATCTCAAAGGAGAAGTAGTCAATCTTCTCTCTAGGATTTCCACTAGTTTATTATAATTTTTTGATGAGACAATAACCCTTTCTATACCAATACAATTTTGACCAGCTGATTGGAATGTACCCCTTAGGATAATAGAAGATAAACTTTCCAAATTTTTTACAGAATCCAATACAATGAATGCATCTTTACCACCAAGTTCAACAACAACAGGTGTCAAAGATTCAGCAGCACATTTCAATATGTGATGTGCAATAGATTGACTACCAATGAATGTAATATGTTTTAAACCAGGGTGAGATGTAAAATGATTGGCTGCGTTATCCACATATTCTCTTGGAGGTAAACAGTAACATAACTGAATTAAATCCTCGTCTTCTCCACAAGCCTTTAGACATTCTCTCACCAAACGAATGAAAAAATCGGAAGACCAAACAACTTGTTCAGAACATTTTAAAACGATTGCATTCCCAGTAAATAAAGCTGCAATGATTGGACCCATTAAGTTATGGAATGGATAATTCCATGAGACAATTGCAGAAACAACCCCTAAAGGTTCATATCTTACTTCTGCACCTTTATACCATTTCATGAAGAAATTAGTTGGACCAGGACGAGTTGAACGTTGAAGGGTAGCAGGACCATGTTCAATTACCCATGCTAATTTTTCAAGAGTCACTAGGATTTCACCCATAGAAGCATCCAACATAGTTTTCCCGGAGTCTCTACATGCAACTCTTGCAATTGATTCCTGATTTTCCAATATATAACCACGTAAAGATTTCAAAATTCTAATTCTTCTTTGTATAGAAGAGTCATTAAACTTTAATTGAGCGATGTTAGCCCTTTCAATCATATCATCGATATCTGATTCGGTTTTAGACTTGAATTTACCTAATAATTGACCTGTTGCTGGACAATATGTTTGAATTATGGTTGGATCATTAGGGTCAATAATTGAAGGTGGGGATAAACGAGTCTTTGATTTCCAATTCTGATGAGCTGCTTCAGGGATTAGAAGGCTAAATTTCACCGGAATATCTGTTGGATCTTTGAAATTCAATGTGAACACTACTTTATAGATAATATATAATATGAAACATGTCGCAATAGTGGTAAAAACTGCTAGTACTTGAGGATGAGTATTTCTGATTAAATGTTCCTGATTTCTAAAGATAGCAAAATTTTCTTGGTTATTTTTAATCCATTCAGCAATGTGATCATGAACTGACGAGTTTAATTGTTTCAACATCTCTGTGTTGAGATATATATTCGACATTATGAAAAGGAATAATAATAATTAAAAAAGAAGGGTGAATGAACGAATATATTTGAATTGTGAGAAGAATATATCAAAAAAAGGTAATTGTGAAGATGATCTGTTAGGTATATATAGGATACAAACAATTGAAAGATATAAAATAAAATGAAAGTAGCGTCGAGTTATTATTGTACCACCCCCATTTGTTAATTAATCTTTAATGTCTCGTTCATTAAAAATTGTTCGGTAAAAATTATAAATCTGTAAATATCGCTCTTTTGCTCTCATCGTTTAATTTTGAAAATACGAATTAAACCCAAAATAGGCGACAACTGTAAATACACGTACATTGAAGTCAGAAGGATGAGTATACCGTGGTCAGGTCCTTATGATATGCCATTAGTATATGGAATTATCGAGGGAGTACCAGGAATCAGTCATTCATTTAAAATTCATACATAAAGATAAGGATTATATTCAGTTTGGCCTAACTGTACATCCATCTTCAATAACATGATAATAAATAACGAAAAGTTTTCTGTTATATGTATTTAAATCAGTAAGACCACCAATATTATAGTCAGATGTCTGTATATATCTATATATTTATATACAAATGTCTTGTTAACTAAGGCATATCAAAACATAGGAATGTGGGTGTACTAATATGAGGACGTAAAGTGAAATAGTGTTTAAGAATAATGCTGGAAGAAGAGAAAGAGAAAGAAAATAATTAAAATTCAAAGGTAAATAGTTTGCAATAAATTGTTTATCATTAAGGAAATAATCCTTGGTCTACTATAACTTTTGAAATTTCGAATTATAACTATAATTTTTTTGTATTTTGATTTTATTTTTATTTTTAAATAGCATTAACATGCATTTCTGGAATAGGTTCAGTGACAGCAGAGACTAATAGTTTAATCACATCTGATGTCTTAGATTTAGAAATCTTCTTAATTTCTTCTAATTCACCTTGAACGTCTTGTTCAGCTTGCTTCTCTAATTCTGCGGTGCTACCAACATTCTTGGATTCAAAATCTTTCAATTCTTGGTCCTTTTTAGTCTTATAAGCTTCAATTTCTTGAGCAGCATCTGACTTGGCTTGTTTCAATTTATCCTGTCTGTATTTTCTTGACTTGGAGACAATTTCATGAGCTTCCTTTTCAGCCTTTAATAGGGTAGCAATACCGTTTTGTTGAGACTACATCAAAAGAGAGTAACCATAAATAGATAATCAATAGTATGTGTCTTGAAAATGGAACTTTGGGAATAGCTCTTGCACATATATGATAACCTATTTTTGTTTTGTTATACATGTTAGTAAAAAAGAAAAATAACGTAATAGTCTGCGTAATCCAATGCCTACCACTGGAAATACCATTTGATATCCGTCAGCATTACAATACCTTTCTTGAAAGTTAAAAGTAAAATAATAAATATCAAACCTTAGAATTCTTGATTTATTTGTTACATACCATTGTTTATAGTGTTTAACTGTTAGAGTCCGTGTATACTTCTTAATATTCACCGAATTATTCCTATGACGAAAGTATAAAACAATTATATTTCAGTCAATCAAACTCTGGCTCTCTATATATATAACTTTTGATGATTAATTAAAGCTTTCTACTGTAATGGTTCCTTTACCTACCTCTGTCTTCCTTTCTTGCAGCACTAATATTAATTGAAATCGCAGTTGTTGCAGCCATCTCTCTCTCTGTCAATTACAGCCAGAAGAAAAACGAAGCGAAAAAATATAAGGAAAAGTGAAACCTTACATGATCGCGATGTACGAGGTGGAGGGAATGTCTCATTACTATATAACATATTACACTAATATTCTAGAACACGTACATATTGGTATGCCAAATTACAAAGATAGTCTGTCTGTGAAGGGTTGACATTGTTGCCAACATCATCACCATTAAGGGTATCCTGTGATATTTGGTATTCTTTAATTGCTATTTCATTCAATAGTTCTTTAATTTCATTGATTCTACTGGTAAATGTTTCATTAGTACAATTTGTAGTTGTATCTTCAACTTCGATGACCAACCCTTTGAACCCTGTTGAAGAAAATAGGTTAATGCATCGGATGAGACAATTCATAGTCTTGAATGTTTCCCCTGCATCACCTCTCAGTATTTGTCGTTGTTCCCACATATTTGTTAATTTATTACCTAATAAAATATCAAGTGATTCAGGGTATCCCGTACTACAATCGTTCTCTACCAAGTTTTGTACTCTATTATCATCTGTGATCTTACTACCGATAGAAATATCCGAACTTAATAAGAAACCTAATTTATTCTTGATCATAATTGTATTTTCATCATGATGAGAAAAATTCATTGTGTACAATAATTTTGACTGTGAATCCTCGGAATAATTCTTAATTTGTGTTCTATAAGTACGAAACTCAAGGGAACATGTTCCCTCTGTAGATAGCAAATCATTGGCTAATGCATCTTTGAAGTTTGTAAGTGTGGCAGGTGTAGCTCTCTCTATAAATATAACTCTATTTATTAATACAATAATACATATTGATATTATTTTGTTAGTTACTGACAATTCATAATTCTAAAGACAGAAAGCTATTTGGCTTATTGCAAAATTTTTGCATTGTTCATGTTTATGTCGTTTTGATACATACGCTGTCCTAGTCATAGTTTAATTGTATGCTATATGCTTTTCAGGTAATAATATTACGAATATTGATCCAATTTCAATTACAGACAAAACAAGTAAAAGAACTACTGATCACTTATAAGAGAACATATGACTGGCAGAACCCTAACTAACCTATAAAAAGATTGAAAAAATGGTCGAGCTTGCTTTGTCCGTCATCAAAAAGACAAACTAAACGGCTTTTCCAATTAATTCGATTCGATTTGTTTTTGGCTTTTTCTTTGAAGCTTTCCCATCTACACAGAAAACAAAAACAAAAAAAATGTAATGACATATTTCAAATAAAGGTGCATAATATTGATTGGACAATAGATACATATACATACATACATACATATATATATATAGAGAGAGAGAAAGTGACGCCGTTTTGACATATTAGATGTATATTTGGAATTAAAAATTTGTTCAACTCTATATTGTAAATAAATAGATATTATTAATACACTTATTTTGAGTTTCCATTTTTCCTTGATACAAGCTTTGAAGTGATAATTCATTACTGCATAGACATATAGTAAACATTTCTTTTAGTTATTATTTATTGAACAATAAAAATTTTCAGCACATTTAAATTATTACAATATGGATGGGGTAGATGGTATTATCTTGAGTATCTTTGCTTTGTTAGTCACAATTTACTATAAATTTGAAGCTATTAAAGCTATCCTGTATGATGAAACAGAAGAAAGTATTGGTGCAATCTCTAGTAGTGGCTCTAGAGATATTACCACTGTGATCCAAGAAAACGATAAAAATTATATTGTATTTTATGGCTCTCAAACTGGTACCGCTGAAGATTATGCAAAGATGTTTGCCAAAGAATTAGTCGGTAAATTTTCTTTAAAAGTTATGTGTGCAGATGTTGAAAATTTTGATTTTGAAACTTTAAATGAATTGCCTAAAAACGTTCTAGTATCATTTTTCCTTTCAACTTATGGTGAAGGTGATTTTCCTGATAGTGCTGTACCATTTGAAGAATTTTTACTTGGTCTAGATGAACCTGAACAAAGTTTAAATAGATTAAGATTCTCGATGTTCGGTTTAGGTAATTCTACTTATGAATTCTTCAATAATGCTGCGAAGAAAGCAACCAAAAATATGATTAATAGTGGTGCAACTTTAATTGGTAAAGTTGGTGAAGGTGATGATGGGAGTGCTACCACTGATGAAGATTATTTGGCTTGGAAAGAATTGATCCTAGAGGATATTAAAGATGCATTAGCATTACAAGAACACGAACAAGTTTATGAACCTTCTTTGAGATATGATACATTGATTGCTAATACTGTGGATATGGATTCAGTGTCTCTTGGAGAACCTTCTAAACATTATCTTCCATGTAATAAATTACCATTCAACAATCAATTAAATATTCAAACTGGTCCTTTTAATCATAACTTCCCATATCTTGCACCTATTGTAAAATCTAAAGAATTGTTTAGTAATGAAACCGATCGTAGTTGTGTTCATGCCGAATTCGATATTTCTGGATCTAATATCAAATATTCAACTGGTGATCATTTAGCAGTGTGGCCTTCAAATTCAAACGAAGCTGTCAAAGAATTCCTGTTGGCATTTAATCTAGATGAAGATGAAATGTTTACTTTAAAGCCATTGGATTCAACCGTTCAATTACCGTTTCCTTGCCCAACTACTGTAGGAACTGCTGTTCGTTACTATTTGGAGATCACAGGTCCAATCTCTAGACAATTATTTAATGCACTAATTCAATTTGCCCCAAATGCGGACGTTAAACAAAAATTATCTCAATTATCAAAAGATAAAACTATGTTTGCCGAAAAGGTTACCTCAAGATATTACAATATTGCTGATGCTGCATTACATTTATCTGATAATCAACCTTGGAGAACTGTTCCATTTGAATTTTTAATTGAATCTATCCCCGCATTAAAACCCCGTTATTATTCTATTTCATCTTCTTCAAGTTCTGAGAAACAAATGGTTCATATAACTGCTATCGTTGAAAAAAGTATTGTTCGTGATAAATCCTCACCTGTTCGTAGTGCCTATGGTATGACTACTAACTTAATCAAAAATATCGAATGTAGTCAAAATTTTGAAGAAAAGACGATCGATGAGTCTGATATTAGCTTTGATATCGATGGACCTCGTGATTTGTTCCAAGATTATAAACTTCCTGTATTTGTTCGTCGTTCAACTTTTAAGTTACCTTCAAACCCAAAGACTCCAGTTATTATGATTGGACCAGGTACTGGTATTGCACCTTTCCGTGGGTTCATCAGAGAAAGAGTTAAATATCTAGAATTACAGGCTGATTCAAATCTTACCTTAGGTAAGCATTTATTGTTTTATGGTTGTCGTAATGATCATGATTTTTTGTACCAGAAGGAATGGCCTGCGTACGCTAATTCCCTAGGGGAATCATTCCAAATGTTTGTTGGTTATTCAAGAGTCCCTGATACTCCAAAGAAATATGTTCAACATTTATTGAGAGAACAGAAAGAAGAAATAATGAAATTATTGAAAGAAGGTGCTTTTATCTACGTCTGTGGTGATGCAAAGGGAATGTCACAAGATGTTCATGCTACTTTGGTAGACATTGTTGCCGAAGGAATGTCAATTTCCGAACTTGAAGCTACTGATATGTTAAAGATGTTCAAGACTAGTGGTAAGTACCAAGAGGATGTCTGGTAAATAAATGCGTTGCCCTTTTTGTCTACATTCTTTATTATGATCTTATATATATTCATATATTAATATTCATTTGATCTTTTTATTTTTGCAAATGGAACAATAACCAGTAAAATATTAAGTATACCGTTCTGTAATTTGTTATTGTATTTATAAATATATTTGAACAATATCATACTTACAGTTATTACCATTCGATATTTCAAAGAGAATTTATAATTTTTCTCTATTACATGATTTATGTAGATATATCTATATGTTATTATGCAGGTATTTATGATGTTTCACGAGCATTTTCAGAACTTAATATAGCAGAAAATTTGTCTCTTTCTTTATTATCGACTTTAATAGCCTCTAATATTTGATCAGTTACTTTTTCCGTTATATCATATGCCTTGTGACAACATTCCATTAATGTCAAAGCATCCATTGCTAAACCACCTGCTTTAGAAACTTGCACGACTTCTCTATTCTTATTTAATGTCACGGTTAATACACCTTCTCTTAATAGTTCTTCTTTTAAATTTGCATCTATTATCACAATTTCAGAATTCTCTTCACCTTTAATATTCTCTTCAATATCTAATGGATTGAAAAAAGAAAACGTAACACAAATTGGAACATGTAAGATACCAAGAGGAACAGGTTCCCTTTCTTCAACTGGATGTACTATAATCTTTTCACCATGTACAGTAATGTCTGGTTTCTTATAATGTAATAATGCAGCCATTACAGCAATACATGATGCATCGACAAACCCACCATCGCAATCTAAGAAATGTACGTTAGCTCTAATGGCCCAACATTTACGCCCTGCTACTATGCATAACCCTTCAATATCCAAGGCTCCCGATCTTCTAACTGCCTTTTCAATGATTCTAGATATCAGAACTTCATCCTCTCCTGTATTATTACCATTTTCAAACTGCGGTCCTGCCATTGGTGTACTCTCGGTAGAAATAATGAAAAGACCTTCAAAGGGTCTATCTTCATAAGGTTCAGTAATGGAGCTACTGATCTTACAATGCACCTTGGTTTTACCCATCTCTATTAGAACATCACCTAACTCTTCACCAAATTGGATTTTTATATCACGAAATTGATCAAATGTACGATTATCCAGTCTATAGTTTTGTTTCAATGCTTCAAGAATGAATTTTGATTCGGATGTAGAAATTTCAATCTCTTTTGCCATATTGTATTGCTTCTTTGTGTTCAAAAAATGGGTTACTTTGTTCTCGTTTCAATTAATATCTAAAGCAGTCTAAAGGGCTAAAACATATGAAATCGTAACTACTATAAATGTTTTTTTAATCTATTTCTATCTTTTTAATCAGACTAAACCAACACTGTTCATATGGCTTTAATTATTTTTTCACTTTCAGTTTGAATTTCTTCACAGCAAAATTTTGAAAAATAAAGCGATGAGATCATCGTGGAAGATGATACTTTTTGTTCTTGTTGTGGTGGTGTGCAAGTAATCCCTATAAATATTTATTCCATAGCAATGTCTTCGATCCAAATATCAAACGATGTCTGATGAAAGAACAAATTCAAATACATTAAATCAAATTGCTATCCCCGTCATTAAACCGTTTCACAGATGAACATTAGTAATCGCTCGTTTCTAAATCGACATCTGTGACATACTGCTATGTAACTTTAGCGTATATAAAAATGAACGACGTTTCCGGAGAAATCTGTTTTTGTGCAGCGCTTTCTTCGGAGGTTCGTTTAGTGGGGCATCAAGATTAATATATCGGTTATATGGTCAAATTAAATGTGTGTAACTTGGCAATTCTTAAATAAGCAAAGACTTGAAAGATTCTTATCATTAGTTGTCAATTAATGGTTAAGTCTATATAAACATATAACTAGTGACTGTGAAATAATTTTGTTCTGTCATAATTTTGTTCGTTTCTCTTGAAGATATTAATTAATACCAAACAAAAGGTGATACACCATATTGAAAATTATCAAAAATGTCATTTAAATCTTGGTGTGAACTGATAATTACCATATTTTTACTTGCATGGGGTGCAAATTTCTTATTTATAAAAGTTATTATAAATAATAAGAGAGATCTATCCGATATTGCGTTAAATGAACAATCTAACATAACTAGTGTTCGTAAGAAGAATGAAACGGCACTTTATAGAAATTTTTTGGTACCAATTGGATTTCCTCTAACCACTGGGTTAGGATTATCTCTTGGTTACAAGATTAGAAATGGTAATTTTATGGATGTCTGGAAAGCTATAATGGATGTAACTATTGAAAAGAATAATTACATTAAATTTAACAATAGGAAAAAATATACTCTTTCTCAAATTAATGGTGCAGCTAATCATATTATTAAGGAAGTGTATGAAAAGTATGATGTTAATGAAGTAGGTGTAAATATTAGTGTATCAAGTTTTGAAGGGTTCGTAATTAGTATTGCCTCTATGATTCACTCTATAAGAAATTCCGAAGGCAAGGGACTCATGCATTATCTAACTTCTGTCCCTCGTCAAAGATTGTCAAAGGTAGATGTACTAGTGATTGATTCGTGGCAATCATTTAGAATGTTAAATAAGAGTGAGGAGTGGTATAAACTGATCATTGTTTGTGACAACAATGAAAATGTCCTAAAACCAAAGGATTCGAAGACTTTGAAAAATGTAAAGACATGGTCTGAAATTATTAGAAATTACACGGAAGAACCAAAGTTTGAATATGATCCTCCTACTGATAACGCTGATGAATTGAAGTTGTTGTTAAATATTACTACATCTTCTAATGAAACTACCTCATTTAATCAATTGAATTTGGTTAGTAGCATATCTGCCTTCATTAAGACATTCCCATTAGACAATGAATTGTCATCCCGTGATATTATTACAGAAATATGTGATCCATTTTCATTGACCAAGAAAAATCTTCAAGTCTGGTCTAAAGTTTTGTCTGTCTTGTTACATGGAGGTTCTGCGCAATTTATCTTAGATAAAGAAATTGATTTGGATGCTATTAATGATACTACCCTACTAATTGCAAATCCTAAAGCTTTAAGTGATATAGCAAAAACAATCAAGGATAAGTATCCATCTTCATCGTTATTCAGTTCCATCAATCAATCTTTCTCGACGACTTTATTAAGTGAAGGTATCATGAACAAATTATCAAAGTTAAATGTCCCTCAATTACAAAGATTAAGATCCATATATTTAGCAGAAGAGTTAATCAACGAGACACATATTCTATCATTTGATGGTAAAATACCTAAAAGAACCAAGGGTCAAATAAAGGAAAAGTTCACCACTACCAAACTCAATTATTTTAGATCATTGTTTGGATGTAGATTAGTTGTAGAATTGTACTGTCCTTATATTATTATGGGTCCAATTAGTCAAACCAATTTCTATGATTACAGAATATTTCCAAAAGTTGTCGATGAAAATGTCACTTGTGTTGGGTCAATGACAACTACTTTAGAAGGTAAAATTGTTCAAACAGAAGAGAATTCAGAGTTGGATATTGAAAATAGACAAGGTATGTTGTGTGTTCGTGGATTCACGATTGGAAGACCAGTAACAGAAAAACGTTTACAAGATGCTTCCACTATGAGCACTAATATTGCAGGTGGGGAAGGATGGATACCATTAGTAGGGGTCTTCGGTTTATGGGGACAAGATGGATGTCTTTATATATATAATTAAATTATTTTCATTAGCTGGTCTAGTTTTAATATCGTGTGAGGTATTCGTATATTCTCTTAGATTTACTTTTATAAATTACATACATATATATTTATTCTATCATTTACATAATTTACATGTCTCATTTTTGCATTACAAAGTTCATTATTGTTGTTGTTTCGTTGTTGTCTTATCGGTCTCTTGATCATACATTTCATAGTATTTAATCATATTTTAGAACACCACCAACGTTACTCCAAAATTGGGTAATGTATTTCTCTTGATCCTTCTTTGTTGGATCAGAAGTACCCCTGACAGCAAAATAAGTTCTATTATCAACTGGAATATCCCATTCATTATTATTAGCGCCAACAATTCTACCACCAGTTTCGTTTAGAATACACCAACCGGCGCATACATCCCAAGAATAACAACCTCCATCCCAGTAGCTGTCCAAATATCCCAAAGCAATGTACGCTAGAGACATTGCCGATGATCCAAGGTTTCTGAAACCATGAACAAATCCACCATCTGCAGATAACAGGTTTTCGTATGTTCTCATCTTTGTTTTGAAATTATTACCTTCTCTTGCAGAACCAGGTTGTAGTGCTACTATGGACTTGTTAATAATTAGTGTACCCATTGATTGAATCTTTGTCTTATAATCAAAATCTTCTCCATTCAGTCTAACACCATTTCCTTTGGAGGAAGATATCAGTAAATTCAAATGAGGATTATAAATTACTCCTACGACGGGAACTTTATTAATAGTCAATCCCATTGAAGTGCAACTGAACGGAAAGTCATGGACAAAGTTTGTCGTACCATCGATTGGATCAACAATGAAAGTAGGTTCGTTCGTAATTTTAGTGACACCTTTGACATAACCTTCTTCGCCTACAAATTGAAAGGTTGGGAATTCAACCTTTAAGGAATCCCATATAAGTTTTTCTACTTCTTTATCAATAGCAGTAACAATATCTACCTGTCTAGAACCAGTCTTCAAATCATATTCACTTTGAGTACCAGATTTAGTCTTGATAATTGGACCAATTTTCTTCAAAGCCAAATTGCATAAAAAGCCTTCAACGTATCTTAGATCTATTGTCATTATTAACTTAGAAAAATATTATGGTTGGCTGCTAAGTGCTTTTCATCGTACAATATATCGAATTATATTAATTGGTTTTAAAGGTAATTTATGATGTGTTGCTTCATTTGATGTTAGATACATTTTGATTATATAATAGAAAATAATGACTCGGTAAGCAACTGACAGAAACAGAAAATGGTGGATGACGAAATTTCGGTAAAATTTTCAAAAGGAAACGATCGTTCTTCGGATAATTCTATGTAGTTTTACCGACCGGTCAGTAACTAGTTCTGCATTAACTAAGAGGAGGATGAGGTAACATGTACTATAGCTATTATCCATTAAATTTTATAGCAACAGTATCACTTTATAATATTTTAGCATAAAATTACATTACGTATGAGTATATAGGTATATATCTGTTATAAACTCAAGAAAATTCAATTAATTAAGCTAAGAACTTCTTCTCCTTCAAATATTTCTCTACGTCTTCAGCATCTCTTGCTACCCATTGGGCCTTAGATTCAACTGTGTCGATGGCTTGTGCCAGACTCTTGTCATAACCCTTGGTATCTTTTGATTCAAAGAATTCTTTGACCATGCTGATATCTTGATAAGATGTGAAACCAGAGATAGTAACGTTTAGCACATGACCTAATAAAGGAGAACTTGGATGTAATCTCTTAACAATTAAATCAAGGTTCTTTTGTAACCAAGCCCACATAGCCAAAACACCTTCCTTATGACCTCTCATCGAGACCAATGGAATGTATATATCTTGGTTTAAGATAGTACCATCTATAACATAGCCAAGAGTTCTTTCGATCAAATTAGCATCCTTGAAACCACCTAGTACTCTCAAAGCAGCAATCTTTTCATCTGAGTTTTCAGTCTCCTTATAAATTTTTAGAATACTTTCGTAATCCTCAACAGAACCATTCTTTGCTACAACAGAAAAGACATAAGGTCTGATCAAAGCTGGGATAGCATCTTTGTCACCAGAAATTCTCTTTTTAAACATGTCGAAGGATAATTTGACGATGGAGTCAAGGTTACATGTAGCAGCAGTTCTAAATAGTACAACCTTCAAACGTTGGTCATCATAGGATTCTGCAGAATCAAATGTCCACTTCATCTTTTTCACCTTGCCACTAACGATACTAGTCATGTATTTTACAATAGAATCTTGAACTTTGTCGTCAGCGAATAGCCATGCAGAACGAACAGAGTTCAAACTATTACAAATTTGTTCCCATACAACGAATGAATCTTCATCCTTCCAAGCAGCAATCAGATCTAGGAAAGAAGTAGACGAGATATAACCTGCAGCAGAAAGATTCTTAGCGTCTGCGACAAGACCAGTACGATCTTCGACAGAAAACAATTTTCTTTGCTTACCAAACGTAGACCATCTTTTAGCAGGGTATGCAGTGATAAATAAACCTGCTTGATCACTGTTAATCTTATAGAAATCACCATATTTGATGTCAAAGGATTTGATCTTTTCATCAAGAACCAAAGAGGTGTCTACACCATTCTTAGTCTTAATGGATAAAAATACAGGATAGATGGTTTCATCTTCTTCTGGTTGGACATCACCGGTACTTAAATAACGATGTTGAATAAATGTCAATTTGTTCTTACTTTCAATGACAGTAATCAATGGGAAACCAACTTTCTTAGTCCAAATTTTCATAACCTTATTAACGTCTTTACCAGATGCTGCTGCAAGGTGATCCCATAGATCTTCGGTCTTAGCATTACCATACTTGAATTTATTTAAATAATTTGATACACCTTTGATAAATGTTTCTTCACCTAACCATTTAGAAACCATTCTCAACAAAGAAGAACCCTTCGAGTAAGAAATAGCATCAAAGATTTGATTAATTTCATCGGCATTCTTCACTGGAACTTCAATAGGATGGGATGATCTTAACGAATCTAAACCAATGGCACGTTGCAAATTGTCTGAAACGTATTGTTCCCAAACTTTCCATTCTGGTTGGAAATTGTTACAAGAATACCATGACATCCAAGTGGCAAAACCTTCATTTAACCATAAACCTTCCCACCAGTCCATAGTTACCAAGTTACCAAACCATTGATGAGCCAATTCATGTTGAATCACTTCAGCAACTCTTTGAACACGATCCAAAGATGCATTTTTTTCATCTAATAGTACGTCAATTACTCTATAAGTTACTAAACCCCAGTTCTCCATGGCACCTGCAGAAAATTCATGTACAGCAACCATATCCATCTTTGGTAATGGATATTCAATGTTAAATGTCTTTTCAAAGAAAGTCAAAGTTCTAGAAGCCAAATCAGCAGCAAATTGACCATTGGCTTCATCGCCTGGAGTAGCATAGACTTTAACTGGAGTACGACCAGAATTATTTTCAACATATTTCAAATCAGCTACAATAAAAGCTACTAAATAAGTAGACATATCTGGAGTTGGATTGAATGAAGTAATCTTCTTGTTATCATTAATTTTTTCTTCATTGACATCCATATTGGATAAATGTGTTAATGATACATCAGAAATCAATTCAATAGTGAATTTAGCCTTTAAATTAGGTTCGTCAAAACATGGAAACGCTCTTCTAGCATCGGTAGCTTCCATTTGAGTAGTAGCCATATATTTAGTTTCACCTGTAGTTTTATCTTGATATTTGGCTCTATAGAAACCAGCCATTTGATCATTCAAAATACCAGTAAAAATAGTATTTAATTTTACTTCAGAAGATTGAGCTAAAGTACCTTCTGGGAAAGAGAAAGATACAGTTTGATTTTCAGTATTGAATTCAATTTTAGTAGCTTTAATTGATTCATCTTTTCCATCAATTGTAACTTCATGGATATCTAATTCCACAGCATTTAAAGTAATAACGTCATTAGTTTTGTCGTTAACTTTTAAATCAATGCTAGTTTTACCATTGAACTTGAATGTAGAAAAATCAGGTTCAAATGATAGATAGTAATGTAATGGAGTAACATTAGTTGGTAGGATTTCACGATCTGACATGATGAACAAATAGTGTAATTCTTAATCAGGTAAAATATGATTTTTTCACTTATATAAGTTTTCCTTTAATATCAATTGCAAGAGAAAATAATTGCAAAGTTTAAAATATAATATAATGAAATAAATCTAAAGTTTTTTAATTTTGTTTTCCTTTTATTATTCTTTAGGTTCTAGTTTGCCGACAAGAATCTGCATCTACTACTCCCTCAACGATGTCCCTTTTCTTTGCATCTCCCATATGAGTATTATTCTCTTAATTACTAAGAAGGCCCCGGTTAGATGAAATTTTCATTGTTTACTAACTGCAGTGTTTTTTCAATATTTGTAGCTTCCTGTAATTTATTTTGTTTTTTCCACTGTCGACTGTAAATTATTTCAAGTCAAATAGGCGGGGAGAGATTAGACCGCTCCTCTGATAGAATTCCATTTTTACTATAATTTTCCCGTATTTTGTTTGCAGCAAAGCAAACAAAATGGAAAGCAAAATGAAATTTTCAGAGTTTTCAGAGCTTTTTTCTATTTCAATTTGGACAGATGACACATAAAAACTCTTCCACTGAAGAATAAATCATTACTAAACTGGAAGACGAACCGGAAAATGTGTCAACCAACTGTTGGAAAGAAAAAAAGGCAGCACATTAATGCTTGGTTTTCTTATTTTTCTTGTCACATTATCGACTGTTTGTTTTCTTGACTAATATTACAAATTTAACTGAGTTCTACTCTTGCTAATTTATCTTGGCTTTTTATTACATCCTTTTCTATCTTATAATGAACAAAAAAAATTTATCAATACTGCGACTATATTTTTAGAGATGAAACGCAAATTCTGATCAATTTAATGGCCATGGTATCAGGAGTTATATCTCCTATTTATTTTGTTAACAGTTTATAATATCTTTCTGATTATTCTAATACATGCATAGATCGTAATTGTTTCTACCAAAAATATTTCTTAGTTTCATAAATTTTTATTAACATTATTTAGTATCTCGATATATTTGTTTTCAGCATATCTTACAGAGAATATTAATCACCGAATAATAAAATGAATAAATAAATAACGTGTATAGACACCATTTCCCATAAAAACTGGGACAATCAAATGTCAACGAACAGTCGCATATGTTATATGGTGGAGAAGTATATTTAAAATAATATAATGTATATTAGAAACTACGTTTTCTTGTAATAAACACGACCAAAAAGATAAATATATGTAATTTTTATCTCCATTCATCAACAATACTTCGGTGATTGTGACTAAGATTACAAAATAGATATTACTGTATTTTTTGTCTAACAGTTAAAACTCCTATTAGTACCTATTTTGTTCTAGAGAACAGAATTAACAGTAATATGATTGAAACAAATTATTACAAATATTACAGTTTAACTCCATGCTTTCAGGAGGAAATAAGAAAAGTATTATCAAAAAATCGTTTTCAAATTATGGTTCGACCGATTCCGAACAGTTATTTCCGAAGTTTACTAATTAAATTGTTCGGAGATAACTTGATGTCAAATTTTTTCATTCTTTTTATTTTGTTTGATTTTCTCGATGAGATGAAAACAGTAAGCCGCATTATGAAGTATTGGATAAATAGAAGGAACAATGTCTCAACTTTTATCATTGTGATTACCTAATAATAATGAGAGTCATGGTAAAATCCTTTTACTTTATGCCCTTTCCCATATTTCGTAAAGTAATTGATTTAGATTAAAAATTTTAAATTTTTTTGTTCACAAATTCTTAAATTGTTTATTAGATTATATATATAGGGTTCAAACCTAGATTTATACAATCATATATAATTTTAATTAAATAGTCATAATAGTCGTACACCATATTCAACATAAAATAATATGCGAACTGCAGATCTAGATAAAGAAACCATGGATATCCGAACTTCTGACGCTTCCTCTATTAATAGTAGCAATGTTGATGATGTCGATGTCGTCAATTCTATTTATTCATCCTTATCAAGACCAAATGGTAATGTTATAAGCGAAGATATTGGTAGTAAATTGGAACATTTATCTACAATCACCACAAGAGAAAAGATTGAAAATAAAATTTCTGATTATGATGTTACTTTTATTAGTGACGGTCCACCAGATCCAGAAAATGTGACTAAGTTTTACTCCATGTATCGTAAGTATTACATATCTTTGTTAATTACTTTCACTTGTATGGTTATCACTATGATTTCTTCCAGTTGGACATTTGTATCACCTCATGTTATGAAGAAATTTAACATCTCTCATGAAGTTAGTATTTTGGGTATTACATTGTACGTCTTTGGGTTGGCCTTTGGTCCTTTGTTCTTATCTCCATTAAGTGAACTGTATGGCCGTAGGTATACCTTTATCATTTCATTGGTCTTGAGTATTTCAATGCAGTGTTTGACTACGTGGTCTCGTACTATTGCTGGTGTAATGATTGGAAGATTCTTAAGTGGGTTCTTTGGTTCTTCATTTTTAAGTGTTGCGGGAGGTACTTTGGGTGATCTTTTTGATAAAAGTACGATTACTGTTCCAATGGCAATTTTCACTAGTGCTGCTTTCTTAGGTCCTTCATTAGGTCCAATTATATCTGGTGCATTCTACACTACTGATTATAGATGGACATTTATTACTTTTATTATTGCGTCTGGTGTTTGTTTAATTCTAATTATCTTTACTGTTCCAGAGACGTATCCGCCAATGTTATTGATTAATAAAGCTAAACGTCTTAGACAAGAAACTGGTGATGATAATTATATTGCTCTTTTGGAAACAGTTCGTTCAGAGACCTCATTGATCTCTGCTGTTTTCTTATCTTCAAGAAGACCCTTTGCACTTTTATTCCGTGATCCAATGATGGGTGTCCTGTGCTTTTATACAGGATTCGAATTAGCCATTATATACTTATATTTTGTCGCTTTCCCTTACATATTTGAAAACGTTTATGGATTTGGTGTCATGGGCGTAGCTTGTGCTTATATTGGTATGATGGTTGGTATGATCTTTGGTGCATGTACATCTTTCTATTTCAAAAGAAGTTACGATCGTAAAGTTGCTGCTAATAATGGTAAAAGTACCCCCGAGATGAAATTCGAACCATTATTCTATGGCGCATTCTTAACACCAATTGGTTTAATGATATTTGCTTGGACATGTTATCCTCAGGTTCATTGGATAGGTCCGATCATTGGAAGTGGTATATTCGGTGCAGGTGTATTTTATGTATTTACTGGTGTATTCAATTATACAGTCGATGCATATAGAAAATACGCTGCATCAGGGCTTGCTTGTAATGCCTTTGTGAGATGTGTCATGGGTGGTGTCTTCCCATTGTTTGGACTACAAATGTATAAGAAAATGGGTATCAATTGGGCCGGTTTTTTTATTGCTATGATTACCGTGCTATTAATTCCAGTACCATTTTTATTTACAAAGTATGGACCTTACTTGAGATCTAAGTCACCTTACACATGGACAGAATAAAATTTCTAAGAGTTCTGTCTCTTCCACCAAAAAAAATAAAATAAAAAACAACAACATTAAACCTTTGCACAATTAGGAAATAGGATGATTAATGATAATACGCACAAACTTATGTGTATTATCGTTCGTTTATTTCCCGAATCATTTAGTATTAGATATACATTGCATTTTATTCACTTTACGTGTTATATAATTAGTTCATTAGAATACACATATTCTTTTTTTTTCTATATATGCTACTTAAGATCATTCAAATAATCGATAACGCAAGATGTCGTTATTATAGTAAAAATAATATAGTTAACCTCATTCTTTTTAAATATTTAAACTTGTAATAGAACAGGGAATGAGACTACACTTAATTGAATAATTTATGCAAAAAAAAAGAGTTGTTTCCTGTAACAGCATAAACTTGTATTAAACAAACTGTCAAAGATATGTGGTCTATTTACATGAAAGGGAATACTGATGATTTGGTTGCACTGCTGTCATACTTAATTCCTTAAACAAATATTTCTAGTCTTTCTCTCTGCATATCAAAAAATGGTGAAAATATTAATGAAAATTTTACGGTTTCTGTTCTCCTGCGGAATTTTCTTGGTCAATAACGGTCGGTGTTTTAATCAAAATTTATTGTACGTAATTGAAAAATATGAATGTAAGCTTATATACGTAGGATCTCTGTTTATTACTGAGCAATTCTCGAGATGTTTGTTGCATCAAGTATGCGTCTTTATACACTTCTATCTGTATATCATATTTTATATATAAATGTAGCAATATGTTCAATTGTGAAAAATGGGAAGTTCTAGTAAATATTTTAAAAGAGAAAATAACTATATAAAGCCACCTAAGCCAAACATTAAAAATGTCTACTACTGTCCCTAAGCTACTATTCCTACAAGGTTTCCTACAAAACGCTAAAGTTTTCTCTGAAAAATCATCAGGTATTAGAAAGCTCCTAAAGAAGGCTAATATTCAATGTGATTACCTTGATGCACCAGTTATGCTTGAAAAGAAAGATCTTCCATTTGTAATGGAAGATGATAAATGGCAAGCTACTTTAGATGCTGATGTCAACAGAGCGTGGTTTTACCATAGTGAAATTTCTAAGGAATTAGACTTGACTGAAGCAATCGATTATGTCGTTAAATATATTAAGGAGAACGGTCCATATGATGGTATTGTTGGATTCTCTCAAGGTGCTGCTCTTTCAACTATATTAACAAACAAAATTACAACATTGATTCCAGAACATCCAGAATTTAAAGTCAGTTTAGTTATCTCTGGTTATTCTTTCACTGAAGAAGACCCAGAACATCCCGGTGAATTGAGAATCACTGAAAAATTCCAAGATGCTTTTACTCCAAAGAAGGATAGTAAGACTAAAATGATGTTCATTTATGGTGAATCAGATCAAGCTGTTCCTTGCGTTAGAACCAAATATCTAATTGATCTGTATAAAAAGTCTGGTGTTAGTGAAGATTCTATCAGCGTTTTCCCACATCCAGGTGGTCATATGGTTCCTAACAAAAAGGATATTATTAGACCAGTCGTTGAACAAATCGATAAGGCTCTTAAGGATTAAGAGATATGATATTTATTTTTCGATTTTTTTGTGAAGCTGGAGTCTTTTAAGAATATAAAGGTTTTTGTTTTATTCAGTTATCCCAGATTTATACGGAGTTGATTATTAAAACTGTTTCATATATAGCATTATTTTTATAGAATACTTGTCACATACTTAATACAACGAAATACATTAAGAATTTTTTGACACATTTTTGCATTGTTGTGGAGGGAATTGTTTCCTCCAGTATATTATCAATTAGAGTTTTCACCTTATCTGTTTTGTTTGGTATAAAGAATTATATATATATATAAATATTAATATTAGCAGTAGGCTAACTTTTTAGGCATGTAATCATTATGTCGTTCTGACGGTACATGAATACTCTTACTTCATTTTTTCAGTGTTACTTACAGCTGCAGATCATAAATTAAAATGAGGAGCTTATGTTACCATTTCTGTTGCAACACAGATATGTTACGAATTTAAAAATATCATTTAATAAGTCACAAGTTTATTGGTCTCTTTCTCTCTTGAGACTCAATAAACATTCCTTCCATTCATGATTTATTTGTAAAAATTCTTTCCATTTTGCTTTTTGAAGGTGCTGCTGTATTTACTTAGAACAGCCGCTTATTGAGAGGGGCAAATATGTGAAAAATGGAGAAAATAACAACAGTAGGTTTCTAGAATGAAAACACGACAGTTAAAAAAATATGGTGCATAAAAACAAACAACTATATATATCTTCCCTGATTTGAAGACATAAGAAGCTGAATATACTCGTTCATTTTGTTGATTGATAAAAGAATTACTGCGATTTCTATCGTTAATATTGGAAACTATCAAAACAGTTTTGGAATCTTCTATACTTTAATAAACACGAAAAGTTTGCAAACAAAATAGCTCATAATTTAAAAATAACCAAAATCTTATATACCCACAATTCATCAAATATTAAATGGAACAACAAAAATATGAGCACCTAGCGACAGATGAAAACGTTGAAGTAAATGAAGCCAGTATAAAAGATGATGTCCCTGGAAATAGTTCAATGAATGCAGATGTTATAGATTTCATACGGCCCACATCGTTGAATTCCGGCTACGCACATGATGACTCAAAGAATAGACTAGTACAGGTACTCTTAAAATATATGAAGTTTGTAGGCCCTGGGTTAATGGTGTCGGTTTCATACATGGATCCCGGTAACTATAGTACGGCTGTTGCAGCTGGTTCAGCACATCGTTATAAGTTATTGTTTTCCATATTAGTGTCCAATTTCATGGCTGCATTTTGGCAATGTCTGTGTGCTAAATTAGGTGCAGTTACAGGTTTAGATTTAGCTCAGAATTGTAAGAAACATTTACCATATGGTTTGAATATAGCATTATACATCCTTGCAGAGATCGCCATTATTGCAACAGATCTTGCAGAAGTTGTTGGTACAGCAATCTCACTGAATATATTATTTGATGTTCCTTTAGCTTTAGGTGTTGTCCTGACAGTGGTTGATGTTTTGATAGTGTTGATGGCATATAAACCTAATGGATCTATGAAATGGATTAGAGTGTTCGAAGCCTTCGTTTCAGTTTTAGTGGTCATGACTGTAATATGCTTTGGTATAGAATTATTTTATGCCGACTTAGGACCTGCTAAAGAAATCTTTAAGGGTTTTTTACCAAGTAGAGCAGTTATCGATGCCGATGGATTATACTTAAGTTTAGCTATTCTTGGTGCCACTGTAATGCCTCATTCTTTATATTTAGGATCTGGTGTTGTTCAACCAAGATTAAGAGACTACGATATTAATAAAGGTTACTATAAACCAGATTTAAACGATGTGGAAAACAATCATGATAATTATAAGCCATCCTTTGAAGCCATTAATGAGACATTACATTATACAATGGCAGAACTATTGGTATCTTTGTTTACAGTTGCGCTATTCGTGAATTGTTCAATTTTAATTGTCAGTGGTGCTACACTTTATGGTACTACTCAAAATTCTGAAGAAGCCGATTTATTCTCTATTTATAAATTACTTTGTAGCACTCTATCAAAGAGTGCAGGTACAATCTTTGTTGTCGCATTGTTATTCTCTGGGCAAAGTTCAGGTATTGTATGTACATTAAGTGGACAAATGGTTAGTGAAGGGTTTTTAAATTGGACTATTGCACCAGCATTGAGACGTTCTGCGACAAGAGCTGTTGCTATTACTCCATGTTTGATCCTTGTCCTAGTGGCAGGTCGTAACGGTCTATCGGGTGCATTGAATGCCTCTCAAGTGGTCCTTTCTTTGTTATTACCATTTGTGTCTGCACCATTATTATATTTTACTTCGAATAAAAAAATTATGAGAGTTCAAGTGAATGGTAATAACGATTGTCAACAATATACAAAATCTACAACAGGATCAATCGATAAGTTTGCTCCACATTTTAGCGCGGAACAGGAACAGGATGAATATATGGTTGATGAAAGCATAGAATTACAAGATTTAGTGGAATCAAACTCTAAGCAATCAAACATCAATACCAATACGAAAACAAGCATTATAGATAGTAGTGATAACGTAATACCAGAATATAAAGACATGAGTAATGGTCCGTTTACTACTATTGCTGCTATAGCAGTGTGGTTACTTGTATCTGTATTAAACTTTTACATGTTAGTCAGTTTTGCAAGTAACCAAGAGGTTCATGTGTAACAAGAACAAAAAAACACAACAATTTTATATAAAGCATTTACATCATTTAATTAACATATTAATAACTACCATTTGGGAACAAGTCGTCATTGTAGGCAATTAAAAACAGTAGAAACAAAGCCCTAATAAAGGATCTATATTTGTAGTCAACAATTATCACTTAGAACGGAACCCTGGCGAAGCATGTAAAACCCCGGGAACCTTCCCGTGCGCCATCACAGAGGACGGTGAGCAGCCAATCGACCAATCAACGTTCAATTTCGGTTCATTTGAAAAACAAAACTTTGACCGACAAACCCGTGAAGCTTGTAAGAGTAAGTAAGGTTATGCTCACCCTCCGTTGCCTCTTGTCTGTACATAATTATTTCTCTAACTGTAAGTAACGGGGTTTCACTGCAAGACCAATCAATATATTGACATTTATTGTTAAATCGATTGTTAATAATAAGAAATAAGAGCATGTCACCTCTCTCGCTGGTAGTAAGACTGGCAATAATAGTTGGAAATCAAGACCAACTCTGAACAATTTATGTGCTTTTGTGCTTTTGTGCTCTGTACTCTCTGTATGTGGATAGAAGATGCTATTGGGCGAATAACAAATCATATAATTAATTGAAGCTATTATGAAATTGGCAAAATAGTTCGACTGTTTCTTGTGCTGTTTTAATAATCTATTTGGTGTCTTCGAAATTATGAATTCTCCGATGCATAGATTCTTTCGCTGTTCTCTCCGAGAGCCCAATTAACTCTAATCATTATTATGGAGTACGGTATAATTATATAGATATATATATATAAGTAGAAATAAGAAGTAATGGGTAGTGTTTTTGTCTTTTCTTTGAAATTTTGTTTAATAAATTTATTTTATTTATGCTTGGTTGACACGGAGATCTCGCTTCTATATTACTTTCATATATAAAAAGGATTAAATTTCATAAACAATATTTTTTAAAAGAATTATCATATTTATTTTTTGTTACATACTAAACTCGAGAAATATCTTAAGTTAACAAGAATATAACAGATACAATTTTATAACAGATTATACACTAATAACACTAATTTTGTTCATTAATTTTTTTTTGTGTTTACTTCCCTTTTCATTACCATACAATTACAAATAAAATTCACATAAAAATGCTATCCAGAGTTATTTTGAGAAATCCAATTGCAACTAGATCCTTAATGACAGTTGCTAGACCAACTGCCTCAACCCTACTACATTCAAGAAGAACTCTAACGCCTTTCTTAAATTCTGGTCTACAAATTAGAAAATATTCTGAGCACGCAGATGAAGAAACCTTTGAAGAATTCACTTCAAGATTCGAAAAAGAATTTGATGAAGCTTATGATTTATTCGAAGTTCAAAGAGTCTTGAACAATTGTTTCTCTTACGATTTGGTTCCTGCTCCTGTTGTATTAGAAAAGGCTTTAAGAGCTGCCAGAAGAGTTAATGATTTACCAACTGCCATTAGAGTATTTGAAGCTTTAAAATATAAAGTTGAAAATGAAGATCAATATAAAGCCTACCTAGAAGAACTAAATGGTGTTAGAGAAGAATTAGGTGTACCATTGAAGGAAGAACTATTTCCAAATGCACCAGCTGGTCCAGGTCTAAACTAAACTAAAGTTAAATTTGAACTACTAAAGAAACAGACAAAATAAAACTGTGTGTTTAGTTTAATAGTGATATGTTTTTTTTTATTATAACCTCATTTCAATATCTTTTCCTTTTATTTATTCCCTTCCTTTAATATTTTTATTAAAAATATCTCAAGTTTTATGTGTGTGTATTTTTACAACCTTAATTTATCCAATAACACTTTTTTATCAAGATGCATTTCTAATCATTTTCTAAAGATGGATTTCAATCAGTTTGAATAGATAGATGGTATTTTGATAAATATATTCCCTCCTATAACCCTTCTTTTTATTTATCCCTTTTTCTTTTTTCTCTCTCTCGTTAATTTTATGTTTTCTGTTAGCTACTAGATGTAGTTAAAAATGACTCTCAAGTGATTAGTGAACTTTGGCAACCAGACTTGTCAAAAAAGAAATTCTAATCTTGGGAAGAGGGAGAAAGAAACCAAATGTATATGTAACTCTATATATATAGATATATATATAAATTAAATTACCTAAACCTTTAAGATAAGATTCATAATATTTAGCCATTATATTTTCTAAAGTTTTCTTTTTACCAAAGATGCCTATGCAGTTAATTTATGTAATTTAAAGGTTATATACCGACTAATATTTTGTATTAATAAAGGTTCGTTAATGCTATTGAATTAAAAGTAAATAGTAAGAATTATTTAAAGTGTTATACAAATTAGGGAAACGTGATGATATTGAACTAACAGATGTAAAATATTGTTATGCGTAAAGTCATTGAGTATTTACCTTTGGCAAGTTTGTTAATTTTATTCATCATCGCTATCTAAGAGAGCACCGGTACTTCTTTTACTTCTTTCTTCGCCGTATTCTGCTTCATCGTCATCATCATCGTCATCTACTATTCTTCCACCTATGTTACTTTTAGCAGAAGTTCCTTCCTCATCAGAATCACTTTCGTAATCACTACTGGATCCTTCATCTTCTTCAGAGTCACTTGCTTTACCTTGATTCACTTCTTCGACAGCGTCAAACCAATCACTATACACATCTACAGGTTGTGATAATGCATTTATACGTGTTTGGAAACTTTGCCCACAAATCTTACAATTCAAGGAACCAATACTATTCCTTTTGTCCAGTTTACATGATACTGAATTTTCATGATTACAAAACAAACAATTAAACTTGGTGTCTAATTTTTGAACTTGTTTCTTAGCTGGACCTCTAGATGACTTCTTTCTCTTACCCATGGTGTATACGTTTCCGTTGTTTTCTTATATGATTAAGTAAAGTTTTCCTACCACAGCAACTCTAACTAAAATGTATGGTCATTTCTATAAAAGAGCTTTTGTTGTTGTATGTTTTGCATTTTTCGTCAAAGTCTACTAACATTGAAACTGATATTGTTTGTTAGAGTCAAATGCCATACAAATTCAAAATATTTTCTTTGCTACCCGATTGGTACATTTGAACACTACATACTCTCTCTTTTAGGAAATACTTTCCATATTAGGCAAAGTATGTCACTATACACGTTCTAAATTATTTTATAAATTATACATACAGATAATACCTACTTACTTGAGTATATTAACAAAAAAGGTTACTGCTAGTTATTTAATAATTATTTATTGACTTTATGCCATAATTCACAGATGTGAATAGTTAAATACATTGATGCAATCTTATTTTGTATATATAGCTTGGGAAAACCCTCCAATACTTTCGAATACAAAATACACCATATGTAGTTAACAGTATTTTCAAAATGAAATGGCCTGTTATTATTTTTGGATCAGTACAACAGTTTCGTGTGTCGTTTGAACTCAATAACAGTAAATGTCAAACTTCTATATACATACACTCTATAAAGCCTCATATATCGTCTGAAACGATATTTACCACAAAACTAACAAAATATTAGCTGCAGAAAAACAACGAAGACGAAAATTTTTCGCTCACTGAAAATTTAAGAAAAAATAAAAATATTATTTTCAGCATTGCAATCTCATCGCATCTCATCTCATCTTTATCATACTAATACAAATTAAACTTGAACAATTTTTTGTCATATTTAACAGTAAATAGTTACTATTTTTTGCACATTTTTTCCTTGTTGAACTAATTGGAATAAGAACTACTCTAACTATAACAATATATTATAGAAAAAATGGCTAAAGCTAGTACACCAAAGAGGGGTGAATCTAAGAATTCAAGCAAGAAATCTACTCCAGTCAATACTCCATCCAAACAAAAGAAGAAGAACAGTAAGAAGAGTACACCAGCCAAAGAAGAATCTAAGGATAATGTTCCAACAAAGAGAATCTCTAATGCTGTTGAACAACTAAACAAGTACACAACTGAATCAAAAGAAAAAGATGACGGTAAAAAATCTTTACTTGATGATGAAGATGAATTAAATAAATCCTTAAACCTTATCGTTGTCAACACTACATCATTTTCGGGTCCAACTAAGAACTTTAAATTGAAGATGCTTGAAGTTGGTCATTCTTTATATGCTCCATGGAAGGAGGCTAGTACTACTTCTGTCAAAGACTTTAAAACTTTATTGATCCTAAAGGATAACGACCATGGAAAAGTTTCAGAAGATGACCTAAATGAAACTCTGAACGAATCAAGCATTGGTATTGATGAAATAATAACCGGTAAAGAGTTGAAGACCACATACAAAGCGTTTGAAACAAGAAGAGCCTTCATTTCTCAATTCTCTCTGATTTTAGCTGACGACAGTATTATTACCTCATTGCCAAAGTTATTAGGTAGTAAAGCTTACTCTAAATTAGAAACTACACCAATACCAATAAGGACACATTCTAATAAGGAATTTTCAAATGTTACTTTAGTCAATTCTATTAAGAAGGTTTATCTACATCAATTGCCTGTTAAAATTCCTCGAGGTACAACTATGAACGTTCATTTAGGTAACTTAGAATGGTTCAAACCTGAAGAACTTGTCGAAAATGTCGATTCTGTTACCAAGAAATTGATTGAATTATACAATATTAGATCTATCTTTATTAAGAGTAACCAATCCCCAGTTCTGCCATTGTACTACAACAATGATCTTCTTGAAGAATTGGCTGCCGCAAAGAAAGATGCTATTGCTCATCAAAATGATACTATTAAGATTGACGGTGTTGAAGTTCAATTATCAAACTTTGACAAGGCCTTAATGGAAATTGCTAATCCAAAGGAATTGACCAATTTATTTGCTAAGCAAATTTCTGATGCTAAGAGATCCATTGATGATGAAGATAAAGTGGAAGAAAAACAAATTAAGAAAGCCAAGAAATAAATAATCAAATAAATATATTAGTGTTTTTTGAATACCAATCAACTAACAAAAATTGTTATAGCAATGTGTATATTATAAAAATCTTGTTCGTTTCCCTTGACGAACTATTTGCATATAATTAATAGAATTACAATAATAGTATTTTTTCTGTATTTTTTGTTAGGAATAACGATTTAAAAAAATTGTACGGCTTAATGACCGAAAGCTTTAACAAATTAAAATTACGACACAAAATATTATTTAGTTAGAAGTGCCATTTCTTAGTAATAATGGGAAATGTATATATAAATAATAAAAACAGGTATCGAATCTTATTTAATATTATTGTTCATAAATATAGTAATTTTTTAATGTTTATTATATTTTTGATTATATTTTAATATTTTGGTTTTAAAGTACATAAAAACAAGGTATCACGAGATTTTTTGCGTATCAGACACCATGACCATTGAAGAGATAATAGATTCATTTAAAATAATTGTTAACCAAATCGCCGAGGAATGGGATACTATAATGAAACTCCCAACCTTTCTAGATTGCGATATAATTGAAAGATTAGAAGAAAAATTAGATGTTGTTCAAAGGCAAAATTATTCTATTATTATTGATTTAAATAATATTAAAAGAGAATTACAATTAGACAAAAGAGAAGAAAATATTATATTTTGTAGTCAAGATAATAATGACAAAAATGAAACAACCAAAATAATTTCAAGTTCTGGGCTTTTTTTAGAAAGTTCTCCAATATCACCAAACTCAATTGCAGCAGTTAGTCAATATCTTCAAATTGATGAAGATGAAGTAGAGAATGTCATGTCTCAAGTTCCTTCAAGTCACGACATTCCGCAACCTGAATGTTTTGAAGGAAAACATGAAGAAAACATATACCACATTCGGAGTGAGCCTCCATGTGAAGAAGGAATTTTACAGGACACAATACCAATTTCGGAAAATAATAAGATAGACCAAGCCTGTGGGTCTATATCGGTAAAACGATTTGATCTAAATATGATTGAAGCTCCAAAGACAATAAAGCAACTGTATGATGATTTTGACAAAAATTTAAGATTTCAAATTAAAGATTTTGAAAATCAATTTGGAAAGGGTCAATTGAGTAAATTGAACAAAATAAGAACTTATCAAAGGAGGAGAGCACTGATTAATGAGATCGAAAAATTTAGTACTATGTTTTCTATTGATATTAGGATAGCTATTGAAATATTTGAAAAATACAGAACCGTAAGAGGTCGGACAGTTCCCTTCTTATACAATAATTTAACATCGGTAGTTATGGAAATTAAAACTGAATATGAATCAAGTTATTATTAATGTATATTTTCTAGAATTTTCAAGTTCATTAAATTTTAAAACGAAGAAATATATAAATACTTCTTTGATACATACACTCAACTAGAAAATTAAATAGTTATTATTTTAATGACGAAATAAATAATTGAAATATATTGGAATGATTTCGTATTGGATTATGAAATCAGGTACTGAAATAAATATATGCTAATTGTGAGTTGAAAGAAATCCCAACAAATTTATATATCAGATTTATATATCAAATATATATATATGTTAATAAATAAGGGTTCAACTAACTCTAGCACCTTCTGAATTTCTCAATCTTGCAGCCTGAAGAATTTGACTCCAATCACCATGGAATACAGCATAACCTTGACAGATACTCATCATTATCAATGCACAAGTAATACCGAACCATAGACCACCAACACCCATATTGAAACTAAAAGTTAACATGTATGACATTGGGATACCAATACAATAGAAAGCAAATAGATTAATGTAACCACCAATTTTTTGTCTACCTTGACCACGTAAACAACCTGCTGTGGATGCGTTGAAGGCATCAAATAATTGCATGAATGCCAATGTTGGTAAAGTTGAAATCACCAGATTGACCACAGCTGTTTCTGTAGAAAATAATTTTGCGATTTGGTCTCTGAATGTGACGATAATCATCATATTGAAAGATGAACAGACAAATGATAACAACAAAGATACTTTACAAGTAATAATGCAACTCTTGTATAAAGAGGCACCAATCAAGTTTGCTACTCTTGTACTGGTTGAAACAGATATAGAGAAAGGTACTTGGTAGGCCAACGACGCAACTGTAGAGACAATTGATTGCGCCGCTAAGGCATTAGTACTGATATGTGATGCAAAAATAGTCAATATTTCAAAACCCAAAAATTCGGCTTCAACCATAATAATACCTGGTAAAGCTAGTCCAAACATTTTTCTCCAATTCTTAAATATTTGTCTTTTCTTTATAATCCCATTCCAACATTTCATTGGATTGCTTTCATGTTTAGTAAATATCGTATAAAGCATTAATCCAATTGCCATCAACCAATAATTTATAGCCACAGATAAAGGAGCACCCAAATAGCCAATACCGATTGTTTTATTCCAAACAAAGATATAATTCATTAGAGCGTTCAATGGTGCACATACAAACAGGATAATAGTTGATGCATGGAATATACCTTGACATTGCAAGAATCTTTTACCACATTCAAATAATATAAAACCTGGCACCCCTAAGGCAGTGATTCTTAAATATTTAGCGGCAAGCACACATAATTCTCTTTCTGGAATCATCCATGACAATATTGTCTCCGACCAACTCCACCAAATATACATGATTGGCAAAAAAGCTAGAATAGTAATAGTAGCACATCTTTGAATAAGCACACCTACCAAATGATAGTTTTTAGCACCGTAAGCTTGTGCACATAATGTATCCAAACATGTACAAAGACCCTGGATGGCCGCTAAACCAGTAATATTAGCTGTCATAGAACCTAAGGTAACACCACCTAGTTCTTTAGTACCCAAATGAGATACAGAAAATATTGATGCTAAAGACAATGAATTCTGTAATATGAATGTGAAAATAAGGGGTAACGCATTGAATGCTATGACTTGAGTTTCTCTCTTAAAAGAACTTTGGATTGGTTTTCCTGAATCTATAGCATCATTCCAAGTAGTCATAATCTCACTAGCAACTTCTGCATCAACTGGTTCAATATTCCCATACATACTTTCCACTATACTATTACCTCTAGAACGTTGTCCCGTAGTATTACTTAACAATTTGTTATCTATCAATAAATCACGTTCTTCATCGATGAGACTCTTACACATAGATGCAGTTCTACTACGATGTCTAGATTGTTCGACAACAGAATTCCTATTATGGGTTTCTTGTGCATCATTAATTGATTGGTAATGCATAAATCTATTACTGCTATCTTCATCTTCATCTCCTAATAAAAATTCCATCTCTCCAGTATTCTTCGTCAATCGTACTGGGTCCGTAGCCATTTGATCATTACTGTTGCTATGGTTATTAATATTGTGCAAATTATCACCTGATGAAGAAGTTCCTTCATCATCTTCCGTTTCATCGACAATAGTATCATTTTTATCAGAACTGATATAGTCAGCTGGAATGAATAGACCTGCTTTCCCCATACTTGTAGAGTATACCATTGAAGAACGTTGTTCTTGGTCTGTATGTAAGAATTGGTTTGGCATTCTTATTTTCTATCTACTGTAATTGTTGTCTATAGTTTTCTGGCAATTTAAAAATGGAATATTTAAAGATTTTTATGTTTTTTGGTTTCTTGGCTAGGAAATTAATATTTTAATGAGAGTATAATATCAAAAAAATTGTTCTGTTTTATTTTAATTTGCTTTAGAAAGGATTGTTGTTATAAATACTTAATTTCTTATAGGTAAAGATAAAAATTTCAATTTTTTTTTTTAAAAAGGGTAAGCAGTTAAATAATCAAAATGCTAAATGATGTTTATTATATTGGGTCACAGATTCCTTGAACTAAGTGTCAATATTTCAAATATGTATGTCCTTAAGTGGAGCAAAAGAAAATTAAAAAATTAAATATTATTCCTTTCTTTATTAAATATTAACTGTATTCCTTTCTATAAGATTATACAATTATTTTCAGTTACAACCGTCAAATATCGCTTCCCTTTCTCTTCGCTGGTCTTGCACTGGTAACTGGGTTCAGTAAGCCGAAAAAACAACCAGAGAGAGAAGAGGAAGAAGAAACGGACTCGCTTACAGTAAAAAGAGAAAAATTATTTTCAGTCAAATAGAAACGGTCATCACTCATAGTGAGAAGTGAGAGAGACACTGAAGACAAGCCATACAGGCAGAAGACAAATTGAATGAATTTTACGTTCAAGACTATGTAATAAATAGTTCATATGAATGAATTTAGGTAATAAGTGTTTAGTATATTGATTGTATGTGTATGTATATGAGGCAGTCAAGAGAGAATACTGCAATATGGTAGGTATTACTACAATTTATAGTGCTATATGGATATAGTACAATAATACACCTCTAGTCCATATATATATTTTATAGTATGATCTTCGAACAGATGATGCAGATATATGTATATTTTTGTATGCTTATAAGTATATCCCTATTAATTCTATCTAGTTCTTGCTATTGTCTAAATAAGTGCTTATTAATACCTCAGAGAAAACATCTAGTAATGTATTGTATTGATTGTGAAGTGCCATTAACATTGCAGAGTATCTCATAAGTCGACGTTAGTGGGGTTAATTTGGTTCATGCAATCGGCTCGTTTATCTTCGTCGTATATACTACACGTGGGGAATCGGATATTATTAGCAGTTGAATGATGTAATTTATTTTTTATTACATATGCAAACCCTAGGGTTGGTTATGGTATTTGAGTAGGGCTATTGTACACATTTTGTTTATTTTTATTTGTACAATCACATAATCATATAATCAATAATAATAATATTACTATTTAACAATATATATTGAATTTGATGGTTGGTATGATGAATTACTTATCATTTTATAGAGTCGACGAAGACTAAATATATTTATATTGATGCTAATCTTATCAAAGAGGAATGGAATCGGATTTAGATGATATTGTATCTTTTACTCATTTAGAGAATGAAAAAGAAAACATAATACCATTAAGACATGGCAGATCTGTAAAAGTTTTACATGAGGTATTATTATCTGGTACCGAACAATTAGATTTAAAGATAAATTGGTTTGAAAAAAGATTGGAAGCAGATAGAAACGATCAATTTGATACATATGTGGAATATATTGATTGGTTACAAGAATCACAGTTCAAAGGCCCTAATAATATTTTATTAGTGGTAATAGAAAGATGTTTAACCTATATGAAAAATAATGAACAATATCGTAATGATACAAGATACTTGAAGATTTGGTTATTATACATCAATTCATTCTTTCAATATTCTATGAGAGATCGTAGAGATATGTTCATTTATATGTTTAGAAATAGAATTGCTGATTCATTAACTTTATATTTCATTGAATTTTCAAGATTATTATTTGATATGAGGAATTATAAAGAATGTCATGATTTCTTATTGATAGGAATCAAAAATCATGCTTTACCTGCAGGACAATTATTAAATAAAATTAATGAAATAGAAGAGTTTTTCCAATTGAATAATATATCGATAGAGAGTAGTGATAATAATGATCAAGCGTCTATTGATAATCTTTTATTGAAATATGGTAATATATCAATACTTAATAAAGATTTAAAGGAAATATTGGCCTCCAAAAAAATATACAATAATAATGGTAGTAGCAATGACAAAACAAAATTAGATGTTCGTGAAGATAATAATGATGATGCCTATGACAATCGTGAAGATTGTGATTCTACTAAACTAGAAATATTCAAGGATGATTCGACAGGGTTTGAAACGAAGGCCTCTAGATTAAAAGAAAATCAATCCATAGTGACACCTTTGCATTCAAATACTATTATAGAACCAATGAAACAAGAAACAAAATATGGTCTTAGTAATGTGGCTGGACCATCTGCTAAAGTTTCTATTTTTAATGACAATATTGGTAGAACTAAACCTGTTTATAAAATTATTTCGATAGATGGACAAAAATCGGAAAGAATTGATTGTAATTTTAATCTCATCTATCCCGAGGATAACGAATTCAGTGTAGATCAATTGTTGGCAGAAATGAGAGGTTGTTATAATAAATCAAACAAAAGAAAATTGAATCCTTCAATTGATATGACGGATGGAAAAATAAACAAAAGGAAACTAATCGTGCAGACTAATGAATAATCTAATTATAATTATTAATTATTAATTATACTATGTTATGTAATTCAATCCAACTTATATGTATATTAGTAGAAGATTATGCATATGACATATTTATATTATAAAGATTTAATGAAATTGAATGTAGCGACTGGAGAGTAAAAATCATATTCATTAAAAGAGGCGTAAAGCGAATGAATGTTTAAGGTCATTATTAATATCTATCAGGATTGATCTCAAATGCTTCCTTTAAAAGTTCAGAAATCCAACTCATAGAATATGCTAAAGTTTCGGTGCTTTCCAAATATTCCATTTGTTTATCATTAATTATTGTTTCAAGTTCTGATTCTTTGAAATAGTTTGTATTAGGTAATTTAGGTAGACCAAACATCAACGAGTCAACTTCATTTGTTGTAGCAACAAATTGTGTTGGACGGCCATATTTCCTTGTTACATCCATCATTGGGATAATAAATTTGATCATTGCATCAAAATGTGAAAGTCCATGATGAGGTAGAGGTCTTATCAATACACCGTTTTTTTTTGTCCTGAATGAAGATGATTTAGAGGATTTGACAGCCTTGGTAGAAACATCTCTCTTTGGAGATATTAATTGTTTAGTGATACTACTACTTGTTGAAGGTGTCCTTAATGCAGGAGTCTCGTCAGGGTATAGTACGTCACCCACAAGTTTCACAGTTGTTATGTTGCTCAAGAAAGATGTAGGATTGGATATAGGTGTTTGTGTAGTTTCTTCTCCATTATAAAAAAATATATCTTGAACGTAACTCGTATCTGGAATGTAACAAATGAGATTTGCATTAGAACTTGGATTGGCTGATTTATTATGTCTATAAAATTTAATCTGATATTTCCCCTTTGGTTCGTACTTATCTGTCTTTTTAGACATTTTATTAATATGGCACCATGATCTAACCCAACCTTCTTCAGGAATGTAAATGTCACACCAATCCTTGAAATTGAATTGGGAGTTCAAAATCATATTAATATCAGGCATTCTCAACCCAATTGAAGAAATAAGGGAACCTGTTAAGGATTTGTACACAGAAAAATGTTCAAATAAAGCTAATGCAATTAGTTTCTGTAAAGAGTTCAATAGTTGATTATTTTCACAACGAATAGACACTAAAGGGTCTACAAACATAATAGAATCTTCATTAAAGACTGCATTAGAATCTGTAGAAAATTTACCAATTAATGGGAAACTTGTCTTTGTTTGATCTTCTAACTCTAAGTAGAAAATCGTTCCGATTACTGAGATCTTTTCAATTAGACGATCCTCTTGATCATTGACAGAGCATGTCCAAACATTAGTATCTCTTTGTCTACCCCATTCGAAGTATTTTTTTTCAAGCTGTGAACTAATGATTCTCATCATTGGTACGGAAGACATAATAACATCTTCTGAAAGTTCTTGAAAGTTTAACTGACCACTTGAAGATGAAGCTGTTGATTGCGCCAATGATGCAGGAGTAGATGGAATACGAGGACTTGCAGTACTGCTATTAGATCTAGAACTATCTGACTGGGAAACTTCTGTTACTTCTGTTGCAACACTGTTTTTTCTCTTGATGATGGCAGGTTTCCTTAGCGCACTGAAGAATTTCATTATATGTTGTTGTTGTTAATTTGTAATATGGGAGTTCTATATGTAATTACTAATTATTAATAGGTTATTTAATTCAAAACTTTGAAAGATTATCCCTTCGTTGATCGCTAAATTGAACTACTACGTTATCAATTTCTTTTAAAGCAAAGTAAAATAAGGATTTATGATCAATAGCAACGACTACTAATCAAGAAATAAGATATAAACAGTTCATGAAGAAATATAATAATTATAATAATATGAAGTGGCTAAAATCTTGTCTGGCTTTTATTGCAAAGTTGCCCCCGAAATTTTGGAATATTCATAATCTCGTTATATTGTAGTTTACCAGTAACGCCCCAAAACTATTATTACATTTGTCTACCATAGTTACCTAATTCGTATGAGTTTCTCTCGTTAGTAACAATATATCATGATGACATTTTTATAATATTACGACCTTAATAACTGGATTCTCCTAGGTAGATTCTTAGTAGCTCAGATCATAATGATCAATATCTTCTCTCGTCTCTCTGTGCCACTTTTATTGTTTATATTTTCAGTGACGGCTTAAAAGGGGAAAGAAACAGCTTTTTGTTTGTTTGAATTTCTGGCAAGGGGATCTACGTACATTGGCAAACTGTTGTTGCCCTGTTTCATTCTTCCTATGCAGTGAAATAAAGTGAGTTTGAGTGCATAAAATTTCAATTAACGAAATATTGAGGGAAAAACAAAAACAAAAATGCTTCACGAATGAATAAATGAGCTTAACCTGGAAAACGTAATTTGCACGCCCAATAAAGTCAAGTACAACAACAACGAAATTCTCTATTTTTTATTTTTTTGAAAAACACCGGAGAAGTGCTCTTTCTTAATAGGCAACCGTGTAAGTATAACGAGGTGCGCAGGAGATTTTGTAACATTTGATTCATGTAGTATTTCATTGAAGGTTTGTATAGATTGTAACCCTTTTCCAAATCTATTTTATCTCGTATACGTAGAGAAATACGGACGTTGTTCGTATATGGAAACTTAATGAACCCACAAGAGGAGAATAACCCCACATGTATCATTCCAAACTAGAAGGATTTATGATTAGGCTTAATCGTTCCAGATAACATTTTCTCTTGGAAATCGTCAAATTTTGTTTAATAAGTATAAATAATGCCGGAGTAGACACATTTAATTATGAAAATTATTCAACACATTTAAAGCCTTGTTTGCTTTTTGTTTGCTTTTTCATATGTTAATTAACTGGCTGATCTTCCCCAAATGAGGCTACACCCTTTGCTGATGATGATATGTGTTCTGTAGATATATTAAAATCATCGGAATCGTATTCTGGGACATAATTACCATTGTTAAAATCTAACGGGAAAATTCCAGATTTAATAATATCCAGATCTTCTTCGATGACACCGTTTATGACGAATTTCTTTAATGATACAAAGTGTCCATTCCCATAATTGTTATCTATTTCGAATAGTATAGCTTTCACTAATGGTTTAGAATTGATATACCAACTAGGTAATTGAAATTGTTGTCTTACTTTTAGACTCTTCAAATCATATGTAAATGTTCCAATCCTGACAAATCGGCGGTCCTTAGGGTGCAGTACGCCTTGTCCCTGGATCTGAGCCTCTTTCACAAATGATGTTTGGTCTCTATCGTTTTGTAACAGGATGTAAATTGATATATCACGTGGAGCGGAATTCATTATATGTAAATTGTTTACCAGACGGCCATGGATGTAGAATAATTTTGTTAAATGTAATGGTCTGTTGAATTTGATAGCAACTCGACACTGATTTCCCTTGGATGTTCTGCCTTGCCAGTAGGCAGATGGAGAACTATAAACAGAATCTAACAACAAAGCCAATGGCTTTAGTCCATTTCCTTTAGGGGTGGTTTGCGAGGTTAGGCTCGAAATTATAGATGAACCTTGAACAGTAGTAGCAAAATCTAAATCGTTTTCCCATTGATAACGATTGGAATTATATATTTGCAAGATTATAGTTTTCAAAAAGGATGTGGATATTTGATTAACAGATTGAGAGTTTCCCAAATCGATATTGTTTGTAACTTGTGAAAAGTATTCCTTGATCTCATGCCATAATTCTACTCTCATCTCTTCGATATTCCGTTTTAATTCATTGATTGAAGCTGTATTATCAAACATTTTTAATTTGTCATTAGTGATTTCTTCAATGTATGAATTGATAGTGTGATCTAGTGTTATATTTCCTGATAATATGATTGAATTTGTTTCCATAACTTCATCGAATAATGATATAATGAAGTTAGATACAAACTTCTTGAAGTCTTGTAAATCGACATCCTTGACCAATAAATTGTTTGTTGCATCCATAGAGATATTATTTGGTAATGACAAATCAAGATTTTTCAACAATTGAGATCTGGTAGCTTCTAATTTATCGTTATCTAAATGGTTAGGGACCCTTTGAGTATTAATTAAATCATATTTCTTAGTCAGATCATTTAACTTTTTATTCATTTCTTTAATCTCATCTTCAAAGGTTAACAATTTTTTTGGTATTAATTTTTTAATATTTTTCTCAAATTGTGATATGATTATTTTAATTTTTTCATCAAATTCAACTTTTTGTCTTTCATCTTTTACACTTAATTCGTTATATAAGTGATTGATCTGTTTTTGTAATGTTCCAAATGAGCCCGTCATATCAATATTTGAATTTTGAGAATGAAACGGTTGATTAACAATAGACTTACCGACGGTACTTGCGAATTTGAAACATATAGGTACAACAGGTAATAGAACAGTTAATATTAGGACTATTAAAATTAGTCTAAACCATTGAAATTGAGGTTCTATTGATATTATATTATCAATATCACCGTCATACTCAGAATCAACTTCTAATTCTTGGTCATCTGATTCTAAATTATTATCAGTGTCTCTTTCATTATATTCGTAATATCTGGTCTTTTTCACTTTATCTGGTAGAGTGGTAGTAGTGTCTAATAAATCGTCAATCAGATAATCATTTGCATCTTCCTCACTATCATCTTCCAAAAACTCATCATCTAGGTCTTCTTCTTCCTGTTCTTCTTTTTCGTCAAAATCTGAATCTGAGTTACGAACAACAAATGTTTGATCTGCTCTATCTGTGTAATCTGAATCATCGGTGTAATCTAAATCACTGGGCGAATCCAAGTTGTCAAAATTGGAAGATTTATTATAAATTGATCTTTTAAATTTGTCATAAAATTGGGTATCAACATCGTTGCTACGACTGTTCTCCTTGTCGCTCTTATTGTCATTTGTATTGTACCTTTCTAGAAGGGCATCCCTATAGGCGGCATTGATAGGATCTATAACATGCTCGTTGGAAGGGTGGTCGTCAAAGTTGTCAGCATTAGACATTCCTGCTTTCCAATCTATTGTTTCTTCCTTGTCCACTAGATAACAGATAGTACAACTAGTAATGGTGTATATCAACTTTAAATTTATCAAAAGTGGTTAATTGTACTAAGTAGGAGCCTTTTATCCATTCATCTCTCTAAATACACACCAAGACGCGTAAATAATTACATCTTTTAAATTTTTATACATTTACATGTCCGAACTGTCTTTACATTTTTGGCTTGTTAAGGAATTTCAAACACATCAAAAAGAAAAGTCATGAGAATTACAAAACTAACAAGTGACTTTATGGTTGTTCAATATACTCGTAATATTCTTATTGAGACAGTGTACTACTTTATAATGTGACATCTTGTTTGAATTAATTGAAGCTTTTATATAAGATTTGTTATTCTGAAATTAATGTTTATATAAGAGAACATACTTATGCTGTGAATAGTCAACTGGTATAACAATATATTGATTATTAGTAATGTCGATCTACCGATTCCACTAGAGGTCACTTAATTCTATCAAAGATGGGTTTATACTATATTTAACTATAATATTATATGTATGATTGCGTTTAGTCAATAAGTGTCATAAGTCTATTTTAGATAACTGCCTTAAAAGATCATATATCGATTCTACATCTTGTTTCTCAGTTGCATCTGGAAAGTTATGTTATTGTATTACTCATTGTCAAGTCTTCTCTCGAAAGATCAGGTACTACTCTGAGTACAGCGCAATTACCTAACATGAAGGTAGCTTCGACACAAATTATAGACAGACTTTCACAAGGACGTATTATAAAATATCCATATTTGCATACAGCCTTCGTCTTCCAAGACAACATAAGAACATTAATGGCCGATTCCTTTTCAATTGCTAAATGTGCGATGAAAGCAGAGCAGTATATCTCCTAACACCAGATGAGGACGGTCCTTTGATCGATGAGGAATACGGGTACTTCCCTGAGGGCTATTTCATCATACTTGTGTAATCTCATATTCCATGGCGAGATTGTTCTTGTTATGAAAGTTACTATTGTTATTGTAGGTGTTTATAATAAACTCGAATTGAGAACTGATTATGAAATAATAGATAAGTTCATCCTTCCTTTATACGTCAATTCATATTATGTGATTTGTTATTTAAAGGTTCTATAATTTATTTCTTTAGGGGGAATCTCGATGAGGGCTGACGATGACTCTTTCTCTTCAGATGATTTTTAACGGTTTTGAATGCAGGTCATGTTGTACTTATATCGGATCACAGTACTTTAAACATAGAAGTGAGCGATCAGTGTTGTTCCTCCAGGTATTATTAGATATCTTATAGTCATTGACCCTGAAAAGATATATCAGTCTAATAGCGACTTTCTCTCATTTTATTCAATCGTGGTACATCAATCTTAGATCGGCAGTTTAACTTATCATAGGTCACCCAGAAGAGACCATTTTAATAAATATACCTTACAATCTGTCCAAGTGTGGATTGGAGGGGTATGTCCAAACAACGGCTTTTCTATTCATGATTAATATATAATCATTCAAGAATAGGCTTATCTCGATTATCATAGTAGCATTATCTTGGTTCAATTTTAATGCTTATCCATTGTTACCCTCCGCGTTCGAAAATCGGGCATTGACAGATAAAAGGGGCAAGTTTTGAATAACACGTTAAAACATTTACTTTTAAATCAATTAGAAAGTTATTATTTGCTATAACATTAAGAAATAAACAGCTTTAATCTTCATTGTCAAATAAGATTAAATATCAAGAGTAACTTTAAATGATGAGTGAACAAACCACACCATTCGAAGTTGTGGCTCAATTCCCTTATCAATCAGAATATGAGGATGATCTAAATTTTAACAAAGGACAAAAGATTAATGTTACCTCCATCGAAGATGATGAATGGTACTACGGTGAATATGTAGATAGTGCAAGTGGTGATTTAATTCAAGGTATCTTTCCTAAAAGTTTTGTCGTTGCTGATACTACTAAAGTAGAGCCAACAGTTACGGAGGTACCTACTCCGACAAAGGTTGAAGCTCCAGTTCCAGTTCCAGCGGCAGTCCCAGTTCCTGTCAGTGAAACAGCGATTGAATCATCAAAGGAGAAGATACCAGCCCATTTGAAACAGACAATTAAAGAAGATGGTTACGTTCCAATGCCAAAGTCGAATATGTTCGAAGAGTCACCAGTTAAGGTTCCAAAGAATACAACGATACCACCACCTGTGAATGCAAGTAGTTATGATGATACCTCAAAAACTGAAGATGATCTGCCAAAAATGAGTCTAAAGGAAAGAATTGCTCTTTTACAAGAACAACAGAAACTACAAGCTGAGAAAGAGGCACAGGCAGCAGAAGCCACTGAAGAAGCTTCGGAAGAAGCAGAAACTGAAGATACAGATATTAACAAAGAACCTGTTAACACTGCTGAAAATGATAGTCATCCATTAGGGAATGTAACAGATATTCCGCCGACTATTCCTAAGTCTGATATCAGTTCAGATGATGAGATCGAATTAAAGAATGAGGCATCTGGTAATCTCGATTATACACAACAGACTGTAGTCACAGAAGAACCTCCGATTCCAAGAGCTCCTGTTCAAACAACGAATCCTGGTGAAACTACGATTGAACATACTGAGTTATCAAATAAAGAGCCCTCTGTACCAGGAATTAAGAAAATTGCCAGTAGTACTGAAGAAGAAACGCTAACTCATATAGCAGAAGTTGGTGATTCTAATGAAGAAGAAGGACAAGACGATGAAGAAGTGGAAGAGGAGGAAGATACTGAAGAATCTCGTAGAACTGCATTGAGAGAAAGAATGGCCAAGTTAGCCGGTGCTGGTAGGTTTGGTGGTGCAGCTGGATTCAACCCTTTCGGTGCTCCAGTGCCATCACCTTCAGCTAAATCGACAAAAAAAAAGGTTAAGAAGTCAGTAACAAACCCTGCTGAATTGGAAGCAGAACATGAGCTAAATGAAATGCCAGAAGCCGTCCCAATTATGCCATTTGCTGATCCTAATGCTGTTCCTTTCCTCAAGAAAAAAGTTTCAAATGCTGAGAGTAAGGCTAGTGCAGTATTTGACGAAGTAGAGAAATCAGTTGATACTAGAAAAGACGCTGTTGATAGTAATATTGATAAACTGAAAGAAATACACCATAAAGCCTACCAAAATGACCTTCTTGCTAATACTGAAAGCGGAGATGAATTTGAAGATGCAATAAACAGTATGCACGATACAATAGATAACGCATTTAATGGCGCTAAAGATAATGTCGGAGAAGTACGAACAGATCTTTCTGAAAAGGTGGAAAAAATCTCAGACAATATTCCAGGAATTCCCTCAAAATCGACTGGTGATCTGGACGTTACGTCAAACACTGAAACCACTGAGAATGAAGTGTCAGATATTCCTCCTGTACCACCTTCAGATCAGTTTGACGAAAATGGATCAGCTCCGCCAATTCCATCCATTCCACCGATGCCACAACAATCAAGGGCCCCATCTGCACTACCTGACTCCTCTGCTGCTGAAGAAGTTAAACAAGATGTACAGTCTATCGATACACCATTGCCTCCACCAATCGCAACCCTTCCTGATCTACCATCTCCTTCAACTGCTCCTCCTATTCCATCTATGCCTCCTATGTCTACTATCCCAACCACAATTCCAAGTGACTTAGACAATTACGATACAAGAAACACTTATAAGGATGGTTCTGAAGAAGATAAAGAAATTGTAACAGAGAGCTATAACCATATGCATGCACCTCCTCCACCTCCCCCAGTTGGTAATGTAAACAGATATTCTATTTCGTCTGGTGATTCATTCCCTCATGGTGCCCCTCCTCCACCTCCTCCACATCGTGAGGTTCAAGAAGCTCCTGAGATATCTAGATCCGCTCCCCCACCTCCCCCTCCAGGAATGTCAGCTCCAACCATTCCTGCCATGCCTAGCGACACCCATTCTTTAAAACTGAATAAAACATTCAGTGAATTAGACACTTCATTGAGAAATTTAAAAATTCAATTTAATCCTAGCGATACTTGGTTTTTGGAAGTTGCAGCGCCACAGGAAATTGCAGATTCCAAGTTGAAATATAGTGTTGACGTTGATGATACTACAATTGAAAAGAGAGGAGAAGAAAAATGGATTTATAGATCATTTTATTATATCTTTGAGTCGTACGCAATTATATCATTATCAGTTATCTTCAACGTGACCACACCTCACACTACTGCGATTTTAATAGATGAGAAATATATTCCATGCCCAGAGAAGTTAGCTGACAAAAATATTGCTGGTCCATATAATACCGCTGTAATTAAACAGTGCCAAGCGTTAGCTGGGAAAGAATCTGTATCTAGTAATTTTGTGAGTCAGATAATATCAAAGATGGGCGACCAAGGTGTTGTCCTTCCAATAGATAATCGTACATTTGGGTCTGTTATTGTAGACTATAAGGCAGGAAATGAAATTGCTCAGGACACTTTAAAATGTATAAGAGAAGGTGATATTGTTGTAATCAGAAAAGCTAAATTTGAAACTCATAAAGGTATTGTGACGGTTGGCGAGCCTGACCTATTTGTTGCAGTTGTAACTAGTTATGATTTTACTAAAGGCAAATTAAGGGTAATTGAAGAACACAAGGGTGTTTTGGTACAATCTAGTTATAGATTATCCAAAATGAAGAGTGGTAAAATGAAGATATTTAGAGTTCTGTCCAAAGATGTTTTTGGATGGTAAACTCTGGTTTTATAAGAATTCTTTATTCTAGTGTTTATTTGTTTTATATGGTAATTATAATACTTATGATAATGTGTATATTATACTTCATAAAATATGTAGAGAGTGATTTAAAATGTTGTTTAAAACATGTATATGTTGCAGAGCCAATTAGATGATACTGATTGCTAGTATTATTATCCTTAGTTTCTCTATATATAAACTATTTTTTTTATATACGCGATATAAATGAATACTCAGCCCTTAAATGAAATAATACAGAGCAATAAAAACAATTTAATGCAAGGAAGTGTTGAAAATATTAAGGGTAAACCGCCACTTAAACAAGATCAGAACCAGTTAGTGATATTATATCAATCTTAGAAATGAGTCTTGTTCTTAGAGGTTCATTTCCGTCAAAGATTTATCACTCAAAATGTCTTCCAGTTATGATAAAGCCTAATCCTACAGAGACACCCAAGGGCATCTATGGACCAGTTTTAAAACTCAAGAATCTCTATAGAATGCATGATAAAAGAGCAGATGTATTCTACGGCGAGTTTATCTCACTAAAATTCTACCCAGCGGCTCATTTTGTTTCTTTATTTAGGAAGACTAGCCCAGCATTCACAGTGAAAAGTATGATGAGCAAATCATTTTTAGATACGTCTGGATCATATATTAATACATATTATGCGAAAAAGAAATCGACAATTCCATCGAATTATGCAGTCTGGAGACGAAAGGTGAAGCTATTAGTTCAGGATCCATTTTTTGAAGAATGGACCAGTTTAGAGGGCCAAAAAGGTGTGGAACAGTCCGCTAGTGTCAACCAAGAAGACAGTCCCCCTTTAGTTGAGACTTATAATAGTACAACACCAAGAGGAATAGCGAAGGATGGGTTTTATGAGTTTTTTGTACAAAAATATCCAAACAATGAAAAAGATAATATAGCATTACAAAATGAAGTACGAAGAGCTGTCGGAGTTGTCGCCAATTTAGATTGGGGTAGGTTTTTGAATGAGAAACTGCCTGCTTTGAAAATTAATCCCAAGTATATACATAAAGTCGTCTTCAAAAAGAGAACGCCTGAAACCTGGGTGGAGAAAGCAAATAAGAAATTAAACATTGGTCTCCTAAACCGATATTTGGCTAATTCAGATATTCCGTTAAAATTAATTAAATTAAAGAAGAAGAAATCTACTTAAACACTTATTAAGATATATATTTATGAAGGATATATATATTTTTAAACGACAATTTATTCACTATTAAAAAATAATAGAAGTGTAAATCGGAACATTAGAAGAGATAATCTTCCGAAAGCGCCATAAAGAAACGGTGAAAGTTGGATAATAGTATGAAGATAATAAAGAAATCAATCTTTTAGTAATAGAAAATATCTTACATTCTCACAACGTTCATTGAATTCTGAAGTCCACCAGAAGTGTTGGCGCATTCCATACTGTGCTTCGTGTCGTTGGTCCCAGGACCAACTGAAATTTTTCCGATAAGAATATCATCGATGATGTTGCTTCTAACAACGTTAATGCAAATTGTGTTGTCCTTAGTAGATAACTCTTCTCTTTTGACCTTTACCTCCCTTACCAATGGCTTCTTCTTCGGCACGCAACAAAGCCTCACGCTCTTGCTTAGCAGACTTCTTATCTCTAGCCTTTTGGTCAGCGACAAGTCTCTTTTGGTTAGGAGTACGGACACCTTGTTCCCACTTCTTAGCTTCTTCAACTGCTAGCATAGCCTTTTCCTCTTGAGTCTTTTCCCAAGCTTGTCTTCTCTTTCTGGCTCTACCAGCGGCAACCTTTGCAGCGGTTTCAGAATATCTCTTACCTGACTTATGCATTTTATATTATAGTTTTTTGTAATTGAGTTTTGATATTTAATAGTATTCTTTATCTGATATATTTAGATAACTAATACAAATAATTAATTTATGATTGATTGATGTTCTTTTTTTGTAATTAATATGTAAGAATAAAATAATAAGAAATTAGAAGGAATACTATTATAACATAATGTAAATTGATTGACGTTTATATACGTATAGATTTTAAATGATTGTGACACCATTCTATCTTTTTGGTTATCCAATCTCACACAACAATAAGGTGTGTGTTTCAATATTTTAAGTTCACATATGGTAAGCAATTATTATAGCAAAGGAACGAGGTAGAAATGAGCCTATTCTTGACTGGATGGTTGATTATCAATTCAATATTTTTACTGACACCCCATTTTTTATTGCTATATGTACATTTTGAGGGTGTACTTCACGCTGTTACTAAGAAAACTGTCTCGCCTTGTTGACGTTACTAGCGGCTCTGCCAATTTTCTTTTTGCTTACAAATTAATGCTGCGCGGTGAAGAGCGATGACCATAATAATACGAAAAATGGGTGCCTTTTTAAGGTAACTATAGTAATAGAAAATGAACTATGTTTCTTTGGTATGTCCCCTAACTGTCTTGGACTATTGTCAGTTTTGGTGTTCCAGTAATAAACTAGAAAATTCTAGTGACCTTCTTCTGAATTAATGGATGTTGATGGCAGCTAATCCAGTAAGAGTACAACTTTGTATTTTGCTGGATTAGTACGATAGTTAATATTTAATGTCAAATATTTTATTAGTTCACGTGACTTGTAGAATATTAGCAAAACGCGACGCCAAATTTTATAATCATCAAGGAAATTTCAAATTTCACATAATGATATAAAAATAAACTCATTTGATTGATAGTTCATATTAAAGGTCATATTAACTCATCAATTGGTATATATTTGTAAGATAATTGGTTATAAACTGGTAAAAATACAATATTCTATAAATTACGCCAAGTATGGATTCTCTTTTACAGAAATTTAATGAGACTAGACCAGATGATCCTGCTGCAGTGGCCAGAAAGACTGTGAAGGAAAACATCAATTCAAATAATCGTTTCAAATTACCATATGATGCCAGGGATTATACCCCTCAATTCTATCACATGTATCAAAATCGTTTGAATATTTTAAGGGAAAGAGTCCAAATCGAATGTGAAAAGAAATGGGACAATGGATTTCAATTAAACGGGAAGACTGTGGTGAAAAAGGAGAGAGTATTAGATATTCAAGGTGAAGAACCATGTTGGTGTGTCGGTACAATCTACTGTGAAATGAAATATAAACCTAACATCTTACAAGATGTTATTAGCGATACATTTGGTGCACCTGACTTGGTGAAGAGTTATACCGACCCAGATGGATCAGATGAAATAATGTTAGAAGATGAAAGTGGTAGAGTTCTCCTGGTTGGTGATTTTATTGGAACTACTCCTTTAATTTCAGGTACGGTCGTTGGATTGTTAGGTATGGAGGCGGAAGCAGGAACGTTCCAGGTATTAGATATTTGTTATCCAACGGCAATTCCACAAAAATCATTACCTGCTCAAACTGCACAATACGATGAATATATTGCCTTCGTATCAGGTTTCAATATTAATGCTACAAATCCTACACGTAATTTGAAGTTGAAATTGTTACAAGAATATTTGATGGGTGATCTATCTTCTGATGATAGAATTTCAAAAATTGGTAAATTAATAATATGCGGTAACTTGGTGGAATTTAATGCACATGAGAAGAACATCGGAGAAGTATTGAAAAGTTTAGAGGATATGGGTGATTTTCTAGCAAATACATTACAAACTATATCTGTCGATATAATGCCTGGTGCTACTGATCCTAGTGATAAGACATTACCACAACAGCCTTTGAATAAGGCATTGTTTAAAGAGTCATTGAGACCTTACTTCGATCATGTTAATGATGAAATTTTAAACCTCGTTACTAATCCATACAACTTCCAAATTAATGATGTTGAGATCTTAACGACATCAGGCCAAAATATAGATGACATTATTAAATACATTGTGCCGTATCAAGAAAAGAGCTCTCAGGAGACAGAAGACAAAGAGGTCAGTATGGATTCTCAAGAATACCCAGAGGATTCTATTGAACATAGATTAGATTTGATGGAATGTACCATGAAATGGCAAAATATTATACCAACTGCGCCAGATACATTAGGTTGTTATCCATACACGAAGGAGGATCCTTTTATCTTGGAGGAATGGCCACATTTGTACGTTGTTTCTAATCAACCAAGTTATGCACGTAGAGATATAGAGTTAGATGATGGTAAGACAACAGTGAAGATGTTTACTGTTCCTGAATTTTCTCAAACAGGTCAAATTGTTTTATTAAATTTAAAAGATTTAAGCACAGATGTCGTGAATATACAATTATGATATTGGGTTTCAAATTTATTAATTGTTTTAATTTGGTGATCTACGGAGAGCCATAGCTTTTCCATTCTTTGACAAGGACAGTTTAAGACTTTGTAAGATAGATTGTAATTTGAATGGAATACAAGGTGGATGAAATTTTTTATTTTATTTAATGAATATGTAGATACATATTTTTTATGCCAATAAAAATGTGGTTCTTAAATACGTATCAGGAGAATTTAACAGAAACAAATATTCTGAAGGAAGTTACAATTCAGGAAAAGTTATAAGAAGGCATCACTTCCAATAAATACGAATAATTCGGACGGTTTTAATTGTTTGCACAAATTTATTTTAAACAAAGGAATACCAATGATTATACGTAGTTCTCTATCTTCTCTTTAAACTGAACTCTCCGAAGAGGAACAATTCAAAGAAACTTGAAGATAGAAAAATGCAAAAAACTAGAATAAAATTAGAAAAATCTACGATTATTCAGCTATTAAAAAGTATTTAAAATATAATATATAAGAAAAAATGGATCAATTATAAAGTATAGTTTAAACACCCTAGTTAACTAGAGCAGAGGCAGTAGCAGATTCGTACTTCCAGTTTGGTGGTAGAACGGAAACAGTTCTGTAGTATCTGGCTAGTCTGTGGATTCTGGATTCGATCAAAATTAATCTGAACTTAGCGTCCTTGTCCTTTCTGTTTCTTTCTAGATGTTTTCTGACGGCAACAGCCTTCTTGATCAAGTAGTATAGATCTTCTGGAATTTCTGGAGCTAGACCGTTAGATTTTAGGATTCTTAGAATCTTGTTACCAGTGATAACCTTGGATTGAGTAACACCGTGAGCATCTCTCAATAGAACACCGATTTGAGATGGAGTTAGACCCTTTCTAGCGTACTTGATGATTTGTTCAATGACAGCTTCATTGGACAATTTGAACCAAGATGGAGCATTTCTAGAGTAAGGAATAGCAGAAGAGGAAATACCTTTACCCTGTATAAAAATGTATTGTAATACATCGCAATGTATTAATCATATTGTTAGTAAATTTGATTCGATAAAAAATTCAAAATTAATTGTATACAAAAGAGACTACCCAGTATCATTCTGTTTACGATATATTTCTACATTTTAAACCATGAAGACAATTCAACTTGCTTCTAATGTTCAATATCAATAATTTAATATCAAATTGCATTAGAATATTCATAGGAATGAGATGTTGACTTTAGGGACGTCCATTAAAACATGAATGTCATAAGTCAACCTATCATAACTATTGTATCATCATTTATCTCAAAGAAAAACATACTTCTTTCAGAGGTACATTTATCAATGAAGATAAATGAAAATATAACTTGGAATCACCCAGCTACTACATCTCGAAACATTTAAAATGCGTCTGGACAATTTGTATTTATTCAATACTCATTATCTGATGTAGACCGGAAAGTTGAAATTGTGATCCGATTTAAAATAAAGAATATAAACAGAAAGACTAACTTTTATAGTTTGCTTATGTTACAATCCAATATTTTATAATTTAAGTAGTAATTAAGTTCACCTTCAAAAAAGGAGAACCTATCCATATCCACTTAATATATTTTATTTATTCACATACGGCACTGTGCATACGACCCATTGTGACTGATTTCGATGATTTGTTACTGATATATTGAGCTTTAAAAAAAAAGTTTGTTAAGAAAGTTATTTTTAATGTTTAACTTTTGGTATGAGATGCTCATCCAATTATATATATAGATTATCTAGCAAGAATAAATTCACAAGACAGATTACACTTCTCATTTTGCAAAAATTTGTCGTTCGAAGCATACTGAAAAAAACAAATTGCGAGTTCCGCATATTTCTCAATTGAAAAAGTATTTTGGCTCCGAAAAGAAACAATTTCAGTTAAAAATAAAGTGTTCCAAGATGTAAGGGTGTTATATTCCAAGGTGTGTGTGGGTGTTTATCACAGTCTAATTTCCAATTGATATACTATAATATATTGCATTGAACTAGTCGATACAACCAAATATTTGAATTAATTTTATATATGTATGTATTTGTAAGAGGGAATTCCTGATTCCCTCGAAAGCTTAACTCCGGTATCATAGGAGCATAATCACCACTACTCTTAATTAGATTTCTCTATTTGTTCTATTAAGTCCTCCACGTCGTCATCATCTTCCAACCCAGAGGATACCTCAACCAACTTGTAAGTACCACATTCATTTCTAACCATCTCCAAAGCACCCGCATACATCATTTTCCATTCCTGTGATACAACCGTACTTGGTTTCCAGTAGATTAATATTAGTGGAGTTTGTTTGATACCATCCTTATTTGTCATAGGGTATGCCAGTAGCAGGTATCTTGGAGAGTTATCTGGCATAATTTCAGCCAATTCAGTCAATTCAGTCATATCATCTAATTCTTCTTGTTCATCTTCATCAATGACAATTTCATATGTTTTCGGCTCAATCTTGATAGATAGACCCTTAATAGATTCTGCTCTCCCTGTAGAAATACGGAATTTACTGATTCTATTCTTCGTCTCAGTACCGATTTGATATAGTGTAGACATTGATTATTATATTATGATGAGTGTATGGTGTATTTACTATATGGTTCAAGAACCCCTTTTTTTTTACTGTTCATGTATGTGTAAATGTATAATTATCCAGAAGTTCCATTTTTTATCATCATTATTGTTATTATTTTTCAGAAAAAAAAAGCTATATGAACAATCACTTAAAGATTTCCAATACAGTAGACAGAAAAAAGAAAACAATGTTAGAAAAATGTTGCCTATATATGTTATGCCTATAATTATATCGTAAAATTGAACGTTTTAATAATAATAAAGAAAAATGAAGGAATACGCATATATACATATTTATATATGCATATGTAATGATAAAGCGCCGTAGTATATGCAACGACGATTAATTGACGAAGAATCTGTTATCTTTACAATCTTCAGGAGTACGTCTAATGACTTCCTCGATATCCCATCTTTGAACCTTATTATCTACACTTGATTTACCTGAATTCAATTTCAAGAACAATTTCTCGCCGACTTCACTGACATGACGTAATAGATAGTCGAGATCTTCCTTTGTTAAACTGGAAGACATACAGAAACGAACTCTAGATTCGATCAATGGAGTAGCAGGGTATGCGACCACAACGACAGCGATATTCCTTTGTAACATCATTCTTGAGAAAGCAGGCATCTTGGATGGACAATATAGTAACATTGGAATAACTGGAGAATCGGCATTACCATAAACAATGAAACCTAATCTTTGTAGTCCCAGACGTAAATAACGAGAATTGAAAGCAATACGTTGTAATCTTTCGGTACCTTCACCTGGGTTAATTTTACCAACGATAGTCTCTAAGGAGGCGATAATTTGAGCTAAGACAGGTGGAGGAGTTGGTTCAGAGTAGTTTGGAGTAGTCATATCTAATCTTAATCTATCAATGATCCATTTATCACATGCAATGTACCCACCAGCAGCACCAAACGATTTAGTGAAAGTACCCATTAGGACATCGACATCCTTAGGGTTAACACCAAAGATTTCACAAACACCACGACCAGTTGGACCCATAGCACCAATAGAATGAGCTTCATCGACATACAAATAACATTTATATTTCTTCTTCAATTCGATCAATCTTGGTAAATTACATAATGTACCTTCCATAGAATATAAACCTTCGACACATATCAAAATTTTCTTCCATGGACGATTAGTCTTTGGTTGACCCAAGACAATTTGATCTCTAATCAAATTTTCCAATAGATCCATATCACCGTGTTTAAATGTTCTTACAGCGGCACCTGATAATCTAACACCTGTTCTAATTGAAGTATGATTCAATTCATCAGATATCACAAGACATTTAGAATCCAAAAATGAATTAAAGAAATTAGCATTTGTTGAATAACCCATAGAGAAGATCATAGCGTCTTCTTTCCCAACAAAATCAGCGATCATACGTTCTGTAGTGACTTGTAAGTCAGAAGTACCAATTTGAGTTCTTGGTCCACCTGATTGAACACCATATTTTTCTACAGCTTTTAAAGCTGCGCTAGTACATTCCCCTTCACTTTCAGCAAAACCTAAATAGTTGTAAGAAGATAGATTCAAACAAGTTTGAGTCTTACCTGAGAAAGTATAATAATCGTTATGATCATGTGATATTCTTTCGACACAAGTTAAGAATCTTCCTGGGACACCAGTAGTTGGTCTTGAAAAACAATCATCAATTCTCATTTTTAACCTTCTAACGTAAAAACTTTCAAATTTAGAATACCAAGGAGCGTATCCATCATATTCCATAATATCTCTATGAGAATTTTTTTGAAATCTAATACCAAAGAAATCACGAATATGACCTAATATAATTAAGATCAGATAATTTAAATATGTCATCAATGTAATATAATAAGGTGGTGTATCAATGATTGGTCTTTTATCAGCTTTCTCTACGTCCATTGTAGTGACTTGATGTAAATATTTAGTATCAGTAATAGTACCATATTCATTTTCACGTTTGGTATGTGGATCCATAGGTTCCCCGATACACATGGGTACCCTACGATCATCTGGCAACATTTTCACCTTTGTAGCCATTGCTAGTATATATATGTGTGTGAGTGTGTGTGTATGGTATTGCTTGAGCAATTGATTGATTGATTGATTGATTATGAATTAATAATTAATATGTGAGTGTGTATGTGTATGTTATAATTAAAATAAAAGTAAAAAAGATGCAGTCACTGTATATTCTATTTTTTTTTACTTTTATATATGTATATATATTTTTGCTCTCTTTATTTGTTTCTTCGTCTTGTTGTTTGTTATGTTTTTTTCCCTTTCCCTTTCAGACAATTTCACTCTATGTACCTTCGTTATACAAGTATATAAAGTATAAAGTGTATATGTAATTAAAAACACGAAACGATATATAAGATTGAATAAGCATTACAAGAGAGCAATATAAGAAATAATCAATATATATAGGATGAAAGTACCAATAATTACACAGACATACTAATCGTCCTTATCATCATAATCACCATCATGATACCCACTATCCCAGCAAGAAAAAGAAAATTGAGCAATAACAAACCAGACCGTCTCTCTCATTGTATGTACTATTTATTATTCTTGTTGTTATTCTTGTTATTTACGTACTTCACTCATACGACGGCAGCCCATCCACACAAACAAACAAAGAGAAACAAAGAGAGAAAAAACGCGCTCCCAGTTTTATTGTGGTGAGAGAGAGACAGAGAAGACGGCGCGAGAGAAAATTTGACCGTATTATTTAATCGTTGTAATCGTTGGTTGTCGTTGTCGCATGCGGTAGACCAGACATAGATAGAGATGTGACAGAGACAAGAGACAGGGAAATAGGGGCAATATACTATATATGCAATACAATACTTGGTAATAACAACTTATATTGCTCTCTCTACAATAATAAACCTATTTAATTTGTGTAAGGGACGTATTTAGTGATATCTACTCTTTCGTGGCCGGTTAACTTCTATTTTTAACTATTGTGTATGTAATTGAGAGAGGCTAGCAGAGGAACCGGGAGATCCGAATTGCGAGAGGCTGAGGTAGTCATATATAGTAGATTCAATTGTTGGAAACATCTCCTATCTTGTAATTACCTGGAGACACTAATCGTATGTAATGGTCACAATGTGGTGTTTCTTCAAGGATATGAGCTACTACTAATACAGTACCAGGCCATCTATCTAATGATTCATAACAACGGATCATTTCAGTATCTTGCATCCCCGAAAATGCTTCATCAAGAATTAATATCTGTGGCATCTTGATCACCGCACGAATAAATAATACAAGTTTTTGTTGTGATACATTCAATTCATCAAACGTTTTATCCTTTATTGAAGTTAATGAAAAATGATCCATATACATTTGAATCAATCTTTGCTGTTCTTGCGATAATTTATTCCACATTGGTAAAAAATTATTTGAAGAACCTTCATGTAATCCGGATGATATACTCTCTTTAATAGATATCTTATTACCTCTCTTTGCAAAAATTGCATGTAATTCAGGTGATGACATCCCTATCTTCTTATTAATTTCAAAATAACTGGTTTGACCTGTACGACGTTCTATACCATTCTCAACAACATTTTTATTCCAAGATTGTGGATGTTCGGCTACGATCATGGATAATAACGTAGACTTCCCACTACCATTATCGCCACGAACATGCCATTTACTACCAGGCTCTATGGACCATTTTAAATCTTTTAAGATAGGTTCCCCACGATATGTAACATTGACACCTTTAAATTCAATGGCAGGAATAATGGATTCTGTAGTGTCAACAGAAACTTTGATAGTTTCATGATTATTGATATCCGTACGATACATTGAATGTGAAGAGATTAAATCATCTATAGTGTAAGGACTATCAATACGTTGACTCTCAAGGATTTCTTTAATTTTATTTCTTTCATTATGTTGAAACTCTCGAATTTGAGATTCAAGTTTTTGATCTTTAATACCACTAAATAGGATTCCCTGTTGTTCATCGACAAAACAAACATGAGTACACCATTGTGGAATTGGATCTTGGTATCTAAGTCCGATAGTAATTGGAGTTCCAATGATTGTTTCACTTTCGGAAAAAAACTTAGAAATTATTGATGCTGCATTGGGATCTAATCCAAGAAATGGATCATCGACTAATAATAAATCAGGTTCCTTTAATAATGCTCTTGCTAATCTTGCACGACGCATTTGTCCATTACTTAATCCCATAGCCCACCGATTTTCTAACTCAGTCAATTGTAATTCTTTGATTAAGATATTATATAACTTATCACTAATCTTATCATCTCTTAATATAACATCATATGATACATTGTTTGAACCAATTGAATTATTCAATATAAATTGTTTACAAGTTTGATCAAATTCATCTTTAAAGTATTCATATCGTGCACTTAAATGAGCCGTGGGGATAGCTCCACTAAATTGAATTGTTTCAATTCGAGGTAATGTATGACGGGTCTTGGAAGAGTATCTTAAGGCTAATCTTGATGGATCACCTAAATATTTATTACTTAAAATATTCATGAACTTCGCTTTACCTGTACCACAGATGGCCCATTTTTCATTAGGATTGATTTCAAAATTTGATATTCTAGTTGGAAATACAGGTTTGGATCCCTTTGTTAAAGATGATCGAAATAAACCTTTGTTGATCTTAACAATATAGTTGATAAGGTTTGACATTTGAGAACTTCGAAAGAGAAATAGTTTTCTTTGTGAACTATTATCTTTTCTATGATAAGATAAAATAGGTTTTAAGTATGAACTTTTTTTTATGTGTTTTATATTTTTTTTCGATGACTCACGTCTTATTTATACTGTTTTAAATTTTTCAAGGGGTAGAGAGAGATGAGCATCTCTATTGAGTATATATTTGTTTTTGAAGTGGCTTTCATATTGATCAATTGAACTCTGAGGTTGATTTAATGAAGTTTGTGTATATTTAAATATATATTTTAAAAAATAATTTGTTTACGTTTAGCCCTATTTCTGGAAGTTTCTTAGTTCGCAGGTAATTTGTAAAAAAAAATAAACGAACAAAATTCAATATATTATAAATTTTATTGTGGTAATTTATTAACCAAACTCTTCCTTAAATTTTAAAAACAAGAAATATTGATCATTTAAATTTACTTCAAATTGTCGTATGATTATTACTATATGGAAATATACAACCATGCAGGCATGTCTCTCTCTGACCAGACTGAAATAGGACAATCGATACTACTCCCTTTCTTTTATCTATACACTACAGCCATTTACAAAAATCTGAGATGTAATACTTTGCACACTCCTCTCTTAAATGCCCCATCGACCAGTTTTGTTCAACGATATCTGTCCTATATCAAGTAATCATGTATTTAATTAATATACTTTGTTGGTTCACTTTGCAGTTCGCACCGCTATTCACTACTGACGTTTCCATTAAGCGCGAGACAGAATGAAATCCGTTTCATGAACACATTTTCTTCGTTTTTTTTTAATTTTCTGTTTAGGAAATTTTTGAAATTTGAGTTAACTTGGTAAAATAAGCTTTGAAAAATATATCAAGTAGATGTGATAGATAACCACTGGTAATAATACTAACTATAACAACATATACACTAGTCTCACAAGTTATTAATTTTGTTTAGTACACTGTATACACACCAGACACAACTACACATACACATAAATGCTATTCTTTTCTTTCTTCAAGACTTTGGTTGACCAAGAAGTCGTCGTTCAAGTATGTTATCTTTCCGCTTTCAAGAATTACCCTTTTTTTACCCCCTCATTCTAATTTGTTACTAACATAATTCAATTATACTTAATTGGATGTGTGCATCATTTGATCACCCCCTCCTACTTGAGTATTTTTCTGCTACTCTGTGTTTCTTCTATTACAGTTAAAAAATGATATTGAATTGAAAGGTACATTACAATCAGTTGATCAATTCTTAAATTTAAAATTGGATAATATTTCATGTACAGATGAAGAAAAATATCCTCATTTGGTATCAGTAAGGAATATCTTCATTAGAGGTTCAACAGTAAGATACGTATATTTAAACAAAAATATGGTGGATACTAATTTATTACAGGATGCCACTAGAAGAGAAGCTATGAGTGAAAGGAAGTGAGTATATTTAAAAATTGATATTTACGGACATGGTACGTGTAACAATAAAATAATAATAATAATAATAATAATAAAAATAATAATATGACAATAACAACAACAGATAAAAAAAACATAGACGTAGATTTTAATGGTGTCATCAACGACGTCTACGCTTCTATGTTGAAGAATATTTGACGATTAAACTTTTTTTTTGTTATAGAAGCAAAAGTGTAAGCATTACATTTTCCATACTTTCTGCATCCTTTTATATACACTAATATATACAATCAGTTTTATTTCTTTAGACAAAACAAAACATAATAACAAACTTCAAAAATAATGGCATATAATTGGCAAAAAAAAAAAGATTATAAAATATATAGAAATGACAGTGAAATGCATGGTGCCATTTATGACTAAGGTTTGGGATTTAGTAATCGTTTGGGACATGCTGCTCTTGTATGTCCTGTTTCCTTACAATATGAACAATTGATCTTATTCTTTTTCTTTTTCTTTTTAAGTGAAAAATCATCAATTGTATTTGTTTGCACGATAGGTTGTATTTCTACTATTGGAATTAATGCATACTTTTGTTTATTTTCACCTTTTTCAATAATTTCAACACCATCATTTAATATTTTATCCAATTCGGTAGTATCGACGGAATACCTACTTTCATCCTTTCGATTCAATGCAAGTATCATATTAATTAACTTATCTACTTCCTGCAGCTTCTTTTCATAGTCGATCTTAACTTGATTATTATCCTTTCGTCTTTGTATTATTAATTTGGCTAGTACATCCATCGCATCGGATACTCGTTTGATATCATCTCCTGAGTTTTTACTATTACTGCTAGGCGTTGCCATTAAGAATGGGAGTTGACACAACAAATGATATATGTATTCGATTCACCTACACAACGTTATAACATTGTTCTTGGTAAATCATATCCTTGCAACTGTAGCAGAACTTAGAACAAGTTAACCTGTCTATTCTTTTTTTATAACCATTAACAGAAAGTCTTGAACATTTTTTCGAAGTCCGCTTAAATTTACTTTTGATCGCTTTAAAATTGAAAGGGTTAGCAAATGGTGACACTATACTGAAGCAGACATAATAGAGTTCGATCTTGATTCGTTCATTATTATTGACAGAAATTATGTGGAATCAAGATATCTCAAATGTCCTAATTGTTATAATATAGAAAGTAGCAATACTTAGTTATTACAATTTTATGTTTAGTAAGAATACTATCAATATTTGGTAGACTGTTTTCCTTTCCCAAAAGTATAAAAGGAACACATATTCTAACTTTATATATACACAATATTCCTTATATAGACTTACTTTATATAACATAGAATAAACTACAAGATTATACATTTGAATATCTATAACTATGTCCGATAATTTCAACTCGAATACTAATCGTATATTCTCGATTTCAAACTTACGTGTACACTAATAAGAATGAAGAATTACGTAATAATTAGGTAATAACTGGCAGAAATTATGTGAAATTAAGATATCTAAGATGTCCTAATAAGAAATAAACATTTTATTAGGTAATAGTCGTTTAGGCCATAATCGTTTAGAAAATAAGTTCATTACTTATCGATCGTTTAACCAACAATCGTTTAGGTAACAAATCAATTACTTGACAATCGTTTAGGTAATCAGTTTACTACTTAACAATCGTTTAGGAAACAATCGTTTAGGTAATAAGAAGAAACGAAACTTCGATAAAATAAATGATATATAAAGACAAAGAATTCTGAACTTACATTCTGAGTTAGATTCTATTCGTTCTGTAAATTATATAGAATATAAAAAATCACTTACAAATATAAGAGAAATATAACAATTATATTTTGCTTACCTAACATTAAAACTTAAGCTACACCATTCACCTCTATACCTAACTGTCAGAAATTAAGAGTAATATGCACAACACTTAATTTCAATAGGTAAAGAACTACCTTTAAGCACAGTTATTATGAAGCGTGTTAAAATATGAAACAAAATATGTGGCAACATGAAACAAAGTTAATCGCATTATGAAACAAAGTATAATTCGAACCTCAATTGAGATTAGAATAAAACATATATAAAGACAAAGAATTCTGAACTTGCATTCGAAGTTAGATTCTATTTGTTCTATAAATTATATATAATATAAAGAGACTGATCGATTATCGTATTAAAAAATGTCCGAATTAAATAAAGTAAAGCTTGAAGAGACTAATAGAGGCAAACACTCTATCTCAGATTCTCTACACTAACACCTTTAATAATGAACGAATATAAGTCTAACCACAGTATGTCTGCTTCAGCTCAATAACATTTCCTTTAATTAGTAACTTATTACCATGATGGGAAAATTGAATATTAGACATCTTCTATTTAACTGAACAAATTTTATTATATTACAAAATCAACTTATAGTCGTCTGATTTTTTATATCTTATACAAAAATATATAAAGTAAATTATGGAAACAATTATATTCATAAATGAAATATTGTTCCATTTATATATGTTGGATTATCATTGTCGTGATTATAAACTCACTCGACAGTGGCGTAAGTAATCTATTATTAAGTTGTTGCGGGATGAATCTATCAATAGATCATAACCTTGGTCATTATCCCTCTTATAATATATTTCCGACACATATACACTTTGCTTTCTTAACATACGTTGTCAAGCTAATACCTATATCTCTCTACTTGCTACTATATAATATGAACGAATATAAGTCTAACTACAGTATGTCTGCTTCAGCTTATTAACAACAGCAACTCTGTTTAACAAATGTTACCCTTTTTAGTATTGCCCCTGCATTTCAACAATAACAATTATATATTAGCTTTCTTTGCATTTTAACTCAAGCCACACCTACACCCCTCTACCTCTAACTGTATATAAATTGAATGAATCAAGAACTAACTCTATTACGTCTTCTTCAGCTCAATTTGAGATATTTTATCCCCACTTAGTTTCTGTCAATTGAAAACATGAGTTTCATCAAAACAGAATTCATAATTTACAAATTTTTAGGCTGTAATGGCTTATAGTGGAACCGGATACTTTGAGATACCTGGCCTTGGAACGAAACTTCCTTGCTGTCGGGCACAGAATGCACGCTTCTCCTTTGTGAGAGTAAAAGAACAGAGAAAATTTGTTTTCAAAGTTCTGCGCTGTGTCTCCTCAATATTGTTACAACTATCTTCCGTCCGTCGTTCAATTATGCTACTGGCAGTTATTTCGGTGACTGCTTGTAGGCGGGCGGGCACTAAAGAACGTGTCCCAGTTTAACCAATAAATCGATCCTTGCGGGCAATTTTCATCGTAAAATAACGCCCATTTGTCGACAGTCCATATGAGAAATCTATTTGGTTTAACTGTCTGGTGCAGCAACGTAGCTTAGCCTAATCGCTTTGCGTCAACCGCCGTAGGGGAGTTTCATCCAGCATCGGCAGACGTGACCCGTGACGGAGGCGACTGGGATAGCACTGTTCTAAGTGTAACTTAAAATGCAAATTCGGTTATTATAACTGAAATTGGTAGTGTGACGGAGTATCACTCATCTTCAATGATAGTATTCATTTACAAGAGTATCAATGGAACCACTGAAATTCTTTTTTTGTTGATCGTTGACATTCTTGCACTTTTAAGATGAGGAATTTGATTGCCTTTTTTAAGTTCTTGCTGCTATTAATATTCGTAATGATTGCATAAAATAATCATGCAAGCACAATATGGCTAAGAAGAGACACGCTAGAAAACCAAGATCTGGTATTAGAAATTGGTCAGAAATTGTAAAAGAGAATAAAATATGGGAAGATTATTATAAATCTTTGAATTTGTTTCCAATTGAAGAATGGGATGAATTTAAGAAATCTTGTCAAGAACTGTTGCCGTTAACATTTAGAATTAATGAATCATTCTCTACAAAATATTCTAATGAAATTTTAAATCTGTTTGAGAAAGATCATTTAAAATATTTAACAAATGTTGAATTTGAAGGTACTAAAATTGAAACACCCACCAATTTGAAATGGTATCCAAGATCAATGGCATGGCAAATCGATGTTCCAAAGAAAGTAATGAGGAAAAATGAAATGTTTAAAAAAACTCAAAGATTCTTAGTATTAGAGACTAATGCAGGTAATATTTCAAGACAAGAAGCCGTATCCATGGTTCCACCTCTATTGATGGATATAAAATCTCATCATAAAATCTTAGATATGTGTGCAGCTCCAGGTTCAAAGACTGCTCAATTAATTGAAGCATTACACATAGATTGTGAAAATAATAATGATGTGCCTACGGGTTTTATTATTGCAAACGATTCCGATACTAGAAGGTCTCATATGCTTGTACATCAATTGAAAAGATTAAAAAGTGCGAATTATTTAATTTTGAATCATGACGCTCAATTCTTCCCAAGGATTAAAATCAATAATTCATATAATAAACACGATAATATATTGAAATTCGATAGAATATTATGTGATGTTCCTTGTTCTGGAGATGGTACGTTAAGGAAGAATATTAATATTTGGATGGATTGGAAACATCAAAATGGGTTAGGTTTACATGCTGTACAATGTAATATACTTAACAGAGGTATTGAATTATTAGAAAATGGCGGGAGATTAGTATACTCTACATGTTCTTTAAATCCAATCGAAGATGAAGCTGTAGTGGCACAAGCATTAAGGAAATGGGGTAATGACACTATAAAGTTAATTGATTGTTCTAATAAATTATCGGATTTGAAAAGATGCTCGGGTGTATCATATTGGCCCGTGATCGATAAGAATTTGGAACAGAAGACGAAAGGTGATGAAAATACAATTGATAGTTGGTTCCCACCTAACGATGAAGAAAAGATATCTTTTAATTTAGATAGATGTATTAGAATTCTTCCACATCAACAAAATACTGGTGGATTTTTCGTTGCAGTTTTTGAAAAGAAGACTAAGACGCAAGAAATTGTACATACTTTGAAATCAACCCATATATCGTCAATTAAAACGAACAATCAACCAGTGGATAAATCAAAGAAGGAATCGTTACCCTTAGATGCAATCGATGAACCATTTAATTTTATCGATACTTCTATTGCACCATTAAGGGAATGTTGGAAATTCTTTGGATTTAATGAATCCTTTAATAAAAATAATTGTCTAGTGAGAAGTAATGCAATTGATATTCCGAAAGTAATTTATTCTGTGAATCAACAATTGAGAAATATTATAGAACTGAATCGCGAAAAGTTGAAAATGATTTATTCTGGTGTGAAATTGTTTGTTTATCAAAGAGATGACATCGAATGCGCATTTAGAATCCATAGTGAAGCAATTCCATCAATAAAACATTACGTCAACCACAATAGGATTGTTGATGTCGATTTAGATTTCTTAAAGTTATTATTAATTGAACCATTCCCAACATTTGAAACATTGTTAGCAAACAATATAGATCAAAAAATGATTGACCAAATCGAAAAATTCGTTACAGGTTGTGCTATGGTGTGCATATCGAGAGATTCTGAAAATAAGGAATCCATTTTACTCCCAATTTGGAAAGGTATCAAATCTATTAACATTATGGTCTCAAAGGAAGATGCACATGAATTACTTTATAGAGTATTTGGTATCGAAACCCAGGCAAAAGATAATCCGAAAGCTAGAAAATCATTAACAGAGACTGTAGAGCCATAAATCATTGTATTGTATACATATATATTGATCTCAATAATAGTGATAAAATTACAATTTTATTTTCTAAGGAAAATGTACTATATATATATTATTTATTTAACTAAGAGTAACCGATGCCCAGATGAAAAAGAAAAGTTTCTTTAAAAACAACAACTAATTCTTGTGATCCATTGTATATATGGCAAAAGATCTACGAAGTTGGCGACGAACACTGATCTTTTGTGCGTCTACAAATGAATCAACTACAACTTTAATGGCTCTATCCAAATCCCATGCTGAAACGAATTCTGAAAGTCTCATCTTAGCAAAAGATTCTGCAATTCTCAATATAGATTCCAAATGACGAACAGTAATTGGGAATGAACCAGTCGTAATACTTTCTCTTCTCAAGTCAGCATACACCCTACTAACTTTATCCATATCCATCTGATGTAATTTAGGATATATCTTTGTTCTTGCATAGTGAATATATTTCATTAGAATCTCCTGGGATATAGGTGAAATTTCTTCTTCCAATTTCTTCTGTACGTTTAATCTTCTTTGTCTAGCCGATATAGCCTCGTCCTCATCCATTGCATCTTCTTCCTTTTTTTCACCTTCGTTTGCTTCAGCTAGATTTTCTTCATTTTCTGGGTGAGATCTAATATGAGATCCGACGACAAATTTAGCTAATCTTTCATCTGCTTCTTCATCAACCAAATCTCTAACCACACAAAGGATATCAAATCTGGACAAGATAGGTTCGGTTAAACCAATATTCTGAGCTAATGGCAGAGTAGAGTTATAACGACCACCATTTGGATTAGCAGCAGCAATAATAGAACAACGAGCCTGTAATGACGTAACAATACCAGCCTTGGAGATGGATATACTTTGTTGTTCCATGGCTTCATGAATAGATGTACGATCCTGATCATTCATTTTATCAAATTCATCGATTAAACAAACACCTTTATCAGCAAGTACTAATGCACCACCTTCTAAAGTCCATTCTCTTGTTATTGGATCTTTTCTAACGGAAGCCGTTAAACCAACTGCGGATGCACCTTGACCTGTAGCAAAGACAGCTCTATGTGCTGTCTTTTCAACATATTTTAGAATTTGAGATTTAGCTGTACCTGGATCACCTAATAGTAATACATTGATATCACCACGAATTGCATGCTTCCCGTTCACATTTTTAGGTACACCACCGAATAGTGAACACGCAACAGCAGTTTTGATATCTCTGTGACCATAAATGGATGGAGCCATAGAAGATATGATTTTATCAATGATACCACGATCTCTGGACAATTTTCTAAATTCACGTTCTTCTTCTTCGGTCCAACCGAATACATCAAGACCTTCCTCAGATGGGTTTGAAGAATTACCTTCTCTTCTCTTAACAGAATTGGCTTCTATAATAGTGGCAAAAACTGGGAAACCATTTTTGGCATTTAAACTGCCATCATAACTGTTTTTGTAAATACCTGTAACTTCAACTTCTTCACCAGGCTTGGCAATATCAACCAAATCGGCTAATAAAATTACCTCTCTGTGTCTTGGTAAACGACCAGCAAGGACAGTCCCTGGAGCTTCTTGGAGTGTAATTCTTTGATAATTACGATACACAGTCTTCTCACCATTAATAGCAAATGGACCTTTAGATTTACAGTTTGTACAGAATGAAATCTTCATCTCTTCATTAGAGTCTTGAAAAAATGGACCTAATACTGTACCACACTTCAAACAGTTAAATTTAATATATTTTAATTGAGGGAAGACACCGGTTCTTCTAGTTACGACACCAGTAACACGAATCAATGAACCCAAGTTAGATTCACGTAATTCACGTAGACTGAATACTGTTGGGAAGTCCGATATTCTAACGTGGATCTCTGAATGAATTCTAGCGTAATCTGGATAATGCAATTCAGTGGCCTCCATAGCAACCGAATCAAAGATTTTCAACATCTCTTCCGGACATTTTGCCAGAAATAACGCTAGGATAGCCTTAGATTCTGCCAAGTGCCTATAATTTACTTCTAAAGATTCGGAGTTCATTTCACCCAGAGTTCTAATACGTGCACCATACACAGATCTACCTGTTTCATCGGTATATTCTAGTAAAAAACTTTTCAGTTCTCTGGCAATTGTTCTTGCTACATTAGGTTGAATAATCCATTCCGAATAACTAGCGGCTTTCACGTTACTTAGAGATTCTAAACTTAATTCCTCGGATAAGGGATCTACGACCATATCATCTAAAAGATCATCATCACTGTTTTCATATGTGTCATACTCTCTTCTACGTCTACGTTTTTGAATAGGTAAACCCATTTCGTCTAATTGATTGGCATTTTCATCTTCCTCATCTTCATCCATGTAAGCAGGATTCTTCAACAATCTATCTCTTTCTTGTAATTGGGCATCAATACGACGACGTTCTCCCAATGATAGTTCAGTTTGATCTCTATCATCAATTTGAGCTGTGTCATATGTATCTTTAGTTGGGTCAGAGCCGTAATCGCGATACATGTCGTCACCCATCAAATCAACCTCATTCATTTGTTCTTCAGCGTCATCAATGTCCTGAATTTCCGCTATCTCGTTATCATCACCCTCAGGGTTTATCATTTCGTCCCCAGGAACACCGATTGGAGATGAAACGGTGTTGTAGACATCTCTATCTGGTTGCTGTGGTGAAGAAGGTGGGAACTCATTTTCAGAATCTGATTCTTCTTCGGTTTCACGTCTACGTCTTCTATTATCAGACATTATTCTGTAGTATTAGTATTATAATCTGTTGATTGTTTCCTTAACCTACAAGTATTATAAAAGACAGATTTAAACTAAACGACTAATATAATTTTAATATTTTGTGGATGAAAGAAGTTTATGGAGAAATAAGAAAGTAGTCATTCCCTTTGAAAGTTACGTGAAAAAAAAAACTTTTTAGTTTAATTAATTTCAGTTCGGCTGAGGCGGCACCAATTTTTTTTACTTTCATTTCGCTTCGAGACGTGTTAGTGCCGCGAAAATAAAATGTACATTTTTACCCGATTAGGAAAAGAAATTACACTTCTAATAGACCACCTTCTATAAATAAGAATAATACCATTTTTTTGGATAATAAAGTGTTTAAGATATGTTGGAAATGTATTATTTACAAAAGATATTTATATATTTTATTATTATTAGAATTATGTATTGGAAATTAGGAATAATTAGTCATCGTTATCATGGTCTTTGTTTTTCTTGGCATCCAGTAAAGCGAATTCGGAAGCCCAGACTGCATTACCTTCTTCTGTGGACATATCTGGGAACAATTTATTGAAAATGTCTCCGTACCAGTCAGCTGGAAGAGGAGTTAAACCTTCTTTCACATTGGCAGGTAATTCCTCCCAATCACTCCAATTATCCTTGGGGAAGATAATTGTCTTGGCACCGGATCTCTTCGCAGCTACAGCTTTTTCTCTCAACCCACCAATACGTAACACTTTACCGGTTAATGTCAATTCACCTGTCATTGCCACTGTTGGTTCAATGGACTTGTTTAATGATAATGATAGGAATGATGTGGCCATAGTAACACCTGCAGATGGACCATCCTTAGGTGTTGCACCTTCTGGACAATGTAGATGTATGGAAGCCTGTTGGAAAAATCTATTTTCAGGGAATTTATTAGCCAAAAACATTTTAGAGAATGAGTAGGCAAGACGAGATGATTCTTTCATCACGTCACCAAGCTGACCAGTACGTTCTAGAGTTGGGTGCTTACAATTATGAAGTGGTTGTTCTAGGACAGACTCCACATATAACGAACAACCTCCCATACTTGTCCATGCCAGTCCCATGACAATGCCTGGTGGTGTAGTTTCATATAGTCTATCGGTAGTGTAGATTGGAGGACCGACATAATCCTTTAAGTTTTCAGGTGTGATAGATACACTAATATTATCTGGGACCACCATAGCTTTACTCTTATCTTCTTCGTTTTCAATCTCAATATCTTTAACTTCATCTTCTTTAAACTCAGCTTCGGATGTCTTAGAAGTTGATACCGGTTCAACAAGAGGATCGGATGTTTCAGCAATTTTTTTTAAGATGTTTAAAGCAGCCTTTCTGTATATCTTTTCAATTTGTTTCTTTAAATTTCTAACACCACTTTCTCTACAATAGTGCTTCATCAACGCAACTGTAGCATTTTCTGTTAGTTCAACATTGGCATTAGTTAAACCTGCGGTCTTTCTAGCTTGAGGAACAAGGTATCTTTCTGCAATTTGAACTTTCTCTTCTGCAACGTACCCAGTCAATTCAATTACCTCCATACGGTCCAGCAATGGTCTTGGGATAGTATCCAGCGTATTGGCAGTGCAAACAAATAAAACTTTCGATAGATCGATAGGGATATCTAGATAATTATCCAAAAAGCTATTGTTTTGCTCTGGATCTAATACTTCTAACAAGGCAGAAGAAGGATCACCATGCATACCACCGTGGCCAATTTTATCAATTTCATCAATTAATATTAAAGGATTTTGAGTTTGACATTTCTTTAAAGCTTGGATGATTCTACCTGGTAGTGCACCAATGTATGTTCTCCTGTGACCTTTAATTTCAGCAACATCAGACATACCACCAACGGAGAATCGGAAAAATTTACGGTTTAAAGCACGAGCAATAGATTTACCAATAGATGTCTTACCAACACCAGGTGGACCAACAAAACAAATAATTTTACCATCGACTTTTCCTAACAATTTACCCACTGCAATGAATTCAAGAATACGGTCCTTGACATCTTTCATACCATAATGGTCTTCATCTAGAATTGTCTTTGCAACATCAATTGAATATTGTTCCCTCGATATCAAACCCCATGGAAGAGATGTTATCCAATCCAAATAGTTTCTTGTAACACCAAATTCGGACATAGAGGTCTCTAATGTAGATAATTTCATCAGTTCATCATCAAATATTTTCTTGACATTCTTTGGTAGTTTTAATTTTTCAACACGTTTCTTGTATGTCTCAATCAATTTATCACGTCCGTCATCGATCCCTAGTTCTCTTTTGATCCCCTTTAATTGTTCCATCAAATAATATTCTCTTTGTCTCTTTTGTATCTTTGTCTCAACATCTTTTGAGATCTTATTTTGTAGTTCAGCATTCATTAATTCCTTTTTTAGAACCAATAACGATTTTTCTAAGCGTTGTTCAATATTTAATGAACTTAGTATATCTTGCAATTCATCTTCTTCGCCTGCTGAAACAGCAGCAGCAAAATCTGCCAATCTTGCAGGTTCTTCAAAGATATTAGTAGTAGCCGATTGAATAGATGCTGAAAAAGTAGCAATTTGTTCTCTAAACATGGTATTTAATTGAGATATTTCCTTAAATACTTTCAAAATTTCAGAAGTCAATGCATTAATTATAGGAGATTTCCTATCGAATGGATCATCTTCCAAATTGGAAACATTTACTAAAGATACTTTGAATTTTTTCAAGAATTCTGTAGGATTGAATTCAGAGATTAATGTGCCATCAGTTTTTGAAGACTCTTCGACAACATTATTTTTTTTGGCAGGTTCAATATCAGTTTCATCCTTTGGTTCAGTTTCGTTAGTCTTCGCACTAGTCTCCTCTGTATCGTTAACTTTTTCTGTTTCTTTTTCTGTGCTTTGAGACTCCTTTTTTGTTGGTTCCACAATCTTTTCCACTATAATATTCTTTATATCCTGTGGTTCCTTTGCCTTTTCTTCGATAACAGGTGGAACTAATTCATCAATTTTGATTCTTCTATGTGGATATAGTAAAGCTGTCATAGTTTCAGAACCAGTTTTTTCATCTTTACTTGGGAATGCGCTAGTAATTTGAGCTAATACACCCACTGAATGTACATCATCTCTATTCTTAATAATGTCAGTATCAACTGAGGAATCCTTCAACATGAATGCGCCAATGTATGGTTGTTGACGGTCCAACATTTCAGTGATCGCCTTCATTACATCTGGATCAGAGATAACTACTGCCTTATAAAACCCAGGAAATAACGGTCTTCTTGATATCGGTAAAGCCAACATCTGGGGGTATATCTCTGGCAAACTAGTATCTAGTTTCACTGGATCATGTCCATCATTTCCTCCATCACCATTGTTGTTATTGTTTGGGGGAGTTGCAGGAGCGCCACTTCCGGTCTCGGCTGACGAAGATGATTTACCCTTTTGTTCAGTTATATTGTTATTCTTATTTACAGGAACTTCTTTATTTTCGTCATTTTCCTTCTTACGATCTTTCTTTTTATCCTTTGACACGGGTTTATTGTTTGTACTATTAGAAATATTATTATTATTTTTAGAATTTTTAAACAGTATAGTGTTTGGAGACCATTTCAGTTCTGAATCCAAAAGATCGTTTTCATATGAGATAGAAGTAGCAAATCTTATTGGCGTATGAATGAAAGTATTAGTCCTAACGGTATTTTTTAATAACCTCGTTATGTTACGAGTAGTAGAAGCCTTGAATCGAAGCATCTTTCCCGTCAGTAACTTTATATATGTATGTTTTCGTATATTCTCAAAAGCAAACAAACAAACAATATACAACAGCGAAAAAAGTAATAACTTTTTAATAGTTCCAAGTTATCTCTTTATCTTAGTTATTCTTAATATCTATTTAATAGTTTGATTGTCTTTCTCTCTCCCCTTCGTGTCTTTCGCATTGGAAAAGTGGCAAAATTTCGAAAATCCGCCTTTACGCTTAGCTTTGCACCTTTAACGATTTATTAATATTACTAAAAGAGAATAAAATACTGATAGTGAAGTGACAGCAATAAAACATGGAGTACCATATTCTTTTAATTACAATTTCCATTTCTATCATTGCAATAAATAGTATATCGTCTGCTATTGATACTTCTGGGTCGATGCCTGCTGCTGTTAGTTTTGTTCTATTTATATGGGGGTAGGGGTCGTGAATATGTAAATATATATATGTGGTTGAGTATGTATGCATAAGAAAGGAAGGGAAGTAATCTGAGAATTTTGTACAATTTCACTGTATCTTTTCTGACACTTCCAGAGGTCATAATAGCTTTTCCATTTACGGTTCGTGATTTCTCACAACATTTTTTTTTTTAATATGCTTGTTACTTTTGTTCTGTCTTTTCTTCAGTCACAGGTTCCTCACTATCATTAGTTGGTTGTACTTTCCGTTCTTGCCCTTCTTCTTGATCTCTCATTTTTTCTTCCTCTTCTTCCAACATCTGTTGATTGCGTAACGCCTGTTGATGTCTATATTTGGCCAAATATATTTTCAACACTTCAGCATAATTCTCAAACCCTAACGCATGCAATGATATCAATATGTCTTCCCCATTGATAGTCTTCCTCTTATCGGCTGTACATCTATCGCCAGCTTCACTGGTTACAAACGATATAAATTCACTAACACACTCTTGCATACACTCTTTGGCATCCTTTGAAACCTTAGCTGTAACAGGCAATGTATTCTTCATCAGTCGAGCCACATTATTTATAGGTAGCCATCTATCCTGTTCTCTCAACTCATAGATATGAGGGTTCTCTAACATGTCTTTGCTGTCGTTATGATGGTCGTCTAGTGCTCCCATGTAGTTGTTGCCATTACTAGCGGTTGAATTATTACTGTCACCTGCATTTACTTCGTTCGTCATTTTTATCTGTTTATTATTTCCCTGTACATTAAGTTAAAATCTGGTCGTAGTTTTTTACCTTCCACGTTCTTCTTGTTCTTGTTATCATGCATGAGAAGGGAGAAACCCTTTGAAGTTTAAAACTTTTGATGGATTTCATCTGTTTTCGTTTTTGAAGTTTTGAAGTGCGCGTGTCCTTGAAATGGTAATGTCGGTTCTGTCTTTCCTATATAGAAACAACGTACACACATTTAATATAAACATAAACATGACATATTATTTAACGAATTAATCACTGGATTGTTGTAAACATTTAGACACTTACAGGACTTTTAATTACTATCAGTACAGTATAGTGTGTTTTTATAACACTCACGTTGTGGTTTTAGTTTTTTTTTTTTTTTTTCTACTCNACTCATCATATCATTAAGAGATCATCATGTCAAACAGTAATGAGATCTTGAAGAAATCTACTAAAGGTGCAACATTCTTAATCTTAGCACAATTGTTTACTAAGATTATCACCTTTTTATTGAACAGTGTCTTAGTACGATTCCTTTCGCCTAGAATTTTTGGTATAACTGCTTTTTTGGAGTTCATATTAGGAACTGTATTATTTTTCAGTAGAGAAGCCATTAGATTATCTACTCTTAGAATTAAGGATAACGAGACAGATGATGACAATAATACCAATGAAAAGGCTGCTGACCACATCAGTAGTCATTATAAGAGACAAAATTTACAAACAATGGTGAATTTTGCTCATATACCATTATGGATTGGGATTCCATTGTCATTAGTATTAACTACATGGCAATATACTAATATTAATGCATATTTTATCAGTTTACCCTTTTTTCAATGGTCAATCTTGATCATATGGGTTAGTATGTTAGTCGAATTGTTAAGTGAACCATTCTATATAGTGAATCAATTCTTATTGAACTATAATGTCAGATCAAGATTTGAATCTATTGCCGTGGCAATGAGTTGTCTAGTGAATTTTTCTGTTATTTATTTATTTCAAACTCATATGGTCACTATAGGTAGTTTGGAGATTACAGATATGAATAAAGAAGGTATCGCTATTCTAGCGTTTGCACTTGCAAAATTGACCCATTCGATTACTTTATTATTATGTTACTACTGGGATTATTTAAGAAATTTTAAACCAAAAAAATTGTTCCATATTAGATTAACTAAGATTACCACCGTGTCAGCTTCTACAACATACAAGAAACAATATTATTTCCAAAATGATATCTTAGAACATTTTAAAAAAGTATATTTCCAATTATGTTTTAAGCATTTATTGACTGAAGGTGATAAATTGATCATCAACTCTATGTGCACAGTGGAAGAACAAGGGATTTACTCATTACTATCAAATTATGGGTCTCTAGTAACACGTTTATTATTTGCACCAATTGAAGAATCATTAAGATTATTTTTAGCTAGATTGTTGACTACACAGAATTCAAGAAACTTAAAGCTTTCTATGGATGTTTTAGTTAATTTGACTAAATTTTACCTGTATTTATCCTTATTAATTGTTATATTTGGACCGGTAAATTCCTCATTCCTTTTACAATTCTTAATCGGGTCCAAATGGTCCACAACAGCAGTCCTGGATACAATAAGAGTATACTGTTTCTATTTACCTTTCTTATCAATGAATGGTATCTTTGAGGCCTTTTTCCAAAGTGTAGCTACAGGTGACCAAATATTGAAACATTCATATTTTATGATGACATTTTCAGGAATTTTCTTGGTCAATTGTTGGATCCTCATTGAAAAATTAGACTTATCAATAAATGGGTTAATCATTTCAAATATTATTAACATGATACTTAGAATCATTTATTGTATTATTTTCATTAAAAACTTCTACAGCAAATTATACACTAAAGAATCGTCCTTCTTCTTAAATTTTCATAATTTCGGAATTGTGTCAGTGGCTGGTGTCAGTATTAGTATTATTAATTGGGTCACTATCGGATACGTTAGAAATTTCAAGCAATTATTCATTAATGTAACTTTTGCTCTATTGTTACTGGTGTTGATTCTAGTCAAGGAAAGAACATATATTAAAGGGATGATAGGTAAAAATAAACTAACAGAAGTAAAGGAGATATAGAAAATATACGGCATATACATTTATATATAATGATTTTGTAAGAATATATTCTATTACGGAATTAGTAAGCTGAAGCTGTTTACAGTTAAAATGGATGAGCTAAGGCGTTAAGGAACGCGATTACAGGAAAACAGAATGTAAACAATACAATTTTTATATAAACAGAATGTAACCATACATATCATACAAGATGTCGCAACATCTACTAATTGATACATTCTAAATTGTTTCCTCCTTTTAAGTTTTTTTTTCCAGCCAATTAGACTCCCTGGAAATGACTAATATTCCAGATAAAACGATCAAACGTAAAGCTAAGAATGATCTGATACGATTTCTTACATTCAATGTCAATGGTATAAGAACTTTTTTTCATTATCACCCTTTCTCTCAAATGAAATCCTCATTGAAAGATGTATTTGATTATTTTGACTCTGACATTATCTCATTTCAAGAACTTAAAACAGACACATTGGCTATATCAAAATGGGGTAAAGTGGATGGGTTTTATTCTTTTATATCTATTCCAAAAGTTAAAAAGGGTTACTCAGGGGTTGGTTGCTGGATACGGATATTACCAGAGGATCACCCCTGCCATAATACATTAAAAGTTGTAAAAGCAGAAGAAGGAATTACTGGTTTATTAACTGTTAAGGTTAACGGACAACAAATAAGATATAGAGATGATGTGAATCTTGGATTAGGTGGATACGATGATCTTGGTATTACAGATGAACAATTACTGTTAGATCTAGATTCTGAAGGTAGATGTGTAATGATAGAACTGGCTTACAATATGATTGTTATATGTGTTTATTCACCGGCAAATTCCGGCTTAACTGACGAAGGTGAAGTTTTCAGAATGACTTTCATTAAAGTTCTATTTAATAGAATACGGAATTTTACGAAGATGGGTAAGAATGTTGCATTTATGGGTGATATCAATATCTGTCGTGATCTAATTGACAGTGCCGATTGTTTGAATCTGGCAAATATTAACTTACAAGAGTATAATACGGGGACTATGGTGGAATCAAAATATTACTCTGATGCAGTTAAGTTTATATTGAATCCAGATACTCCTCATAGAAAGTTATTGAATATGTTGCTATCAGACTCGATTATCCCAGAGTTGGCTGATGACGGTATCCTAGTAGATAGTACTCGTTATATACAGGGACGCGATCGATTAAAAATGTATACGGTATGGAACACTTTGAAAAATACCAGACCTTCAAATTATGGTTCTAGAATAGACCTCATTCTATTGACAGACGTTTTGAAATATAATATAAAAGATGCTAATATCCTTGCTGAAGTTATGGGATCAGATCATTGTCCAGTGTATGCCGATCTATCATTCGAATCGATATCAACTGAAATAAAACCCAGTAGTTCAAAAATTCCGAAATTTGAAGCCAGATATAAATTTAATCTTATGAATTATGATGTTCTTTCTATGTTTGCAAAAAGGTCAAAGACGGCGCCTCTACCAAGGATATCAAATTCATCATCCGCGAGTACATCCAATACCGTAAAGTATGGAATGGCTAAGAAGGAAAAATCCATCGATACCTTTTTCAAGATCACAAAAACTCAACGTCCAAACCGTACATTATCCACACGAAATGCTGGTCCTGACAAGGGAATAAGTCTACGTACAACTAGGATCTCTTCATCCCAAAGTGACGCAAAATCTTTAAAAGATATCTTTGGAAGCCCTCCTCTGTGTAGACATGGAGACGTTTGTATTCTAAAAACTTCAAAGACATCAGATAACCCTGGGAAGAAGTTTTGGACGTGTCATAAATCTAGGGGTGATCCTAATGATCCTGATTCTTCATGTGGGTTCTTTAAGTGGGTATAATTTTGTTATCTATGTTCTAATGCGAAGTGTTATTTGAACATATATATATATAATGCACCTATATAATTATAGAATAATGACCAATGATGATAAAAGTGATGATGACAACGATTTTCTCTAAAAGCTACATATTTATACCGGAGCACATTCACTGTCATTTTGAGTATCCTCCTTCAATCTTGTCAGCCATAATATATCGTCCGCATTATTTGATAAGTCGTCGATGTTATTGGCCTCGAGGACGATGGACACAATCAGAGGTCTTCCTACCAATTCCTCACTGGATATGTAAGTCGCTATTGCTTGTGAAAGAATATCCTTATCCTTAAAAAATACCTTAATATATAGAATATTGCCATCATGCCTCACAATATAATATTCAATACCTTCTCCAAATATACCATGCGAGCGTTTCAATGCATTTTTTAGCCACTGTCTCCATGTCATCTCATCGAATACATTCTCGTCGTCTGTTTCTTTATCCAGAGTTGTTATGGATAACTTAAAATAAGTCCATTCTTTCACCTTTATACATTTAGACATAGCTTGGCTCGAGTTAGCACTAATTTATTTTTATTCTCTCTAACATACGGTTGTATTTATCTATAGTAGTATGCCATTGGTTATGGTACATGAAAATTATGAAGGTTTATATTTCTTTATCTCAATAAATTCGGCTTATAATTTAAAGCGCAGAGAAGACGACAAGGTAGTGGAGACTTCAATAAAAAATGTATTGCATAGTACAAGTTTCACTACTTCGGTATTTGTCAGTATATCCAGTTAGCAAGTTGTATATTTATAAATGTGTTATATTTTAGTCGAAAATCCTTATATATCTATATCTTAATATATTTGAAGGCGATTGTCAACTACAAATTAAATTACTATATATGCAGTGTTGACCTATTATTCTTCGTCATTATGCATTGAATCAGTAGTCGTGTCTGTAACCTTTGTTGTTGAATCTGTTAGAGGTGCAGGAACTTCATCAGAAATAGTATCATCAGTGTATGGTTGCTGTGTTGTATTTTCTGTCTCTATATTATCATTGTATGGCTGCACATGAACGTCACCATTACTAGTTACATCAGATGCAGCATTGGATTCATCATCAATATCGAAGTTGGTATCGTTGCCTATGAAACTGGATAAATCATTAGCATCTTCATCGTGACCAGCCAATAAATCGTCGGCTTCATCCAAAAATTGGTCATTCATTAATGATGAGTATGTTGGACCTCTTCTTGATCTCATTCTTCCGGTAAATCTATCGGATAATCCTCTGACACTACGCTTAAACATTTCAAATCCGGCATGAATTCCAGAAAATATGATCAAACCAAATTTCACAGTGGCATTCACCATTCTGTCTGTTTCATTGTTTTCAATCATTTGATTTTCATCGCCTAATCTAATTTCACCAAATCTGGAGAAACCACCGTTTCTTCTAATACCACGATCGTATACAAACCATAGTAATGCACTCAATAGAACGAATGGAATAAAGAATATTAGGAAGAATGATCTTCCACTGATACCGTATTTCTTGTTAAATTCGCTTTCCTTACCTGGACATGGATATGTATCCGAAGCGACATCCAGAGTTAAGCCACCTCTGCAAGTGGATAACGCAATCTTTCTGTAACCAGTTAAATCTGAAAATTCTATCAAATCTACATTCTTCCTACAAATGTCGGATGCAGGTGCTGGCATTAGTCCCTCGACAAGTTTGCAAGTACCATCGTTTGCTTTAATGAAATTATAATCACATTCGAAATCACTTCTTGTACAAGTACAATTCTTTGTTATCTTAGAAAATTTTGTTAATGGAATGTTACCAACAAAACAGTCAGTGTTAATCTTCTTCAAGTATTCTTCTTCATGACCAAATAGACATTTATCATTTGATGAACCAATTGAAATAAATGCAAAATCATCATCCTTATTACCATTAATTTCAAAATCACATTGTTTTTGGAAACTTCCGCTAAAATCAATTGCGTAAGTCTTAATTGAAGCACCTTGGACATTTGATTTTTGGCCTACAAGAAGGAATCTTAATGCAGAATCTTGAGGAACAGTTATGATATCTTTAATTACAACCTTCTCACTACTGAATTTATATTCATTCCACGTCTTCCCAAAATCTAAAGAGTATGTTAGAGTATCAGTTTCTTTTCCTTCGGGAACCAAGACTAAAATACCACCGTGGTCACCAAACTCCCATTGGTATGCGCCCTTCTTTACTTCCTTCCAGGTCATACCTCCATCGGTAGTTAAAAAGGTCGACGATTCACTCATCGGTAATAAAAATTCACCAACATTACCCCTAGCAAATAGCATACCATGCGCAGAACCGGATGAAAAAGTGTCTCTTACATCATATCTCTCAGTGTACCCGTGTAAATTCAAAGAACATTTTTCAAGTGATCCGCTCTTACAGTTATATTTCTTACCTTCAGAATCTCTGGTAGGTGGTGTGATATATGACCAATCGGCACCATCATTAAATGTAATCTTTGTCTTTAATTTCTTCTTAGAGTCTACGTTACTGGCATCTTCTGGATTCTCAACGATGTTAATTAGGATGATACCTTCCAAGCCTTGAATCTTTTCAAAATCAACTTGGCCATTCATATTACTGTTGACATTCTTTTGTAAAGTCACAAAGGAAGTACCATTGGAATTCGATTTTAATAGATCACCGTGGGGATTAGTACGGCCCTCGGTGGTACCCATATGCAAGAAGATTGATCCTGTATTGGTACCTAAAACAGTGAAAGTCTTCTGTGGGATATCAGATAACTCTTGAGGAAGCTTTGCTTCAGCGTATTCTTCACCATCTAATGTTACATAAGCTCTTAATTCATTTTTATCGTGAGTAACAGCAACAATAGTGAACCCACCCGATGACATATAACCTATAATGTTTTCAAAGATTGTCTTCTCGTTCTTGAAATAATCAGTTGAAGAAACCAATGATTTTGCGTTTTTTCTAATATCTCTTATCTGACAATTCATCATATCTTCATTAGCTGGATGATCAAATAACGCACCTGTAAATTCGCAATGGACAGCACCTTCTAATAATTCCTCAAAAGTCTTACCACCATCTCTTGTAATATAAGACATTATTCTACAATCACTGCTATAGATATTTTCACAACCTTTACCACCATAATAAATAAAAGTGTTTGGATCTTCTGGATGGAAGTTTAATGGGAAGCCTAATTGAATGGCATCTGGTAATTTATTAGAGAAAAAAGTGTAGCCTCTATCATGAGTAATAAAAATGGAACCAGATGAACTGAATAAATAAGCGGAAGAATTAGAGTACGGATTATATATGATTTCAATAATTTTTTCATCATTAGTATCGATTTTTTTCACAGTCTTACCACCATCATGAGAAATGAAAAATTCGTATCTAGTGGTTCCAATAATTAGAGATTCATCTTCATCAGTATCGAAGTATTCATAGAATCTTGGTTCACCAGCAATAACGTTTTCAGTGACAGATATCTTATCATTACCTCTTCCAGGGTCTGCTAATATACCACATTGTACATCGACTGAATCTATTTTTAATTCCTTTGTACATTTGTTCCCAATAATCTTACGTCTTGGTTTTAAATTCATTTCATTTCTTTTTTCATTTGTACAAATTCCAGAAAATTCCAATAAATTAAAATCAGGTACACAATGTCCCTTATCGTCTTTTGTGAATTCAAATGAACATTCATAGTCTGCATCAGTACATTGAGGGCATATTTCTTCATCTAATTCTAAGTCAGTAAAGACTTCCTTCACGAGACATTCTGAATCATATTTTCTTCTTCTGTAACTATATTTGGCACCATTGACACAATCTCCACTGTTTAGATAGAATATTTCAAAATCGTTCTTACCACATTTCTTACCGTTAAATGCATCTGAGAAATCAAGAATATAGAAGAAACTTTTGTTATCGTAATCACCGTCTTCAAATGGTTTAGATGAAGATTTAAATGCCTCAAGGAAGAAAGTTGATCCTGAACCATCTGGAGTGGTATTAATTAGCATAGCTGGGTATAAGGCAACGTCCAATTGATATTCAGCCCATGTTTCACCTTGATCTAAGGAGTAATACACTTCTGATTTTGGATCGCCATCGCTCTCTGCATTGAATGGTACAGCAACAATGATATTACCACCATCACCCACTACAGATATTGTTGGGAAATCCAAAGCTTTTTTCCATGTCTTACCACCATCCCTTGAGACAAATGTCTTTTCATCATTATAGTTATAAGAATAACCGTCACTCAGCACACCAGATACCATCAAAATACCTGCTGAAGGAACTACATAATTATTGAAATGATTTAATGATAGAATGGAACAACTTTCTGGGTCGTTAATATTACAACTATAACTATCTTTATTTTCTGGATCAACAACCTTCAAATAATTCCATGTAACACCATTATCAAAGGAAATCTTAGAAGAACCAACCAATTCACTGTCAGGCTTCTCTCTATTTGAGTAGTATCCCCTACCGAAAAAACTATTGATTATGGTACCTTTCAAATAATTAATTGGTTCTACCGAAGTACGACCATCGACAGATCTATCTATCCAATCATAATCTGAGAATTTCAAACCTGTATAATCAGATACTAAAACGTCATTATATTTGAAATTCCTACGTAGCTGTCTATATTTGTTCTCATTTGAATCTTCTTTCTGTTTGTTCTCTTCTACTTCCGATTTTATAATTGGAATAATAATTCTACCAAGAGAATCTTCATACATTGAATATGACATTTCATTAAAGGTTAAATCTGTTGGAACATAAGCTTGTTTGAAAGTTTGCATATCATTAGATACCCATATTTTCTTGTTTGAATGACTATTAAATCTATCTTCTTGTGTAATCACTACTAAATTTGAATTCAATACTTGTAAAGAAGTTATAGTCATATCTTTAAAAAAATCCAATGAATTAATTTTCTTACCTGTAATTGTATATAATTGTGAAATCATTTTAATACCTCCATCTGTGGATAATGCTTTTTGAACTTTTTCAAAATTGCAAATTAATGTTGTTCCATCTACTTGAATAGTAGATTTCTCACTAATTCTTGCATAGTGACAACGTGATCCAGTATGGAATGTAATAAGTTTATCTTCGTCTTTCACTTTAAACGGCGATTCAATAAAATCAAAAGATTTCCCACGATTACTTGATTTTAAGATAACTTGTTCACAATAACTTCTTGAATGAAAAAAAATATCACCTAAATCATCCAATATCTCTTGTAATGGATCATCTTTTTTATCATCATTTTTCTTATCCTCATCATAATTTGTTTTATCTTTATTATTTTCTTCTTTAGTGACTTCACGACATGCACTACAAGTCAGAAACATTTCATCTTGTTGAGTAGCATGAGTAGTCACCCAACAATAGGGGATACGATCCTTATCATGCAATTCGTTTGGTACATTATATTCAAGTTGAGTCCAACTATTACCCTTATCATAGGTCATATAAATGTAATTTTTATTCATAGTATATACAAATGCTCTGAATTTAGGAAAATTTTCATCAATGGTAAAATAATTGATCTTATCTTTAATTTCTTTCACATTAGACCAATTTTCACCATTATCATGAGAGATTTGTAATCTATCATTCTCTGTTCTGAGTAAAGTAGTAGAATCATCAAAGATACCATACGGTTGCAATTGTTTATTCCTAGTCAGTGTTACTTTAGGCGCAAATGATTCATCTTTTGCAATTACTGTATAAAACCATAGTAATAAGAGTACCCCTATGGTATGTAAGTATCTCATTATTGAGCGAAAAGAGGATGAATGGTGATACTACAGATACTATTACCGTTTCTTATTGCACTGTCTTTAAAAGTAAAAGACAATTCTTAAACAACCTATTTAATAATATAACTATTTCAAGGGTAAGTTCTGTATCTAATAAAAATAAAATATGTGTGTGTAAATTAATTCAAATATTTTTTTGTTGCTGTTGTTGCAATTCCCTGCGCCTTTAATTTCTTAAATCCATTTTCCTAGGGATAGATAGGTTGATATGCGCATACAGTTTCAACAATAGTGGTAGCAACAGCAACAGCGGTAACTAAGCTAAGCTAAAATATTGAATTTTAGTTTTTTTCTAGCTGTTTTGTTGCTTTAGTTCTTCACTTCTCAGGTGGTTTTCTTTGCAACAAATTTACATGCCGTCAAAAAAAGAACACGCAAAGACAGTAATGTTGTACGATACGGGGGGGGGTTGATAATATATAGTGGATATGATACAACTAACGAAGATTGTTTCAAGATAGAACTAATACTGCTTGAAGTAATACAGGACAGCCGATACATTATGTAGGACTGCATTATTACATATAAAACACAATAGATTATATTTCAAACAATGGTACTCATTAATAGAGATTATTGCGCATTTGTATATATATATATATATACATACAATTATGCATCATCATAGTTTTTGAGGTTCATGCATATTTTTTAAGAAAAGAAAAAAGAAAAGAGATTATAATGTAATAATGTAATTGGGCATCTCTCTCAAAGAAGTTTAAAATGATCCAAGGACTTATATATATATATGTATATATATAAATCAATGATCTCATGTGTAAACTATGATATATACTGTACTTGTAGAATAAATAATTGTAACCACATATACTACGACAACAACAACAACAACAACAACAACAACAGCATAACAATGGGTAAAAAAATTGTATTTAATATAAGCAGTGATTTTCAATTAAAATCAATGTTAGGTGAAGGTGCGTATGGTATTGTATGTTCGGCAATCCATAAGCCAACAAATGAGATTGTTGCAATTAAAAAGATTGAACCATTTGATAAACCATTATTTGCCTTACGTACTTTACGAGAAATTAAAATATTGAAACATTTTCAACATGAGAATATAATATCGATATTTGATATCCAACGACCTGATTCATTTGAAAATTTTAATGAAGTTTATATTATTCAAGAATTGATGCAAACAGATTTACATCGTGTTATAATGACACAAAATTTAAGCGATGATCATATACAATATTTTCTATATCAAACAATTCGTGGTATAAAGACATTACATTCGAGTAATATAATTCATAGGGATTTAAAGCCCTCGAATTTATTAATTAATTCGAATTGTGACTTAAAGATATGTGATTTTGGTTTAGCAAGAATTATTGAAGAAGAAAAAATACCGTCATCATCATCGGATGAAAACGATAGCACAACGGCAACAAATGAAAATATGACATCGACCAACGCGGGAATGACAGAATATGTTGCCACAAGATGGTATCGTGCACCTGAAGTAATGTTAACCGCAGCAAAATATTCAAGAGCAATAGATATATGGTCCTGTGGTTGTATCTTGGCAGAATTATTTTTAAAGAGGCCAATATTACCTGGTAAAGATTATAGACATCAATTATTATTAATATTTGGATTACTAGGTTCACCAACGGAAGATGATTTGAAATGCATTGAATCTACACGTGCCAGACAATATATTAAACAATTACCAAAGATGAATAAACCGAATTTATTTGAAATGTTTAAAGGTTGCAATGAATTAGGAATTGATTTATTAAGTAAAATGTTAGTATTTAATCCAAATAATAGGATTACGGCACAAGAAATTTTAGATCATCCCTATTTAGCAACATATCATGATCCACAAGATGAACCAATTGGTAAACCAATTCCATCAAGTTTCTTTGAATTTGATAATTATAAAGATGTTCTGACTACTAAAGATCTTAAAAAATTATTATGGAATGAAATATTTGCATAGTGATTCTGGATTTCTATACGCGTAATATAATTGAAGATCTCACCGTCTCCATAGTAATAGTAAGTAATATTATTATTATTATTATTATTATTATTATATATACCTTATTTAATTACCCTGCAAAATACAGGAATAGCATATTATAGAAAAGGCAATATTTAAATGTATGTTTTCCGCAACTCCGGTTACAATATGAAGTTGGATATATTACAGTAAGTCAGTCCGCTATCATCATGTTAAACGGTGTTGTGGGGATGTGTGTGTGTATACCAACCTACTTTTAAGGGAGCGAGAGAGGAGAATTATATACTTGTTACGTATCGCAGTACCATTTGTTCTTGTTCTACTTCTCTTTAACTGTGTATATTCAAATTTTATAGCTCCGAGAAAACAAATTGGTATATTTGTATAGAAATAGAGTTGCATAGCAATAACATATGTCGATATGGTTATATTACAGCCAATTAACCCGCTTTCTTTCGATGGTAGTTGACTGGGGCTGATAATTTTGATTTTCAGCGATAGAAGCGCACAAACCACGTATTATTCCATACATTTTTGCGAGCGATGTGGTGCCCGAGTATGTATGGGTGTGTAGCATGGTGCGGGTTGAAATGCGACAGAAGCGCTGATAATTGCATGCTGAATGGACTTCATTTTTAAGGGAGAGAGAGAGAGAGAAACTGATATTATGAATTTGAAAAGGCTCTTCCCTTACAGAAATTTGTATTGGGCAAATGAGAGGGTGAAATTTAATAATAAATTTTGTTGAATCATCTCTAATTGGTCCGAGACAATTTAATTTGAAAATGATTTGCTGTTGCAATTTTTAGTTTGCTTTTGATGGGTAATGTCGTGATTGAATGCGTGACTATACTCACTATTAATTATTGTTTACCAATTAATTCAATCTATAACTGTTTACTTTACTTGCTATTATTTTAATATTTCCAGATGACGATATCTTGGTTTAATTAAACTATTTATATATAAAGGGTTATCGATACGTTCTTATATTATTTTTCTATTTGGTTTCTCTTAGGAAATATTATATTTTTCTTTTTATTGCTTTTATTTTTTCATCTTAACAAAAATAAACTATAATTATATATTCACATACGCATACACATATACATACACAACATGACTGTTTCGCAATTACTTAAAGAAAGAGTCAGATACGCTCCATATTTGAAAAAAGTTAAATTAGCAGATGAATTAATTCCATTATTTAAGCATGGTCAAAACTTAGGTTGGTCAGGTTTTACAGGTGTCGGTACGCCAAAAGCTGTTCCAGAAGCTTTAGTAAAGCATGTGGAAAAAAATAATTTACAAGGAAAATTAGCTTTTAATTTATTTGTTGGAGCTTCTGCAGGTCCAGAAGAAGACGCTTGGGCTACACATGATATGATCCTAAGAAGAGCTCCTCATCAAGTCGGTAGACCAATCTCTAAAGCAATTAATGAAGGTAAGATACAATTCTTCGATAAGCATTTATCGATGTTTGCTCAAGATTTAACCTATGGGTTTTATACTAAAGATAGAATGGATCCTCACGCTTATTTAGATTATACTATTATTGAAGCTACCGCAATTAAAGAAGATGGTTCGATTGTTCCAGGGCCTTCTGTTGGTGCTTCACCTGAATTTATTTCTTGTAGTGATAAAGTTATTATCGAAGTTAATACTGCTACACCATCCTTTGAAGGTTTACATGACATTGATATGCCTGTAAATCCACCTTTTAGAAAGCCTTATCCATATGTCAATGTCACTGATAAATGTGGTCTGGATTCTATTCCTGTGGATCCAGAAAGAGTCGTTGCTATTGTTGAGAGTACCACTAGAGATATAGTGGGTCCAAATACTCCTTCTGATGCTATGTCTAGAGCCATCGCAAGTAATTTGGTCGATTTCTTTAGACATGAAGTGAAAATGGGTAGATTGCCTGAAACTTTACATCCTTTACAAAGTGGTATTGGTAATGTGGCTAACGCAGTCATTGAAGGTTTAACTGATGCTAAATTTAAACATTTAACAGTTTGGAGTGAAGTCATTCAAGATTCATTTTTGGATTTATTCGACAATGGTACTTTAGATTATGCTTCTGCTACCTCTGTAAGATTAACTGAAGATGGTTTCAAGAGATTATTCTCAGACTGGGACAATTTCAAAAATAAATTATCTTTGAGATCTCAAGTCGTTTCAAACAATCCAGAATTGATTCGTCGTTTAGGTGTCATTGCTATGAATACTCCGGTAGAAGTAGACATCTATGCTCATGCTAACTCCACTAACGTTAATGGTTCAAGAATGTTGCATGGTCTAGGTGGTTCGGGTGATTTCTTAAGAAACGCCAAGTTGTCAATCATGCACGCTCCATCCGCTAGACCAACTAAGACCGATCCAACTGGTATATCTACAATTGTTCCATTTGCATCTCATGTCGATCACACCGAACACGATTTGGATATTTTGGTCACAGACCAAGGTCTGGCCGATTTGAGAGGTTTAGCACCAAGAGAAAGAGCTCGTGAAATCATTAATAGTTGTGCTCATCCAGACTATAGAGATCTATTGACTGATTATCTAGAGAGATCAGAACATTACGCAACTAAGAAAAAGGCTTTACACGAACCTCATATGTTGAAGAACGCTTTCAAATTCCATAATAATTTGGTAGAGAAAGGTACTATGAAAGTCGATTCTTGGGACCCTGTAGAGTAAACTACAAAAACAAAAATAAAAACAATATCAAAATTAAAATTAAAATTATAAAATCCATTTATATACATATATATAATGTTTTATGTCACTTATATGTAAATACTCATTAGAAAGTAAAATAAAAAAAGTATTAATATTCAATTATTCTGAATTGTTAGATCAATTAGTGGTATATTGTTAAAAGAGTGAGATTGGTTTGGTAAGTGTTACAAATTAATCATATTGTTGGTGTTATACCTGCTATATATATAGTAGAATTCATTAATCCTGTGCAACTTCCATCGTGTAAGAAAACAAACAACCTGTTTTACAGATATAATTAAACTTGTATATACTGAAGTTTATACGTATTTTACTGTTGTAAAGGAAAGAGCACTGTCCTTCTATTTATCTACCACCATCCTAGTCGCACTGATATTCATTGGGTCAACTACTAAATGATGTGAAAAAGTACTCTGTGAGTCAGAAAATCTTCCCTGGTAATGATGAGTATTGTTGGCACCGTCTTACCAACATTAGGATACAGTAATTTCTAAACTTTATCACTATCACTATTGCAATATGTTGAGAAGTATATCCAATTATTATCCCTTCTGTTCTTTTCTATGCCTACTCTTCTTTATAAATGTAGAGACTCTAAGATAGAGTTGTTCCCTTTTATTAGTCTCTTCAAGTTTTGTATGTTTTGATTAGGACATTTTTTAATACGATAATTGAGCTGAAGCAGACATACTGTGGTTAGACTTATATTCGTTCATTATTTAAGGTGTTAGGTATAGAGGTGAATGGCGTAGCTTAAGTTTTAATGTTAGGTAAGCAAAATATAATTGTTATATTTGTAAGTGATTTTTTATATTGTATATAATTTACAGAACGAACAGAATCTAACTTAGAATGTTAGTTCAGAATTCTTTGTCTTTATATATATATTTATTCCAATCTCAATTGATGTTCGAATTATGTTTTGTTTCATAATGCCACATATTTTGTTTCATATTTTAACATGCTTCGTAATACATTTGAGATATATTGTTCTAACATAATTTCTATCAATAATCGGTTGTTCTCTTTACACTATGCATATATTACGTTTAGAGCTTCTTTCTATGCATCCCATAACCTTTTCACGTCATCATGTGTTTCTATCAAATCTAGCGGTGGCACCTATGAGTAAATGTTCTTGAAGGTATTTCTTTACCTAGATTTAATTTAGGTGAGAGAGATATATCACCCTTAAATTCTAAGAAAATGGCAACATAATACTTCCAAAACACCCTCTAATTTAATATTTTATTTTCGTAATGGACCTAAATATTTTTGCAAAAGTTTAAATCTAAGAATGCCATCTTAGTATAATGGTTAGTACACATCGTTGTGGCCGATGAAATCCTAGTTCGATTCCAGGAGGTGGCACATTTTTTTTTTAAATTTGAATCTACACCAATGATTATCAAACCACAATCACACCAACAACCCTATGTCTAGGTTCACATTTCCTAATGATTAACCAAAGTAACAACTTTTTTGTTTTATTAATATGTTATATCAAACAACAATAATAGCCGCTAAGCCATTAAATCAAAAACAACTAATATCAGAAAATCAAACATATATAAATACAACAGTATCAATTGATCATATAATTATATTATCGGTATATATATAAATGTATGTAAATCGGTTACATTTAAACAAAGGTAGTAACTTCAAAGAATCTTTTCAAATAATAAATTTGAAAGATTGAGTTTGCCACAACCACACCAACTTGAAAGACAGACCACCATTTAACACGATCATTAGTAGATTCTGCTGTGTTTCTATGAGTTCTTTCTCTAATAACGATATAGCCTTGTTCATCTTTAATTTCGCGTACTAATTTAGATAGTTTTCTAACTGAACTATCCAAAGTATTAGAATTTTCATCGTCGACGTCAACGTAAACGACACCGTGGACGTTGAATGTAACATCTTTAGTTGGAATACTTTCGCCATTACTGAAACAATATTGATATTTACCTTTAATTGGAGCAGTCACTTTAATGTCCCCATGAGATGAAGATTTTTCGGTGGCTAATACCTCATTATTTTGTGGGCCATATAAGATGAAATCACCATATAATTGAGAGTACGATTCAGGATTTCTATCACCGAATTGGTAAGTCACGGCAATTTCGTCACCTTTGTTCAAATCTTCGAAGAAACATCTACGACTGTGAGCTGGGACTAATACGTTATGAGCCTGGACATAAAGAGCCAGACAACAAGTCAATATGATTTGTGATATGGATAACTTCATTTCTACCTGATTGAGGATCTAGTTGGAATAAAACAACAACAACAACAAAAATAAAAATAAAATCTAAATGGAGCTGATAGTATAGATATATAAAAAGTATGTGATTCTATGATAATAAACTAACGTGTGAATCAAATAGTAATATCAGCAAAATGTTATAAATCAGGTATATATATGGTAAAATGGTAAATAATACGTGAAAGAAAGAAATTAAAAAAAAGGATAGCTAAACTAGTTAACGTAAGAGAACGAAACAGACAGTTTTCGTGTCATTTATTATTTTTCACCCAAGGAAACCACGCCCACCATATATAAGTTCACTGATACTACTACAACAGCTAAGAATACCACACGTATAGTAAGAGACAAGGCGAGAACAGCGCTGCTTTTTTGCACAACAAAAATATATATTTGCTTAGCTTCGCTTCGCTTCTTTGGAAAGCAAAAAATATTTTCTGTTTTGCTTTCGCGGCTTTCTTTCGTCTGTTTGATTTAGATGCGTCTATCATGTAATTTATGTACGCGTTATTTTATCTGTGATATATGGCAAGTGTATGCTCTACACAAGACACGTTCGTTGTTAGTTATGTACTAATAGTAATTGAATATGTGATAATTGGGTATATTCAATGCTATGTTATGTTGTCGAGTAGTTTAGTTTAGTTTAGTTTAGTTTAGTCTGATGTTGAACGTATGTAGTTGTAGAGAAATTTTGTTGTGGTGATGCTGTCCATCGTGCAACGCGATAATCGATTTCCATAGTGTAAATTGTCTGTCTTTGTTACTGTGCATAGTTAAGAAATTATTTCCATATATGTAATAATAATATGACGATGATAATGACGATATAAAGGGGCAAAAGAACAAATATACAAGGAAGAAACAGAACAGAGACGGATAATACAATTGATTATAATGTCTGATTATATAGAACCTGACACACCTGGTGGAGTGAATCATCATTCTAATTTAAATAATAACGATAATTTATCAAATGTAGATATATCGAATCCATTTGATGACAATAATAACATTGCTAGTGCTGTACCAGCAGATTCTGATAATGTCTCTAAGAATACAAGAGGGACTTTGGATGAAAATGTACTAGAAACATTAAGAAGGGATTTATTTGAGATTAACTCAACGTTAAAGAAAGTGGTATATCCACATTTCCCATCAAGACAATTATTGTCGTCTACATCAACTATGGTGAATGAATCATTATCTTCTTCTTCTCCTACTTCACCAAATAATCAATCCATTGAAGACATTTCTGCTAATTGCGATCTTTGGGCTCCTTTAATATTTGTAATTACTTATTCTCTATGTGTTTCACATGCTCATACGTTATTTTCAAGTTTGTTTGTGTTATGTTGGATTTTATTATTGATTATGTCATTACATATGAGATTAACTAAACCGTACGAAAATGTTAATATGATTACTTATATCTCATTATCAGGTTATTGTATTTTCCCACAAGTTATTAATGCAATAATATCACAAATTATTTTCCCAATTTTATTAAAAATGATAGGCAATAGACATTGGAGTATAAGAATTATAACTTTATTAAAATTAATTACATTAATATTATGTGAATTATGGTCATTAACTTCAATTTCATTAGTCACTAATAGTAGAGGCCTTATACAGATCTTCCCATTAGGATTATGTCTCTTAGGATTGGGTTGGTTAGCAACTATACTATAGATCATTTATTTGTCTATAAATATAAATATAAATAGAAGTATAAATAGAATAGAATAGGTTCATAACTGATGTTCTGTAGTTTTACTGTATTTTCAGTTTTTGACATTTTTTCTAATGTAATTATGGGGTAAACGGACACATTTTTTTTATTTTTTATTTTTTCAGAAATATTATGGCAGACGTATATGCATACATACTTGCATGATTCTAGCATTTCAATATATAAGGAGAAATTTATAATAATAGACACACATATATATAGATATATAGATATATATATTCCATCACTTATCGTTTAATATCGTTCTTTTATTACTAGTATCATATAGATAAACATACGAACTATCCTGGCTGTATTTTTTATTTTGTTTGTTTGATTTATATTTTTTTTTTTTGTTGCCTAGGTAAAAGGAATAAGGGGAGTAAAGAAATTTTATTATTATTACTATTATACCACTTTCATTCAATATTCATATACATACATACCCCCTATAGAAATGTCGATGTTACAACCGTCGTCATGTACCGGTTATCAATTGAAGTTACCTCAGATACCACAGTTGGCAGAATATGCATTGTTGGATCATTACACTCGTAAGAAATTATCCTTGGAACATAGAACAGGTGCTGCAGTAGAATTATCAAGAGCTAATCTATTTGTGCATGGAGGACTTACAGTTCCGTTGAATATTGAAAATATTACAGTCTTACAACTACAAAAAGAATTGATCATATATTTCTCTAAAAATAATAAAAATAAGATTAGTTTCGAAAATTTGAATCAGTGGCTAAGTTCCGAAATTTTCTTTCTGGATTTAGTATCGAGGACATGGCATCATATACAAACCACCATAGACGACTCTGCACAGAATCCAAACCTTGCAATTCAAACAGATCTGTTATCTAAGGCTTCGCAAGTATCACCATTGGAATCACCAATGAAAGGGAGATTGTTTCATTCGATTTGTTATTTCGGTTCCACAATATATGTCTTTGGGGGACTTGTAGTATCACCTCATACAGGTTATGAATTGATTGCAACAAATGAATTGTGGAAATTGGATTTAAAGACGAGGAAATGGTCTCTAATGAGTATTGATCCCAGGATTAATAGAAGATATAGTCATTCTATGCATGTCAAAAATGAAAACGTAGATACTCGTGATACAAAATTGATTATTATTGGTGGGACGAATAATATTAGTGAACCAGTAACTAAGATAGATATATTTAATTTAACCAAAAATTGTTGGCAATGTGACGTAATACCAAAGGAAAGTTGTAATTTCGTGGTGAATATTGATAATGAAGCAATTCCTCTATCAATTGAAAATACTTTCTCAATATTGGTGGAAAACAATGAAGCAAAAGTTCCAGCTTTAGTGATATATAATCCAAATAATCAATTTGATAAAGATGGTATACAAGAAAATAGTGATAACGAAGTCAATGAAACCGATGATAGTCATATACCAAAGAGATCCGACAGTAATAAGATGGTCTCCCCGATGACAACTTTACCATTAATACCTGAATCAAAAGGTATGAGACTAGCTTATAATAACTTGCAAACTCCTGATATTCTAAGAGAATCTTTTAATCTACAATTCCCTAGTGGACAATATTTTGGTTATAATATTATTATTGGTGGGTTTTATCCAAATTGTAATCCTTCGAACTATTGTTGTTTTGTATATGATATCCCCTCAGGTAGATGGACTCGTGTCAGTATACGAAGCCCCAATTCAGAAATAGTTAATAGTAGATATTGGAAATTGTTCGTCTGGAAATCACACCATCAGACTCTCTTATTAGGTACTACGACTAATGATAATAATTTACCAAGCGTTCAAAAATTTGATCATATTCTAGTTTTTGGATTACCATTGATTAATGCATTTAATAAGATCATCACACCACCTTACCTTAATGAGATGAAATCGGGATCTTTGTCCCTAAGTTCATTTCAATCTACGTTGGACGATACAATTCAACAACAATTGGTATTTAGCACAGATGACCAACCAACGGCACGTAATCCAAGTTATGTATCAGGTGCTACTTCACAATTTGAAAACTACATCAAGTACATCGCACCTTCGTTTGAACTATCAACCATTAAATCAACTTTCCCATCATTTGCCGTGGTACTTGGGAAGGATTCTCTCGAGGTTTATGGTGATTCGCTCTCCGACTTTGAATTTATCACTAGTGAAGGGGATATTGTGAAAGTACCAATGTATCTTTTGAGGAAAAGATGGGGTAGATATTTCGATTTTTTGTTATCTCAAGGTTATTCCAAAATCTGTTTAGAAAATGAATTGAATGTTAAACGGTCAATGTTAGTAAAATATACGCCGATATCATCTAGGATAACTTCACGTGCAAGTTCGAGACAAGATTCGATAGATTATTTTAGAGATTCCACAAGATCATCCCTTAGTAGACTATCTAATAGAGGATCACCACGATCGAGTAATGCATTGGAACGAACAACATCTGGGCCTCATAAGTCACTCTCGCAATTATTTGTCAATGATGTGGAGGACCCAGCTAAATACACTCGCATGAAACAACCATTTCGTCCTAGTGTCTCGGAGAAAGTTACGATTGAACCACCAATACCACTTTTGCCTCCAAAGGATGAAGATTTGGATATTAATGATCCTGTATCCCCTCCTCCTGATGAACACCTTCTTTCTTTAGAAAAATTGACCGATAAAGATAACTATCTCGGAGACAATCAAATTAAAAGAACAGGGACAACATCAACAACAAGTTCCACTACAGGTATGGTCTTCAGAGTTCCTTTTCAGGAAAATAAGAGCCCCTCAAGTATTGTCGAATCACCATTTCATACGGTTACTGATCGAAGAAGAAGGTCGTCATTAATGGATACACATATTAGTGTCAATGATGAGCTTCAAACTTCTAGAAGGAATTCGGCTTTCAAACATCGTTCGTCACATCCTATTAACAACGTTAAATTTGAAGAGAATGTCCTTCCTCCCCAAAAATTAAACAAGAAATTGTTTGCAAATTTTCCCACTAGTGCTAGGAGCTCATTTTCTTATGCTGGTTCCGTTTCTGATAGAAAGAGAAACTCTTTACCTTCATTAGGACAGAGAAGTACATCTCCTGAAACACCGTTGGATGTTATGAATGTAGATTTACCACCGACTACGAAACTGCCTGATGAACCTCTTCCAGAAGTTCCAATTGTGAAATTGGGTAATAATAGAAGACCTAGTGCTTCGATTTATGATTTTACAATGTCGAACAAGGGTAGTCCATTCTCTTCTAGAAGAGCATCATTTGTTAGTGCAAGTAGTAATCCAGATTGGAAAGGCATTGCCCCATCGATGAACAATTTAACTCTTGATGAGAAATTGTTGCAAAAAAACGAAGAGTTAAATCGTGCACAGCAAAGTGAAAGTAATAATAGGCAATCTATAAGTCAATTAAGATCTCGAATGTTTAGTAAAAGTAGCACTTCAAGGGAAAATAGTTTGAGTAATATTCCAAGTATATCAGATAGGACGAGACCTTCAATTGCATCATTTAGTGAAAGTAATGATAGTATATTATCTACCGCACCTTATGATATGGAACCATTATTAATTCCCAGATCTCTTTATCTTCCATGGCCCACTTCTTCTATAAAAGCACTCTCGGAATTTTTCTATACGGGGCAAACAAATGGTAAATGGTTATTGGCTCCGGTAGCACTGGATTTGCTTGTCATGGCTAAATTGTATGAGATTCCTTTGCTGTATACTTTAATTGCCGAAATGCTATATTCAATTTTGGGTCGCAAGGAAGAAGGATTATTTGTAAGTTGTATAACGTTGAAAAATGGGCTAATAAAGCAGATTAAAAGGCTCTATCGTGATGATAATACAAGGATTGAAGAGCACCTTGAAAATGGTAAGGCCTATAAAGAATTATTAAGGTTGAATAAAGCATTGGTCGAAATAGATAACGGTTTTTTAAATTCTAGTCTTCTAAGAAAATCATCTTTTAACCGATCAGAAGGGACTCATGATAGTAGTGAGTGTGACGATTTAGATAAACAATTTCACAGAGCGTCAAGTACGGGATCATTTACTAATTATAGACAATCTGTTATTTCTTATGGCTCAAAAGATAGTAGGGGTTCATTAGGTGCTGCAGGATTTCCTCCTTCCTTAAATTTTCAAGAGCAGAAAAACTCTGTAAGTGGTATAAGTCCACGAATTAAAAAGAAATCAAGTTTAAGTAAAGAGATAGACCCACATTCCTACTTCCAAGGTAATGCTCTCGATATTGATAAGATAAAAAATAAATATCGCAAGGATCTATCTCAGGGAGATGTTCATAGGACTGATGATGACGCTAATGAGTATGATTTTGGTGATTTTGATTTAGGTTTTGAATTAAGTACTAGCAGCAGCGACGAAACTAGCGACGACTCAGCCAGTGAAGTTAGAAGTACGAATAGTACAGATATCGATTCCGGAGTAGATCATTCAAAGTCTAATCCAGAGTTAGAATCCCTTTCAACAATTGTTGATGCAAGAACTAGTCAATCTGAGGAACATGGAGACGATAATTTGGATGACAATATAAAAAAACTAAGTATATCAACTCCAAGAAACAAGGCAGTTAAGACGTTGTTAAATTCATATGTGGACTCTGGTCTTGGCATGTCATCATTATCACGATTGAAGAAAAAAATGAAGAAAGCTGAGGAGTATGCGGATGATTCCGTAGATCCTCTATTTAAAATAAGCTCCACTTTACAAAGTCCTGGAAGACCTCAAGTGGGTCCAAGCAGGGCAAATAATCAGGGGTCTGTTTATGGTACAGCTAAGCCAGGGTTTAAATCCCCAAATATGACGGTACCCGATGAAGATTATAGTGTATTGAGGCTTGAATGTATTGTTGCCGCGAATGCTTTGCCACCGGTTGACCATATTATAAAATATATATTTAAGACGGCAGTACTGGTGAACGACGTAAAGATGACGATCCGTTGCGCAGACTGTCTCGAAATTTCGAAGGATTTGAAAACTGTTAAAAAAGAACTAGCAAAAGAGATTGCAGCAATAAAAGATGAAATAAAAGCTAGTGTGACAGGAAGGGAAGATGCCTTGTCACCATTAAATAATCCAAGTGCATAAGAAAGGACTAAGATTAAGATTGATATCTGTGGAAGAAAGGAAAAAAACGAAATATTTAAAATAATATTCAAGTACATTCAGTATATACGCATCTCTATTTTTTACATTAAAAATAAATATCATTAAAGAAGAATTATTTCATTGTCTGAGTTAATGTATCTCATCTTGTAAGCATGAGTAAAGATATGGTTGATTTTGAACTTGATTTTAAATTCGAATATTTAAAATATATTTTTATAAACCTCACAATTTGAAGAATTAAGATATTAGAAGAAATTGAACTGAAATTTTTGTCCCATTTCAGAAACTGTAAAGCAATCTTCTGGATCCTACTTATCTCTATAGAAATATCGTTGTATAATTTTTTATGTAACTTTTTTGTTTACACTGACCTAGGTAATATAAGAAAAACCAGTTCGTAGTAAAATTAATATTTTGTAATAAACTGATATTTTTAAGAAAGTAGCTAAATATATATAATGCTTTATGTCATAAAGCTCTATATATAGAGTAATTTAAACTTTCAAAAGATATTTATAGGAGAGTTTCTTGTTTAATCTCACAAGCATACAACACGTACTAGATCTATAATCCATGACTTCGTGTTCAGTCTATAGAGTTAGATTGATGATAAACCAAGATATCTGTTGAAAGTTAATTATTTGATTACGATTGGAAAAATTGGTAAGGCATTTCTACTGTTTTTAGGTGCTGTTTTAATTTCTTTGTGGATTGAAATTTAGAAAGTTCTTTAAGTAGCCAGACACTAATATTTCGAAGACTTTACTGTCTGATGCAGTATTCCTATAGTCCATTACTTTTATTTGTTATTTTTTATACATTAAGCAAAGCGGCGCTATAGACGTATTATATATTTACTGTTAGGAAATTATATCCTGCTAACAGCTAGGACACATCACTACCATATTATAGAAACTTGTGAATGATACTTTAAACTTTTAAACTTTATTCATCCTTTGTAATCATAACTTCCTCACTAGAATCAGTTCAAAATGTTATAATAATTTAACTAAATTTATCACAATCAATATTTATATGCGCTGTGTTTCTGATCTCCCGATAGTAATAGAATGAAAAATAAAATGGATAGAAAAGGAAATAGTAACATCAAATCATGATTACAAGGCCTTTTTTTGAAGAACAAAGAACTTAAATAGAATCTTACAAACCTCTACATTTCTATTTCCCTTTGAATCTTATAGACATATATGAGCGATCTCTTATCGACTTACGGAGGATATGATGTTAAACGGTTACCGACACCATGTTTCCTAATTGTTGAAACAAAGTTTGACAAGAATTGCAGACACATGCTTGAACGTGTCAACGAATTAGAAAGAGAAACGAACGTTCCAATTAAATTTCGTGCTCATATAAAGACTCATAAAACTGCTAAAGGAACCTTGAAGCAATTGGGGGTAGGCCTTATAGAAACTCCCAAAGATTCAATTGTAGTTTCCACAATAAAGGAGGCCACTGAACTATTGAATTATCAAGATAAAATATGCAAACAATATGTCAAAGATATCTGTTTTGGGTTACCTGCATGTGTTCCTGAAATTATCGACCAACTAAATACTTTATCAGGCAGAGTGCAAAATTTGAGAATTTTTGTAGATAGTGTCGAGCATTTAGACAACTTGGTGAAGTTTGGTAGAAGTGCAAATGACAGAAAATGGTCTATTTTTATTAAGGTTGATATGGGGACTCAGAGAGCAGGATTACCAACAGAATCTGCTGAATTCCTTGAATTATTAAAGAAATTAATCACCCCAGAAGTAGCTGAGGTTGCTGATTTGTACGGATTTTATGCACATGCGGGTCATAGCTATAATGTGACTAACATCTTGGATGCACATGACCTACTGCTTCAAGAGATCAAAGCAGTCAATGAGGCTGCCAAAATGGTTAGGAAATTAAATCCCAAAATTAATGCAATAGATCTGACATTGTCAGTCGGTGCTACTCCAACATCTAATTCATTAAGGATCAGAGATGAGTTAGAAATTAACGAATATATTAGAGATACATTAGTTGGAACTTTAGAGATACATTGTGGTAACTATTGTGTATATGATTTACAACAACTTTCGACTAATTGCATTAATGATTTTGAATGTTCTGGTTATGTATTAGGTACCGTCCTATCGTCTTACAAAGAGAGACATGAAATGTTAACTAACGCTGGTGTAATGGCACTAACTAGGGAATCATCTAAGTTCAAAGGAAATGGTCTATGTATCCACACTGACACTATCTTAAAGGATGAATCCTATAAAATTGATTGGTTCATAGATAGAATTTCTCAGGAACATGGTATACTAAAACAGTACCATGGCCAAGAAGACCAAGAATTTCCAAATAAGAAGACACCATTAAAACCTTTGTTAAATTTGGGAGAAAAAATAGCTATTTTACCACAACATGCTTGTATTACGATGGGTCAATTCCCACATTACTTTGTTCTTGACAACGATAATAAAGTATCTGACGTTTGGATACCATTCCAAAAATGGCAATAACGATCATCAACTCACCAACTTTCGCTTCTTATGAAGCACCCATTTCCATAGGATTATATACTAATTTACTTAAATAATATATAAACATTGGATTATGACATTAGGTATCTATAAATACTATTTCTTCTAGTAAGCCATCAATTGTGATAGTACTCTATTACGGCTGATTGCAGTCATCGTAAACGATGAAAATTTTTCAGTGTCAAGAAGTTCTTCGCTGCTTCAACGAAAAAAATTCAAATTTTACCAAGATTTGTGAAACTGTCTATGAGCGAATGAAGCAATTACTATAACAATAAAGAGACTTGCAAGAATCCAATTGACAACCTTATTCTCTATTGACAAAAGACCAACCAATTATTTAGGTCCCAGATACCCTACATTGTTTTGTTAAGAAGTACGCCATGACTTCAAACATTAATTGGGAAGAATTATCTCCTGAATTGGAAAAAAATTGTTTCAATTCTCAAATCTCTACAAGAATTGCTTTCTTGGAAGATGTACAACAATTGATAAAATCTGAAACTTTAGAGGCACCACAATTGGGCCAAATCTCAATCACATTATTAAAAACATTCGTATCATATACTGATGCTAAGTCTAAAGCGCTCGTTAAGACCATGTTCGCCGACATCCTGAAAGTGGAGCCTCGCTTGTACGAAAAATACATTTCATTTATCGTAGACCAAGTTAACAAATCTCTTGGATCAAGAGCTTTTGTAGATTACTTAAACTTATTAGAATGGGTCCATGAATTTTTGATTCTAACTTCTAAAGACGATGATCTTTTCACCTCTAATTTCCAAAAATTGTTAGTGGCTCATTGTTCGATCACATACAGCATTGAATATTCAATTGATAACCAAGAAGTTAACAAGAAAACAAATGCAAATAGAAATCAACATAGAAATAGAGTACGTCGCAGCATTTTACAATCCACTACCAAGACATTAACTAAAATATTCAACAGAGATGACGATAATATCACTCAGGCTACTCAGCTCATTTCTTTTGTTCTAGAGGAATATGTTACTGCAAAATTACCAATGACTGGTATTGTTGTTTTAATGGGTGCATTCACTCAAAGTTTTATTCAAATTTCTTCCTCAAAGCCTGCCTATTTTCAATTATTGAAGGATAAATACTTAATCAAGTATTGCGAATTTATTGGTAAAGAGATCATCCTTGGGAAGATTCCACCATCACCATTCTGTCTTGAAATCTCATTAAGACCCTTTATTAAAGAGTTTGTCAATCAAGAGTTATTTAACTCCTATTTCGTCCCAAATATGGAAAAAGCTAATCTGAGGGCACCAGAAACTGGTTTCACAACATCGGCTGAATTATTTGCAGCTGTCAACTTAGAGAAGGTTAACACTTTACACTTATTTGTTACCACTAAATTAATTACCCAAGTATTCTCTTCGTTAAAGAGTTCCAAGGAAGGGACAAAAAATTCCGCCTTCAATTTTATCACCACTCTACTCAGCTCACTGGACGCTAAGTATATTACTGAAGAAGATATGGTAAAACTTGTAAATGAAATCTTTAAAAACATAAAAACCAACTTGAATGCTGACTACAAAATTCTAGCATCAAATATTCTAAAGTGTATTCCAGTATTTTCACAAGAAGTTTCATTACTTATTGCAAATGGTTTAAATACATATATTTCCAAAGAAACCAATGAAAATGCTCTGTCCAATATGTTATTAGCATTTTTCTTAAATTTTACATTCCTAGAAAGTTCTAACGATGATTTTGACAAAACCGTCGAGAGTGGTCTTTCGAATAAGAAACCAAGTTTGAAGAAAATTTGGTGCAGTTCCTTTTTAGGAGGCTCTCCAAGTGCTTCTGTTGCAACTATTGAGAAATTTGAACACGTTTTCTTAGAATTTATTACAGAAACCCTAAGCCACAACCAAAATTATGACCATTTTGCCATCTATGCTTGTCTTAAATATATTGTACATGTCCACACAGTAAGCTCAGATAAACTAAGGAGCAATGTTTTGGAAACTGTAAGGAATTTACCAAATAACAGGGATTTAGGTAATGCGATGACAATTGTTGCCTTATCCACTGTCTTGAATCCTTCTGATAGGATAAACGTTGTTACTTTATTAGGAAAGCTTTTCAAATTAGAACCTGAACTGCTGGGTCTAAGTGTTGTTGAAGCTTTAAAGTATAGAATTATCGCCGATAAAGATGCCAGTGAGGACTCAATCTCCTTCAAATTTTGCACGCCACTTTTTACAGCGATTTCTCAACCTATAGATGATAAGGGTGCCCTAGAAAAGATTATTATCGCTGAATTATTTATTGCCGAGCATGAAGAATTCCACTTGAAAAATGGCTGGGCTGGTTTAGCCCTCTTAGCCAGTCTAGATCCATCAGCAATTGTTAAAAGTAATATCGCAAAAATAATGGATAATTTAGATATTCTTATAAATGATGTCGAAGTATATGAAAGCAAACTGAGAGATTGCATCCTGAAAAGTGTCGCTTACATTTGCTTTATCAATCCTGATGTTGCGGTTCCTGCAGTAACTAAGTTTTTCCAAAAATGTCTTGCTACTGGTTGTTTATCCAAGTTCACAGAACAAGACTTTACAATCTGGAATGGCGAGGAGGGAACTATGGTAATAGATGTTCTTGAAAAGAAGAATGCTAAACAACTCTCTGACAAGAATACTAAAGACTACGAAACTCTACAATGGGAACAGAAAATTAGAAAAGAACAAGATAAGAAAACAAAAAGAAAATATACAAAAGAAGAAAAAGAGCTTGTTGACGAACAATTAGAAAAGGAATCTAAAATAAGGACCAATATATCGAAGGTAATGCGTTCTCTAAGTAACGGTATTACAATCATTGACTTCTTGAGTCACCAAGCTCAATTAGTCGACAATGGAAGTGGTGCATGGTTTCCATCCGCTGTTTCATCACTGTTAACATTAATGAAAGAGAAAAATTGCAAACACCTAGTAGGTCAGAAGGCCATTAATGCATTACTAACTTTATCCAACAATACATCCGAAAGATTGGGTGGCATTAAATTATACGTAGGTGTTGCTATCCTTCGCGTTAATAAAATTTCCAATGTCCCAGAAAACTTTACCGAGGAACCTTTGGACGAGTTATTATCAAGAGTTTTATTCAGAGTGAAGTTTGTAGCTAATCAAATGGCCTTAGATGCTGTAAGCTTGGCATATTTGTTACCGTTATTAATCAACGTACTGGAAGAAGGTAAACGTGTAGCCTTAAAAAATGCTGATAAACCAGTTGCTAGAACTGAATTTGTTGAAGAGGATAAAGAAGAAGAACATTTAATGTTGGCTATGGAGATCATTTCCGTACATGCTGAGGTTTTCGAGGATCCTTCAATTCCAAGAGCACCAATTATGAATGTCTTGATGTCACTATTAGGTTTAGCTTCAAAAGCAAAAAATGCTAAAGAATGTTTGAATGTCTTATGTCAAAGTATATCCGTATCACCAACAGATGAAGACTTAAAGATTATGCTAGACAATCTTCTATCGCCAAATCCATTTGTTAGATCAACTATCTTAGAGATCATAGACAACGAATTTGAACTAGAGACTAATATGAAAAACTCAGCCGAAATATTTATTTGCAGATTTGATTCAGAGGCAAATAATCGAGAAGTTGCCGACTTTATTTGGGAGTTCAGTAAATTTGTTATAGATGATGATATACTAAGCTCTTTGATATCATTATTTAACCAAGAGGATAGTGGTTTACGTCTTTTCGCTGCTCGAGCATTTGCATCTGCATCGATATATCTGGAAAATGAAAACAAAAACTCATTAAGAAACTCATTGGAAATGTTGATGACATTTTACAAAGAAAAAGCTGCTCCATTAGAAGCTATCATGGACGACTATGGGTTGGTTGCTGTTGCAGCTTCTGATCGTAAGGATCCATGGCAGGACAGAAGTACAGCTGCTATTGCTTTTAAGGAACTTTCCAATGATATTCCGGAAGAAGACACATATGTTGTGGACTTAGTTAAATTTTTAATTGAAGATGGTGCTTTGGGTGACAGAGAACTTCTTGTCCGTCAAGAAATGAAGGAGGCTGGTATTGAGATAATAACTCTGCATGGAGCAAAGAAATCTGAAGAACTAATACCAATTTTTGAAAATACGTTGACTTCAAACATCGAAACAACTGTTAAGGAGAACGTCATTATTCTTTATGGTACTTTGGCTAGACACTTGGAAGCTAACGATGCGAGAATGGAAACTATTATCAACAGATTACTTTCTTCTCTTGATACACCATCTGCCGATGTTCAACAAGCTATTTCTGAATGTATTGGCCCATTAGTTTTCCAATTCAGAGATAAAGTAGGCGATTACATTGCAAATTTAACAAGTCGTTTATTAGATCCCGAATTACCCGTATCAATACGTAAAGGTTCTGCATGGGGTATTGCAGGTTTAGTTAAGGGTTACGGTATCCAAGCACTTTCTGAATTTGATATTATCCGTAACTTAATCGAAGCGTCTGAAGATAAGAAGCAGCCAATCCGTCGTGAATCTGTTGCATACGCATTTGAATATCTGTCAAAGTCATTAAAAAAATTCTTTGAACCTTACGTCATCGAAGTTCTTCCAAATATTTTAAAAAACCTTGGTGATGCCGTCCCAGAGGTTCGTAATGCTACCGCCGAAGCTACTAAAGCTATCATGGCTTACACTACAAGTTTTGGTGTTACTAAATTGATTCCTGTTGCTGTTTCAAACTTAGATGAAATATCATGGAGAACCAAGAGAGGTTCCGTTGAATTATTGGGTAATATGGCTTACCTTGATCCTACCCAACTATCTGCATCCCTGTCTACAATTGTACCGGAAATTGTTGGTGTATTAAACGATTCTCATAAAGAAGTACGTAAGGCCGCAGATGAATCATTGAACCGTTTCGGTGAGGTTATTAGAAACCCAGAAATCCAAAAACTAGTTCCTACTTTGATTAATGCTATCGGAGATCCTACCAAGTACACAGAAGATGCTCTTGATGCACTAATCAATACTCAATTTGTACATTATATCGATGGTCCATCCTTAGCACTAATTATTCACGTAATTCATCGTGGTATGCATGAGAGATCTGCCAATACAAAAAGAAAAGCTTGCAAAATTGTGGGTAATATGGCAATTCTGGTGGATATTAAGGATTTGGTCCCATATCTGCAACAGTTAGTCGATGAAGTCGAGGTTGCTATGGTTGATCCTGTTCCAAACACGAGAGCAACAGCTGCCCGTGCTTTGGGTGCACTGGTCGAAAGGTTGGGTGAAGAACAATTCCCTGATTTAATTCCAAGATTAATCGACACCTTAAGTGACGAAACGAAGGCTGGTGACCGTCTAGGTTCTGCCCAAGCTCTGGCTGAGGTCATGAGTGGTCTAGGTCTATCTAAACTAGATGAGTTATTGCCAACCATCCTTGCTGGGGTTTCCAGTTACCGTGCTTATGTAAGAGAAGGGTTTATGCCACTATTACTATTTATCCCAATCTGTTTCGGTGCTCAATTTGCTCCCTACATTAATCAAATCATTCAACCAATTCTTGGTGGTCTAGCAGACACAGATGAAGATATCCATGAGACGGCATTGAAGGCTGGGAAATTGATTGTTAAAAAATACGCTGCTAAGGCAATTGATTTATTGCTACCTGAACTAGAAAAGGGTATGTTCAATGAGAATGAACGTATTAGATTATCATCCATACAACTAACAGGTGAATTATTATTCCAAGTTACTGGTATTTCCTCCAAGAATGAATTTTCCGAAGAAGAAGGTGACCACAGTGGTGAATTTGGTAACAAACTGGTTGAAGTACTGGGCCAAGATAGACGTGATAGAGTTCTGGCTGCATTATTTGTCTGTAGAAACGATACATCAGGTATTGTACGTGCATCCACTGTTGATATATGGAAGGCACTTGTCCCAAATACACCTCGTGCAGTTAAAGAAATTCTACCTACATTAACAGTTATGATTGTTGGTAGCTTGGCTTCACCTTCTGCAAGTTTGAGAAATATTGCTGCCCAAACATTAGGTGACCTTGTTCGTCGTGTTGGTGGAAACGCTTTATCACAACTACTTCCAACTTTGTACCAATCTGTTCAAGAATCTAATAGCGCTGAGTCTAAACAAGGTGTTTGTATCGCTCTAAATGAATTAATCGAATCTTCTTCAGCAGACACACTCTATGAATTCCAAGATATTATTGTCAAGATATTACGTGAAACTTTAATTGACGGTGATGTATCCGTTAGACAGGCAGCAGCTGGTGCCTTCGATTCTTACCAAGATATTGTAGGAAATATCGCCATTGATGAAATTCTTCCATACATGCTACATATGCTTGAGTCTGACGAGTCATCTCAAAATGCGTTATCAGGTCTACAAGATATTATGTCAACCAAATCAGAAGTTATTTTCCCAATTTTGATTCCAACTTTATTGGCACCTCCTATTGATGCTTTCAGAGCATCGGCATTAGGATCGTTGGCAGAAGTTGCTGGTCCATCGTTGTACAAACGTTTGTCAACTATAATCAACGCTCTAGTTAACTCTTTAATAGACGAAGAACTAGAAGGCGGGAAATCAACCTTAGAAGCTGCTCTAGATAAAATTTTCTTATCTGTTACTGATGAGGAAGGTTGCCATCCATTGCTGCAACAAATTATGGCACTATTAAAACACGATGATCGTAAGAAACGTCTTGTAATCCTACAACGCCTACCGAACTTCTTTGAGAACACGAATCTTGACTTTGATCTGTACATTCCTGACTTCGTGTCTAACGCAATTCTAGCACTTGATGATGAAGATCCACAAGTTGTTAAGGGTAACTTCGAAGCTTTGACCACATTAATTAAGAAACAAGACAAATCTATGCTCGAAAGATTGGTCAAACCTGCTAAACAAAGTCTACAGATGGTAGGTAAACAAGGAGAAGATCTCGAAGCATTTGCTCTCCCAAGAGGACCAAACTGTGTTTTACCAATCTTCTTACATGGTTTGATGTATGGTTCGAATGATGAGCGTGAGGCATCCGCATTAGCAATTGCTGATATTGTTTCAAAAACTCCTGCTGCAAACTTAAAACCTTTTGTCAGTGTTATCACTGGTCCATTAATCCGTGTTGTGGGTGAAAGGTTTAGCAGTGACATCAAGGCTGCAATTTTGTTTGCTTTGAATATTCTTTTTGTTAAAATTCCTCAATTCCTAAGACCATTTATTCCTCAATTGCAAAGAACGTTTGTGAAGTCCTTATCTGACGCATCCAACGAAATTCTACGTCTTCGAGCAGCAAAGGCTCTTGGTACTCTAATCGAGTATCAACCTCGTGTCGATCCATTGATTATCGAATTAGTTGGTGGTGCTAAGCAAGCAACTGATGAAGGTGTTAAAACTGCAATGCTAAAGGCTTTACTTGAAGTTGTCACAAAAGCTGGTTCTAAATTAAACGAGACATCCAAAAAGAATATTGTGAATTTAGTCGAAGAAGAAATGCTTGTTAGTGATGATAAGCTTGCAGTTGCGTATGCTAAACTAATCGGTTCCTTATCCGATATTTTAACTGAAGATGAGGCAAAGAATATTTTAACTGAAAAAGTTCTAAACATTGATTTATCTGGAGATTCTGGTAAATTTGCAATCCTAACAGTCAATTCTTTCTTAAAGGACGCTCCAGGCCATATCATTAATTCTGAATTAATTGACAAATTCGTCCCATATATCATCGGTGCTATTGATTCTTCCGATGCTTACTTCACTGAAAATGGTATCATTGCTGCCGGTAAAATGCTTTTATTGGAAAGTGAGACGAAATCACCATTTTCGAAGCACGAATCTTCTGAACCATTATATGTTGGCGAATCTAATATTAAATTACTAATGGAAAGTCTAAGTAAGTGTACATTAAAACCGGTTTCAAACTCGATGGATGCAAGAAGACTAGCTTTAGTTGTAATTCGTACATTAGCTAGATTCAAAATGACTGAATGCATCAAGCCATTTATTGACATGCTGACTATTGCAATTTTCTCATGTTTACGTGACCCTATTATTCCAATTAAACTAGCTGCTGAAAAGGCATACTTGGCTATATTTAATCTAATTGATGAAACCGAAATGGAAAGTTTCACAACGTGGTTCGATGACTTCTCAGTTAAAAACTCTAGCGTAGAGAATCTTGTCGGTACCGCCATTCAAATGAGATCTATTGGTGACTACACCAAGAGAGTCGGTAAAAGATTAGCTAACGTTGAAAGAGAGAGAATCGCCGCAGGTGGTGATGCTGAGACCATGTTCAGTGATAGATTCGAAGATGAAAAAGAGATATGGTCTGTTGGTGGTGTTGAACTGAATACAGAAGACTTATCGTAAGAATTATGTGACTTATTGTAAATTTATATTTGAACATTTATTGTATATTTATTACTACATTATCCATTATGTAATTAGAATTGATTAAAACATTATTCACTTGGAATAAACAATTTCAGAGGGACATTATGTCAGCATAATATGATCTCGACTTGCGAAATGCCATAATAAAATAAATATCAAAAACTAAGTGATACAATATCTTAATAACACGTAAAAAACACTACGAACCCTATATAAAACCTAAAATGGATAAAATCAATGTTTACATGAACTCTCGTATTTTTGAATTCTCTTTTTCGATTTGGTTTAACCTCCACAAGTCATCATCTTCATTCATTTCATTAATTTCATCCTCCTCATCCGGTGTCAATCCAGATATATCCTGCGTAGGTATTAGCTCCGCATCCATTCGAACACTTGGTGCACCTTGTAAATATCTAATATTCTCCAAGCAACGTATTCTAGTATCTTCCAAATATTTCTTGGAATTTTTGTTTTCGAACAAATCATCTAACACCGGATAGAGAGTATAATCAGGTCCGAAAGAGTCCCTAAACGGCAACCCATCCGGTAACTCTTTTGGGAGCAACACGTTATTTAAAAGACCTGTTTCATGAGCCCATAATCTAGAGACATTTCTTGGAGTATAACCCCCACCTCCCACAACAAGCATTGGGATTCCAAATGATTTTACAAAATTAACACATTCACCATGCGCCTTAATGTTTAAATTAAAACATCCTAATCTATCATGACCTAATGAGTCTGCACCACACTGTTGTATTATCACCGTAGGTTTATAAGTCGTAATCAATGGGTCTATCACTGACTTAAATAAAGTAACATAAGATTCATCATCAATACCGTCATCTAATGGCACATTCATTGCAAAATGTTTACCTTTTGAACAACCGATTTCGTTAATATCACCAGTTGCTGGAAAAAATTCACCATTATATTTATGGAAAGATACTGTAAAGACTCTATCAGTTGTATAAAATGCTTCCTGTACACCATCTCCATGATGTAAATCTATATCAATATAAAGAACTCTTGGGTGATATCTTAACAAATTTAGAACTGAAAGTACAATATCATTAATGTAACAGAATCCGGATGGATTACCCTTTTTAGCATGATGTAACCCACCTGACCAATTTATTGCAATATCAGATTGATCATTTATTAATTTTGTTGAAGCATCTAAGGATGCACCTGCATATAATGAACTGTAATCAAATATATTCTGAAAAATAGGACAATCATCACCAATATTAAACTTTTCAAATGTGCCTCTTGGCATCTTACTTATATTTTCAGGTGTAACCTTCGATAAAAATTTCACATAATCATCAGAATGAAATTTACGAAGTTCATCAGGTGTTGCACTCCTTGTTTCATATAAATCCATTATCTTATGTAAGCCGTACCCTGATACCAAATGATCAGTTAACATTAAACGGAATGGTTTCATAGGATGTCTTACACCATAATGATAGTTTGATACTTTAGGGTTAAAATGATACGATACTCTGGGTGAATATGGTGAATTGAACTCGAACAGTGGCTGTTCTGAAGTAGTCTTCTTATCATATGTAAAGGTATTCGTCATTTGTTCTCATGAATTCTCAAATTGTTGATACTGTTCTAGGCTGTTTAAATATATATTTCCTGAAAGACAGTTCTTAAAATAATTCGCTTCTATAATACACTAGTGATCTCTCACTTATACCATTACTCTAGATATCTACCAGTTGTTTGATATGAACAACTTAAATGTGAACGTCTTTATTTTGCTTCTACCACTTTATGGTTCCAAAATTGAATTTCAATCTTTCCTAAATTTGAATTTCACAAAAGTTCATCACGTTGGACGAGTAGTACAATCTCATAAATATCAATTATTGAAGTTGTACGATATTTAACTAAGATGCGTTTCATAGTTGTTATATAGACAGATACATCAAGAGTGACAATCAAGAAGAAGCAGAACTATATCCAGATCACTCAATCATGAGACATGGGCTATAAATCAATGTTCTCTGTAGAGCAAACCTTGCATTTTATATAAATCCTTCAATAACAAAGTAAAGTAAATACTATTCAATAAAAGAAAGCCGCCTTTATAAGGAAAGGGTTCCCACCGTAGAAATTACTAGACGTATAATGCCTCTACAACCCTCCACATAGATTAAGATATACAAGACAAGAACCAGGGTTGTACTTGATCATTGGAGGTAATAATAATAATATTGGATCATATATAGAAACCTCTGTCAAGGAAGAAAACAGTGATGTTAGAGGAAGAAACTATAGATCACGACGTATGTGCGGAATTGGTGGCGTTCATCATCGATAATCATCGAGAGATACAGGAAGCACCTATTTGTGGACACATAAGGGATCTATATGCAGTATTCTTTGATGCTCATGGTATAGATAGAACTAACGGCTACGAGCAATTTTATCATTTATTAGCATATATTAGTGATTTGGCTCCTGGTAGTTTGACGTTTCATCGTGACATCATCGAGGGTCAAAGGATTACTGATATTAACACATATGTCTTAAAACTGTTATATAAACAGATTAATATGGCTCCATCGAGGATAACTGCAATTTCTCCAACTTCCTCGAAGACTCGTACTGTTATTCGTGAATTTGACGATATTGATGGATCAACTATGGTGAATGAAGATACTTCATACATTGAGAGATGTGAGGACATGAAGACAGATAATATGGATTGTGGGAATGATGATGTTCAGTATACCGCTAATAAAGATGATTTAACTAGGTTGCATTCTTTAATAGATTTCGAAACGGCGGAAAGCAGCCTCACCTACGACAACTCACAATTACCTAAATACCTAATGCATAGATTGAACGATCTTTTGAATACTGTACCAATGTCATTTCAACTAGGTAAAGAAAGAGCTCGGATCACTGAGACAGTTATACCATATATTCCGGTGTGTCAATCACCAGAACATTCCATGGTACTGGCACAAATAGCATATATTTCCAATAACAAAATAACATCCTTACAATTTTCCAAACTGGCAACATTGGAGAAAGAAGCACCCGAATTAATAGAATGTTTAAAATTGCATATGCATTACGTGCCAAATATCAAACCTCAAACCGATTTATCCTTAGGAGATTGTTCATATTTGGATACCTGTCATAAATTGAACTCATGTCGTTATTTACATTATTTGCGATATGTTCCAGAATCACTAATGACACAAGTTCAAAAGGACATTAAACATGTTAATGAAAGTCAATCCAAACATTTACCCTTATACACACACGGATCATGCTCTTCTATTGTTGTAAAGGAGATTTTACCTCCGCAATGGATCCGATGTGATGTAAGAAAATTTGATTTTAGCATCCTTGGTAAATTCTCTGTTGTCGTGGCAGATCCTGCTTGGAATATTCATATGAATTTACCATATGGAACATGTAACGATATTGAATTGCTAGAATTGCCATTAGATGAATTACAAGACGAAGGTGTATTGTTTCTATGGGTTACCGGTAGAGCCATTGAATTAGGAAAAGAATCATTGGCAAAATGGGGGTATAAAGTGATTAATGAGATTTCATGGATAAAAACTAATCAATTGGGACGTACAATTGTTACCGGTAGAACAGGCCATTGGCTAAATCATTCTAAGGAACATTTGTTAGTGGGGATGAAAGGTAATCCCACCTGGATCAATAAACATATTGATATGGATATTATTGTATCTACCACTAGAGAAACAAGTAGGAAACCTGATGAATTGTATGGGATGATAGAAAGAATGGTAGGAAAACATGCACGTAAATTAGAGATCTTTGGCAGGGACCATAATATCCGAGCCGGTTGGTTTACTATAGGCAATCAATTAACAGGATCATGCATTTATGAACCTGATATCAAAGCCAAATATGAATCATCTGCACAATTTAAAAATTCCAATAATCAATCGAATAACGAGAACCATATTAGAAACACAGATAATCATAGTAATAATCATAATCTTAATTATAAGAACAATAATAACCATAATAATAATAATAATAATAATAATAATAACTACAACGGCGGCAATAACAGCAGCAACAATAATAATCATAGAACGAACAGTGGCTACAATAGTAGCAACGGAAAACGTAGTAGAGGCGACCCCAATAGATCAAATAATAACTATACCAATGGAAACAGACATAATTCTTCCAATAGAGGTAAGAATGACAACAGAGTTAATACTTAATCTTCTAAGAACAATCGGCATTTTTGCACTTAATCTAGAATAATAATTTTCAATTTTGCTATACAGACTATTCAATTACACAAATATATATTTCAATAATATGAACCTTTTTAAAACATATATATGGTTTCCTTTAAATAGATATAATAATATATATAATTATAATGATTTTCTATTTAAATTGATGTATTTTTTTACACGAGAATATCACTTGGAACGACTATATATGTGGTGTGTGGGTGTACTGCATAGCAGCAACACCCATGACTTTAAAAACAGCCGCCATGGCATATAATCGACCCATGAACACCGCTAGTGTAGGGTGCTAACGGCCCCATTTAACTATGAACAGATATGCTACCCACACCACGTGACCAGTCCCTCACGTGACTGCCAGCCAATCACACACCGTGTCACTCCCAACGAGCACGACCCGGAGCTGCCAAAATAAAATAAAAATACCGTAGAAATTATTCAACCCGCGGAGAAACCGCCGTAGACACCTACCGGGAGAGAGACCACCCGCTAAATTTATTCGAAACTAACCGAAAAGACCGGCGAAGGGGTAAAAATCACAGTCAAATTGAACTGAAGATAGTGGAATTGGGTCAATAGCTAGCATTAAGACTGGTTTGCCAATAGTGAAAGAGTTTCGAGGGAAGGACAAATCGCAATATTCGATGAATTTTTGGTGTGATTGATAAATGGTTTTGAAGTAGTTTTTTTATATAAAGAAGGGGAAACTTGACGGCAAAGGTATAATAACGGCTACTGTTTATATTTGGAGTACGTTTTCTTGTGAGAGTTTGCAACAAATTTATTTATTTATATATTTATTTATACATTTATTTATTTATTTCAATTGTTACACATTTTTTTTAAAAACAGCTTACCTGAAAACTACAAACAAACAACCACAAGAATATATTAAAATATGAACAGCAATATTCTAAGAACAAGTATAAGAAGATATGCTAGTCTACCACCACACGCACTAAAACCAGCTTTAGGGGCTCCAAACAAAGCCGCAGCAGCAGCATTCAAACAATCCCTAGAAGCACAAAAGAGTCATGGTGAAAGTACTTATAAATTTTGGTTAAAGATCTCTTATTTAGTTGCAGCTCCAGCTATTCTATTGACCGCTGCTAACACATATTTCGTTGAAAAAGAACATTATGAACATAGACAACATTTGGCTCATGTCCCAGATAAGGACTGGCCAAGAGATTACCAATATATGAATTGTAGATACAAGCCATTCTTCTGGGGCAATGGTGATACCACTCTATTCTGGAATCCTGTTGTTAACAGACATATCTCCCATGATGATTAAGGAATATAAAGGTTATGAAAACATTTTTTACAGTAATTTATATTCGCTCTCTTCTCTTTTATTATCAAAAAACTTAAAGAATGATGATTTATAGCTAGCTATATTGTCAAATTTTCTGTTGTTTTTTTGCCTTTTAATATTATAGAGAAATGTGTTTTTGTACAATTCTCTTTTTCTACCATTTCCATCTTCTCATTTTTTCACAATTATTATCAGTATTTTCTACTATATCTATTAATGTTTTATTTATTCCATTTCCTTATATACTGTCCTTTTACATATATACACATATTTGTATATATATATGTATACATTACCTACTTTCCCCTTTTTTATATATTTTAATTTGAAATTAATAATATTAACCACAATTACTATCATATATATATATAATGAATAATTAATATGAGATGCATATATATATTTAAGTATATTTGAGTATATATACATATAGTTCCTGCTTCTATTTTTAATTTTTAATTTTTGGTTACAATTCAGAGAAAATAAATAAATTATTCGTTGCAGCAATTGCAATACTATTCTCTTTAGGATGCCATGAGAAATGCAAGATACTTTTTTTAAAATCAATATCATCTCCCCATTCTTTATTCCTAGTGGTTCGTTGAGATAATGACCCGAATTGTTTATTTCTAAATGCTGTCTTATCTGCTTGTAAAACAATTTCATCAAGTTTATTTTCACTATCATCACCATTACTACTATTATTGTTTCCTTCAAACATATTATTATTACTACTGTTATTCTTGTGTTTATGCTGTTTATTATTATTATTATTATTGTTATTGTTATTATTACTATTATTATTATTATGACTATTTTTATTCCTGTTATTACTACTACTTCCACTACTATTATCATCAAATGTCTTCACTATACTAGAATGATCATCTTCATTAGTATTCACAACATTTGGATATATCATAAAATTATTATTATATGAACCTGTCATGACACTTGAACTATCACCACTAAATTCTACTTCAAATTTATCAAAGATTGCATCATTTTCATATGTATCACTTAATCTTTCCTTTAATTGTTCATGAATATTAATTGTTTTCAATGGTTTATTATTCATATTAATGTCCCATATCTTAACCGTCAAATAATCTCTTGAAGCAATATATCTTCCATTCGGACTAAATTTAATATCTGATATTGATGATGTAATTTCTGTGAAAAAATTATGATTTATTGGATTTGTATATTCTTCAAATATAATTGGTTTATCATCACATAATGCATTTAATCTCATATCAGATAATTTTATAGTACCTTTTGAAGATGAATACATAAATAGATTACATTCTTGAGGATGAAATTCTGCACTTGTAATAACTTCTGTTAATTCTTCCATATTAGCAGGTTTTATATCAACAATATTAAAACTTTCTTCAGGTAAATCATAATTCCAAAGATTAATCCTTAAATCATCTGCACTTAAAAAAGTTTCTTGATCAGAATTTGGTGATATTGAATTAATATGATAAGTATGTGCATTTGCATATATTCTCTTTGGTGTTGCAGCAATAATTTTATCATGTTGTGATAGTACCGGTAATTTTAAACTTGATAATTTTAATACGGATTTCATTGAATCATCGCCAATAATCATATTTTTTTGTTTTAAACCATAACCCTCTGATAAATTATTTTCACTTACTAATTTAATATTTTTTTCATAAATTTTCCATAATTTAATTGTTTTATCATTTGTACTTAATAAAAAATGAGATTTTTGAACAGGTTTTAACCATTTAATTTGATTAATTTTTTCTTCAATTTCAAGAGATTTTAAATAATCAAATTCGGCATCATGACTTTGAAATTCTGTTAAAAATTTATATTCACAATGTTTACTATTACTTCTTTCAAATAATACTACTCTACCACCTTTATCACCTGTAGCTAAGAAATTCCCAGTATGGTCAAATTCTGATGCAGTTATTATATCTGCCTCAGTGACGACAATATCAGCTTTATCACCAAAACATTGACTAAATTTAAAATTAAAATTATCTCTCGACATGGTGAGTTCTTGAAATGGTTATTATTGTAATTATTATGATCTTTATAAGTTATGTTATCCTTTGTATTCCTTTTCTTTTAACAATAATATTGCAAAATAAATAAATTTAAAAAATAAAAAAATGGAATAAATAATTGTTTTTTAAGGGATACAATTAGCCACTGTAATTTTTATTATAAATCCTTTTTAGACGTAAAAAAAAATAAAAAATATAATTAAAAACAGGGAAATGCAAAACAGAGATTCAAATATAAATGAAATGAATCAACTGTATAAATCAATCACTCAGAGTCTTGGAGAGGTAGGCGCTGATGAATATAACACAGTTAAAATTTAAAAAAAAATGTATATATATTCTTATTAAATCAACTTGCACCAGTTGAAAATATCTTCTGAAAATCTAATTGTGTTAAATGATAGGATGTAATTAAAAAATAAAAATTGATTTTACCTGTACCTACCAATGTAAAGTAATATTAATCTATTCAGTTTAATACCAGAACTTATAACCTCAATTGTAAGAAATACTTTTTCTTAATTGAATGAGATAATATTATAATATATTATTAGCTAGTCGTAGCAGTAACTATATAGGATATCGAAACTGTTCAACTTGCTTGCTTGTCTCTCTCTCCTTGTCACCCCGCTCCCCTTTGCTTTCACTTTCACTTTCACTTTTGCTTTTGCTTTTGCTTTTACTTTTGGCATTTCAGCATGGGAGAAAACGAAAAAAACGAACAAAACAAGGAAAATGAGGTGGGACAGCGAGAACAGCGAGACGGCGAGAGCTGTACATAGTAAATTGGACAGCAACGCGCCCCCCTCCATTCAAATTTCGTTAATGGAATTTGTCTGTCGTCTCAAATGATTCGTTGTTGAATAATACATTATAATGAATATTAATTGCATGGCTGGCAAAGCTATTCAGTTGCTCAATGCATACCATGCCTGCAAATATATAGACTACGATTACTATTAATTGAAAACGTTTTTAATTGTATTATATACTATAGAAATGTAATCTTTATCTTAGTTTCTCATTTTAATATAACAATAATAATAAGAAAAGATACTGTATATATAAATTTTTATACGTTAGACTTATAAAGCCTTCTTAGCAGCAGCAGCTGGAGAAACCTTGTTGTCTCTGTTGAATCTTGGTCTTTGAGGTGGCAATCTGTTTCTTCTGTCAACTCTAGATCTGACTCTGACAATTCTGGCGTGAATAGCACAAGAAACACAGTAGTGCAACTTGTTGTAAGTCTTTGGTAGAGCATATTCTGGGTAAACAGAAGCTTCAGACATATCTCTGACAGCAGCAGCTTCGACAATGTTTCTGATGGCCATTCTCTTGATAGCCTTATCCTTTGGAATGGACTTGGAACAGTTAACACATCTGACTGGCTTGACGTGACCTCTACCCTTCTTGTTTCTACCGTTGGAAGCTCTCTTCTTTGGCATTTTTAAACTGTAATAATAATGATAATATTCATTCCACAAAAAATATTAGAAAATAATCAAAAAACAAACACATTAAAACAAGTAATGGTGTTCCTCACAATCTTACAATATGTTTGAAAGATTATATGGAGGTTTACCAATCAATGTTGCCGTATTCATATGATTTTCAATTTTCAATATTTTAATATTTCAATGATGGTGTATGTTAGTAAAAGCTATAATTTTTTGATTTTGATTATATTTCATAGATGGATTTTGTACCTCTTCTAATAACTTATACATGTTTTCCTCGACCTTGAGTAAATATATATACATATATCTGTTTCGAAACCATGTTATCATTTCTCAGATATAAAATGTGTCTCCTTGATTTGTACATCAACCACTCGTTCATAACTATTAAAATCATTATATCATGCGATATTCCACAAATCATTCAACTATTCTATACTATCATTTTTGCCCTTAAAAGTTATTTTCAAAATATACGCTATCTTATCCTATATCATTAATCATAAAATTTTGTGTTATAAGGAACATACTATTTATTAGACTATGGTTTTCTTCTATTATTTGAAACTTTACAAGTAAACTATATATAACAAGCACATATAAATATATTACTGACTACTATATATCTCTTTAATTCTATAACTCACACTAGCTAACTACATCAAAAGTTACCTAACTTCCCAGTGTATAGATGAAACTAAACTACGTTCCATTCCTAGCTCCCTCTCTCTCGCACTCCCGCATCCATAATACTATTGACGATAGAGAGTATCAATCGGTCAGTGTAATACGTAATAAGATATTGTATTTTGCTCAGTGAATATTTCCGATACATACACTCAGCACATACATAATTTTGTTAGTTCGAATTATTTGGGTTACCAATTCGCAATAATTTTTTGTTTGAAAAAGTTTCAGCGATTCTCTTTTTTTTTTCTAAATTCTACACGCATTTTTCAATTCAATCTTTTTTCATTAGAAATGTTTGAATTTGGAATAGTTACAGGATGTCCGGATGCACGTTCTGGATGTACGGGTTGTTTGTCACAGTCACAGAAAATATTCTCTGAGCAAAATTAATTTCGTCATACTCGAACAGTTAATGAAAAGGTCCCTGAGAGATTTAGATCGTAAATGTTAAATTTTAATGTTTTTTGTATATTAGCTTGTAAAATATAAAAGGATACACATTCGTTGAATATATAAATAATTTGAGAAGGTAGGGAGTGTTTAGGTAAGGAGGAGGGGTAAAGGGATACGTTTCTCTTTTGAAATAGTAAAAAAATAATAATAACTATAATAATAAAGTAAGTTTTCAAAAGTAAATAATAATAGTAGTAGTAATAAAGAGAAAGTAATAGTAACAATAATTAGAAGAAAGGTAAACAAAAAATGATGGTATAAGGTAAGAAGTAAAGAAGTAAAACAATAAAAAATAATAGAGTAAATGATAAACTTGCTACCATAAACTTACAGACTTCATGCTGCGAAAATAAAATTAATTCTCTTCTATAAAATACTCTTGCCAATTTTTTTTCTCATTTCTTGTTTAATGATGGTGACCACCTTCTGGATCCTCTACACCAACTGGGTTAATTTTATAAACAGAACCACATTCCCAACATCTAGCGACTTGTTTCACAGTTGGTTTCAACCACATGGTGGTATGAGATCCAGCTGGAGAACCTGTACAACCAACATATCTGTAATCATCATAGGACTCTACCAAGATTGGATCTTGCATAGTACCCTTTCTTGAGGAATCCAATGGCTTACTGTCAAAGACATCGACACCTTCCAACTTACCTAACAATTCCAGTCTTTCTAGACCGGTGGCTTGATCTATATCGGTTGGAACGGTACCTTCTTTGGCACCTTCACCAATAAGAGAATTTGCACCGTTAACTTCAGCTAGATTGTGAGCTGTACCAGTGACTGGCTTATTGGATTGGAACATTATCCTCGAGGTAGATAGCATTCTGCTGGCTGGTCTCATGACCCTTAGGGAAGATTGTCTTAATGCTAGCATTGTTGTAATAATAATATTATGTATATGTATAATTTGTGGTTGTGGTTGTTGTTTTTGATTATTCTGCAATAACTGTAAAACCTCTAATTTTTTAATTTTCTGTTATATTGAACCTAGTATAAAAAATATTCGTGAATTCTCACAGTACGAGCTATATATATTTATATATATAAAAGCAAAATAAAATTAAAAACAAGTCTTGTTAACTGACAAAAAAACAGATTCTAATTTATCGAAGGTTTCCCTGTCTATTTAATTAATCACCGAGTCGATATTTATCAATTCCTAATATATATATATGTGAAATTTCCTTAGTTTTACAGCGTTCTCTTACAACTTTTATCCTTTTAGTTTTGCCCCGTTGAAACCGAGACACACAGACTGTATTTTCAATGTACTTTTACTGCACTATGAATTTTACATGCTGTTGTTGCACTGCGCGGTGTTTTGTACTGCGCAGTACTTTATATGGGGTCAACAACGGGGGAGCTTTGATATGATTGGCTGGTCGAGGGGGCAGACTGAGACAGCTAGCAGTAAAATCTCCGGGAAATAACAACAAGACACACACAGGGAACAGGGAACAGAGCAGTAGGTACACTGCCTCGTGTAGCATGATGTCTTACTTAATACTGATGATAATAAGTAATTAGTTAATTAGTTGTTTGTGATGTAATGATAGAGAATATAAAATGTTGAGGGCGATAGGTCGTGTATATATATATATATATATATATATATAGATGCGCAACTTTAGTGTATTTATTTTTAACGACCAAACTTCTTTAGTTCTAAGTAACGCACCCATGGATACACTACTCCCGAGAACCCCATCGAGAGCCACATGGCAATATCACCTCCAAACTCACCAAATCTTCTTGCAATGGGCCCAATCCAGTAAACTTGAGCCATACCGACAACGACACCGGCTACACCGCATAAGAAGGCAAATGTAGCTGCATACCCATGTGTTAAGACGTCGTAGTTTTGCCATTCATCCCAGTTGTATCTATGGTGCGCTGCAATGTGTTTACGTTTCAATAAATGTAAGTTTGTAGCTCTTCTTCTTGTGCCTATTGTATCATTATCATCGTCATCTTGCGTTTTTGGGAATTCCTTTGTATACATGTGTAAAAAGTATCTCCTGAAGATTACATTTTCTTCAAATAATAATATGAAATACATGCTAATCCAATACCCAATCATAGGTAAGAAATTACCTAAGATGGTACTGAAATGATTACGTCCAACTAAAGCACATACCAAATAAATGATAGTACAGACAATACACCAGAACCAACGTGGGATTTTGCTACAGTACACACTTGATAATTGGATTGAAAATGCCGCTGAATAAGTATTGATGATATTGTTTGATACCAGACTTAAGATTAAGATCACAACACAGAATTTACCAAACCCATTCCATCTTGCAAAACCAGACCATAACAAACCACCCATGCCGTGGGCTGTGTATTCATCATTCCAAGGTTGATATGTCACCGCAACAGCAGCTAGCAGTACACCAAGTACACCGACAAATAAAGTAGGCACCAAAGTACCAAATAATGTTAATAAGAAAACTTTGTATTGAGCTGTGTCTTCTGGAAATAAAATATAATAATCGGCAGTGATAGACCCCCATGTTGAAGTAATACTGTAGCATAACGAGAAGAAACTTAACCAGTTACCTTTTATTGTATCCTTTGGTACCGTAGAGTTATCTATAGCATGGATCAAATCATATTTATCACTAGAGGAGATGTACAATAGAAGAAAGGTAGTCAATACAGGGACAGCTAAATATGTCTCCACTTTTAATACTTGTTTGATACCAAAAACAGCCACAAAGAAAGAACATAATGTGACTATAAGAATACCAACCCATACAGGAACTTTATCATTAGAGATGGCAGCCAACATTTCACCACCAACAACAGAATTCACAACAGACCAACCAAGTACACCGATAATAGCCGCCAAAGCAATTAATTTAACTGACCACCAACCAAACAAGTAACGTGCTGTAACCATTTGTCTACAACCTGATTGAGGTCCCATTGTGGAACAGTACGCAGCAATAACACATCCAATAGCCATGCCGATAAGGCCCGATACGAGAGATTGGTTAAAGTTTAATTCAAAAAGCAAAGGGCCCAACAAGAATGATGACATCGATGATAACCCACCAGTAGCACTTAGCCATAAACCTGCTACATGTAAAAACAATTTAGAAGAACCACGTTCATATGGAGGAATTCTATCTATACCTGTGCTCTCCACACCGATGTTATCCAGTCGTTTAGAGAGATATGTAAGTTTATCAACTATCCCCGAATGAAATCTATTTCCTGGGGTTTGTTCTTGTTCTTGTTCTTGTTCCTCCTGTATCACTGAGTCTACTATAGTCACTGGAGTTATTTCTCTATGACTCTCAACATCGTAAAGGATCGATTGTTTCTCTTGCGTATACTCGAGATGCGACTCCTTTTCATTATTCTCCTTCGGTATCATGTTTCCAATAGAGAAGTATTATATTTTCCTGAGTTATTCTTTTGCTTCTTTCTAATTTTATCAAGAGTCTATAAATTCATATAACGTTACAATTATATATAGATATTTATTTAGAGGTTGCATCCATTGACTGATGGTGTATCTATTGCTTTATCAAAAATGTATGATTAATCAGAAGAATTTCAGTTGTGGTGATGAATGAAAATATATACAAATATTTATCATACTATATAAAGTACGCAGAAGCACGGACCAAAAAAGAAAAAAGAGAGCATTTCGGGTGTTGCGAAGAATGGAAATACAATGAGTGTCGCCGTATGCTGATGTAGATGTTGACCATCATTCTAAGTATTCTTCTGTGATGCTCTGCCTGGATGTTCGCTCTGATTCTTGGTCTATTGAGAGGGTGTGGAATATCAGAGTCACCTGTGAGGTATAGTTTGCAGAGGAGAGGAGTCAGTACAGACGGTAATGTGGCTTCATTCTATTTCATATGTAATTACTTTGCTTGCTTGTTGACTCATATAACACGGCATAATTTAAGATCACTGTGGTTAGGCTCATCTTTATAACGATTACTAGTGGTTCTAACAATATTCGTCAGGGCAAATTCGCAACTTTGGGAGAATAATTCCGAAGTGGCACTACCAACATGAGGTGTCACCGTTGATTGTAAAATATCATTTCTCAGAATGTCGTCTACTTTTGGTTCATCGTGAAAGACGTCAGTACCAATATGTCTGATTTGTCCATTAATTATAGCTTCGGTGACGGCTTCCATATCTACAATATCACCACGGCCAACATTGACCAATACAAGTTCTTTATTACATTTTTGTAAGAATTCAGAGTTGATTAAATGATAAGTTTGTGGAGTCGCAGGTAAAGCCACTACAACAGCATTGAATTGATTCAATTCAGAATCATCATTCTCAGATAATAAAGTCTGGATATTATGAAATTTCCAATGGAATCCACCTTGATCTTTCACATCAGCTTCATGTCTTGCTGCGTAATGAACTTCCATTCCTAAACCCATTTGTAATTTTATAGCAATTTGTTTACCAATGGATCCCAATCCAAGTAAGAGACATTTTTTACCCTTTGGGGAGATAGCAAGCATTTTATTAGATAATTCATGTCCAAATGCAAACTTATCAGCTTCCGGTGAATTTGCCATCGTGGATCTTGCTTTAACAGTATGTCCATTTTCACGTAATATTGTTTGTTGATAACTGAATTTCCTGAAACCCTCTAAAACATGCCATAGAGCACAATCTGCTACATCGTTACCAACTAAGTCTATTTGAAATTGGGTTATTAGAGAATCAGGTTGTGCATCTTGATAGTTATATAGTGCAATGTTATGTTCCTTTAAGGCACCAAGGTCGTAGCCATTATAACCACGAGAACATAAGGCAATACATCTTAAAGTATCAGAAGGGAATAAAGGATGATTTATTAATTCAGGAGTAAGACCACCGATCATTGGAAAAGCACCAAATCCACCATAAATCGCAACAATATTGGCATTCTTCTCCTTTAATGATTTCAAGCATGTAAGAAGTTTGTCTTTGGAAGTAATCTCTTGAATAACACAATCGTATTCAGATATAAAGTCTGGTTGCTTCAACAGTGGTGAATCCACATTTGGTGTTTGCATACATAATATAGTTTTCTTCATGATGTAAATTTTGTTCTTTTAACTTTATATTTCCAGTTACGGTAAGAGGTAACAAAATGGGTTCAATGTCTTATATATTAGCAAACATACAACTTTTTTTTTAACATTGTTATTTCATATGATTAGATTTTTGGATGTGGTATATTTTTCAAGACAAAAGAGAGCGGGAGAAAGTTCTAAGCAGGGGTGTATTTTGTTTTTTCCAAAAGATTAATAGATAAGATAAGTACATCCCTCTTAGTTTCTTTCATAATTGTTTAAATTCGAGTGGAATCTCGAGTTCCTGCCTCAACGCATACTGATCAATATTAAAACGACTGCAAAGGTAATCTGCCAAAATTTCAATTCCATCAGTCAATGATTCTAATTCCTGACGCATTGAGGTGGCTCGTTGCGTCTCTGATTGAATTCTCTCCGTGCTCCAACATAAATTATGCCTTTCCAAGAGACCAATCTCCTTTGATAATGTCATTTTTTCTTTATATAATTGTGTTCGTCTTTCTAACAAACTATCTCTTCCTTTAAAATTAGTCCTTTGCTCTGACTCATTTTCCAGATCTTGTTTCATCTTCTGAATGCGAGTACCACTCTGCGTCATCTTGCTTTCAATCGTCAAACATTGCTTTATAATATGTCGTTGTGTCTCCTGTGGATACATGTAATATACGTTAATTATCCCACATTTACAAGTGTCTAAGAGTAGAGGATACTCACACATGACACCATCTAGCATCTCTTTCAATTGTTGTGAAGGTGCTTTGACAGGACATTTCTTTTCAAATTCTTTTTGTGTGAATATATTCTCCTGGGTAAACGTTTGAAGATATTCTACTAGTTGTTGTTTCTTCTTATCTGATGCCTGTGGTACCATTTCTTTATGTATTGGTAGATTAGCCGCCAATCTAATTTCCTGTTCTGGTGTCTTTTTCTGGTTATCTGGTAGTTAAAAGAGTAATATTATTTATAGACCAATGACTCACACTTTCCTAGTATATATATTCACTCCACCAGTTCAAAGATACTAACAAACCCCCAGGTAACTCTCTTTCCACATTATATTAGTTCCAATGAGACCTCCATCAAGTATCATTTAAACGAAAGTTCGCTATTCTGTTACGTGAAATTCCACTCGGCGCGGTATTTCATTTTTCTATTTAACTTCCCCCATTCAAAGCATAGAAAATGTAAACTATGTTTTTATTGTTATATATAGGGGAATAGAAGAACATGTATATACTTTTAATAGGTTAACTTTGTAGAAAGGTATCAGCACCATACTTTATATTGCTAATCAGCTAGTTTATATATTGAGGCCAAGTTAAAGATGAAGTATATTCCTACTGGGAGATTTAGCAGGGCTAGGACCCATGCACAAGTTAGAGATAATAATCGTCATCATAATGACAATGACTACAGTGACTACGGTGACAGTGATGACCGTGGTTACAACAACGACCGTTATGATGATCGTCGTTCCGAGGATAATAGGAGACCTCCTAACAGGTCTCGTGGAAGTTATGGTAGTAGTAGTGGTGGTAGCAGTGGGAGACGTTTTGACGAATCTAACGTTCAAGAGACTCTGAAGGATATGATTAATTCACCTGAGAATAGAAACAGATGTGGTGAGTGTCAGGCTACATTTCCAACTTGGTGTTCCACTAACCTTGGTGTGTTTTTATGTGGTAGATGTGCCTCTGTGCATAGAAAATTGTTAACTAATCGTTCGGATGAAGTATTTTCTAATTTGAAATCGTTATCCCTAGATAGATGGACTAGAAACGATTTGGAAGAAGTAAGAAATATGGGTGGTAACAAAGGTAATTTACAGTTTTGGAACCCGAAGGGTGAACCTTTCCCCTTTGATGGTGATGATGACAAGAGTCAAGTGGAAATGTTTATTAGGGACAAGTATATTATGGGGAAATTTAAATATGAAGCTATAAGACCTGAAGATTTTGGTAACTATAATAATCGTTCAAACAGCCGTGGTAGTAATAATAGTACTGATTATAATAGACGCGATAACTACAAGGACTATACCAGTGGAAGAAGTAATAGCAGTAATTCCAATAGATCCAGAGGTAATAATAATGAGCAATCTTACTCTAGAGAGAACGTGGCACGTGAGGAACCTGCATATCCTGCTGCAGTTGCAGTTGAAAGAAACCCAGAATTACCAAAAAGACGTCCTACTGTTGTCGGAGGAAGACCTGCGGTATTCGATGGTAGTGCAACTTTAACAGCTGGGGCAGAACCATCTATGGTTACTACCCAAGCTACCGGTTCTATGCAACAGTATTATGATCCAAATACGGGGATTATATACGTTGATCAACAGCAACTAGCATTGCAACAGCAGCAGCAACAAGCAATGTTACAACAACAGCAACAAATGGCGTTACAACAACAGCAACAAATAGCACAACAACAACAAATAGCACAACAACAACAGATGGCTGCTATGCAAAACCAAGCACAAAAGAACGCTATTATGGGATTATATCAACGACCAGATCTGTATACTTCCCCTGTTGAAGTTAGTAACACTCACCCACTTTCTACCCAACTTACCCAACAGCAGTTGCAGCAACTACAACTTCAGCAGCAGCAGCAGCAGCAGCAATACCCAACGGGACAACAACCTTTCATGTGAATACTATTATCAACATCATTCAGAGGAAGGTAAAAACAAACATCGTCAAAACCAATAGGTAAAAGAGTCATCCGTCGATTGTTATTGCAACTTTCTCTGTCTTTTCTGTTGCGATTCTATTGTGGCAGAATGTGTCTGTCTCTGCGGCGTCTTCTTCGTGGGGAACGTAAACATCGCCGGCCCTTATTTTTTTACAGTCAGGATTATTAATAAGTCAATAAAAATGTGTGTGTGATGTATATATACAACGATGCTAATACAACAATATATCTATATTTAATGTTTAATTTATAATTTATAAAAGACAATAGGAAAGGGATGAGTTTGAAAGGATAGAAAGAAACTAAGCATCTTTTCAACATTATCATTATTATTCTTTACATATAAGGAGAGACATATTATTTAAATCATAATACATTAGTTTAATCCTTTATAATAATAATATAAATACAGATTAAAATTTTGGGGTGTGCTAAAAATTAATACACACACACATATATTAAATATACTTCTAAGTATAAACACAAGTTACTCGTACTTATTTCATTGGTTAGTGATTAACGTATATTATTTTATTTCATCGATATTACTACTATTATAATCATCTTTTTTGGCATTAACATTTAAATACATACATACACACAATAGAAAGACAAGCGATGAGTGGACTTCAAAGTAGTAATAAGACAGTACCCTCTGTTATAGCAAATGGGACTTATACGGTGGAGAAAGAAATAGGTAAAGGTTCTTTTGCCATAGTATATCGTGGGCATTTAACAAGAAACCCAAGTGATCATATTGCTGTTAAAGCCGTAAGTAGGTCTAAACTAAAGAATAAAAAATTATTAGAGAATTTAGAGATAGAAATAGCTATATTGAAAAAAATCAAACATAATCATATTGTAAGTCTTATAGATTGTGAGCGTACGCAAAATGATTTTTATTTAATTATGGAATATTGTGCATTAGGTGATTTAACATTTTTAATCAAGAAACGTAAAGAACTCATACAAAATCACCCTTTGTTACAAGAGATATTCGAAAGATACCCACCTCCCTCAGAGACACATAACGGTTTACATCAAGCATTTATATTAAATTATCTTCAGCAGTTAGCATCGGCGCTAAAATTTTTAAGGAGTAAAAATTTGGTTCATAGAGATATCAAACCACAAAATTTATTGTTATCAACACCAATGATAAACTATACCGATTCACAAACTTTTCATACATTAGGCTATGTTGGAGTCTATAATTTACCGATTTTAAAGATTGCTGATTTTGGATTTGCTAGATTTTTACCAAACAGTTCATTAGCTGAAACATTATGTGGTTCACCTCTATATATGGCACCAGAAATTCTAAATTATCAAAAATATAATGCAAAGGCAGATTTATGGTCTGTAGGGACAGTCGTTTATGAAATGTGTTGCGGTAATCCACCATTTAAGGCATCAAATCATTTGGAACTGTTTAAAAGGATTAAGAGAGCTAATAATCATATAACCTTCCCAACTTATTTTGATAAATTTAATGGTGGTAATGATAGTATCATCGAGGATATGAATTCAATATCACTAGAAGAGAAGAATTTTCATGATATTAATGACGATTTAAGAGACTTGATATGTTCTTTGTTGACTTTTGATCCAAAGGATAGACTTGGGTTTGATGAATTTTTTAATAATAAATTAGTAAATATGGATTTATCAAGATACGAAATTGATAGTACAAATAATATTGAAACAAAATCAAAGAATATACAAGAGAGTAATATGTTTATATCTGAATTTTTATCACCTAAATCGAGTTTACCAAATAGAATATCATCAAACACTGCATTTAATAAAGATAATGATATGGTAGGTGATCCTTCAACACAACTGTCAACCCCTAAGAGAAAAAATTTACCACTGCAAAAAATTAGTTCAAATATTACTAATAGAGGAATTAATAATAGTGATTTGATCTTAGAGAAAGAATATGTCGTGGTTGAAAAGAAAAGTGTTGAAGTTAATGAATTGGCAGATGAATTTGCTAAAAATACAAATATCGATGCCGAAGAGCATCAACAACAGAGTACAATAAATTTAAAAGATCAATCCGTTAATAATAAAAATGGTAATAGTAAACTACTGTTAGCAAACCAAACATCTTCTCCAGTGGGAACAGAGAGAAACTCAAATAGAACTCTATCTAATAATAGCAGGGGTAGTAGGAGAGCATCATTAATCGAAAGAAGATTATCACTAAATTCCCTGAATCCAACGAATGCATTATCGAGAGCCCTTGGTATTGCTTCCCTTAAATTATTTGGCGAAACGTCCCCAACACAAGCACAACAGCAACAATTAATTCAACAGCATAGAGGTGGAACATCGTCCTTTGCTTCACCTTCGATTTTTAGTACGCAAATGTTCAATGATCTTACTGAAAAGATTATCCTAAGAATCAACAAAGATGAAAACTCACAACTGACCAACAATGGTGGATTGGTAATGGATAAAAGTACTATTCAAAAATTAAATATAACAGAAATTGTGCATACTTTAGAAATTCTATCTGCAAAGGCATTCGTTATTTATTCATATGCGGAAGTTAAATATGCTCAAATTATTCCAATCATGTCGAGACATCACGACAGTCAAACTACATTACCTGGAAAAAGACTAAGTACAGGAAGTTGTGCGATAGATGATGAAGACGAGGAGGCTAATATATCTGATTTACAAAAGGAACAGCCCTGCAAGATCGATGACATAGATTTAGTTTTATACAAGGAGGCCATTACTTTATACTTGAAGACTCTCGAGATATTAAGTAAATCTATGAAGATAACTTCATTATGGTGGTTTAAGCAAGTTGAATTGCATCCGACTTCACAGGGACCTCCATCATCCTTAAGACTAAATTTATTGGTGCAATGGATTCGTGAAAAATTCAATGAATGTTTAACGAAAGCAGAATATATAAGAACCAAACTTGTGGAAAACGATCTAAATGACCACACTGAAGGTATCTTCTTAGAGAAGCTATTGTATGATCGTGCATTAGATATATCCAAGAATGCCGCTAAAATGGAACTGAATGGCCAAAATTTAACATCATGTGAACTTTCTTATGCTACATCTCTTTGGATGTTAGAAGTTATCAGGGATGACACTAATGATATTGTAGATGATGATGAGACAAAAGATATTACGGAATCGTCCTTGGGTGAGGATGATAAAGAGGTTATTAATAAATATATTCAAAGCATTTCTGGGAGATTGAAGGCATTAAGATTGAGATTGAATATTCCAAATGTTATTCCAGTTGATAAACATCTAATCTAGTACGTATCACATAGTAAATTATATTCATTGTTATTTTCATTTGTCTTTTTTCACTTTTTTTCGTCACCTTTTTAATATTATCGCTCTAATATTTTACATATACATCTAATACATGTCTATATTATAAATAATTATCAGAATTATCAGATCAAATGATTTATAGATATTTTAATATTTATTTCCAAATACTTTCTTAAAAATGTGTAGGTAAGTTTTTTTTTATCATTACTCATGTATTTATTAATATTACAAAAAAGAAATTATTTAAAGTTATCATGCAAATTTTTTGTCGTTAGTTAGTTCAATTGTTGTTGTTATTTTTGAGTCATCAATTAGTAGTTCGTCCACGACCTCTACGAGCCTTTCGTGGACTAATTTCAAAAAATAATTCACTATCAGATTCATTTGTATCATCTACTTTCTCAGGGGTTAAGATATGATCATTTCTAGGTAGAACCAAAGAGTTGTTTAGACTAGGTAATCTATTCATTGATAATATACTTGCATTAGCTAAAGGTATTGCCATGTGATAATTGTCCTGAGATAGACAAGATGAAAATGATGAAAATGATGACACAGATGAAGATATTAAATTATTATTTGAACTTTTAGTATTATCATTATTACTATTGTTATCGTTATTATTATGATTATTGAAAAAATTTCCTATTTTAATGTTCCGTTCTTGTTCTAAAGAATCCTCGGATTTTTCCATGAAATGTTGTTCATTGATTGGTAAAACATCCTGATACTTATTTTCAAGACTACCTATCTGAGGTATATCGATAGTGCTTGGTGTTTCACTCTGTGTTCTGCTTAAATTTTCTGGAGTCCTGCTCCTTACTCCATTGTAGCGATTAGGATGGTTTGATTTCGTACTAGTGAAGTGTATGATAGATGACGTTGAGGACAGCGAACGTCTACTACTGCTGTCGACATTCTCCAGTGGAGTCATCATTAAATTTGATGAAAGTGAGTGCCTTAAGTTTGGTCTTTTTAAAGTGTATGCATTGCTGTCCGATTGTTTGGGTGGTTGTGCTTTTGGTTGATTCATAAAATATGATTCTGTATAATAACTATCTAGAGATGCGAAGGAAGATGTCAGAGGTAAATCTATAACTTCATTATCTACGTTCATATTTTCCTTCTCGGCATCGTTCTCGGCATCGCCTTCAACATCACCTTCAATATCATCATCATTGTCTGAGAATGTTTCAGAAGAAGAACCATTACTATAATTCATCAATGATTCTTGAGTCACTGGGTCATATATATACCTTTCTGTCAGTACAAATGGATCATGTAATAAATCATCAATGGACGGTCTCTCTAATGGGTTTTTCTTTAACAATCTCAAAAGCAAAGACTTAGCCGCACTATATTCTTCATCGTTAGGTATTTTTTCAATATCAGATTGAATTGATTGTATTGATTCGATTGTTGGATATGATGGTTCATCATTAATAATCATTTCAAATAAACCCAAATCAAATTCTGAATAAAAAGGTAATTCTCCAAAGACAAGACAAAATAAGGTGATTCCTAAAGCCCAAATATCCGATTTAAAACCAACTTTCAAGAATAATTCATCACTATCCTTTGATATATTGAAAAAGGACCAAGTGTCATTTCCAAGACAAATCTCTGGAGAATAAAATGCTGGAGTCCCCACTGTCTTATTAAAGAATGTCAAATAATTTTTCGTTGAAAGTGAAATAATTTTAGATACACCAAAATCTGATAACTTTACAGTTCCATTTCTATCCACTAACAAATTTGCAGGTTTAATATCTCTATGAATAATATTTAAATCGTGTAAAAATTTCAAACCTTTAACGATATCAGTGAACATTTCTTTACATCTCGTCATGGTAAACTGTGATGGTCCCTGCGCTTTTACTCCATTAATATTACATGAATGCCATTTGATTTCACCCAGTTTACAATATTCTAATATCAAATAAATTTTATTTGATCTATCATCATTAATAATTTCAAACAATTTAATAATATTATTATTTCTATTATTAATCATTGAAAAAATTTTAATTTCATTACTAATTATTGCATGGTTTGAATTCTTATTTAATATTTTAATTGCCACAATCTTGTTACATGAATATCTGAAACCTTTTTTAACTCTACTATAATTTCCTGTACCTAGTTCTTCCAAAATTTCACAACTATTTAAAAAATTTAATCTTGATATTGGATTATAAGAAATTGATACTTTATCGGTCTTTATTATTGAACTGTCGACATCGTTCCAATCGCACGTTATATTGTTATTGTTATTATTATTATGTGGAATATATGAATTCATATCAATAAAATAAATTTAAAATCATAAGTTTGTTAATTATTTTGAGTGATCTTCTTTCATAAGAATGATGTTATTAGCATTTAGATATCTGCACTATATTACGTTGTCTAATATATATTGACAGACCTTTGTAGGAAACTGGACGTGAATGATCTTGATTCTTTTTTTTTTTAGTTTTACTCTTTGATATGAACAAAAGAAACTCAACAAGTATTATTATATAATTAATTCCATTAATGTTGAAGATAAAAGAAACATGTCAAAGACTACAAAAATAAAAAATAGAAATTAAATAATCCCGATACAAGTAAACTTATTATATTGACACCGACAAGCAGCATGAATTTTATCTGGGGAAAATAAGAAAAGATGATTATTACAACTGAATGAAAAATATATTTGCGTTATATAATCAATTCTTCAATATTGCCTTCTTTTTGTCTTAACTATGGGGAAGGGAGTATGACATAAGTTGATTGCTATATAAAAATTGAGAGAGTGGGAGTGGGAGTGGGAGTGCAGGTAGTAGATATATATATCTATATATCAAATTAAGAAAACAGCCCACATAAAGTAATTATTTGTTTCTTTGTTTGGTTGTCAATCGAGTTCTTACCCCTTTCCTTCCTGTTTTCTTCCCCGGGATATTCTCCCTAAAACAAAGCAATACACAGTTTAATGGCCGTCGAAATATTTTTAGTATATATGACGTGCAACACAGGAAAATAATAACAACAACTTTTTTCTCCGCACGTCACGTGAATATCTTGTGACTGTTCCAGGTATCCGGGTAATCATAAACTCGAAACAGTACATAGAGAGACAGTTCCATTTCTTTCTAGTAACACTTTTTTTGCTAGATTGATATCTCAATTGCTACAATCAACTTCAATTATATGTGATATTTATCTATGTATGTTACCTTTTCTTTGTATTAACAGAACTGAAGTTTTCTAACGGGAATGGGGCAATAAATATATAAGCATATGAGGAGAGTGGGGGAGGGGGGAGGGGGGACTTCGGAAAAACTAAAAAAATATTATTTGAATTTCACCACCCCCACCTCCCCGGTGACGGAATGTCCAGATCTGCGACAAATAATATATATATATATATAAATTATGGGAAAAAAACCTACAGAGCGAATGGTTACCATAACAATGAATCAAGAGATATAAAGAAAAAAAAGACGGAAAGTCTCCCCGAGATAATATTAGTTATTGTAGTTTTTCTTGTTAGAGAAATGAAATGTATTGCAAAGAGCATTCGAGGAAAATATGAGCGTTTATGTAAGTATCTCGTGGTAAGGAGGGTTGCAAATTAGGGTTAAACATTGAAATTTTTGAAATTTTGTTAGAATATTTTCAAGGGCTTTTTTGTCTGTTCTCTCTTTAAAACTTTTCTTACATAGATATCTACGTATATTTCTAAAAATGGAAACAGCATTAAAAAAGCACATATATAATTGTTGTGGTTTTTAATTTCATTCTTATCATTTAATTAAAAAGAAAAAATAAGATCGTATTACATTCACATTCATTTCAGGATGTAAGTAACCTTGTTAAATTATCAGTTGATTTTACTCTTTACTTGTGCAAGTTGTCTTAGAAACGTGACTTTCCCTTTAAGAACCGTCATTTCTCTTTATGAATGCATATATTATATAAAAAAGTATTATCTCTTGTACGTACTTTCTATTCCATATTATGTGTTGTTCTGCTTCCTTTCCCCTTCTCCCTCTCCCTCTCACTCTCCTACTTCGTTTCGTTTCGTTCAATACTTAAAAAGAAAAGCCGAGAGAGAAAGAAAGTAGCAAAATAACCGTTCATTTATGGGCTTTGTTAAATATTATTAATACAACTGGGTGTGGTGATTGGGTTGTTGATTCATATATTAACATATACGTATCGAATCCATTTTAAAATATATATGTGTAATAAGAAAGTAAGGATCAAATAGTTATAGCAGTTACAATATATTTTAAAAGAATTTCATTTAATCCAACTAGGGTTTTGTTATATTGTATAACTAGTTTAAGAATAGACTAATCTATATATATATATATATCCATAATTTTCTAACAAGTAAATAGTACTTGAATGAAATAATCGTATCTACTCGTAGTAATAATACTCTCTCTCTTTTATATTTAAAGAAAGTCTAGAACATGTCATCGTTTTATATATTAACTAGTAATAACTAGTTAATATATATAAAGATTATTTGACAGTTTCTAGTTTCTCTACTCTATTTCTCTGTTGTTACTGCTATATGTATCATCATCTAACTAGCTCGTGTAATAATTGTAAGTCCTTCTCAACGTAGAGAGTGAGATGCAATGTGATTTCGTTTTTTTTCCCTCTTAAATAATAGTAATAACAAATTTTCATGCATTCTTTGTTTCTTCTTCCTTATTAAATTATTAATAAATTTGTGGTTCTTCTTCTAGTAAATTTCTTATTGCTTTCCGAGTGCATATTTATTGAAGAAGAGGAGGCATCGTAATATTATTATTATTATTATTATTATTATTATTGCTGTTCTCTACTTGGATTCTGATTATACGCCCTCTTTTTTTGTGCGTGGTTCTCTCTCCCCCTTTCTTTCTCTCTTATTATGTTGAATTTGATGCGATTCGATTTGATTCGATTCGATTTGATTCGATTTTGGGGTTGAGTTTGGGTGTTCGGGTATATGATTGCTTAGTACCTATATTGTATACATATTGCACAGTAGAGTAAGTAGTGTTGGTAATAGTACTAGTACTAGTAATACAACATAATAGTAATATAATTAATGGTATTTGGGTTGAGTTGAATTGAGTTGAGTTAAATTGAGCTTTAAAGGCATTAAATCATTTTAGTAGTGAGTAGCCTTTTCCTACACTTATTAACCTCTCTTTCAATTATTATTATTATTATTATTATACCCTGTTCTTATTTTTTACATAGTAATAATTATTATTACTATTGCTATTGCTGTTGCTATTCCTTTTTTTCTTCTTCTTCTTCTCTGCTTTTTTATCTTTGGCTTTCTTAATAATGTAATATGTGATGCCACCGTTTAAATAGTTAAAAGTAGAATTTATTAACACTTATCATATATATACATCTTGCTAATATATTTTAATTTTATTTATTTTATTTCTTTACTTTTTTATTTATCAAATATTATAATTTAATTCATTCAAGAAGAACAATTGATCATTCAAATATACTAACATCAATTCCATTTAATAGATTTATATATATATATAGATATATCGAATTGTTATTGTGTCTTTGTTTGATAGATTGAAATATTATACATATATAAAGAAAGAGAACCCATTTTCTCTAAGATCATTCATTTTAATTTTTTTGTTATTTCCTCTCCTAGGTAATATTATATTTGCGTTGTTTTAAAAATCTTTTAGGTATTTCGTTTTATATTCACTAAGATATTAAATTATACTAAATTAAATTATCTGGTTACGTTGAGATCATTCTAATTCTAAGAATTTGTTCTCTGTTTTCTTTTTTCTTTTCTTTTCTTTTCCCCTGTTTCTCCTATTAAATATATTTAAGACATACTTTACAAGTACTAAAAAAAAATAAGAATATCAAAGCAATCGTTTCTAAAAGTATTAAAAAAGAACCCATATCATCATCATAATTCTCACTGCTTATGTCGTATAACCATCAATCTCAATTGTCGGTCAACTCCATTCAATCGGTAATAGAACCAGTGACTCCTCCTCCCATTGGACAAATGAATAATAAGAAAAATCATCAAAAGACTCAATCCCTAGATTTATCCACATTTAATCAATTCATCGCATCTACAAATTCTCATTCTCCTATGTTAACCAACAATAATAATGTAATGTTTTCTCCTAAAGATGGGAATGGGAATGGGAATTTACCACTTATTGTGGAATTTGATAATGTACCAATGAAAGAGAATTATAATAATAATAATAATAATAATAATAAATATCGTTCTTCACAACAGAGAGGCTTTGGTAAACATAGTAGTAATAATAATAATAACTTACAGAATAAAAAATCAAAGGCAAATGGGAAATACCATCATAATAATAGTAATAGTAATAAGCATAACAGTGGGAATTCTAAAGGTAAATATAATAATAATAATAATAATAATAACGATAACGGCAATGGTAATTCTTCACCTTCTTTGTTGTCTTCTAGTTCTGTAACCCCTTCGTCAATCGAGGACATTAATTCAACATCTTTAGAGGAATTGGATTATGTGAAATTGGCAACTGATCAATTTGGTTGTAGATTCCTTCAAAAGAAATTGGAATCAAACTCTCCAAATGAATCAAATCTTGTCAGAGATCTAATGTTTGATCAAATCAAACCTTACTTCATTAACTTGATTCTAGACCCCTTTGGTAACTATTTGATTCAAAAGCTTTGTGAATATTTAACAATTGAACAAAGAACTACATTGATTAATTCCATTTATCCTCATGTGTTTAAGATCTCCATCAATCAGTACGGTACAAGATCGTTGCAAAAAATTATTGACACTGTAGATAATGAAGCACAAATTGATTTGATCGTTAAAGGGTTCTCTACAAGTTATACATCGATCGAGCAAATAGTTGTATTGATAAATGATTTGAATGGGAATCATGTAATTCAAAAATGTATCTTCAAATTCCCTTCTACAAAATTTGATTTCATCATTAATGCTATAGTCGAAAAGAATAACATTATCACAATCTCTACTCATAAACATGGATGTTGTGTCTTACAGAAATTGTTAAGTGTTTGTACTTTACAACAGATTTATACAATATCTATCAATATTATCCAATTCTTACCAGGTTTGATCAATGATCAATTTGGGAATTATATTATCCAGTTTCTATTAGATATCAGAGATTTGGATTTCTATTTGTTAGTCGAGATATTTAACAAATTATCCACCGATTTATGTCAATTGTCTTGTTTGAAATTCTCATCAAATGTTATCGAGAAATTTATCAAGAAATTATTTGGTGCTGTCATCGGTGCTGTTAAAGGAGAAACTCATCCAAATATGACTGATGAAGTCATGAATAATTTAATGAACATCTTATTGACTATCATCGATATTTTCACCATGAAATTGAATATTCTTATTAGAGATAATTTCGGTAATTATGCATTACAAACTTTATTGGACTCCAAGAATTATTCCATTATCTTAGAATATAAAGGTAATGATTACATTTTGAAAAACAATCCAAAGTTTTTGAACTTCTCTCATGACTTCACAACCAAGGTCGATATTTTGATTCGTCTAACAAAGGACTTGTTGCCAAGTATCAAGACCACTTCTTATGCAAAGAAGATCAAATTAAAAGTGAAGGGCTACGCAGAATTATGTGACATCGATTTCAACGACACAACACAAACTGTTTCAAACTTGGTTAGTTCCCAAGAACAGAATAGTAACAACAGGGTATTAGCTACTTCTTCTCACAATACATCGCTTCAAGTTTCTGAAAATCAAAGAAAGCAACATCAACGTCATGTATCCTTGCCTGCAAATGCATACCATAGAAGAAACAGTAGCAACGTACTATCTGTCAATCCTGCTTTTGCACCTTTAGCTTCCCAACAACAACAGCAACCACTCGGTACTATCCAAACCTCGATCTCCAACATATTTAATTCTCAAAATTCTTCACCTTTGAGTATCAACCAACCCCAACAAATGGAGTATCTGACCGAACAGCCATTTATGCCGTTCGCCACCAACACCAACACTACAGCTAACAATGGTTTGTCTGTTCCAAATGGTCTAAGTTATGATGATGACTTTGATTTGGCTAAGCCATTAGCTAACCTGACTTTAAATTCTGGTATGATCTCTTCCCAACCTCTATTTTTCATGAACGAATTAGGTACAACAGCTGGTAATAATAACAGAAATGTTAGTACAAGTAGTAGTTCAAGTAATCTGCTGCAAAACATTAGTTATAGTTCTACTAGTAGTGCCACTGTGAATAGTTCTAACCCAAATAACAATTTTATGACCGCCCCAACATTAATGAACACATTGAACATTGCATACAACCCAAATGATAGAAATAACTCCAGTAACTTTAATGATTTCAAAAATATGGCCTTACAACCTCAACAAAGAGTTGTCAGTAATCCTTTTCCTAATCAACCTTTCCAAACAATGGGTACGAATCCTGGAACTACAACAAATGGAACTCCTCACATATATGCTAACAACGCCAATAATGGTACCCTACTTGGCAGTATCAACAACATTCCAAATGTGAACGGAAATGACAGCTTTGATGATTCGTTCGGCTATTTTTGATATGTGAAAATGGTCTTAAAATAATGATGTACATTATTTTAAACCTTATATCTTCTCTTCTCTTCTCGTGTATAAAGATTAAAAGAGAAGAAGTTAAAAAAAATTTAAAAAATTAAAAACAAAAAAAACTCAAACTTCCTACATTTATATTATTATTACTATTATTTTTTCAATTAGACTGTGTCTAAACTCTGGGACCCAATAGAACTTTATTTGATATCCGTTTGTTAATTTCCAATCATCTAAAAATTTAAATCCAAAAAAAAACATTTTCCTTCATAGCCCTCATTCACATTGTATTTATACCCGTTTCTTCATTATATTCATGTTAAAACCATTCACTCATTCACATAATTATTTGCATACAAGTTTTATTGATATATTTATTCTTTTCATACCTGTTTTTTTTATTTTCTTTCTATGTTATTCCAACTCATTCATTCATTCATTCATACATATATATATTTTTTTTTGATTTCTATTATCCCCTATAAAAACAGATGCGATTGCTCATTAACAACATCTTATAAAATTCATTTTTATCATTTATCCTATTGTACTCTACTATAAATTTACATTTTTACTGTCCACTATCTAAGATACTGAAAGGGGAACTTTGTTCCCTCTTTTATTTATTTAATTATATAATTGAAGAAAATATATTAGACTCGACAACGTTTTATTTGTTACTGTTTGGAAGATTTATAAATATACTTAAAAAATGTAGGCACTGATTAATTTATTAATGGGAAGGGAAGAATTCGTAATGTTCTCGTTCGAAGATTGAAAGGACATTAATAATACTAATGAACTTACCTCTTTGCAGTTATTGTCGATATCGTATTTCTCAGGCTCTATAATATTCATACTAGAGCATTCATGTACGCAATTCATATTCTCATTCCTATAAACAGAGTTATTGTTAGTAAACGAAACGCTAGATAGCTTAAATCCAAATAAATGATCAGGAGGGTAATTCCTCAAGAAATCAAGAGAAGAGGCATAAGGGTGGCAATAGCAGTTTCCGTTCTGCTCATAATTTCTATGTCTCAAGGAGAACATTTCAAAATCATTCCGTTTTCCATAGCAAACATATTGTTCATTATCAGATATGGATAATATTTCGGTATCGTTGGTTGCATTCCTAAATTTTGTTACCAGAATTGTGGGATTAGCAGTAGTATAACTATCATTGGAATCCAATTCTAAGAGATCAATTATAAAGAGATATTGAAGCTCAGCATCTTTCATAAATCCAGATATCATTATTCTATTACCGGAAAGTGCTACTATAGATACAATTGATGAAACCTTACAGATATTTTTATAGCATTTAGTGGACAGTATCTCAGGTATCATTACTCCAGATTTTTTTGAAAATGTTAATTTGTACAGATATCCATTTCTTGTACCGCAATAAATATAACAGTGTGAAGTATTTTCGTCATAACAAGCTATAGCAGTTATATCAGATTGAGTGTTAAACTTAAGTTTTGTCTTGATGCTCATATTGTGCCAATTAAAAATAAAAAGTTTCTTCTTTACTGCTAGGATAGGGCCATAGCTGGTTGCAATAGAATCATTTATGTTATCAAATTCCTTCATTCCTAACTTTGTAAAACATTTCAAGTAGGGATTTTCGTTACTATTGAGCCTCAGGGAGTTAGAAATTTGATGAAATAAGTGCTGCGTTGTTGATGAAGGTAATTCATTCGGCCCAGACGTAGTTCTCTTTTGTTTTACTTTATAATGAATAAATATATTATTCCAAGACCTTTTCACATTAAAAATAGTCAATTCTTCAAACCTCGGATTAAAATTTAGCTCGTCAATCCCCGTTATGTTGTGTTCATAAGTTTTGATATCCCACTGGTTGTACTGCGTATCTTTTTCATAGACTAAAATTCGACCATCTGACAAGATACACCAGTATCTATAGCCACCACTGAAAGAAAACGAACCTAATAATTTATTTGAGTAACCTCCAAAAGTTATATCTATTGGTTTGATGGATAATTCGTTGAATAAATTGGCACCCCTTTCCTTCAGAGCCATGATATTGCAAATCACATATAAATCTTCATTAGTAAAAGCGGGGCTTCTAGTTGTTGGATCTTTCACATATTCCGAATAATCTAGAAAACATTTATCCCAATAAGTAACATTTTGATTTTGTAATTGTGAATCGAGCTTTTGCTTCTTAAATTGGTTACGTCTCTGTTGTGTTAATGGGAAGTATTTCCTTCTTTCAGTATCGTAATATAACCCTGGTAATTCTCTCGGTGGGTTAGACATTCATTGCAAGGTTATCTTACGTACCAGAAGTTAAATATTACCTATTTATAGGGTTATTTAGTTTGTATATATTACTTTTAATTCAGGTGTAACATCAGTACGTTTTATGACATATATATGTGGTGTTTGATGTAACTATTTTAATTTTCCATCTTATCGAAGGGCTTTAAATTTTTTGTATGCAATAAACGTAAAAAAATGAATAATTGTTGATGACAGTGGATTGAAAGATAGAGATTACGATTAGTCTATTTACTAACTTTTTTTTCTCTCTAGTTGTGTCTATTGGTGCAATAAGTCTATTTTCCCATTTTGATCCACCAACATAATCATGCAGAAGGGTATATTTTAAGAGTTGTAGGATCCCATTTAAAATCTGAGTCATTGACTGCCTCATTGAATTCTTCCCTTTTAAACAAGAATTCCCGTTCTTGAGGTGGTATTCTATAGTTTACAGAAGAAAGAAATCTCTTCATAGTCTTCTTATAGATTATTTTCTTTGAAGCAATTTTGTCTTCTTCTCTTTCTTGTGTTGTTGGAAAATCTAAACGACCATAACCAGGAGGTGAATCGGTTCTTTGTCTTAAATTATCAAATGGCATATCAAATGACATATCAAATAGTGGATGTTCTACTTTATCGTTCTCCATCTGTGCTCCCATTGGTTTCCCGGCTTTTTTATAGAATTCTTCTAATCTTCTCTTACCTCGTTTAACAGCAGAAACATCTTTATTTGGTTTAAAGTCTTCTAATATCCAAGGTTTTGAAATAAGTGGATTCAAATTGAAGTCAAATTTCTTTCTAGTTCTAATATGTGGGGACATGGCGTTGTTCTCCTTTCTATTAGTCTGTGCTGGATTAAGTCTAACTAGAGAATTTGGATCTTCCATCTTGATTAGTTTAGACTTCAAGTTTGTTTTATTAAGGTCATTCTCAGAATGCATATGAACTCTTTTCCCATTAGAATTACAATTTGCTCTTGAAAGTTGAACATTTTCTTCAAACTTAAGCAACTGTATTTCAGTCTTATCAGAATCACGAAACGAATCTGTAGAATCCTTGAGAGGCGAACTATATATGTTTTTATTCCCATCATAGTAGTTAGAATTATTTGATTCTTGTGTATTTGTTAACTCTATTTTGGAATTGGGTGGAATAAATACAGATGTACTATTTTTGTGTTCATCTAATTTGGAATGTCTTGAGGTTTCTATGACATTCTGACACAATATTTTACTTGATTCCAATTGTGTAAGTATAAGATCTTCGGTATCATCCGAAAACTCAGCCTCTGAGTTTTCCACATGTTCATTATCGTTTACTAAATTAATACTTCCAACTATATCTTTCTCGATGGGTTCTGCTATTGGCATTATGTTTGAGCGTGACTCCTCACGGGTTAATTGTTCTTCCTTTGGCAGTCTTCCATATTCTGTTTTTGATTCTATAGCTGACCGTTTTATTCTATTTCTAGGTTGATATAATCTCTTCCTCAGCTGGGTATTTATATCCTGCTGGACATCCAGTAATTCCTCGACACTTAATGTCAACAACACTCGGAGACCGGATAATAGTACATCTTCCTCATTATCCCTTGACATTAGTAGAAACGTATCTACAAAAGCATATCTTATTGATGATATCTGTGAAAATGTTTTATTCAGTTCTTAATAACCCATCGGGTCATCTTCTTATGTATCGTCTGTACAGTAGTTTAATATTGTCAATAAACCCGAAAGGATCACTTTGAACTTCAAATTCAAGAAAGTTTTAAAAATTTCCGGATCTGAACATCGATGAGAATACAAAGAGAGAGCAATAACCAGGTCTATCCTTCATTCTAATAAAATATAACCGATTAATCAGATATTACTTAAATTTCAAATTTAACTTCATACATTTTGGAAGGTATTTGTGATTCAGACTTCTTGTAGTAGTTTAAAATGTCATTGCATGATTATTTGTCAAAAACATACGGGTCTTCCTCGAATAAGAAGTCCAAGAACAGAAGCAAAGATGATAAAAAGGAGGTAAAGAAAGTACGGTCAGCAAACACGACTATAACAGAGTATATTTCACAAGATATTAAAGATATACCGAATAAATCAGGGCTAATAAATGATTCAAAATCTAAGAAGAGTTTATGGAAAAACCCAGCCACAAACGAAATAGTTGATGAAATCAAGAGAACCGGTATAGAAGCCAAAGATGATCAGAAGGTTGCTTCTTCAACTTCAATAGAACTCGTTTCTAAAGTTAATATAAATCAAAATGAAAGAGATACGATTCATAGAGATGAAAAAGGGCATCGTTTAACAGGAGAACAATTAACCCAGAGACTTGCAGATAGTGATTTAAGAGAAAAAATGAGATTAGAAAGATTGAATCAACTAAACAAAGGTGAAGTACAAAAATATATGCGGGAAAACGAACTAACATATGCATCGTTGAAGAGTCGAAATGGGCAATCTAATGCCAATAATGATTTTATAGATCCAGCCTCTGCATTCAGCAGCCATGATGAAACAGGAAATTCAAAAAATGTATCATTCTTAGGTAGGCGACAATATGATAAAATATCTTCTGAAAACAGATTTGGTGTTATACCTGGTGCTAGATGGGATGGAGTCGATAGATCAACAGGTTTTGAAGCAAAATGGTTTGAGCGGAAAGCTGAAATTGAACAACAAAAGGTTGAAAAGTTTACTATGCAAGAAGATTATTAGCATATCGATTGTCTCCCTACAGTGGAAAATATTGAACGATTGATTCGTAAATATGAGAGCTGTCCTCTATTAAAAATTTACATAGATACATAATTCTCATAAATAACATATTGTTGGTTTCACTCCAAATGAGCACGCTTGTTTAATGAAATAAAAAAAGTTACGAAAAATTTATTTGAAATGTTCATTGTAACCATCAATCGGTGGCTAGTTTTGAATCTTCCTTATTTTCGGGTTTTCTCTTCAAGATTATGGGTTTTATTGGTTTCTTGGAATCGTCATGGGTCTTGGATGAATCTTTATTGTTGTATTGTTTGTTCCTGTTTTTATGACTATCATTTGGCTTTACTTTGTCCTTGTTCTTACTGCCAGCATTATACTTTCCAGAGTCCTTGGATGACTTTCCATCAGAGTGTGGTTTAGTTGGTTTACCATGTTTTTGTTTATGCCCACCAACATTTGGTAACCCACCGTTGAAGTTTCTATTTCCCATCGGTGGAGGTGGGAAGTTACCATTTGGTGGAACCCCCATTGGCATATTCATTGGATTTGGTCCGTTCATACCCATTGGGAACCCCATTGGCACAGGATGGGTACCGATTGGAGGAACTCCTTGAATTGGTCCTAATGGGGGAGCAGCGCCATTGGATATATGATAAGGTAATCCAGCAGGGTCTAAAGTGTGAGATGCAGGGTGGCTCATTACTTGTGGGGCAATAGCTTGGGCAGGTGCTGTGGCTGGATCATATTGATTTAGCACAGCATAGAACACAGAGTTGGCTACTTGTGTATTTGGAAGAGGAGCAGTTTGCTCCGTTTTCTTTAACGTCTTAGATTTATCCTCTAGTGATCCAAGCTTTTCGACTTCGGCCCTAGCTGACTCCTGATCCACCTTTTTCTCTTCAGTTGCAGAGGTCTCCTTTTTTTGAATAACATTCAATAGGTCGTGGGCAGCCTTCTTTCTCAGATTTTCAGATTCCCTCTCTACCTTTTGATGTAGGATCTGTTTTCTCCTCACAATCTCTTCCTTACTCAATTTTTCCTTTCGAGGAGTTGCAGTTGTGTGCTTCTTAGAAGCTCTTGAGTGATAGATAAACTGTCTCTCAGTAATATTCAACAGAAACGATGAGTCTAAACCGATACCTCTCTTGGTTCTTAATCTGCCACCGAATGTATTTCCCGCAATAATTTCATGGTCAAACAGAACTTGGATTGACAGATTTGCACCCAGTGTAGTATAACCTACAACCGTACCCCTGGAAAATAGTGGTACCTTACCAGAATCTTGAACATATATAACACGGTCACCTAGGCTAAATTTTTGGGAACGTAACAAAGTTAAAGAATCTCTTGGGTTCAGAACAGCTTCACGAGGAACCTTTGCAAGTTGTTTAGTTTCGTTTTGTTGTTCGATTGCTGCAACATTGGCAATTATGTAGTTTTCGACTTCAGCGATAGATGCCTTAGTTAGGGAATCACTTTCTAATGATACAGTGACAAAGTTCTCAGTGACATGTTTCAACCAGGTCTTGACTTGATCCAAAATCTTTACACTTTCCTTCATTGGCATTTCAGGGTACAGCTTTTCAATACTTGGAATATCGTTACCAACCTTCTCCATTCTTGCAAAAAAGTCTGGGAATCTGATTTTGTATTCTCTCAACAAATTCATTGTAATAGTGGAGTATTCCCAACCTTTGGTGTTTCTTCTAGCATAGCCAAGCACTTTTTTGTGTTGGGATTCAAATTTAACTGGGATACCAATATCCACACGTCTTCCATCAATGTCAGAAATCAGGAATTTTGATGTAATTCTTGACAAAAATAGTCTGTTGATATTTAACTTCTTGGAAACAATGTAAGATGGGAGATATTGAACTAACGCATTATCATTCTTAACTCTCTCTTTTCCAATTATAGGTTCAGCTTGAAGGAATCTCTTTTTGACAGTAATCTTTAATCTTTTTTCGCTGGAATAATCGTCGATAGTAGTTTCACCACCATATGCGTAATCACCAAGGAAAATAACACGAGACCCCATTGGGAATTCAATATTAATTGGCTTTGGTGGCCTTTCGATATATCTTTCGTCCTTGTTAGAGACACTTTCAACCATCAATTGCAGAGGAAAGTTTTCTGGGACTTCGCCAAATGTTTTCATATAAGCACCATCCTCATTTCTCATTAGACCAGTAACTGGAATAACGGTGATGATAGCACGAATATTATCTAAAATGACAGCAGATTTCTTCTTGTAATTTCTCAGCATAGATCTCTTTTGCGATTCAAAGTCTCTTTGTTCATGATTGTCACATTGTCTTTCGATTATCTTAAAGTGATGCTTACCTTTAGCATCTTTATATTCATTGAATTCCAAGAACTTCTTACCAGTAGATATCGAAAGAAGTTTTGTTTCTCTCATGTATGGCCATCTGGTGTAAATAACTTTGTTCAAATATCTCTTAGCTAATTCCTCGATAGTCAAATTATTTTCTTGGTAAACATCTTCCACATATAGACACATAGATTGTTGCTTAGACGGTTGCTGGAAGACCATACTTTCATTGTATTCTAGTTTGTTCTTGTAAGGAATAGTGGCTAGCGTTGGGAAACCTGCCAATAAATCAGCACCAGATTTAGCATTTGGAAGTAAACCATATTTATATTCAAGACCATCCATGGAGTAACCTAAATATTCCCTTTCGATACATTGGTTATGTTCGATGTCTCCGAATATACCACTTAAAGGACTCTTATATATTTCGTCGATTTGTGGATTGAATGTGAAAATCAACTCTTTACCACGACCATTTCTCTTCTTCTCTTCTGGAGTTAATTTGGTCAAATATGGTGCCATAGCTTCCACTAATCTCTTTTGATCTACAAACGATATTTTCACAACAGCTTCCCAATCTGCAGTCTTCCCATTTTTATCTAGCTCAACCTCAGCAGGGTAAAAGTCTAGAATAGGTGACTTAGGGTCATACATAAGTGGTCTTAGTGCTGGAGGTAATAGGGTCTTTGATCTTTCTGGTAAAACTGCCATCAATTGTTGGAAAGGTGTAAATGGTTCACCTTGATCAAACTTAATAATTTGGTCGATACCCTTGGATAAATCAGAAATTCTTGGTGCATAATGGTATTGGAAGTACCATCCCCAAGATGGACAACCACGGTAATAATAATATAAAACCCATTGCAACCCTTCGACATAGTTTTGAGTTAATGTTACAACATCTTTATTACCATCGTCAACATTACTGTTATTTTCATGTTCCTTTTCGATTTCTGTACTGGAATTGTCATTACCATTCTCAGTTTCAATTCCAACACTTTCAGCAACTTGTTGTTTTTCTACAAAATCTTCATCCACTGGTTTTGTGTGGATCTTTGAAGATTTTTTACTCTTTTTGGTAAAAGTATAACCGAATTTGTCTTGATAATATTTCTCTTTCCATACTTCGAATCTGTCATTATACAAAGCTTGTTCTCTGTCCAATTCATCCGAATCCTCAACTAGTATGGCTTGTTGGTACTTTCTGATTGTCTTTCTTATACCAGCAATACGGTCATTTTTTTCGTCTTCAGTTTCATTAGGATTTATACCATCGACATCTAATTTCAAATAATACACATCCTTTGATTTTGAATGTACCACAAATAGACCCAATTCATGTGCAAATTCCTTTAAGAATGGTAAGTTTTCAATGATATGTTCATCGGCCAATTCGATAGTCGGAATCTTCTCATCAGAAATATCTAATGGGTATGTTTCATTAACAATCTTTAATACCCATGGTTTAACAAACCCTACGATTTTCTTTTGTTGTTTTAGTAACAATTTTTTACCCATACGAGCTCTCTTTCTTTCACCTTCCAATGAGATATTCTCTAATTGTTGGTTAAACCATTCAACATCGATATCCTTCCTTTCGAAATTCATTAATTCGAATTGAGATAAATAATCCAACCATACTTTTAATCTATGTAGGTTGATCTTACCATGTTCGTTAATATAACCATCTAGATGGAGTAAAGCTTCTTTAAAAGTTTGTAATATTACAGGGAACGCACCTTTGTTTAGATGCAAGTCAGGCAAATTAGGTAAGAAATCATTACCGATGACGAACATGATAAGGATAAAATCGTCCAGGATCCTCTCGAAATCATATTTAAATTTCAATTCATCAGAGATTTCATTGAACTCAAGTTCTAAATATTCTCTTAATAATGAAATATGCAACAAATAAAAGTTTTGGGTCTCTAATGACGTCTGTTGTTTACTTCTTCTGCCAAATGTGACTTCTTCTCTCAGAAGGGCAAAATGTGGAGCATGTGCTGAAAGAGATAACATAATCAAATCTGCATCCAAACCGTAGATACAATGTCTTGTATTATTATCAAATCCATCTTGAGCTCTTAACTTTCTGATGAAATCCATAATTTTATGTTCACCTTCCCCTGGGACTTCATGACCTGAGAATATAATTTCGACATTTCTCCATCTGGAGTCATTAGTCACTTTGTCATGGACATAATATTTCAAGTTTGTAGTTAATTTAGCCATAAACTCGGTACCTGGTGTAATACAATTGGAATCGAATGGTTCTCCACTAGGTATCGGTTCACCATTTTTGATAGCTTTTTGTAAAGCATGTTCAGCATCCATCGCGGTCCTAAATCTACGAGCTCTCTGTTGATTCATTTTAGCACGGGGTGCAACACCATCAATTGCCATGTAAAACACTTTCTGAGGCTTGATAGTTTGGAATAAATGGTCTACATATGAAAAAATCTTGGCAAATACTTCTTCCTCAGATAGTCTCTTTGTAATATCATCGTCATTACCGTGAGTACAGTTATGCAAAATAGAGTTCATATCTAAATACAAGTTGTCAAACTCTGGAATATCATTACCTTCAATCAATTGAGAAATCATAGGCCATCTCTCAGAGATATACCTGAAAAACTTTGGAATACCCATATTTGTCTATTTATTGACTTAATATTTCGTTTAATGTAGTTGTTGTTTTAAAATAAAAAAATAAAAAAGGTCTTAATTTTAACCTGCTTTATTCCGATATATTTACAAAACTGGTTAATTACTTTCTGAAACTGTGTATTTCAATTGATTACACTTAATTCGGTAGATAACAATTGCAAATAAATATAGTACAAAAACAAAACACAACCTTATTTCAATTCTAACTTCTGTAGTCGCTGTTTCTTTTATTTCTCTAGCGCCCTTTTTTTACCTTGTCTTTATGCTTCTTTCTTTCAGCAAATTAAAGGAGGAACAATATTTATATCAGCAAAAGATAAATAGATATATATCTGTGTATCTAGATGTTGTCTTATAGAGACTAATAATTGCTGCTAGTGAGGCAATTCCCTCTTTTCCCATCCTTAACCTTCAATTATTCTAATGGTTATTGTCTTCTTGGAGTAGTAAGTATCGTTGTCCTCTCAACTTCTCAACCCGCCTCCCTTCCTTTGTTGCCTAACAGCGAATATTTTCCGTAATAAAATTGAGTAAGCGTTGTGTTACCCGGACTGTCACGTCATGTTATCACTTTATACGTTAAAAATTTTGAGTTGAAATTTGTTTTCGTATTTGGGCCTTTTTTAATGTGATAGATATTAAAGGATATGGAATAGACGTTAGATGACAAGATTGCGAGGAGTTTTAAGTGAAACTAGGGTCTAGCACTGGAGGAATTATATTTGCACCGATTGTGAAACCATTTTAAATACAATTGAGTGATTTTTGTGCTTTGGCTTAACCGTTTTAACGACAGAAATACACATTCTCTTTTTTTTTGATCTATCGTGAAATAAGATGTTCAATTTAGGGAAACCAGCTTCCACAGGGTCGCTGTTTGGTCAGAATCAAGGTAACATGAATAGTACGGCAGGCGTTAATACAGGTTTCAGTTTTGGGCAGAATAATGCTGCAAACAACACTTCAGGAAACACTGCAGGTGGGTTGTTTGGGAATAAACCAACAGGTGCCACTTCAGGTGGACTATTTGGTGCAACTAATAATAATATTAATAATAATAATGCGGCTGTACCGGGTGTAGGAGGAGGTATGTTTGGAGCAACGAATAACAATAACGCAGCTCCTGCTACTGGTGGTCTGTTTGGTGCAGCTAATAACAATAACACAGCACCTGCTACCGGTGGTTTATTTGGTACTAAACCTGCTGCTCCTGCTACAGGTGGATTATTCAGCTCCACTAATAATATTAATAATAATAACACAGCACCTACTACCGGTGGTTTGTTTGGTGCTAAACCAGCGGCGCCAGCTACAGGTGGATTGTTTGGTGGGGCTACTAACAATATGACTTCATCTTCGACAGGAGGTTTATTTGGTGCGAAACCAGCTACCCCAGCTACAGGTGGATTATTTGGTAATAACAATACAGCTGCGCCTTCTGGTGGACTATTTGGTGCAAAGCCAGCCACTACAGGTGGTTTGTTTGGCGGAAAACCTGCAACTGGAGGTGGTCTATTTGGTAACAATACCAATGCTTCAGCGACTACTGGTGGTGGGTTGTTTGGTAATAATAATAACAATTCATTAGGTGGCGGTCTATTTGGTAATCAGCAACAACAGCAACAACAGCAACAGATTTCAGCTTTACAACAAATATCACAGTTGCCTGTCAATCCATTGACAAGGATATCGGATTTACCACCACAATTGAAACAAGAAATCGAACAATTAGACCAATATATACAGAGACAAGTGCAAATATCCCAAAATTTGAAATCAGAACACAGTGAACATATCGAATTAATAGACTCCGTACCTCGTGATATACAGTATCTATTGAAGACTCAATCTCAGACAAATCAACTATTAGCACAAGATTTAAAGAAAATTAAAGCAATTAAAGATTTAACAGACTATAATATTGCTGATACTCAAACATTTTCGATATTACTACAACAACTATTAACTCCAGGCAGTAAAGTGTCGTCCATGGAACTAGATAAATTCTTTCAGCATAGAATTCAAGTGTATAATTCAAAATTGGATGAATACTCTAGGGTCTTATCTGATATTGAGAATACTATTAATGGTATAAATAACGAAGTTATAGGTAGTTCTGATCCAATCTTGAATAATGGTAGTGGTGTTAAAAATAGTATGGAGTTTAACGATTTTGTGTCTTTGAAATCTGGTCTGCATGCAATCATTAATACCGTTATAGAAGAGTTTAATCTTTTCATGGACATTGCACAAAGAATAGCAGTACTTCATCAGCATATCAGAGATGCTCAATCTAATTGATAGCATTGTACTGTGGTTCTGTGGTGTTAATAAAAAAAATGGCCCAAAAGAACTCATCAATCTCTACGAGAAATCTATTATGTAATTCCATAAAAAATAAATTTAAATGCATATCTATTATTTACTGTAATTGTAACTAAACATGGACTTATACCTAGGTATGCCAAGGGTATCTATTTGGATTATATATATATATGTATGTATGTAGGCTGTCCTTCATAGAATGATGTCGTTCTTAATATGAAAGACATTCGCGGTGATTGTTTAGATTATGGAATACTAGTATTTGCGATATGTAACAAGTTAAATAATCTCGAATATATAAATTAAAGTGAGGACTTGCAAGGTAAAAGATTATACTCTTCATTCAAGTTCAATGGTGGATTACCTTCTCCGTATAGCAGTTGTAACCAACCAGCTTTCTTCTGCCAATAACTTCACCAACTGAGTAGAACCCTAGTAATTGAATACCAACAGCACCGTACTTCAAAAGATCATTTTTTCCAGAGGCCTTGACACAGTTAACAGCTTGCTGTGGTGTTTTAATGTATCTTAAAGAATTGGTGTATAGGTTCATGTAAACAGATTTAAATTCATCTAAAGATGGCGGTTGTAACTTCTCAGATTTGTAGATTTGCTTCGAAAGTTCGCCAGTGACTTTACCACAGTACACGGTCTTTTCGACGGTCTTTGTCACTAAAGCTGCAGTCTTAGTTAATAGACTGGTTCCTGCAGTTTGGATTCTGGCTAGCATGATTTCAGTTTTGACTAATTATTTGTTTTTTAGTTTTATTTTTTGGGTGATTGATGAGCAGACAGTTATTTAATATTTAGATATATTTTAATCTTCTCAATAGATCTAATTATAGGAACAGGGTGCTGAATGTTGAAAATATGATATGGATAAATCAAACAGAAATAAGGTATAATTGTTATCTATAGGATTTTCTAATAATCTTTTGTTGTCTTAGAAATGTCGTTATCCCTAAAGATGCAGTTGACTTTTTAATTGAAACTTTTTCTTGAAATGAGTTTCGTCAATTTTAAAAAATGTCCGTTTTAAAGGAATTTTATCGAAAAGCCCGAGGGAAGCTTGCTCGACCAATCATATTGAATAATTACAAATGATATTCACCTTATATAGGCTTGAAGTAAGATATTCTAATAAGTAATCGATAACGGTTGGAATATATGGAGAAAGTTCGGATAGATGGATTGAGAGGTACGATAGATAACTACAAGCTGTATTAGTAGTCTAACCGAACTCTTACCTCAAATATATATATAGCTGTTTTCTCTATCAATATCAACACTGAAAAATTAAATTTAGAATAATATAATTACAAATTGGGGAGTTTTAACATATATGATTATATAGTTGATCAGAACAAATTATTGTAAGAGAGTTCCCCTTTAATGATCTCTTCTCAATAATTAAACACGTCTATTTAGACGAATCGATCTTCTTACACCTTCACCTAAGACTATGATTTTGTCCTCCTGTATTAACCTAGCCAATACGTCCGATATATCAGATGAATCAACTCTATCTTGTGAGTGTTCGTTTATTTGTTTGTTTAATTCATTAAAACTCATCGAGTCAGAGGTGTGTTCGGTCAAGATCTTAACAATTTCCCTTGTTAGATCCTCTTGCAATTTTCTTTGAATGACCGATTTACCTGTTTGAACAAGGTTCATATCGATCTTACCGGTCTTGGGATCTGTAGCATAGTCCTTTATAGCTGTCTTAATTAATCTAACAGCTTCATGTACATCTTCTAATTCAACAGTTTCAGATAATCTCATCTTAGCATGAGCTTCCGATAGACGGATCATACTCTCCAGTTGTCTTGTCGTGGCTGTGATTCTTTTTTCGTCCGATCTAGAATCATCACCCATCTTTCTCATACCGACATATGCTCTGACCAACTCGGTCTTGGCAGTGTTGGTGATCACTGGATGAATATGCTCCTTGGCATAGTTGATGTACATTGTCAAAAATTCAACAGGTAGGATATCATCCTGAGAAACATGCTGCGGTTTATCTTCTAGGTATAAAGCAGTTAAATGGTTTGCTAATTCCCTGTCATTTGATTCGTCAACCTTATCCAACACTAAGTAAACCAAATCAAACCTGGATAGCAAAGGTGGTGGTAAGTCGATATTTTCAGTCACAGGAAGATTTGGATTGTAACGAGAACCGATAGGGTTAGCACTAGCCAGAATAGACGTTCTAGCATTCAAGGTTGTTATGATACCAGCTTTGGCTACAGAAATTGTTTGTTGTTCCATTACTTCATGTAAAACAGATCTGGTAGAATCACTCATCTTATCAAATTCATCAATACAACAAATACCACCATCAGATAACACTAAGGCACCACTTTCTAGAACCAGTTGGTTTGTGTCAACGTCTCTAGTGATGTAGGCAGTTAAACCAACCGCGGAAGAACCCTTACCAGATGTGTATACACCACGAGGAGCAATTTTGTGAACATATTGAAGGATTTGAGATTTAGCGGTAGATGGATCACCACACAATAAAATGTTGATATCACCTCTATAACGACCACCTTTATTAAAATGTTTATTAGTACCACCGAATAATTGTAACAGAATACCCTTTTTCACGTCATCTAGTTCAAAAATACTTGGAGAGATTGATCTAGACAGTAAATTGTATAGATCCTCTCTTTTTGCAACTTCATGAATTTTGGCGATATCAGAATCTGTGACATTTCTTGTCAATTCTACTTCTCCATGATTTAGTTTATTTTGCAAAAGCTCTTGTTCCACAGTAGAAGTATCGACATCTAGTCTCTTATCGGAAACCTTTTTCACATGAACAACATCAATGTATGTTTTGTATAAGGCCTTCAGTATTCTTTGCTTGGAATTAGCCCTAATAGGTATGGATCTAAATGTACCAGTTACTTCAATTCTATCACCAGCTCTACAGGAATCGACTAATTCATCGTATACACATAGTGATACAGAATGAGGGGTTTGACCATCTGGGACTAAGTCTGGGGTTTCCTGTAGCTTGATAACTTGTTTATCAGCAAAGGAGCATCTATTGTGAATTAGGGACATTGAGTTTGGTTCATTACAATCAATACGTTCACATCTTGCTGGTTCTTGGATGACCCCTCTATCGATCTCTACTGCCATTGTATGGTCACATACATTACATTTAAAGAAGGCGACCTTCATATCAGGAATAACTGGGGTAGTTCTTAATATCAGACCTTTCAAACTAATCAATTTATCTATATCATTTGGATTCAATTCACGCATACCTCTTGCTGATTCAACGTTATAAGGTCTAACTTTATAGAATTTTGTTTCAATGTCATCAAGGTTGAAATCTAGATGATTATCAACCACTAGTGAGACCATACAGTCCTTAATGGTTTGATCCATGATTGATATAACTTCTTGAGGGTAATTTAATAATTGATAATACAATTCTTCTGTTGGTTTGTAAGCCAAGAGATTTCTCGCATCTAAGTTCAAGTTTGTGGTACCTAATTCTCTCATTTCATTTAAATGGTTTACATAATACAATTCTTCATCTGTAGTGGTATCGATGAATGCTTCACGTTCATCAAGTGTCTTACGGTACTTATATTTGAAAGACATTAGGAAATTACGAAAGTTATTAGCACATTCCTGGATACTAACATTCGTACCCCAAATAATCCTAACTGGTTCGTTTGCTTCAGATGGAGCATCAGAGCTGGAGCTATGTTGTTGCGAGTTAGGAGCACCAGAGAAGAATCTTCTTGGTGACGAAAAATCGGAACCTTGTACATCATTTCTTCTTCTTCTGAAACTGGATGAAGAATTGGAGCCATTGGCAGATGCTTCACTTCTGATACTCGAAAATCTGTTAGCACTAGGAGTGGCGGCTGAGTGTAAATTTGGTCTAGCTGAGCTACCATTGATATCGGAAGAATGGTTTTGAGAAGATGATGGGTAGTTGAATGGAGAGGATCCAAAACGATTATTTTGACTGCTTCCCACTCTTCTAGCAGCAGAATTGGTATCGTATGTATCACCTTGAGAGGAGGAAGAGTTATAGAACAGTCTAGCAGGAGACGACTGATTAGGTGGAGCAGAGTCTGGTTGCGTTGGAGTTGGTCCTGGTGAACTTGGAGCTGGAGAACTTGGTTGATCAGACATGTTTCGGGTGGCTATATTTCTGTCGTTTGAGTTCCTAGATTGTTACAAGAAAGGAAAAATCACAATATTTTTTTTTAATATGTTAGAAGTATTTGGAACTAACGATATCACCTTGGTAAAGAAATGCGGCTATCTTACTAAACGTTAAACTCATAATTAGTTAGTTTTTAATGTGTCGAGTGTGGAAAATATCGTGTGCTTTCGAGTTTGCATAAATTTTCGTTCTTTTTTTTTTCGGGTCTGCATGCAATCAAATTTCCTAATCCGGTAACATAATTAAATTTCAGAAATTTGCGGGTAATGGCATTGCAACCAAGAAAATAACAGTCAGAATATAAAAATGTCACATAAGGTTTATGAAAGGTATAATAATAAAAAAAATAGTATCCATTAGTTATATAAAAGATTGAAAAGAGTATGGAATTGCTAAACTGACAACATGGATCAGCTGCAAGTTTCAAGTGCGTGGTGTTATTGATTCCCAGATCCTTAGCGCAATCTTGCTGAAAAAAAGGGAGAGTCTCATGTTAGAATGACGACTTGACTGACATTCATGTTGTTGACCAGTTTCTCAGAAGAATCTGAGTGACCTTGGATGTTAGAGGGAACAAGTTGGAAAGAAAGCACTCGGAGAACCAATTATAACCACAGTCCTGTTGTTCCTGATGAGTTTTTATTGCTGTTGTATGTATGTATGTATATATATATGCATATATTATTACGAAGGTAGTTTTCAATTTAAAATATCAAAGGTGAAGATATTGTATCCTTTATATGGCATTGAACTAAGAACTGATTACTAATTTCGTTATCGTAATCATTGAAAATAGTATATAACAAACACTTTCACATGGCCAGAACAACTTTTGAGACATAGTGGGTGACCACCTCGGTTGCCCCTTTCTTATGTCTCTATCTACCTTTTCTGCACTCCACCTCCCCATTCTATTTCATTATTACTAGATGCCAAACTAAAGAGTAGACCCTTTCATGTCAAGTAGCTTAGATGAGTAATAACTCTCATTACTCATTATATAAGAGTTCTTGGAAGCCGTGATTCAATCAAGCAATTCAATAATCAACATAGTATTGGCTGCAATATCCATAATTATATATATAGATTGGTCAATCAGAGTAGATGAATAAGTTGTATTATTATTGTTATTATTGTTGTATAATAATTTATGCGGATAAGAACTGTTCCGTTCCGCGAAAAAGAAATGTCTTCTCTTTTCTACTGAGTATCAACCCAGAGGGGAGGAAAATAGGACAGAGATGTGGGCTGCACAGTAGACACCGCGGAAGAAATAAACGTAATAAGTCATAAAATTATATAATTTCCAGATGAATGAATGCAGGGTATAGTTTAGAGTTCTATCAGTTTTAAAGATTCTGGGTGAAGAGAACAGACGGATGGACCTTTAGAATATTGCGTGTTTATGCTGTATATTCCACACCATACTATAGTAATTGGGTTTTGTTGTTCAATTTGGGATGGTTTCCTGTATCTAAAGTAATCAGACAAAAAAGTGATGATAACTTAACAATATAATCTGTAACAGTGGCTATCGACATTCTTTTAATCATTTTCTCTCAAAGACTGACCCCAGTTAATCGAGTGGAAGGTTTATTTCCTTAAGTCAAGATATACGGAAAATCTTGTACAGGGTTTAACTCTACAATATTCGAATGTGAATAATATATGAAATAAATTCAAAATACAATAAGAAATGTAGTAACTGTGTCTTGGATAGAGTCTATGTATATGTATTGGTTATCCTATTCTAAGTTTGTGTCTTTTGAAAATTAATTATAGTGTTGATGTATCATACGCTACTACGTAATTGTTCCCAGTGAGTTATATCCTTTATTTGCCATTTACGAGGGCTATCACCTTTTCCTGAACCCCTAATAGCATATTCTTTAACAGTATTCTTAATTGTTTGTTTATTGTAATTGGGTAGACTCTTCTGAGATATTTCAGTGACAGTTCCTAATGAGAAGGTACTATCTTGAATTTCATCAAACAATTTCAAAAGATCCTTAGGGTCGGTTATTAATAGTTTGGCTTTTTTCTTCTCGGGACTCTCTAAAGAGCCGTTATTATTTGGGTTATTATCTAATGCATCTGCTAATCTTTTAGATGGAGAAGTGTTAGCCGAAACTCTCGATTGTGTAGCATTTCGTATTTTTTCATGCGGTTCGATTGGGAGTGTCATATCAGCTAGTAGTGATTCAGCAGATGTTAAATTGAAATATTGCTTGTCATCACCGTCCATGCTTTCGATATTAACACGAAGAAGGACAGTAGGTATTAATGGTCCGATAAACTTCTTATTATTGTTTCCCGAGTTGCCAGATTCTTCTTTATCCAAGAAACCATCAAACTCATTCTCACTACCTTCTTCTTCGTCGTCATCCTCGTCGTCTTCTTCGTCTCCACTCTCTAGGTTATCAATTCCAGCACCATCAGCATCTTCTTCTTCGTTTACCCATTCAAGATCAGAGTCGTATGAATAATTATAATTAGTACCTTCTGTAGAGAATGGATTATCAATTGGTAATTTTGTATCTTTTGAATATGTTCCAATGTAGGGCGGTCTAACATTTTCATAAAATTTAATATATTTTTGAGGCACCAAAGATAATAATGCTTGTAATTCTTCATCACTTTTGTCCTTAGCTGTCATTTGTTGTAACAAAGTAACTGCTTTGTAACTTATGCCTTTATTTCTGGACGTTTGACGAGAAGATAACCATAATTTTTGTTTGTTGATGTTATTCTCAGTAATAGGTTGATTCAGCATATCATCAATTGCGTTCATTTTGTCTTTAATCTCATCCTTAGAAGTAATGCTTGTAATTGGCATTATAACACCATCTCTGGTATAAAATGGCAAAAAAGATGATTCATAATCAGATTTAGAGGTTTCAGGTTTATTTTTATCGCTGACTTTCTTGAAGAAATTAGCAATACGAGATTGTGATTTTTCTTTAGCTTCTTCCTCTTTCTTCTTTTGTTCTTCTTTTTTCCGTTTCTCTTCTTCCTTTTTGGCTCGTTCTAAGTCACGTTCTAGTTTTAGCTTCAATTTAGCTTCTTCCCTTTTGCGTTTCTCTTCTTCACGTTGTTCTTTAAGTTTTTGTTTCTCCTCTTCCCTTTTACGTTTTTCTTCTTCTTTTTGTTCTTTGAGTCGTAATCTTTCTTGTTCTCGTTCTTGTTTAAATTTCAATCGTTCTTCTTCCTTTTGTTTCTTGACAATTAACTTTTCTTCTGCTTTTTTCTTTTTTTCAATTTGTTTCGTATCTTCTTTTTCTGTATTATCTTTATTAGCTTTGCTGTTTTCATCGTCTTCATTGACCTCCTTAGTGACTACTGTATTGTCAACACTTAGTTCTGGAACATCATCGGAGGGGTCAATCGAATCAACTGTCGGTTCCTTTTTATCGCTCAACTGTTTAGTTTCTGAGTTGTTTGATTCAGGTACACTAACTGTATTGGTCTCCCTATCTATAGAGGTTGTAACAACTTCGTTTGTTAGCTCATTCTTTTTATCATTATCATCTTTATCAAGGTCATCAAGATCAATTACATCACTTGAATTCGTAATATCAACGGAAATAGGTGTTTCTTTATTTGCGACCTTGTTCTTTGAAGTATCTTTTTTTGTATTTTTAAAAAATGATAAAATACTCCCTTTCTTACCAATTTTAATATCTTCACTCATTTCTAATCAAAATCACAGGAGGAATTAATGAAATTGCGTTTCTTACTATCTCACGAAATGGAACTAAGAAAAAAAAAGACTGTTATTAATTTTCTTTGTATATCAATAGAAGTTTTGATAACTATGGATAGTGTAGTCAAGCTCTTATTATCCTGAACTATGCTCGAGTGGTAAAAGAAACTATTCCTAAAATATTGTAGTTAATTGTTGAAGGAAATTGAATTGAAAAATTTAATACGCCAAAATCGAAAGAAAGATTATCGATCGATGATTAGATAGAAAATGATTTTTCGTGATGTGCGCGGACGCGTTCGTCATAGTTGAGTGTGCCGGAGCGCCACATAGATACCAGATAATAAAAATTATGAAGTGTCAGTAATCATTAAACCTATAAACTGTAGTTGTTTTTTTGAAAATTCGAATAAGAATATTATATTATTTATCAGATTGGTATACATAGTTAAAAATTAAAAAAGTATAGAGGGCGCAAATTGTTTTGTCGACTTTGTTTTTTGTTTTTTGTATTTTGTTTTTGATAATAGCTACATATTTTCCTTGTTCAGATTATATGGAACGTTTGATTGGGACATATGCGAGTGGGGAGGATTTTTAGAATTATTATGTTTTAGATTAAATTTATTAAATCTCTTTTCTATTGGTGAAGGTATATTATCTCTTGCATTCCGTATTGATACCATCTGGGGTGGAGTATTTGAATAAACATCGTCACATGTATGATCAAGTCTTGAGCGGTTAATATTGTTAAGAATATTGTCTCTTTGTAGAATATCTGCAGCAGTACTACTAGTTGTTTGGTTCAAATCATATTGATTACTGTAAGGAAAATCGTAACTTTGATGATTTTGTGGGATAAATGACTTTCTTGATGGTGAATAATTATATGGTTCTCTCTGTATATTATTAGTACAAAATACCCTATTTTGTAAATTGGGTGTTTCCATATACTGGTATCCATATTGTGAATTCAATACATTATCAGAAGTTCTTGGAATAGTTCTATCCTGATTATCGTAATTTTCAAAGTTTCCTCTACTAAATGATTTATTTAGGTTGTTATTAGTATTATATTTTTGAATCATTACTTGTGAAGCCTTTTCATATTGAATTTCTTTATTTAGTAAACCAATATGTTGCATGTGTAAAAACGAAAAATCTTCTAGGATGTCATGTAATAAGTTGAATTTATTATAATCGTTGAAGTCAACATCCATCATTTCAATAAACCTTTGATATATTTCGGTTGCTTTAGTTTTAAAGACTAAACTAGAAGTAAATTGTTTAATTATTTTTTGTAAAAATGGAACAATGACAACTTTAAAAAAAGCATTATTTCTGTGTACTTGGGTAGAATTTGTCGTAGCTAATGAAGTTTCTGTTCTTAGAGATTCTGTTTTTGACTTTGCCTTTGGAGATATATTACAACTTCTAGTTATATTATCCAATACTTTTTGATTATTTATATCTTGTTCTTCTTTATTGTTGTCGTCGTCACTATAATTTGGACTTTCTACATTTGATAAATCGTGTAAACGAAATTTTACAGAACTTCCTGGTCTTTTAGTAAGAAATTTACTAGTATAACCATATTTATCCTTCCTATCATCAGAAGTTAAATTGTATCTAGAGCGTCTTATTTCATTAATTTCATTTTCTAAATTAGAAATCTTCTGATCTTTATTAACTAATAAATTTTTTAATTCAATAAATTGATTGTTAGTGTTATTATGTTTAGTGTTACTCTTTGGTCTTATTGTCTTGGGATAGAAACTGGAGGTGTGACCTTGATGATGACGATTATAATCTTCTTGATTTTCTCTTTTTGAATAGTGTTTGTCGCTCCTTACTGAACGACTTTCTTCTTTCCCCATGAACAAATAAATAAAATAAAAAGAATTGGTTATAAAAATTAATTTGAGAGTGATTATTACAATTAATTGACACTATCTGTCTACAGAATTTCTATACTCGATGAGTTAATAGTGATTTTCTCTTGCCTTATTTACCCAACATAATTCTTGTTTTTTGTTTTTAAATTTTTTTGAAGCTTATCTCCTTACGCTTGAAGAATATTTTTGTGGGCGGTTGACACAAGTAGAACTTTCAAATGGCCAGCTGCTGTTCCAGGTATAGACAAAAGTGAAAACATTAAGTAACACAAGGTAAAAAAGAAAAGAAAATATGATTTATACTTAACTCGGAAAGAGACTGGATCTGCACTAACTGTCAATTACGATCCAGAATTTCTTTTAAAAAAAGAAACTTTTACAGGGAGTAAATGTGCAGCATTGTTAGCACCATTATATGGTTTCTTTTGGAAACTACTAATAATTCAAGGTAAAATAGCAAGAATATGCTATATTTTACGGTTTTTCAACTAAGAATGAATGAAAAATCCACACTTTGAATCTCTTTATCACATTTTATCCTTGGTTCGATATTCATAATGAACCTAACCGTCGCATCCGAAGAAGCTTAAATTTTTTCGGACGTTGATAAACTAAATCCTAACTTTAACAACTTTGCACAACCAAAATAAAAATAAAACGTTTTGAAGAATTTCTGTGAGTGATTAGTTATAACAATAAAGGTAGGATGAAAGAAACTTAGAAGGTAATAAATAATAATACGTAGACAATTCTAAATAACAAAAATCAGAAAGTTTATTTAATAGTAACGATTGTTCTAAAATTAAGGTTATTTTTATCCTATTCAATATGTAAGGTTTTGTTTTACAGTTGAATAGAAAATGGTAGCAATCCGTTAAGTTTGCTCTCAAAGGGACAGAGGACAATTCTAAGTGTTTCTTGAAAATATCTCTCCAAACTAATTTGGAAACTTTAACTACGGTCTCGAATAACTCCTTTCCTATTTAAAATCAAGTAAGTACATGTAAATTAAATTATATAATTTTAAAGTTTTATCCGTTCAACATATTTGAAATATTACGGTAACCAAGAAGAAGAAAGTATCATAGGATGGAATACTGGTTAATCTGTCAATCTTGTGATTTCTAAATTTTGCAATTAAAATAATCAAAATGTTAGATTATTCTTGTTGTCCACTGTTATTACTGTCATAGTCTAGTATTATCCAACACTACAATTATTTTGTTTTTCGTGTGCGAGAGAGAGACAGAGACAGAGACAGAGAGAGCTCAAATAACCCCCTCTTGGTATTCCTGCAGCTGTTCTTAGATTCTTCACAGAAACAACGCTAGAAAGAAATTTATGTCATTACTGTCTTTCGTTGATTATTTAATTCTTTCCGAACGGATCCGTTAAATTGATTAACATTTTCTCCTTATAGATTAACAACAAGAGCTAGAAATATTGTTGATCACTTAACCGTGTAAGATATATTCAATATTAGATATTCGTTTGGTTTCAAATACAGGTTTGTTATATTTTTTCTCATTGCTGTCTAATTCAACTGACATATCTTTATATTGTTGTTATTGTTTTGATGTCTACATTCAACATAAATTATATTATAATAGTAAAAGTCTTATTTGTTAAATTTAAATTTGTCGAATAGGTGAGAAACAAATACAAATTTAACAAATAAGACTTTCAACAAGAAAAAAGAATTGCTGTCCTTCAACGTTTTCTATATATTGCATCGATGTTTAAAGAACGGTAGGCTTTAACAAATTTTCGGCCGAGACATATAACAAGCTTTTGTTGTTCTTCTTTATTTTATAGGATATCTAGAATAAAAGTTTTTATTTAGGTCACACCTTGTCAAAAAAAAAAAACTTGACAAGGGAGTGTATATCGCTTCACATATACATATGTACCACAAACCATTCGCATACGATGAAGGAAGAACTGAAGAGACACAATATCTTCTAAAGTAAAAATATATTCTTGTCTAAATTGTATTATTTTTTATGCCTAGTGAAGAAAGAGAGAGAGAAATAGAAAAAAATACAATTTATTAATTGCAATATTGAAGATTCTCAATTCGAATGATCCATCGCTTCGGCATATTAAGCAAGGAATAAATTTTCAACGGTACCAATCAAAATGTCGGGGTTTCATTACGTAAGGAAGAATGGAAAAGAAATACGGATCTATTTTCATTACAGTTACATATTATGATGTTCGAATCACCTGAGTCCAAGAGTAATTTAAAGAAGGAAGAAAGTATTGTAGTAATGTAGAATTGTAATAATAATGTTGTATTGAAACGATAGATTTGTTTTATCTTCATGCAACTTTTCTTTTTTCATGTTGTTTGTTATATGAACAGAAACGTTACGAAGAGCGAACGAAAAATAAAGACAAAGACAAAGACGCGTGGGCATAAAATGAAATGAAATGAGAAAACAAAAAATCTTCTTACTCTGCAGGCTATTATTGTTTAATGTTAACTTCCTTGGTATCTGTGCAAGGGATCTTCTATAAATTTTGTCTCGGTCTGCCATTCTTTTCAAACCTTGCATCAAGAATGATAAATAATAACACATATGAAACGTTTTCAAAGGTCTTCTTCATCTAAAACAAACAACAGCTTGTCAATAATAACAAAGGTTTTCAATTCAAAAAGCAAAGATATTGGAAGTAACTGGATAAAAAAATTTACAATTAGAATATTGACTTTCGTCAGGACCAAACCAAAAAAGAAACACAAGGTTAATTCCTTTTTTTTTGTAGGGAAGTCTATTTACTAATTCGATAGATGTGGGGAGAGAAAGGAAACCCTTGTGATATTTTGCACACGCGGTTAATTTCATTTTTTAACACAGTTAATTCAATCACAATCAAAATCAAAATCAAAATTAAAATTAAAATTAAAAACAAGACCAAGACCGAGACGGCGATAGTACGATAATAACCGCCCTGCATCATGTAACGTAAATAGCAGTTAAACCAGTAAGATATCCAAAAGGAAAAGAACAAATAATAATATATCTCAATGGGTCGTTCCATGATGTTATTGAAGTTGTTATTATTACCAGTTTCAATATAGTTATTAGATGTTATTATTATTATGGTGATATCTCAAATGAGATAAAGAAAGATATAAAAACTTGGTGGGCTTGATTTCTATGCTACGGAGAGACAATGAGACTAAGTTTAGAAAATTTTAGATAATTAAAGTTATTGGAATAACTTTAAAATTATAAGGTACATCTTTAAGAGGGTGCAGTTCTGTAGAGAAAAACAATTTATTAATTACTTTAACAGGCCAAAAAGGGGAGAATAAATTAATTATATACCTCAATGAACCATGCTAGAGGGTGGGTGATTCTTGATAAATAAGTAATTACTTTAATCCCTTTTGTTGATGCTCTTGTCCTCCCACACACACCCCACGCAAAACACAAACAAAAATTGTAAGGGTGGATCCATCCATATACTTATATGTGTCTTGTCTGTCTGTCATCTTACTTAATAAAAATATCTCTTCTTAATTTCAGTGTATCCCGGTGGGGGAGGACATGAGGTGATCCACGAAAGATGTCAAGAACGCAACAAAAACTTATTTATCTCTCTCTCTCTCTCTCTCATAACGCTTCACTGATTAAAGTAGAAATAAATATCTGTCAAATTTGTACGGACAATTGTTATCGTCGTTTCTTTTCTTTCTGTGGTATCAATAAATAAGAAAGAAAAAAGCGGACGAACAAACAGTTGATGATGGAAGGAGTAAGAGGTTGTGCTCTTACTTTCTCTTACCGTTTCCGTTAATGCACCAACTTGGGGGGAGCGAGGGGAGGGGAGAAAGGAGAATTGATCTGTTGCTTTGTTATTTCAGTGTTCTTAAACTCCCCCATCCCTCCGAATTAACTGAATATTGAATATTGGTCGGCTGGTTCACCAACTGTACACAGCCACGATTCCTTATTTCTTGGGTTCTTCTCTCTTTCTTCGACGGGATATGCATATAAAAACAATTTATTAATGGTACTACCAAATTCCTACTGGGTGTTTTTAGACAGGGAGAGAAACATCCCTACATTTTCCTCTTTTAAGCGTCCGCGAAACTCTAATTAGACGGAACCGTTCAAAATTTGCAATTTGTTTGTTTTATTGCAATTGTTCAGGTTAGTATTTTTTCTGCAATCTACCTCACTCCTCCCCCCAAGATAAAATATAGCGAATTTTTGAGTGGTTGGTTTGTGCCTTGGCTTCTTAGAATATTTTCTTCTTTTTTCTTTTCTTTTTTCAGGCGTCGACTGGTGAAGATCGTCAGAGAGTCCCGCAGTCCCGTGCATGAGATCGATCTGTTCCAGATTTTTATTTTGGATACTCACATATATGACCTGGGGGAAGGGCAGGGGGCGTTCTGCTCTCTTTGTGCGTCGCTTATTACTATGCAAATTTAAAGGATTATCATTTTGTTTTCCTCATACCTCATATAAACAACCTTGGATTAAAACATCTTCACTAACTATAGGAAACTAAACAAATTGTTGTGTTTGGTTTTGTTCGAAGTTGGTTTCATGATCATCTACTAAATTGAGAGAGAGAGAGAGAAAAACTTCAATAATTTATCTCATTTACTCTCTTCCGATGCACGCAAATCCTACTAAGATATTGTGTAGTACTATTTGTTTATACTGTGATTACTGTTTAAGTTTATTTTGCTAACGTGTTTTTTTAAATTATATTTCATGGAGTAGGTAAGTTTCTGCATAATACTATTTATTTTACTTCCTTTTCCACTCTTCATGATCTACTTCATAATTAAGGTTACTTTAGGCTTTTATTCATCCGTATTATTTTACCCCTTTTTCTACATCAAAATTTGTTTTCTTTTGTTGTTGTTGTTGTCTGAGCAATACATTTTTCCTACGCACCTTTTTCTTTAAGACTATTTCTTATTCTTGGTTACCTTCCGAAAACCGACAAAAGAAACAATAACAAAACGAGATTTTGTACCTCTTCTTCGTTTGTTATTGTTTGTGTAAAGGTTTCTGAAACATATTCTATTAACAAAAGGGTTGCTAGTTTGAGTTGATATTAATATACTATACTTCTTTCCTTTTTTTCTTTTAATGCTTAAAGGATTAACACATACGTATATTCATATCCGTTTTACGGTCATGCCTTCTTCTTCCTTTTCTTACAATTTTCTTAATAGTACTCTGAACTACGTTTATCTTCTATTCTTAATAAAATAAATTACGTATATCTTCTTCTTTTTGTTTTTGTTTTACAACATTTTTTTTTTTGTTTTACTGTTAACAGTTTGCAGCAACATCATCATAATGTTTTTTCCTTCCACTACGTTTTATGGCTTATGACTTTTTATTAAGTGCCGTGTGAATCAAGCTATTACGTTATAGGAAATTGACAGATTTACCATTCGGGTACTACGACATTTTCTCTACTTCGTTGTTATTTATTAATTGTTATTGTTTTCTTCTTCGTAGTCCATCCTCCGTGTCAAAATTAAACTAAAAAAAAAATACTTATTATTTTAATAATAATCTATTCTTCTTATGCTTCTAAAGTTGATCACTTTCTTTTGGGGGCAGAGACAACAAGAACTTTCTACTACATTTCTTTCCTTTTTACTACCGATTGTTAGTAATTGAAACACCTTCTTCTTCCATGATTTCTAATAAGATTTGTTCTTCCTTTTCCTTTGAGAGAATTTCAGAGAGAACGATATTCACATTATGAACTTACAGATATTTTAGAAGCACTTTTATTACGATATTGTACGTCTAATGTGCAGCGATATACTACTAATGGAGTAGGTTCCATTCTTCGGTTATACCTCTATTCGATCACATATACGTATTAGTATATATCGATCGTTAGCTACTTTTTTGTTTTGTTTTGTTTTTTTCAGATTATTATCACCGATCGTAATAGTAATTCTCTGTAATTGTTAGTCTTCTAAGGAATAAATGTACTTATCTAATTTTGTTTATATGTCCTTTAATCAAAAAGACAAGACGTATAATTTCGAAACTTTAATATTATTTGGTATTTTTAAAAATATATATGTGACCTCTCTTATTCCTTCTCTTTCTTTTTATTTTTACTAGCCATTGTCAGCTCTTTTTTTTTTTTTTTTTTT